TTGTTGAAAAGACTCATTGGTGCTAATTTGACGCTAATGTAGCTGATCAGTGCTACGTCAACGTGGACTCGTTGGTACATATTTACAATCAAACATCAACTTTAGATGAAACAAATATTTTGTACTTATTTTAATTTAACAAAAAGATTTAACGCAATAAAATGTATTATATAATTTATCTATTTTTATTTCTATAAAATTAATTTATATTAATCACATATATATTATATTTATATAATGTAATTTTATTCTTTAAAAACTAATATTTAAATTAAATATATTTTATTAAAATATAATTTTGTAAATACTTAAATTTGTATTTTAAATTTTATTTTAACTATGTTACATTATAAATAATTATCAATTAAATAAATTTTATCCAAATTATAAATTCATTGGTAAAACCCAAAAATTTTTACTCTAAGGTTGTGTAGATATATGGATTTGAAAGTAGTTTTAGCTAACGTAAATTTGGTTACAGTGGAGTGGTGACATTTGTATTTAAAAAATAATGTTAATTTATAAATAAATTAATATAAAATATTATTTTTTATATTATCTATATATTTGTCATCTTTAATTTAAAAATTATTCAAACTTACATATCAAGCAAATACACTTAATGCAAAAGAAAGTTTAAACTAACATACTTTGTTTGGAGGATTGGATTGGATTTATACTATCCATTCAATTTTTTTCATAAAAAAACATCAAATCAAAAATACTTATTTTTTATTTTTTATATTATATTAAAAATCAATTTTTCATTAAAAACATCACATCAGCGTCTATTTATATCACATCATACAACTATTCAAATTCAAAATTTTTACTATTCAAATCCCAACTCAAAATCCAAACCCCCAAACAAACACACCCTAAATAACCCTAAATAAATCCACTCAATAAGTCTTTTATGTGGTATAAATAAAAAATAATGATGGAGTATTTTAAAAATTTTAGTATATATATATATTGAGAAAGTATATTTTTTTGGGAATTTCTTTTTAATTTGAAAGGTTAAGTTTCAACTTAAATTAAAAATTAATTTAATATTTTTATAATTTTGCTATTGTTTTTTTCTTAAAGGCCGTAAAAGACGAATAGAAAAAACACAAACACATTTTTTAATATATAAATATTATTATTTTTTTAGCATGTATTACAACTCACAATATTAAATGATTAGTAAATTAATAAAATAAATAAAATTGAAATTAATTGTGAATATAGAGTTTTTTATGTTTATTTCAAATTAAAATTATATAATTTAATTTGTACGATTTTTAATAAAAAATACATTATTTTTTTATAAAATATTACATAAAAATATTATTTAAATTATAATTTCAAATTTAAATATAAATAAACACACCCATATTTATCATTTTAATTTGCATATTATTTTTTTTTTGTTTAATAAAACAATTATTTTGAACTAGACATGTACGTTACATATAATGTTTGTTAATTAAATTAAAAAAAAAAAAAGGTCACAAGCATACAAATGCTAGTCACACTTGACCAAATGAAATGCAATGTTGTTTAACATTTTGGTTAATAAATTCTATTAGCACAATTGTGTGTTAAAAAGTAAATATTGAATAAAAAATGCTTGCTAGGACAATCCAATTTGCTATATTAATACAACACAAGATGCACCAAAATATTCCCCTCCTCCACAAATTAATCTCTTATTTTTTTATTTGAGGTGCTCAATAACTACTGTCCTATTTTTCTTTAAACATAAATTTTTTTTTTTTTTATCTTCATTCATTTATTACTTTTAATCTCTGCCTTATAATAAAAAAACAAATTTGTCGATTCATACAAAAAAGACAATTATCTAAAAAACCGTGCAAATATACTTTAGGAAAATATAAAATGGACGGAGGGAGTACTACTTAGTATATATTAAATTAATTTATTTACTTGTAGAATTTTGATTTTAAATAGTAAAATTCTGAATTGAAATAGTGGTTTAATATTATATAAATATGTATCGATGTGATATTTTTAATATAAAAATTAAATTTTAATGCAATATAATAAATAAAAAATAAGTATTAGATTGGATTATTTTTGTATATATATATATATAATTGAAATACTAAAACCAAGAGTAAATTCTTAATTTGTTAGAATTTTGTTAATATTATTCATATTTCAACTTTAAATAAAGTAGCATGTTTAATTTCTTTATGTATATTACCACATTGAATTTCTTTATTTTATTAGTATCATAAGAATACACAGAATAGTGAGTGTCTTCACATGTGTGACGTGACTTGAGTCTCATTCACCTGCTTTATCTGATCAAAACGTCTTATCCATCTGCTTTATTTGACCAAAGCGACTCATCCACTTACTTTATCTTACCAAAGCGTCTTATCCATCTGTTTTATCTGATCAAAGCATCTCATCCACTGTTTTATCTGACTAAGATGTCTCATCCACTTACTTTATCTCACCAAAGCATTTCATCCATTTGCTTTACGTGATCAAAGCATCTCACCCACCTACTTTATCGGACCAAATCGTCTTATCCATCTGTTTTATCTGATCAAAGCATTTCATCCACTGCTTTATCTAAGATGTCTCATCCACCTACTTTATCTCACCAAAGCAACTCATCCATCTGTTTTACCTGATTAAAGCATCTCATCCACCTACTTTATCTAACCAAAGCGTCTCATCCACTTGCTTTATTTACCAAGGCACTTTAAAAGAAATTGAACACAGTAGCTACATTTTTCTCTCTTGGCTGAAAGAAGCCGTCTAGTAAGTATCTTCCATTTTCTATTTGAGAAATGAATTCACTGCAAATAATTTTATACTTTGGCTTGATAAAAAAGTCTTATTGCAAACATGGCATGAATGACAACGATACGTGAGCTAGTATGTGCTCTAAGGCAATCCTTTATTAGAGTAGTCCTCCAACTCGACGATCATGCAAATTAGTTTTCTAATGCCCTATAACAAATCGGGTGAACTTGTGACCAAATCATTCGACATAAGTTTTAATTTTGTTACTCGGATAAATTGTATTATAGTTTTGTAATTGATCTCTATTATTTTAGTGCAGTAACCAAAGCTTGTATAAGTTTGATCATCCAATTATAAGAATTTGACAGAAATGATCCCGTCAAAGAATCATTACATTATCGCTGAATAAACTTGTTAACATAGAGATGTTGGTACACATTTACAACCAAACGTAAACTTTAGACGAAAAGAATATGTTGTGTGTATTTTAATTTAAAACAAAAAGTTTCACGCAATAAGATGTATTATATAATTTTTTATTTAAAAATTTTATTTTTATTCTTTTATAAAATTAATTTATATCAATCATATATATTTTGTTTATATAATGTAATTTTATTCTTTAAAAGCTAATATTTGTATAAAATATATTTTATTAAAATATAACTTTGTAAATATATATTAAATTTCTTTTAATTATATATTACATTATAAATAATTATCAATTAAATAAAAAATTTTCAAATCATAAATTCATCAAGTAATCCAATTTTTTTTACCCTTTCGAAGGTTGTGTAGATATATGAATTTGAAAATGATTTTAGCTAATGTGAATTTGATTATAATCGAACGGTGACATTTATATTAAAAAGATAATTTTAATTTATAAACAAATTAATATAAAATATTATTTTTTATATTATCTATATATTTATCATATTTAACTTAAAAAACATTTAAGCTTACATACTAAACAAATACACTTAATGCAAAAAAGAGCTCAAACTAACATATTAAATAAACACACTCAGTCTTTTATGTAATAGTGTAAATAAGAAATATTGATGTAATATTTTAAAATTTTTAATATATACATTGAGAGAGTGTATTTGTTTTTTTTAAAATTCCTTTTGAATTTGAAATTTGAAATTTTAATTTAAATAAAAACTCAATTTAATATTATTATAATTTATTTTTTCTTTTATTAAAGGACATAAAGACCAATGGTATAAAAAAAAATTGAAAAAAGAAAACACATCAAGAGTTTTATATATATATATATATATATATATAAATATTATTCTCTTTTAAGCATGTATTACAACTTACGACATTTAATGATTAGCAACTTAATAAAATAAATCAAATTAAAATTAATTGTGAATACATAGTTTCTTTGTTTTTATTTCAAATTAAAATTTATATGATTTAATTCTTACAACGTTTAATAAAGAATGTTATTTTTTCTTATAAAAAATCATATAAATATATTATTTAAACTAAACTTTCAAACTTAAATGGAAACAAGTACAAATATATATATATATATATCTCATTTTAATTTGCTTATTGATTTTTTTTTTTTTGGTTTAATAAAACAATTATTTTGAACGAAACATGTATGGTAAATATAATATTTGTTAATTAAAAATAAAATAAAATCACAAGCATACAAATGCTAGTTACACTTGACCAGATGAAATGCAAATGCTGTTTAAAATTTTATTAATAAATTTTATTAGCATAATAGTGTGTTAAACATTAAACATCGAATAAAAAGTGCTTGTTAGGATAGTCCAATTTGCTAAAATTAACAAAAAAAAATCTAATAATATGCACCAAAATACTACTTACTATAGATTGCATTTAATTTATTTATTTGTAAAATTTTGTTTTTAATAGTAAAATTCAGACTCGAAATAGTTGTTTAATATAATATAAATATATATCAATACGATATTTTAAATATAAATATTAAATTGTAGTGTAATATAATAAATAAAAAATAAATATTTAATTTGATTTTTTTTTTTGTAAAAGAAAAAAATTTAAATAGTAAAATCAAAAGTAAACTTTTACAAGTAAACACTGTCTTAATTTGTTAGAAACTTTAAATAAAATAGTATATTTAATTTCTTTATGTATATTGCCACATTGATTTTTTTTTTTTATTTTATTAATACCAGAGCACACACAATAGTCGGTTGTTAAATGTGCCTCCACTTGTGATGTGGGTTGAGTCACATTCACCTGTTTTATTGACCAAAGCGTCTCATCCATCTATTTTATCTGACCAAACGTGTTTTATCTGATCAAAGCTCTCATCCATCTGATCAAAGCAGTCTTATCCACCTGTTTTATCCGACAAAAATATTTTTTTAAAAAAATTGAACACAGTAGTTGACTTTTTCCGTTTTGACTGAAAGAAGCCGTCTATTGCATAAAAATCTGACTCAAGTACCTTCCATTTTTACTTTGAAAAATGAATTAACTTCATATAACTTTATATTTTGGCTCGACAAAAGTCTTGTTGCAGGACATGAATGACAACTTGAGCTAGTACGTGTGCTCTAAGGTGATTCTTTATTAGAGTAGTCCTCCAACTCGACAATCATGCAAAATTAGTCCTCTAATGTTCTATAATAAATCAGGTGGGCTTGTGACAAAATCACTTAATAGGTTTTAATTTTATGACTCATTGGATAAATTGTATTTTAGTTTTGTAATTGATTTATATGATTATAGTATTGTAACCAAAGCTTGTATACGTTTGGTCCTACAATTGTAAGAATTTGACAGAAATGATCCCTGTGTCAAAGAATTGCTACATTGTCGTTGAATAGATTCAGGTGCTAATTTGACGCTAATGTAGCTGATAAATGCCACATCAATGTAGACTCTTTGTTACTAACAGATTAGCCACGTCAACGTCAAATCAGTACCAACAAGCCTGCTCAGCGACAACGAAGCAATTCGCCAATTCCAATGACGGACAACTATTTTTCCTAAATTAGCAAGGTATTAATTTTCTTTTGAAAAAATATATTGAAAAGTTTTTGAAAAAAAAATTAAAAAAATCCAAAGATTAAATATTAAGAAAAAAAATTCTACAAAATTATATAAATATAAATCAACAAAATTATATAAAAAAAATTAAATAATAATAATAAAAATAAAAGATTGAGGCGGTAAATTAATAAAAGAAAACACACAATTTTATTATTTTAAGGAAGAACAAATTCAACATAAAAAAAAAAAAAGTCTACAGCTATTAAAAAAAAAATCTTTTCAATATCTTAAAATAAATTATTACTATTATTGAAAATTATATATATATAATAAAAAAACATAAGAAAACAATTTTCAATCCATTCTAAATTTTTTAAAAAAATTAAATACTATCTATTAAATAATTAATTGATTATCCGATCTTTTTAAAAATATCAATCCACGAACAACACAACTTCACCATTAATTCAACCTTCGCCTACGAAGCTCCCTTCAAAGTCCAACCATTTAATCTAGAAATGGGATACTCCTTCCCGCCATAATTAACAGCCATTACCGAAAAAACAAAAAAAAAAAAAACCCTTTAGCCGATCATGCTCTCCTCTCCTCAACATTAACATTTCTGCGCTTTCTGAAATCGTAACTGTTGATATATATATAGTATATATATATTTATATATTGATATATATATTCTACCTAATATATCTCTTGTATAAATATAATATTGTATCCTAATTGTGTTTAATGAAAATAGAGTTTATTCCATAAATCGTAACATGGTATCAGAGCCATCCTTTTTCCCGACTAAATCGAAACAACCCACGAATTCCAGATAGCATATTTCCGATCACTTCCGACCGTCACCGCCACCACCATCGTCTTCGCCGTCACGAGACCGGCCGGACGCCGGAACAGTTCGGCGAACGGCGGCGCGTGAGAGTCACACGCGCCCGACGTGTTTTTCCGGCCGGACGCCTCGCGGGCGCGTGGGGGCGCGTGCGGCGGCCGTTGGCGGCGATCTTTGCACCGTCGTGTTCGGAATTTGATTTCCTCCGCTATGGTATCTTCACTTCCTCGGTTTGAGCAGTTTTTTGTATCCGGTTGACTTTTTGTGTTTCGGGTTTTGATTCGGTTTCTTTCGTTTCGGCTTTCGGCTTGAGGTTTGAGATTCTGTTTTCTCTTAAGTTTCTATGGAAAAGATGGATGTACATATTCCGATCAATGTTGTTTTGTCTGGAGATAATTACAGTTTGTGGGCACAATCGATGAAAAGTTTTTTGATAGGTCGGAAATTGTGGCGAATTGTTACGGGAGATATAGTTGCCCCCATTGCTCCAGTCTCTATAGGAGAAGTTACGCCTACCGCCACAGTTGTTGAATCTTATATTGAAAAATTGGAAGATTGGGATAGTAAAAACCATCAAATTCTCACTTGGTTGCGCAATACTTCCACTCCGGCGATCCATGTTCAGCTTGCCCAATTTGACACTGCCAAGGCAGCGTGGGATTTCTTGGCAGTCCGCTTCCGTGCTACTGGTTTGGCACATTATTATCAGTTATGGAGCACTCTCCACGATCTAAAACAGGAACCAGGACAATCTATCAACGACTTCCTTGCCCAAGTGCAACCCCTTTGGCATCGGTTGGATCAAGCAGAGATCAGTCCTGATCATCTTCGCCTCATTCAGGTCTTAATGGCTTTGCGTCCAGAGTATGAGGCAGTTCGTGCCTCTTTGTTACATCGGCATCCACTTCCTACCTTGGATGCAGCTATTCAGGAGATTCTGTTTGAGGAAACTCGTCTCCACCTAGCTAAGGCTCCTCAGCTTGACTCTGCTCTTGCGGTCACTGCCCGAACTCCTACTCAGAGTCGTTCTCATCGTTGCAAAAGATGTCAGTCCTCTGATCATGACTTCGGTCATTGCCCAAAGGTGGAGTGTCACTACTGTCATGTTTTAGGCCATACTATACAGTATTGCCCCACTAGACCACCTCGCTCTGGAAGTAGTAACTACAAGCCTCGGAATTCTCGTGGACCTCAGTCTGGTACCTCCTCTGTCACAGCCTCTGCTGCGCCTGCGCCTGCGCCTCCTACGATTCAGGACCTGGAAGCTCTTCTTAAACAGGTTCTATCTTCCAATACCGCCATGTCTACCACATCAGGTAACTCTCCTTGGTATTTTGATTCTGCTTGCAGTAATCATATGACCTCTGATATACGCCTTATGACCTCCACATCCACCGCACCATCCTTACCCCCTATCCTTACTGCCGATGGTACCCATATGCGCATCACCCATACCGGACATACATCCACCTCATCCTTATCCCTCCCTGACACATATTGTATCCCTCAATTAACCTTAAATCTGATTTCCGTTGGTCAATTAGTTGATCAAGGTCTCACCGTGTTATTTTCTTCTACTGGTGTGCAGGTTCAGGACGCGCAAACCGGGCGGACTCTTGGGAAGGGCCGGAAGACGGGCCGCTTATTTGAACTTACGTCACTCCAGGTCCCTCGTCCCTCTATCTCAGCTGCCACCACCTCTACACCATCCTGCCTTCAGTGGCATCGTCGTCTCAGTCATGCGTCTTCCAATAAAGTCAGGTCCTTGATTAGTCAGGGTAGTTTGGGTTCTGTTAAGTTTGAGTCTTTTAATTGCGTAGATTGTTCGTTGGGAAAACAACCTGCTCTGTCGTTTCCTCATAGTACTTCCATTGCGGATACTCCATTCTCTTTAGTTCACTCGGATATTTGGGGACCTTCGCCCACTGTGTCTATGAATGGTTCTCGTTATTTTGTGATTTTTATTGATGACTATTCTCGTTTTACATGGATTTACTTTCTGCGGCATCGCTCTGAACTTCCATCTATTTATATGACCTTTGCTAAAATGATACATACCCAATTTTCCTCTACTATAAAAACTCTCCGCACAGATAATGCTCTTGAGTATACTGATACATCATTTCTTAGTTTCTTATCTGATCAAGGTACTGTTGTCCAACGCTCCTGCCCATACACCTCTCCACAAAATGGTCGCGCCGAACGCAAACACCGTCATATCCTTGATACAGTCCGCACCCTTCTCTTATCAGCCTCTTGTCCAGATCGCTTTTGGGGAGAAGCCGCACTCACCGCTGTCCACACTATAAATCGTGTCCCTTCCTCTGTCCTAGGTAATGTCAGTCCTTTTGAAAGACTATTTAATCGTACCCCTGATTATAGTCTTCTCCGCCCTTTCGGTTGTGTCAGTTTTGTCCTCCTCCCTCCTCATGAGCGCACTAAGTTAGAACCTCGCGCTCGTCTGTGTTGCTTCCTGGGCTATGGGTTAGAACATAAGGGTTATCGTTGTTGGGATCCTATTTCCAATAGGCTACGTATTTCTCGTCATGTCACATTTTGGGAGGATACCAAATTCTCTTCCTTGTCTCACTTCCGAGTCCCCTTTGATCGTTCGTCTCCGTTCTTTACCTTGTCCTCTCCACCCCTATTCCCTTCCAGTGACACGGCTCCGTCTCCATCTCCCGCTCCTAACGCTGTCTCGGTTGCGCCTCCTGAACCGCAGCTGATCCCCGAGCCTACTCTTGCTCTCGACTCCGATACATCACCACCACTAGAGCCTGACACGACTTCGATCTCAGCCCCTGATCCTGGCCCTCGTCGCTCCACTCGGGTTAGTCACCTTCCTACTCACTTACTTGATTATCACTGCCTCTCTGCCACCTTGTCCCATCATGAGCCCAGGACCTTTCGTGAGGCGTATGCGGATCCGTTGTGGCGGCAGGCTATGTCTGAGGAGTTGCAGGCTTTGGAGAAAACACATACGTGGGATATGGTTGATCTTCCCCCTGGCAAGAAACCTATTGGCTGCAAGTGGGTATTCAGAATCAAAACTAACTCTGATGGATCTATCGAGCGCTACAAGGCACGTTTGGTAGCCAAAGGCTACACCCAGCAGTATGGTATCGACTATGAGGAGACATTTGCCCCGGTTGCTCGTCTCACCTCTGTCCGCTGTCTTATCGCCATCGCTGCCGCTCGTCGGTGGCCCCTACATCAGCTTGATGTCAAGAATGCGTTCTTGCATGGTGATTTATCCGAGGATATCTACATGTCTCCTCCTCCTGGTTTTCCTACCTCTTCCAAGGTATGCAAACTTCGCCGTGCCCTATATGGTTTGAAACAGGCACCTCGAGCTTGGTTTTCGAAATTTAGCTCTGCTCTACTCCAGCTTGGCTTTACTTCTAGTGATCATGATTCGGCTCTCTTCCTTCGACGTGGGTCAGCTGGAATTACTATTTTATTGCTTTATGTGGATGACATGATTATTACGGGAGATGATGCTTCAGGTATCTCCGAGTTGCAAGCTCATCTAAACCGCCACTTCGAGATGAAGAGTTTAGGGCCTCTTCGGTACTTCCTAGGACTTGAGATCTCCGACACCTCCGACGGATATTATCTCTCTCAAGCCAAGTATGCCTCCGACCTCCTATCTATTGCCGGTCTCACTGACTCCAAGACTGCTCCTACACCTCTTGATTCTGACTGTCGTCTTACTCCGATGGACGGCGTTCCCCTTGATGATCCGACTTTGTATCGTCAGCTAGTGGGAAGTCTCATCTACCTGACTGTCACTCGACCGGATATTGCTTATGCCGTCCATATCGTCAGTCAGTTTATGTCTGCTCCTCGGACGACTCATCATTCTGCTGTCCTACGGATTCTCCGGTACGTCAAAGGTACCCTGCTTCATGGACTTCATTATTCCGCTCGATCCTCCTTAGTTTTGACCGGGTATTCTGACGCTGATTGGGCGGGAGATCCCTCTGATCGCCGCTCGACCACCGGATTTTGCTTCTTCCTTGGCGACTCGCTTATTTCATGGCGCAGCAAGAAACAGACGGTTGTCTCCCGGTCCAGTGCAGAGTCTGAATATAGAGCCCTTGCCGATACCGCTGCTGAGCTTCTATGGCTTCGCTGGCTTTTGGCTGATCTTGGAGTGCCTCAGCCCTCTGCCACTATTATCCATTGCGACAGTCAGAGCGCCATGAAGATTTCGACAAATGATGTCTTCCACGAGCGTACGAAGCATATTGAGATCGACTGTCACCTTGTACGTCATCACGTTGCTCATGGAAGCATCTCCTTGTCTCCTATTTCCTCTGCTGATCAGACGGCCGACGGATTCACCAAACCTCACCTTCCCGGCCGTTTTCAGTCATTTTTGAACAAACTCAAGTTGGGCTCCACCGTTCCACCTTGAGTTTGAGGGGGGATGTTGATATATATATAGTATATATATATTTTATATATTGATATATATATTCTACCTAATATATCTCTTGTATAAATATAATATTGTATCCTAATTGTGTTTAATGAAAATAGAGTTTATTCCATAAATCGTAACAGTAACAAAAAGAAATCAATAAACATCATCCATTGTTCTTATGTTCTAAAGTAGCTCGGAAAATTCTTACTGCATTAATGGAAAGGTTTGATGCAGAATAACGATCCTTGGCCACTTTAGCACATCAGTCATCCGGCCCGAAAATAGCACCAGGCTCGACTATGTAGTTTACAATTTCGGGAACATATTCGAGCATCTTCTGCTTTTCTAAAGGGTCCCGTAGGATACTTCTCCTGTCAATGTACTCGAAGAAAGTAAGGAAAATGAAAGTTAATTCGGGTAATGAAACGACAATGGCGAATAATTATGAAAGGATATTCTTCCCTCCACCCTTTCTCATTGGCGCGATCCATGAGTTTCTGCAGCAAGGCCAGCTCGTCAGTGATCTTCTGCATGCATTTTTAACAAACGATGAGATAGGAAACCTTCAAGTTCCGTAAGGGGTGCTTGATTGATCGATCGAACAATGTAATGAAAGTTGAAACAGAGATGAAAATTCAGCAATCGAGACATAAGTAGGTAGGAAATCATCCTAAAATGTAATTAGAATGTAAAAGTCACGAAGCATACGTTAATTCATTCGATCCTTGACAATAAGCTTCGCCTTCTTTTCCGTATCAGTCTGTCGAAAAACAACAATAGGTTCATATAAAAGCCAAAAACCGGACAAACATTAATAAAAATGTACTACAGGCACAAGAATCTTGCAAAGATCATATGAAATCAAATAATTTAAGCAATATATTTTAGCAGATGTGAAATGGAAAATTTTCAACAACATAGCAGCATCAGCATATGTCAATTATAAATTTTATAGGATACCTTCTGCTTCTGCTTCTGCTTCTCCTAATCTATAGTTATTAGTTTTCGAAATTCAATTATTACATATTCAACTTCAAACTTGACAGAAATTAAAACTCTTCCTTTAAGAAACAAAGATGCTGCTCATTTTAGACTATCTATTAAATCTTTGTCCGTGTAGATATCACGAATATACTCACGAGCGTTGGCCTTTCTAGCTGACCGGATACGACTTTCTTCCTCAAAACTTCACATTCTTCCTGTGGATAAAAATGGGGGAAGAAGATAAAACATCAGAAGAAATGCGGCGAATTAAGATACAACTTTATATTTAAAAAGAAGCGCCGTAGAGTGTGTCATTGTCTCAATGAGTAAAACAACATCCGATAAAACTTTTAACTTAAGTGATCTTAAATGAGAACCCAAAATGATCGATATGTGAAGCGCATACAGAGCAATTGCCTTTACACTAAAAATATGAGGTCTCTGTAATTTAAGTTCGATTTTCTTTTCTTTTTCTTATGGATGATATGGGAAGGAATTGAATTTACCAATACATTGGATTAATTTTAAGTACCTCGGTGAAATCCTCCTCCGATAAGTTATTGATGGAAGTTTCTTCGGGTACATCAGCGAACTGAAGAACAGTCTCATCATTACTTTCACCATTTGGGAGGTTTTTGACGCCTGAAATGAAAAAAAAAAAATCGAAGATGTACAAGATAAGAAAATGATCACATCGATGAACTAGTTTTGAAATCTCTAGGACAAAGCACAATCAAATAATCCATCTAACCTTGGATCTGCATGAGCTTGAAAGAATGCAGCGAACGCCGATCTTTGGGATTTAAAATGATACGGACATAGCAGCCGACAACCTTCTCTTCAAAGGATTCAGGCTGCTTAAGGAGTTCGCGTACCAAACCTTTCTTCAAGTACAAAAGTTCGATGTTCTTCGGTACAATTGCTGCATCACATAGAGGGAGGGGAACAGAATCTTCATCTTTCTTCCGAGCTTTATTCTCTGTTTCTTCCTCCGGCTCCCTTTTCCGTTTGTTATTATTGTTTTGTGAATAACATGCCCGAATTTTCGCAGCCAGGATATCTCTTGAATGAAGTCCTACTTCTTTTTTATGGATTTTGAAATAACTCTCAAATAAACCCTCGGGGCTATACGGATCGAAGTAATAATAATGGTAACCTTTCTGCAGTGAAACAAACAATAAGATGAGAATAGAAACATAAAACAGTTTGACTAGTGAAATGTCTTCGCTAAAATTTGCGGAAACCATACCCCGTCCTCGTTGAGAATCTGAACAATATCTAGGCAAGTACTGCAAAATCCATATCTCCCTTTAACTTGTGAAAAATCTGAATCATAAACGCAGCGCGGGCAGACTGCATATTTGCAGGTGTAGCAAAAGAAGGCAGAAGCTTCGCTGCAATTGTAGCAAGTGTGTCGATCTGAAAATTTCCATTATACACATCGCAAAAGGATATAATGAGTTTCGCTAATGGTGTAAAGAGACGAGAATAAAATCATTTTCATTCGACAGTTTTCATCTTAAAAAAATGGTTGTAGTAATTTAGTCGGTACACATAAAAAATATATATCGGTAGCACATGAAGTATAAACCAACAATAAAATAGATCGATGGCGAAAACAAGTAATGGATGTTGGATTAATTACCACATTCCCATTTCTGTTCGCTTTCCCAAAATGATGCATCCTTGTTCATACAATATCCATGGTAAACTTTCCAACAACCCCCGAAAGAGATACATATACGTTATTGATGATTCATGTAGACGTTGAGAATATGTTAGCTAGAACTATTATTATAAATGATCGATCATAAAGTAAACAAGAAAACTCTTTATGATTGCGGTAACCGATATAAAATTGTCAAAATAAAAATGTGCTCAGACAAAACAATCTAGACAAAAAAAAAAAAATACACTCGTTATGCAACCGACATATAAATGACAAAATAAACGTACCTGATCTAAAATGACAAAAACATACTAGCATTCATCACATCATTATTGATCTAGAAGAAACAGGAAAACTCTTTGACTGACATAAAAATCAACAAAATAAAAAGTGTGAGAATAATCTTAAATCGACAAAACAATCTAGCATTCACCGAATCACCATCAGTCTAGAAAAAACCAAAAAATATCTTTACGAAAGCATTAACTGCCATAAAATCGACAAAATAAAAAGTGCTCAAAAAAATCTTACATCTAGCTGCACCAACAACAACCACCCCATATGGATAACCTTAAACACACACAATCCAAACTGCATATGCCAAACTTCTTCCCACACTCACTCCATCATGTTTTCAAACTTGGAATCTTATATCCTTAAAACATACAATCTATAAAATAGGCAAAAAAAAAATTTCCAGTAAAAATGCAGTTGATATTATTTCCTGTGTATTCTTCTTTTATATTATTTTATATAACCTTTTTATATTTATAAATTACACCCTAATTTTAATTTATTTTTGCAATATAATCCAAATATACATAATTACACATTATATATCACTTTTCCAAAGGTAAAATTATATTACTTAAAAAAAATAAAAAATTATACATTATTTTTTTTAAAAGTAAAATCACGTATCATTTTTTTAAAAAATAACAAAAATACACAAATACCACAAAACATCACACAAACTCCACTCCAAAAATAAAATCTACAGTATTACTCCAAAAATAAAGTAACATTGTACCCCGGCATGAACGGGGGACCCTCCCCCCCTAAATTTTGGGCAATCCGTCACATTTTTGCAGTGGGTTGGAGCTGCTAATCCCCAAAAAGCCAAAAATCACTAAATTAACTAGCACTAACATTTAACATGAGATTTAAAAATTAGGTAAAGATTGTTGATAGGGCACAACAGATTAAGATACCAGAAAGGCAAAATCAAGCAGTGATATATGCAAACAAATACAATACAGCTCCCAAATGACACAGATTTTCACGCCCACAAAGGGATTCAAACCACAAATAAAAACAATATATATATATATATATATGATAATTACGGGTAATCACAGGGGCGAAAACCCCCTTTCTCAAACCCAAACGTGTCTTTGCATACGAAGCACATCTTTTCGTGAAGCTCTTGTTTGTTTTTCTTCTCGCCGGAAACTTCCCCCTTCTTCTCCATTCTTATTAACCTCAGAAATTCTAAAACACAAACAAACAACACAGATAAACTTAAACTGCTGCCAAGGTCGCAAGGCAAGACGCAGAGAGAAATGAAGAACGGTTGCGTACATGAATACATACATACGTATATACGTACACACATACAGATACAAAGCATGGCATGACGTCGTAAGAGGAGACGGAGAGAACGAGAGCAACGGACAGGCTGACGCGTGTCCCTTAATGTATCTAATTTTTATTATGTATATTTAATATTTTGATGGTTATTCTCTTTTATAATAATATTTAATATTTTATTTATTCTGTCATTTTTTTTAAATATTATACACTTTAATTTTATTTTAAAATTTTAAATTTATAATTTTTAAAATTTTAATTATACTAGCTATTTTAATTTAAATTTAAAATTATTTTTATTAAATAATACTAATTATTTTCACTAATATATTTTTAATTATTTACTAATTATATTTCTTCTAAATTTTCGTGTTGAGACATAATATCCGGAACGGAAGAAGTACAAATTAATAATATAAAAATAAATTAAAAAAAATGCAAACAAATCTTTAAAATTATACTTATGTTAGTAAAATATTTATAATAACTGTAACTATTATAAAAGTATAGATTATTCATTTGTTAAGAAACAAAAAATAATAGCATTATATATTATAAGTATGCACTTGCTAGAAGTAAGTCTTTGAAATTTTCAAACTTATTTTAATTAATTTTGAAAATCGAAATTTTTATTAATCTCGAAAATTTCGAACCTATTTTGATTAGTTTTGAAAATTTCGATATTTTAAGTCTACTTCTTAATCTATTTTAATTAGTTTCGAAATTTTCCAAACTAACAAACAATTTAAATTCCTCCACTACTATAAATTAATTAATTATGATTTTGATTTTATATAAATATATTTCTATAATTTATTTATTGTGTAAAAATATTTGAATAATAATTGTTTAAATTTTTACAATATAATTTAAATAATAAATTTAATAAGTAATATAATTATAAGTAAAATAAATAGTTTCATATTTTCAAATTTTTCTTTAAAAAAAAATTTGAAACTTAAAAAACAAAAAATAAAAAAAGAATATATATATACATATATAATTTTAAACTACCTTACCCTAATTTTAAAAGCTTTCAATATTTAAATTCTATAAAATTTTCTCCTTAATCTAGGGTACCCTAAATTTTAAAAATTTCAATATTAATTTTATTTTTCAAAAAAATTAAATATAAATTTCACTCCTAAATTACTATTTTTATTTTTAAAAAATTCAAATATAATTTTTTTTTAAAAAAAAAATATCAAAAATATAATAACTTTAAAAAAAAAAAAAAAAAAAAAAAAAACTATACAAATAACCACCATTTACTCCCATATTATTTTTTTTTGTATCATTTGTTTCTTCCTTCGTTAATTGCTTCATCTTCTTCCACTTTATTATCTCAATGTCCTCCTCCTTCTCAGCCGAAACACTCCTCTTTCTTTTTCTTCTTCTTCGGCAGGCGGCGCCACCAGCTGTTGTGCTCCTCTTTCTTTCTTCTCCGGTGCGGCTGCTCCAGCCGGCAGGCGGCAGCAATGGACTAATATATATATTTTAAAATAAAATTTAAAGTTTTCGAGGCCAGTGGTATAATATATATTTTTTTACAATAGAAATTTTTTAAATTTGATTCGGAAATTTTGAGACTAATTTGCATAGTTTCAAAATTTACGAAGTTCCTTTTTTTTTTTGGAATTTGCGAAGCATCTTGTTTGGAAATTCCGAAACTATTCGAATTAGCTTCAAAGATTCTTAGGCTACACAAACGGCAGTAAAAAGTCAATCACTGGACTGTTTTCGAAACTATGTCTAAGGCTATTAAGAAATAAGTTCGAAAACAGTTCATTTTTTAAACTAATTTTTCAAAGCAAAAAAACCAATTTTTCTTGGTAGTGATATCAATACAACACGAAAATCAGTACCAAATAATCAATGCCCAAAATAAGTATGAATTAAATCCAAGATAACAGGGACCAAAACAATTTGGTCAAAATAAAGAATCAAATTAATAAATGAGGGAGAAAAAAAAAAAAATGAAAAAAAGGAGAATGGATATATAAATATTATTTTGGTAGTTGTACACTATCAATTCAAAAAATTTCTCTTTTTATTAAAAATAATAATATTTTATTGTCAATTTTTTTGTATTATATAAAATACATATTGATATGTTTTTTTATTATTTAGTTTTTTAAAAAGTATTTAGCTATAAAAAAAAATAGATAATTCAATCAACTGCAACCTCATTTGAATGACAAAAGAAATTGATATTAAAAATATGTTATTATTATTATAGTATTTTATAAAATTTATAATAATAAATAAGATAATAAAAATAAAAATTTAGATTAATAATTTTTTTATTTTTGATTTATTACTTTATTTTTAGAAAAATAGTTAATAAATAAACTTATTTACTTAATATTTTTAGATAAATTTATTTTTTATATTAATTATGAAAACTTGTGTTATAATTTAAAAAATAGTAATATTTTGTAAGCGACTAAAGTATATATACTATATTCATTTGAATATATATTGCATATTTTATAATATTTATAGAAAATTGTGTCATAAAAAATTATTAGAAGAACAAATCCAATGCTTCTATAAATTTTTCTACAGAAAAACATACTAAAGAAATCAATGTTTCTATAATTTTTTCTACAAAAGACATGCTAAAAAAATCAATGCTTCTATAAAATTTTCTACAATATTTATAATATTATTCTAATAAAATATTATTAATTAATATGATTATATATAATATCTTTTCATATAAATAAGTAAATAAAATAATAACGATGTTATAATTAATATGAAAAAATATTTTTTTTTATATATAGTGTATTTAAATATAAAAAATATATTTGATGAATTAGTATAGCATTTGTTATTCCTCATTTCATATAATTTGTTCATTTGGTACATTCCACATATAATTTGTTCATTTGGTACATTCGATTTATCCTTTTTTTTAATATATATAAAAATTATACATTTTAATCACATTTTAAAATTTATAATTTATAATTTATAAATTTTTTATTTTAATCAAACTATTTAGTCATTTTAATCTTAATTTATAATTATATTTATTAATATATTATTAATTACTTATTAATTACACAATATTTAAAACTCAAATTTTGTACCTCAGATGGACAAATTAGCTAGAAAGTATTAAAAAAAATTAAATAAGAAATATATATTCAAAAAATTAGGAAAATAAATAAAATAATAATAAATATTATAAAATTATAAAATAAGAGTACAGGATAACAAAAATAAGTATTATAAAATTAAATTTTTTTATTTTAATATAAAAATTATTATTATAAAATACAGAAACAAATGTAAAAATAAAATTACTGTAACTTTCTTCTCTTTTATTTAGTGCTAGTTTAATACTTCAGCACAACATTAAAAAAAAAAAAAAAAAAAAAAAAAAAAAAAAAACTCATTATATATAAATATAGTATACATATTTATATATTTTAAACTTTTTTTTAATCTTAAGCCCTAGACAAGGGCTTTTTCATCTTGGGTCGACTGTCTTTTGCGTCATCCTCCAGAATATCTGTCACACATAATTTGCCTCGTGTAATTTGTCTGTCAGACCAAAGATTTACCGATGGGTACTTTCGAATAACAGTTTCGAATTCTCAAGATCATATAAAAAAAAAAAAAAAACTTGTAAAAAGGCTTCGAGCGGACGTGCTCTAGTCAAATCATTCTTTTACACGTACAGTCGAACACAACTTGTAAAAGGCTCCGAGAGTCGCCCTCATTCGGAAGCTTTAGTAGCCGAGCCACTTCCGCGAAGCCGGCGTGTTCAGCCGCCACCGTTTCTTCCTTCACCTCGCCTTTCATTTCATGTCTTGGAACAATGTTAAACCGCGGCGCGAGCGCCCATTGCATCGCCCAAATCGCTAGAGGTCGCATGTACCCGAGTGATCGATACTCCCCTTCAAAGTTCCACCCCTCGGGCGTCTGGAAGGCGTATCTATCGAACAAAATTCAATTTTAAATGACCGTCTCACCTAAAAGTTCAGTTCAGTTCAGTTCAGTTAAATATTAACTCACCCTTTACCCGTGTCGGACCAAGCCACTTCGTACGCGCCGACCGCGGTTCCAAACGCCGTGTCGATCATGTTCTCGTGAATCATGCACGCAGCAACTCCGTACGTAACTCCGCTCCAGATTTCCCGCGACTGTAGCGTGCACGTATCCGGCTTCCCGTCCGGCAGCATCCCGTTCGACGCTCCCACCCTCCCGTCTTTCACTCTCATCACGTTGAAATTGTAGATCTTGTCGAGTGCTTTCCGCGCCTTCTCTTCATCGACAATGGGTTGAAGGCCGCAAGCTCGAGCATACCTGCAAAACATCATTTGAGTCGACATCGAAAGGAAGATACTAAACGAATAATCGACATTACCATTGTCCCGCCAATTGATCGGCCTGAATCGACGAGCTATTGCTGCTCCCGCTGTCGTCGTAGTTGAAATAAGAACCGTTCCATAGCTTGGCGTACACTTCCTGCGCTTTCCGAAACCGGAACCAGAAATAGTCCTCCGATCCCTTATCCCCGACTACTCGTGCGAGAGCTGAGGCAGCTTGCAAGGCGGCGACCCATAAGCCGCCGCAGTATGCGCTGGTACCGGTAACTGACCATGTGTCGTATGTCTGATCGGGGAATCCTTCGTTCTCTATCATGCCGTCTCCGTCCTTGTCGAACTGATCCATGTAAGCCAACGTGACGTAGACGGATGGCCACACAGCTCGAGCGAAGTCGTTATTGCCCGTGGCGACCACATCTCTGTAAACTTGGAGAACGAACTTCGAATTCAAGTCTTTCCATCGATCCGTGTTGTGAAGATTATAGAAGTTTACTTCGAACCACGGATCGTTCATTCCAATGTCGTGAGGGACTGCGCCAAGGGCCTTTCTCGGGACATTAGTCCCGTCCGTTAAAAGCATCCTCTTCATAGGATCATGCATCATCACCGCAGCCGCGAAGTCTCTCTGCACGCTGAGTTCGAGCTCTGGAAACAACATAGTTAGCGCAAACGACGCGTAGAAATGAACATCGTACGTATTGCACATATGATATTCGATCCCTTCGAAGTAGAGGAACTGCCCAATGTTTTCCTCGCCTTTCTGAAGCAAATTTGTACCCAAAGCAGAAGTCATCGACACAGTAGTGTTAAAATCCTGTGCCAACAAGGCCATCCGGTCGAGGATATTCAGCGCCGTCTTGTTTTGGTTGGATGCATCGGCTCTAACATCTGAATTGCATTTTCCGAGAGAAAACTTTCTTTTCCCGACGGTAAGCAGACTGTGTACCGGCAGCGAACCATCTGTAAAGTTAAAGAAACATAAGATAAAGCTCGATTCGGGCTAATCCAAGCTCCCTCCGAACACAGGTTGCCCTTTGGATATTACCTGTCCAGATTGTTCCCCCGGCGTTGAGATAGTAAAGCTCGTTGAAAAGAGTGATCGGATACCTGCAACACAGCATCGAAGAACACAGAAAGCATTGTCGTGGTCGAGCACAAAATCTGAAACAGCTTACCATTCAGGAAGCCTCTTGTCTTCCAGAATAGGTCTTTGCCATGCTTCGATCTCCGATTCCCAACGGTGATGCTCTGAGGTTTTGGAAATAAAATTTAACAACCACATGTAAACAAAAGTCTCGAAGCAGCGCAGAGAATCGGTAGTTATCATAAGAAACATTCAGGAGCGTACCAACAATGGCATCACGAGCAATATTTGAGGCTGCATCACATTGAGTACCGTAGAATTCGGTGTAACGTCTGATCAAAGTTTCAGCATACGTACTTTCAGCTAACAGAAGTAGCAAGCACATTAACGGCGACGCACAGAAAAGACATATGCAAATCAGTCGTGCACCTGCGATAAGTTCTTCCACCAGGAAAGCTTACTTGCGGGTTAGCCCAAGCTAACGAAAACGTAATGCTTCGATTACTTTCAGCTGGAACTGTGACAGAAGCTGCAACTGCCGCGCCAATTGCTGAACCGGGCTCGGAAGGCTTTGATGTCTCTAGGCAGTCTAGGCGATCAAATGATCCGTACTGGTAAGAAAATGAACAATGCAATGTCAATCGACAGTAACAGATTTATCAATCAGCATTGAAAGAGAGGAATTCATTTGTGCTCGAGGGACAATGAGCATCTTACCTCGTCGATCTCACGCCACATGTCTCTTGCTGTGATGCCCGGGGCATTTCCAGATATCACAAAACACGGACAGTCGGAGACGTGGACTCCATCACTCTTTCGTGCTGCGATTGCATATGTCACTGAGGGCTGTGCCTTTGCAGTGCTGCATCAGTTCACGACAAATTTAGGTTTGTTCTTATATAAGCGCGCGTTATTAGCACCAGAGTTTGCATCAAATCGCTAACGCTTACCTATGGTGCAGCAGAACTCCTTCCACATCATCCTTTGTCCTGAGAAGAAAACACCGGCTTTAAACAGGACTAGATTCACAAGTCGAAGGAAAGAATGATTAGACTCGGAAGACATTCGTGTTTACCTAAATGTCGAATTGTAATGGTGTCCTGTGAGTCCAGAATCGCCACCAACAGAGTTCTAGCAGCACAGAACAGAAAACCATTGAAAACATCCAATCAAATACCACAACACGATACAGCCACAAAATGGCGATTTGTAAAAAGAAGATAACTTACAGCCCAGGTGAAGAGCACGGTGACATCAGCTTCGGTCTTTCCCAAATTCGACAACTGATACAGCCATTACAAACTGCTGTGCATCAATCAAGGTCCTATATTTCTTGGGGATCAAAGGGAAGGAAGCGCAAAGATCTGACAAAGTTTTCTGTACCGTATACGTGAATACTGCCACAGGGTAGCTGCTCTCCTTATAGTTGTGGGGGATGACAGGGGAAATTTGGCGACACACAATGTTTAAAGCCGGATCAGGCTCACCTTCATCGAACAAAAACAGGTAAATATACAAGCAATTGATTCAAGCACAGCAAAATGTCGGCAAGAGAGTGTTTAGATGATCGGAACCATACCTTCATACACTGTCCAAGCCCTCGGATACAATGCATGGTACGTCGACTTCTGCCCTCTCAGATTCCAATTCCACGATTCTATTCCGGGAGCTGAATTGTCGCTACTTAAACACATTGTTCAGAGATGCTGAGTATTTATTCTTTTCGATGAAAATTTATTGTAAGCATTGGAAATGCACCTCACCTTCGAATTTCTGGACTCTTCGGGCACAGCACGCTGGAATATTTTTCACCACTACGCCGTGAAACAAATACCTGAAATAGATAAACATCATCAAAGATAACAACATAAGAGACGAAGATTATCACAAATTGTCAAGAACTAATTAGTTTCTTTCCTTATCCTACATAGTTTTCATTTCATATTATGATCTCATCACATGTCCCCTAGTTGAAAACAAAATACCAATATAAACATGGAAAACTCTAATATAACTTACAGAAAATTGGTTTGCCAAGACTGGTTTACTTTCACAAATCCTAGGAAACAACTGCCAACGTAAAAACTCGCCTTTGTAGCTTCTTCCGATGCTTCCAGCGCTGAGAAAGTAGTGTGTTAGGCCGTAGATCAGCTAATTATGTAGAACTCGCTAAACTAAAATGTAAAGGAGTCTTTCTGCTTTCACTAGACAATCACAACCGGAAAATGGAGCCGGTTGTTCGGAAGACATACAGTTACATAATTGATTCACCATTGATAAGCAACAATTTACAAATGTGCGACTTTTGAAGGAAATGCACCGGGAAAATATGAACTACCACAAGATTTCATCACCCCTTCATCAGGTCGTAATAATCTATAAACCTAGAGAAAAAGATACGAGCAAGAAAGCAACAATATACCCGATGCCACCAACAGGAACACCATGGCAAGATGATGTATGGCGCTTCGTAAATGGATCCATAAATACTTGCTACAAAACATTACAGGCATGAATGTCATTTGTTGCAATGGGCACTGGTGTTAGATAGTAAAAGTGTCAGTTAAATAATAGGTGAAATATTACCCCGCATTCGTATTTTTCCTGTTGGAGGTACCGCCAGAGCCTATAACCTATAGGTGCCTGAAACATTAAACATCGAAGAAAATGTATAAAAGAGGTGCGGAAGCACAAAATTCACAAGCAAAGAACACAAGCATCTGAATTTAACCAACGTTGAGCTGCAGTCATTCTTTTCTCCCAAGAACTATCATATATATATATATATATATTATATCCGTCGATCATCTAAGGATGTAAGAAAGGATAAATTTTCGATACTTGAAAATAATTTTGAAGTGAGGTGAAAAGATTACCAGACTCATTTTCTCTTTGAAACTTAGCTCGAGTTCCACAAGAGCATTCTCCTCAGCACTTAGTTTTCGTTTCCACGTAAGAGATGGAAGCTTCCCGGGATCAACTTCAACCTATAAAAACATACAAACTTACATGCTAAGATAACAACATTTACATCTAACAAAAGGACTCGAAGGCACTAATTAAGCAACAAAAAATAGTGTGGGGTGAACATAGAAGATTAAAAATGGCTCGCTTAGTTCGCAGATACTACCTGATATTGAACAGGACAGAACAGAGGATTCAAAGATTTTATGTACTCCTATTAATTCCATCGGAAGAATGTCTATTCAATGTTAAAAAAGCACAGAGCGGTCCAATCTATCGAGCATGTTGCGGCATTAGTGCCTCGTTTTAAGTAAGTTCGCCACACAATGGGATAAAAATTGATGCGTAAATTTCAACAACTGGACTACAACTCACCATTCAATATACTCAAAGACAAGTGCATTCAACCACAGGAACAAATCAAAAACCAATATCAAGAATTTCAACTCCCAAGCTCCGGCCACACAGCTCACGGCGCTAAAGAGATTTAAAAAGTGAGCAAATCATCAAATTAACCACTATTCCAACAATGAATTTTCCACCAAAGAAATTAACTAGAAACAACATAAAATGTGAGCAAATCCCACAAACAACGGGCAAAAACAACAAATCCTCCCTGCATAACTCTCACAACAACAAGCACTCGCTAGTGTAGTAACAATAACTAAGGAAAGATTCGACTCATTCAACTAAATCCTTACAACTGATATTTTGAATTCTGTACTAATAACAGACCACAGCAAAAACTCAAAATAAACTTAACTTCGATCACAATCAAATCTCCTAACCCCCAAAACATCAATTACTAAAGCTATTCATCCATACAATGCATTTCATCACAACAGAGAATCGAAAAGTTCGTGTGTTAGTGTGTTACAATATACATTTGCATATCTAACGATGAATGATATTTTCTAATTTAATCTTCAAGTCTGTCAAAAGGATTATCTAAATGGACCGAACAAACCTCATCATCATCTCTATGCAAAATCCGGAGCTTTCCTTCGCCATCAACTCCATTCCACGACATATCTCCTGCAAAATTTCCAAACCAATCATGCCCAAAATTGTCACGTCCAACCATCGCCAATTCCGACGAACAAAAGCCACAACAGTTTTTCAATCGAGTAAGAAACCCACAATCAAATAAAAAACCCATACCAAACCCCACAAATCAAAACCCCAAACCTCTTGCAGCAATGCACAATCACAGCCCACGCATCCAAGTCCAGTGGCCGAGATTCCAGCGATCGATAGAAAGCCACGAACACGACGCACGCTTTTCGACGACGCGAAGTAGCCAAACTAAAGCAGAAGCTGCATATAATACATACATACATACATATATATATATAAACGCAGATACAGATGGCCGATGGGTGTAGGGTGGGAACTTTTCCCATTTCTAACCTAAGCATGAAATTATATCTACAAAATTAATTAAATTAATTAATTAAAAAAATTAATTAAAATAATTCGTTTTGTGCGTGTATTAGGCGTGCATTTGGTTTGTGATTGCACGTTTATATTCTGAATTTATTTAAATAAATGCTCCCTCCCTATGATTTAAAAGCTATATATTAAATAATAATATTTTAATTATAAAAATTAATTAAAAGTAATCTAAAGATAAAAAAAAATAATAAAATATTTTTGAAATGATTACTTTGATATTTCAATCATAAAAGTTAATTAAAAGTACTTTAAAGATAGAAAAAAAAATAATCAAATATGTATATGAGCAAAAAAAAATACTCCACTAATTATTTAAAATTGCATAATAATAAATTTAAAGAAAATGATACTCCTAAAATAATTATTATTTAGTAAAAATAATTATAAATTAAGATTAAGATAAGTAAATAGTTTAATTAAAATTAAGAAAATTATAAAATTTAAAATTTAAAATACGATTAAAGTACATAATTCCAAAAATAGAAATGACAAGTTACGTGGAAAAGAACGAAAATAAAAATTAGGGACAAGTTATGTGGGATGGAGGGAGTATTTCTTTTTGGTTAATTTCTTCCACTTCCTGACTTTTGGGTGTTTGAATCAAATAAATTAAATTTGATAATGAAATATTTTATTTTATTTTTTTATTTCTCTCCTACATAAATAATGAGAAATAAAAATATATTTAAATTTTTTTAATTTATTTTGTATTAATTAATTTTAATAATTTATTATAAATTATTTGATTTTTTTTTTGTTTGTTACAAAGTATAACATTTAATTTATAATATATATTCTATTTTATATTAGAGTAATATGACTTTAAAAAAATATTGTATCTAATTTATTATTTAAATAAAAAAATCATCAATAATATATAAATTTTCATTCACTAAAATTCACTAGCTTTATCTAACTTGCTATATTTGTTTTTTATATTTTTAAATTGACTTATTTGTTTGTCCAAATAAAAGTTTCATTCTTTACTGAATTTTTTTTTTTTTTTTCTATTCTATATTATTATTTTTTTTCCAATCCTATCATCTATACTAAATGTACTATTAAATTTTTTTTTCTATGTCAATGAAAAATTATACATGAATTATGAATAAACATACCATACCAAGTTATTGTCTCATAGAATTTTATTGAAAATAGCGGACCAATTCCGAAGAATTTCAATCGATCAAATAGAATCAATATAAGCCGATATTGGATTTTATTAGCATAAAAGATGAGCCGCTAAGAGCTCGTTCGTTAAGCTAAACGAGCCGAACACGAATATAAATTTTGGCTCGTTATATTCACGAACGAGCTCGCGAAGGTTCGATAGTATTTATTAGAAAAATTAAATTAATAATTTTATATTTAATAAGTATATATATTTTTATAAATATTATATTGCATTCTATTTTTTATTCAAAATTTATTAACAAAAATTATAATTATTAGTATTAATTAAATTTACTTTTAAAAAACAAAATTTAAATAAATAAATAAAATTTCTTTTAACGAGCCGAATCGCACACGAACAAAAAAATTGTTAAATGAGTGGAGCTCAAACAAAAATCTCAGTTTGTATCTCTTAACGAACGAATACGAGCCGAGCTTAAACATGACAAATTCGGCTCTCTTAGGCTCGTTTACTAGGGTTAATAAAATTAAAAATTAGTGGAATTAACGGAGTTAGTGGCCATTAACAAGATTGTCAAAGAATACTAATGTTACAAATAAATGAATGAATCAATTGAGTGCAACAATGAATGCAAATGATCAAGCAAAGTCCAGTTTGGATGAGTTTTTAAAAAACTGTTTTTGGCTTCATTCTAAAAAAATATATATTTCTTATTTTTATTTGAATTGATTGTTTTTATGAAAATTAGAAGTTTTTGAATTCCAAAAGTATTTTTGAAAAGTAAATTAGGAGGTATTTATGAAAAAAATATATATATTTTTTAAATTTTAAATTAGTATTTTGTTCCTAATAATAATAATAATAATAAATGAAAAAAAAAAAACCACATTCACCTAACAACTATGGCTTTGTTCACTCAATACTATTTTTTAATTGCCACTATTTAAAAATAATAATAAATAATACTCTTTCTGTCTCAAAATTATAATTTGAGTTGTGTTCGGCATGAGATTTAAGAAATATTGATATTATATTGGTAGTGGGTAAAAAGTATAGGTAAAAAACTTTTTTGCCCTTGTGTAAAAAGTAGTGATAATTGTGTAATAATAATGAAAAAGTAACGATAGTTTTATAGTGATATGGTTATTTATGGAAATGAGATTATTGTTTTGAAACGGACAAAAATGGTAAACATGACTGTTATATTGAGACGGAGGGAGTACAATATTTTTTATAAAAGTAAAAAAAGGTGAAAAAATAAAAATAAAAATGAAATACTCACTAGAAAAAGTTAAAAATCAAAATATTCAATTTAAATAATATATTTTTTATTTTTTATACTATATACTAAAAATCAATTTATCTAAAAACGTCTGGAGCTTATATTTTACTTGCATTTTTTCTTGTAATTTTTTTTTTTTGGTAGTAATAATATAATTTAATTTCTAATTCATTACAATTTGCTTGCACTGTTTTTTTTTTTTTTTTTCTAGCTGAAAATCTATTTTCCAAACCAACACAAACAAATTAGATTAAGTAGATAATTAACATATGCATTATTATTGAATATTGCTTTTTGATTATAATCCAAATATTAAAAACAAATTGTAACCTGATTTTGTTAAAAGAGGTTAGGCTAGGTGACCTACTTCGATGAAGTGTGTGTTTATATTTTTATATTTTATTCATTTAATACTCTATCCATCCGTCCCAATACAATAGTTTTATTTATCATTTTTGCCGGTCCAAAATAATTGTCTCATTTTCATAAATAACCCTATCAACCATAAAACTACCTCTATCTTTTCATTTTTATTACACAATTGTCACTATTTTTTACATTAATACATTCACAGGGGCAAAAAAGTCTTTTATCTAAATACCAATATAATATTAATATTTCTGAAATATCGTGTTCAACTCAATTAAGACTGTAATTTTGGGACGGAGGGAGTATTACTTTGAGTGGCAATATTATTAGCCTACGGATCATGTCCTGATTCACAATTGTATTTTAATAGTTCATCTTGTATTAATAATTTAAAATTAAAAATTATGATTAAAATTAATAGTTTTGATTTAATTCAGGACAGATATTACTATATTAGGTGCACCAGATACGACATTTAAGGTGAATATCTTTTATTATTTATTTTGAAACAGACTAAAATATAAATGATATAATATGCTATGAGATAAAGAAAATACAATTAATCTTTACTTAAAATATAAATAACAAAAATGTCAAAAATATTTTTTATATGTCTACTGACCAATAAAATATTATTATTTATTAATTTAATACAATATTTCAAAAGGTTCGTTTGAGTATTATATATTCCCTCTGTCCAAAAACATATTTTTCATTTAAATTTTGCACGTTGATTAAAGTAAAAAAATTTATTTGATTTTTGCACACGAATTAGAATAAATTAGTATTTTATAAATATACACTATAATAAAGTAATGTAATGTCTATTTTATCTTTTGAAAAAAAAAAAGTAATATATAAAATTAAAAAAAAATATATTTTGATATTTAATTAAAAATTACTTTTATTTTAAAAAAAACACACCATTGTTTGTACAGCGTTTTTAGAAATTTGGTATTCATTTGGAAATTTTTTATAATGAAAATTGTGACATACAAATCCATTTCCAACATTTAATATAATTTAGGGTGAGAATATTGGGAGCATCTGGTAACAATAAACAAATTCCTAACAGAGTTAACAAGCTTGATCAAGACTTGGATTAATGGATTGACGATGTTGGGCTTTAAAAAGCATTGGATTCAGTAGCAGTAGCAGTAGCAGACATCACCCATCCTTTCAAGATCTTCTTGCATGCATTGTTCTGTATCGACAACTTTGGATTACAAGCTAGCATCCTCCAATTTATCATGTCTTGCTAATGCCAATGCCAATGCCAAAGATATCCCAAAGATTCGAGAAAATGGCTATCAAACTCGTCCCAACAGCCAGAGTGATCACCACCGCTGCCAACACCTTGTCCGATTTCGTCGATATTCCCCCAGCATCTCTGCATCAAAGTCCCGACTTAAAAATAAAAAGAAAAAAGAAAAAATTACTCGTAATGTGGTTTTAAAACTCAGCTTAAATTTCTTGTACTGATTTAAATAGTAAAAAATTTGAATTGGAATAGTTATATGATGTGACAGCTATGATGTGATATTTTGAAAGTAAAATTGATTTTTTTTTTTTTGTATAATATAAAAAATAAAAAATAAATATGTGTTTCAATGTTTTTGGGAAAAAAATATTTGATAAATAGTAGAAATCTTGACAAATCCCCCAACAAACACACCCTAAAATTGCATGGTGCCTTTCTACTTTAAAGAACGTAGCATGAAACGCTTTTTACAATTTTTTATGCGACGAGAAGATGATTTTTCATCTACATTTTTTGCATGGTGGGAGTTTCATGCAACGATTTTGAAAATATAGGAACGCTATGTAATTTTTAAAGTACAAGAAATTTAAGCTAAGTTTCGAAAGTTTCGAAACCTATATGAACAATTTTTGCTAAAAAAAAAATCGGCCATAGGAAATTACCTGAGAACTACGAGACTGGGAAATATGAACATGATGCACATGACCGTCGTCGTTCCCATCAATTGAAACAAGAACCAAATATTCGGAATGGCCACTGCCGCCAAATATATGAACGCGACCATAACTGTCGTCAGCCAATAGAACCGAACGCTGTCTGTCGCCAACACCGCTCTCTTTGGGAAAAACAGTTCATCGACATTCACCCTTAAGGAGTAGTTCATTACCGGAAACACCAGCATCAGGTGGACTGCATAGCTCAGTCTAATTACGTCGTTTACAATTGTTGTGACAACAGAACTAGAATCCGATGCTCTGTCAAAATTAACTAGCATGTCCGCCATTATAGAGTCCCCAAAGAGAAGGTACCCAAAGAACCCAACACCAATGTATATCGCGACGCACAACACCAATGAAATTCGCACTGCTGAGCTCATATCCGAAGGTCGCCCGAGCTCTTCTCTAACTGGATGAACTGCACATCACCAGAAGCAGCTTGCAATTTATTATAAATTACGACAAAAAAAAGGGACATGACATCACACTCACAAGAAGCACTTTTACCGTTAACATGACACCCGAAGGCAGTTGCAAAGATCGGTATGGTTGTAAACAGATCTAGCGCAGAAACACCATTTGCAAAGTCTGGAACCAGTCTTGGCCTTTCTATTTTTCCGGCCCACGTGGCATGAACCGCCATCACCGTGCAGATGGCCACAAAAAAGCCGGCTAGTATTACAGACACGGCTGAGGCGTGCCTTAGTGAATCTGCAGATGATATATACTTATGTGATTTAGGCAGGCAGCGAATCTAAACGCTAAATATTAATCTTCTTTGTTAGGATGGTCGCATCCATTGGATAATAACTAACCTATACGCCTTAGAAGAAGTAAAGGAAACAAGACAAAAATTACGACAAAAAGGAGCGAGCAGGCACGCGAATTCCACCAATGGATACCAAACCATTCTTGTAGAATGCCCAAGTGCACTGTTCCATCGGACTTGTTTCCCGAGAGAACATCCCCTGTAATTGTAAAGAAGCCATCGAAAGACAAATGTAAGAGTGTTTTAGATAGTAACATTCAAATAAAATTGCTCGACAAGATATCTAAAGGCAGGCAGTGTACCGATTATAATCAAATAAATGATCAAAGCACCAAGATTGGTGACCATGACACAGACTTGAAGAGCAACAGATCCAGGCTTCCCGAACGACTCTGCCATCAATTTCCCATATGTATTCGACTCAACAGAGTGTGTGTACTTCAAGAGAAACTCGACAGTGACTTCCACCAAATAAGCAATAACCATGATAACCACAATGCTAGGGATCACCCCAAGCACCTTGAATGTTGCCGGAATCGACATAATCCCGGCTCCCACCATGCCAGTCGAAATGTTGAATATTGCCCCTGAAATCGATGCACCCGCATCATCCTGTCTCTTATCATCTCCTGACTGGATTTCCTGCAGCAATGGAGCACCAGTTCCAGCCTCAGGGTCAGGGCTGTCTTCTACCCTCACCATCTATCTGCTACCAGAAGACCAAAATAACTTCAGCTTTCAAATTCTCCACTGTGATCCCATCTCAAATCAAAAACCCTAATTATAATACAAAATGACAGCAGAACAGACATTCTTATAATATTTTTTAATCTGTCAAAATTCCACATGATTGGTTGCTGTACAGAAAAATTGCAACTTGGATGGTACCGATTGTTTTTCACACACATATATATATAAAGTTATCCTAAAAGATATACAACTACAAGATGATTGGCTTCTGATTTTCGCCTTTGTTTTCCAGCCAATCCAATCCAATTTTATATTATACTTCAAAATCATATACCAGGAAACTCTCTCGAAACGCAAATACACTAACCGTAATTTCCGAGGACTTTCGTCGAGCAAGTAAACTGCAACCCCTAACTCAAAGTAAAAAAAATTCAGCCGAGCAATTCAAAATTCTCCCGAATCAACGCTTCCTACCTGAGAAATAATCCATTTTCAAATTCAAAATCTACTCATCACCAAAAGATATGAAAAACTAAATTACTGAGAGCTCAGGAAGTGCTAAGTACGATGCTCCCCGTATTTCTCTGAGATTCCTCGGAATTCTTCGGCCGTCTAGATAACTACCAGGGAATTCGTCACCTGGATTGGACCATTGTTGTACTACGAAGTAGAGATCATTGGGCCGTCTCTCTCTGACCCTATCCACATTATACTGTTTTTGGAAGCTTCACGCCTTCACCTTTATAGCTTTCTTTTCTTGAGTTACATCGTGAAGGCAGATCCCAGGAGCACGGGTCCTAATTCAATCCATGCCCAAAAGGCCGTGATAAAACATCTGTTATGTCCAGATTACTTTCCGGTTTTGAAGTCCTGATTTTGCTAAGCTATTTATTTCTTTATATTTCCAACTAATGTACATTAGATAGGAGTGTGCAAAATTATCTTCTTCTTTTTTATTATTATTTTTTTTATGATAAATTGGTAAGTTGGGTATATTGGAATATGTCAAATTTAATATTTTCAAAATTAATTTGAATTTAATTTTATTATTTTTAATTCAGATTTACCGATTTTAAATTCAAATAATTATTTATTTTTATTTAATATTATATATACATATATTTTATTTTTTAAAAAAATTACTTTATAAAATATCAATTCACCATTTTATATTTCAAATTTTATATTATTTTATTTATATTTAATTATATTAGTATAATATTTTAAATAAATTAATAAATTTAAATCATCATAATTAAAGGGAATATATGCCACCATTTTAGATTAATATTTTGAACTTAATTCTTTTCTTTTTTTTATTTGTCCTTCCACCTTACTTACTATTTTATGCAATTTTTTAATTTTTTATTTTATCATTCGCATAACATAAAAATTACTAATAATTATGTGATCAATTTTTCTTTTTATTATTTAGCAAGTTATTTTATGAATTTCTATTTTTGTTTCGAAATTATAATTTTGATTTTGCAAATTTACAACAATTAAAATTATTTAAAGTAAAAAAAAATTATTTAACAAGTTATTTAATGAATTTATATCTTTTAAAATATTAAAAGATATAAATTTATTAAAATACTAATTAATATATTTCTATTTTTTCTAAATTATAATTTTAGTTTTACAAATCAAATAAATATATATGTATTTGAAGGGTGTAATATCCATGGTGCGTTTTGATTTTAAAGAATATTTGAGAAATTTATAGTTTTAATGTATAAAAATTTCATTTTATTGCAGTATTTTATTTTTATTCTGAATATATATTTTTTAATTATATATTGTGTTATTCTTGTTTCTATCTTTTTTTTCTTTTTTTTTTCTATTTTTATATTGTATGTAGTTTTTAATATCCTGTAATTAAAATTTAGTTGTCGACGTCTTAAAATTATTGATAAAATTTATTTTCATTGTATAAAAATATTAGACCCGAGATCGAATCCGAATTCGAACCAGATAGATCAGTTTTTAAGTTGTCACAGCACGTGATCACTGCCACGGATCAATAACTTCTACAGAGTTTGTCTGCCACGTATCTACTTCTTCTGCAGAGTTTGTTAAGAATTTGTTAGACTCGTCACTTCATTTCAGTTGCATTTGTATATACACTCTGTAAAATGCCATTCTCAAAACCTTGCTTGCTGCTGCTGCCTCTGTTAATTTGAGCTCTGTTTCTGCTTCTACTGTTAATTTTTCAGGTTAACAATGGAGAAGAAGGGGGAAGTTTCCGGCGAGAAGAACGCGGTGGCGGCGGTGGCTAACAAATATGAAATTTGTGAACAATTCTGCTTCGTATGCAAAGATCTCGGGGACCATAGCTACTACTACTGTGATTACCCGTAAGTTTTTGTGTTCTTTTTGGTTCATCTCTGTGAATTGTGGGGCTGTATTTGTATACATATATCAGTGTTTGATTTTGCCTTTTTCTGATATCTTAATTAATCTGTAAGTTGTGCCCTTTGATCATTAGATATCTTTACCAAATTAATTTTCAACTTTGATGTTTAATGTTAGATTGTTTATGTTGTTTTAGATTTCTTGAGCACTTTTTGTTTTGTTGTTTAAGGCTATCGTAAAGATATTTATTGATTTTGCTAGATTGATGACATCTAGGTGTGTGTTTGGTTGAGGGTTTGGATTTTTCGGTTTGTTGAAAAAAAATTGAAAGTTAAATAGTTGTAGGATGTGATATCAATATGAAATGGTGTGATGTTTTGAATGTAAAAATAATAAAAATAATTTCTCAATCAAACACTAGATTGTTTTTACGTTTTAAGATTATTTGCACACTTTATATTTTGTGAATTTTTATGTCGGTTAATGCTATTGTAAAAAGTTTTCTTTGTTTCTTCTAGATTGATCATGGCTTGATGAATAGTAAATTGTTTTTGTCGTTTTAGATCGTGTATTCTTGTTTTGTCATTTTTATGTTGGTTACGTAAAGATTTTATTTTTTTGTTTGTTCTTTCCTAGATTGTTTTGTTATTTTAAAATTATATGTACACTTTTTATTTTGTTGTTTTTATGTCGGTTACGTAAATCTTTTTTGTTTTATTATTTTTTTTTTCTAGATCGTTTTGTGGAGCACTTTTTAATTTTGTCAAATTTATGTCGGTTACTATGGTACAAAATTTTTTGTTCTTTCTTGAATTGACGATGACTAACTGCTAGATTCTTTTGTCCTTTTAATGCTGGTTAATGCTATTGTAAAGAGGTTTCTTGTTTCCTCTATGATCGATCATTTATAATTGTTCTAGCTAATATATTCTCAATGTCTGTATGAAGCATTAATAACATATATGTATCTCTTTTCAGGGGTTGTTTGAAAGTTTATCATCCCGAGTGTTTGAACAAGGATGAATCATTTTGGGGAAGTGAAGTCTACTGGGCATGTGGTAATTAACCCAACTTATATTTTCTGTGTTTGTCGTATTAATATATATATATATATATATATTGTGTTGTTGGTTTATGCTTCATGTATTTCGTGTGCTACCAGTACTGCACTGACTAATTATAGTTAGCATAGTAACAATAGCAACTTTTCTAAGATGAAAATTGTCGAATGAAAGTGATATTATTCTTTTATCTTTATACCATTAGTGAAACTCATTATTTCCTTTTGCAATGTGTATCACTTCACAATAACATTTTGAGCTTTTACTATGCAAATTTTCAGATTGGCACACTTGCTACAATTGCAGTGAAGCTTCTGCCTTCTATTGTTACACCTGCAAATATGCAGTCTGCCCGCGCTGCGTTCATGATTCAGAATTTTCACTAGTCCGAGGGAGATATGGATTCTGCAGTAAATGCCTGGACATTGTTCAAGTGCTCGAAGAGCATGGAGTATGATTTCCGTAAACTCTAGTCAAGATATTGGCACTCTTAATAGATTTATAAGTTCGACTCAAGTTTTAATAGGATTCATTCAAGAAACATGATGGAAAATTAGTTTGTAGTGTTTATTTTCGTTGTATTGGATTAATAAATTTTAATGACTGTACTAACATTGCGATCATTATGCACATACCTACGACATATTATGTAGACCTTATGAAAATATGAAAAAATTGCTATACATAGTCTATTAAGATCGACATTAAAATTTAAACATGATGAAGCTTCAAGTTTTTCATTTCTATGTCTTGGTTAGATTTAATGCTTTCATGTTTCTATTCTCACCTGATTGTTTCTTTCACTGCAGAAAGGTTATGATTTGGGCTTCTTCGATCCGAATAGATACTACGGTCGTTTTGAGAGTTATTATAAGACCATTAGAATAAAACAAGGACTTCGTTCAAGAGATATCCGTGCTGTAAAGGATCGGAGTAATAATTCAGTAAGCTATAATACCAAAAGGAAAAGGGAACCGGAGGAAGAAACTGAGAATAAATCTCCGAGGAAAGATGAAGATCCTGTTCCCCTTCCCCTTCCCCTTTATGATGCAGCCATTGTGCCGGAAAACATAGAGCTTCTCTACTTGAGGAAAGGCTTGATTCGCGAACTCCTCAAGCAACCTGAATCCTTCGAAGAGAAGGTTGTCGGCTGCTATGTTCGTATAATTTTAAATCCGAAAGATCGGCGTTCACTGCATTCTTTCCGGCTCATGCAGATAAAAGGTTGGCCCCTTAGATTTTATTATTTAGTTATGCTTTTTTGATGAGCTATGTTTTTACTCCTCAGTACTCATACTTTTCGTCGGCCTATTAAATTTTGAAACTAGTTCATTGATTGTGCCTCGTGTGATCAGTTTCTTATCTTCGACATCTTCTATTTTATTTTCATTTCCAGGTGTTAAAAACCTCCCGAGCAGTGAAACCAATGGTGACACAGTCCTTCAATTCACCGATGTGCCGGAAGAAACTTCCGTCAATGACTTATCAGAGGGGGATTTCACCGAGGTACTTAAAATTAATCGAATGTAGTGGTAAATTCAATTCCTTACGGTGTTATCCATTTGAATAATAATAATAATAATAATATATCGATCTTAAATTATAGAGATATCATATTTGTGGTGATTCACATATTCATCATTTTGGGTTCTGTATGAAATCACTTATGTTAAAGGATGATCAGACTTGTTTTACTCATTGAGACTATGACACTTAGGGAAGAAAATAGATCAGACTATCTATTAGAGAGCCTATAATTTAACCTGTTTAAATTTTGATATACGTTTAAACTTTTTAAAATAAATAGAATAAGTTTAGATTTTACAAAAAAAAAAATCTTTTTAGCCTATCAGCTTATATAGTAGGATATCTTTTCATTTAATATATACAAATATTATATTTTTAATTATTTATAATTAATAAATAATCATATTTGATGACAATAAAAAATAAATTTTTATTTATTTTAATTAATTTATTATATATAATAAATAATTGTATTTATTTTTTATGCTAATATTAAATTTTAAAAAAAAAAAACTAAAAAACACTATACAAATTATTAAATAGGCGGTTAGGTCCGACTTTAAAATAAGTCAGGCTTAGGCCTAAAATATACCAATAGGTTACCTGACCTATTTCCATTCCTCGACACTTACTTCCTTTTGCATAGAAAGTTTAAACTTAATTCTTCACATTTCTTCTGACATTTTGGTCTTCCTCCCCCATTTTTATCCAGGAAGAATGCAAAATTTTGAGGGAAAAGGTGGTCTCTGGTCAGCTAGAAAGGCCAACAATCGTAAGTATATTCATCATATCTACAGCCATCTTTATTCGAAAATGCTTAATCGATTTATTCATATGTATTCAGCAATCTGCTGTATATAATTGTGTAAGGAGTTGTAGTTAAAACTTATATCTATGTAAAGACACATGGTTTGTTTTTTCAGGTTTGCGGAAAAGATTGAATAGATCTTTGATTTGTTTTTCTGCTATTAATTGAAAAACAATGTGGTGATGCAGATTTAAATTCTGTGAAGTATGAATTTGGATATGTAAAAGTAGAAATCTGGTAATAATTGAATCTCAAGACCAATAATTATAGATTTGCATATCTGCTAAAAAATGATTGCTTAAATTATTCAATTTCATATGATTTTGGCAATAATTTCTTGCGTCTAGTAGATTTTTATTACACTATTTATAATGTTTGTCCAGTTTCTGCTTTTATATGAACCTGTTGTTGTTTCTCGACAGACTGATCTGGAAAAGAAGGCGAAGATTATCGTCAAGGATCGAATGAATTACGTATGTTTCGTGGCTTTTTTTTTTTTACCTTTTTGTTCAGGATTAGCTTCCATTCGATGTGGAATCATTCATTGGATTAAAATGGTTCATCTATTACTATGAAACTGATAACTCGAAATTCCTGATATGCTAATTACATTTTAGGATGATTTCCTTGTTATTTCTGAACTTCCTTATGGTACTTCAAGCCGGTTTCATATCTCATCGTTTGTTAAAATGGTGCAGAAGATCGATAAAGAGCTGGCCTTGCTGCCACACCTCATCGATCGTGCCAATGAGAAAGGGTGGAGGGGAGAATATCCTTTCGTAATTATTAGTCGAAACATTCATAATTAAACTAACTCACATTGTCATTTCCTTACCTGAATTGTCACCTTAACTTTTATTTTCCTTACTTTGTTCGACTACATTGAGAGGAGAAGGATCCTAAAGGACCCTTCTGAACGGCAGAAGATGTTGGAATATGTTCCCAACATTGTAAACTACATGGTCGAGCCAGGTGCTATTTTTGGGCCGAATGATTGAAGTGCAAAAGCGGCCGAGGATTGCTTTGTGCATCAAACCTTCCAACTAATGTGGTAAGAATTTTCCGAGCTATGTTAGGACATAAGAACAATGGCTGGTGTTAATTGATTTCTTCTTGTTACAGTTTCAGAAAGCGCAGAAGTTCTGGAATGGCGGGATTTTATTTTAACTAGGACATCATTTGCTCGGCCAGTCAGCCCGATCGAAGTGTACAAGCTAGTTCAATGGAGTGAGGGTGAAAATGGATGAGGAGAGCATGATCGGCGAAACTATATTTGGAATGGATGTTAATGTTGCCGCGAAGGAAGTGTTATGGTTCAGCTCGTTTTACAATATTTTCTATTGTTCGGCCATCATGTGTTGGGATTATTAGGCCTTGTTTCTATGGTCAGATTTTGTTCAAATTTGGTTAGCTTGTTCTTGACATCGAAGGTTTCATTTTGAATTGTTGGATCGTCCGGTGGAGCTTCGGTTGGATCATAAATGCCGTTTGAACTTTGAATAGATACAGATTTTGATGAAGCTTTAGTTGGGTTATAAATGCCGTTTGAACTTTGAACGGACAACAGATTTTGATGAAGCTTTAGTTGGATCATAAATGCCGTTTGAACTTTGAATGGACAACAGATTTTGAATAACAGATTTTGGTGGAGCTTCGGTTGGGTTATAAATGCCGTTTGAACTTTGAACGGACAACAGATTTTGGTGGAGCTTTGGATGGGTCATAAATGTTGTTTGAATTTTGAAGGGACAACAGATTTTGATAGAACTTTGGTTGAGTCAGAAATGCAGTTGATGAAGTTTGAATATACAACCGATTTTGGTGACATTTACCCTTTTTTTTCTTGCTTTTTTTTCCTAATTTTTTTTTTTCTTATTATTATCTTTATGACGCGAGGATTCTAAAAAATATGATATTTGGGATTTATGGCTCAGCCCAATTAAAACCGACTATTATCCGAATCTCAATATTGGATCAATGGATTCCTCTGATTGTGAGCCCATTGGATATGTTGGATGTTGTATTGAAATTAGGGTTATATATGTATATGCCTTGCGCCGCTCAATGTATGTTTTGTATCAATCGAGAAATCTTACTTCTGCATCGCGACTGCGTTCCTCTTCCTTCTGCTCTCTTTCCTCTCAAAATTTCCGGTGAGTTCGAGATTTTTCTGGTAGTGTTACTGTAGAATTTGTAGGTTAGTTCGATTACAGTGAAGATCAGAGTTTTAGAACTGTGTTGCGGTTGGATTTGGGCGATTAACACTTTACAATGCAAAATTTCAGATCGGCACACTTGCTACAATTGCAGCGAATCTCATGCCTTCAGTTATTACACCTGCAAATATGCAGTCCGCCTGCTCTCCATTCGCGATTCAGATTTTTCACTAGTGAAAGGGAGATACGGATTCTGCAACACTTGCCCAGAAATTGTTCTGATGCTCGAATTGTATGGGGTATGATATGATACGATTTCGGTAAACTCTATTCAAAATATTTGCAATTGGATTGATAAAATTTAGTAGCAGCTAGAATCACTTCTATGGCGATTTTGTCGATCTTATCAAAATATGGAAGTTTCTGCTATACATAGTCTATAACATTTTACCTTTACAAAACATGATGAAGCTTTAAGTTCTTCAATTGTATGTCTTGGTTAGATTAAATGCTTTTATGTTTCTATTCTCACCTGATTGTTCCTTTCACTGCAGAAAGGTTATGATTATGGATCGTTTTGAGAATTATTATAAAATCCTTAAAATAGAAGAAGGATTTCGTTCAAAAGATATTCGTGCTACAAAGAATCGAGGATATAGTTCAGGAAACAATAATACCAAAAGGAAAAGGCAACCGGAGCAAGAAACTGAGAATAAAGCTCCGAGGAAAGATGAAGATTCTGTTCCCCTCCCCCTTTATGATGCAGCCATTGTGCCGAAAAACATAGAGCTTCTGTACTTAAGCAAAGGGTCGATATGCGAACTCCTCAAGCAACCTGAATCCTTCGAAGAGAAGGTTGTCGGCTGGCTGCTATGTTTGCATCATTTTAAATCCATAAGATCGGCGTTCACTGCATTCTTTCCAGCTCATGCAGATCAAAGGTTAGCTCCTTAGATTTGATTATTTAGCTCACTGCTTTGATGAGCTAATGTTTACTTTTTTCGTCGCCATAGCTATTTCAAAACTAGTCCATTGATTGCTCCTCCGAGTGATCAGTTTCTTATCTTAGAAATCTTGTATTTCATTTTCATTTGCAGGCGTTAAAAAGCTCTCCAACGATGAAATCAATGGTGAGACGGTCCTTCAATTCACTGATGTGCCGGAAGAAACTTCCGTCAATGACTTATCAGAGGAGGATTTCACCGAGGTACTTAAAATTCAGTGGTTTGAGGGATAATGTTTTCCGATAGGTGGAACTTCCAAGAAGACATCGATCTGATCCCTTGGATACACTACCGATCCTTGAAGTGTGCTGTGGATTGAAACGAAGAAGTGTATATATGGCTGTGGAAAATTTTGAAACTTACTAAGGTAATCTCGAAGATGGGTTTAGAGACAAAAATGAGGGCAGGTTCAAATGGAATAAAGACTAAAGGCTTTGTAACTAATTCTTGAAAGTATGCACCTAAAACAATTACTAAAATAACCAACTTATTTACTAGTTCGAGAAGAGTGGGAAATTGAATTATTTACTCAAATATACATAAAATAACATGTACTAATTTTTGTCAATGGATGAGGGTTGTGGATTGAGGATTGATTTTTTATGTTTTTAATTTTATTAATTTTTATTTAAATTGCTGGGACAGATAACAGATGAGTAAGTATTGTAGTTAGGGTGTGTGTTTGGGGGATTGGATTTACATCCAACTATTTATCCAATTTTTTTTTTTTCAAAATACATCAAATCAAACATTTATTTTTTATTTTTTATATTATACTAAAAATTAATTTTATATTCAAAACATCACATCAACATTTGTTTATATTGCATCGTACAATTATTCAAATTCAAAATTTTTATTATTTAAATCTCAATTCAAAACCCAAATCCAAACAAACACGCCCTTAGTGTATTAAATATTTATAGGATTACATCTTAATAAAATATATGTAATATGGATTATTTGCAAAATGAATCAAATTTTGTTAATAATAAAATTTTATATAATAGTATATTTATTTATAATTAATTAATTTTATAAAAAAAAATTAAATATAAATAAAAATATTTATTTATTGAAAAGAGATATGAATGAGTATAACTCAAATTTATTGCATATACTTATATTTTAAGATTTATTTATTTTAAAGTAAACATTTATAATTCCAAATAACTAATACTTTCTCCGTGTATGGGCACGAAGTGTATTAGTAAAAATAATTATAAATTAAAATTAAAATAATTAAATAATCAATGATAAATTATGTGGGAGGCGACAAAATAAAAAATAGGACAAATTATATGAGACGATGAAGTAAAATTAAAATTTAAAATGGAGGGATTTGAAATCCAACAATACCATCAGAGGACTAATTTTGCCATGAAAGAAATTGAATGTGGTGATGCAAGAAAGAAAGTGTGTTAGTTAGAGGAAATATGAATAGCAATGCAAAAATTTTAGCAAATTAGCCTTGCCATTTTTGCATACGTGATGCTAGCTTCCTCGTTAATCCACCAACCACCATCTTCATTCCAGTTATATATGTACTGTAATATATATATATATAGAGAGAGAGAGAAAAAAAGAAGATACCTTTTTGGTTCATCTTATTGTTTTAATTTATGGTTTGAAATCTGTGTCATTTGGGGGCTGTATTAATTAATTTCTTTACATATATCACTGCTTGATTTTGCCTTTATAGTATCTTAATTAATCTTTTGTGCCTTTTGTTCGGTCATGTATAACTTTTTTTATTTTGTTGATTTTATGCGGGTTAATGTTGTCGTAACGATTTTCTTGCTTTTTCTCTAGATTGATGATGGCTTGTTGAATGCTACGTCAATAATGCTATTGCAAAGAAATTTTCTTGTTTCTTTAGATTGATTGATGGCGACTGGGTCAATGCTAGTCGAACACTTTTTATTTTGTTGATTTTACGACAGTAAAAACTTTTTTAGATTGATAAAGTGGAGTCTCTTTCTTTTGACTCAAATTTTTATTTATTTTTTATTATTTAAACTCTGTATTTTTAAAAAAAATATACAATTTTTTTTTTCAAAAAACATATTATCAAACGTAAAGAAATTTTTTAGTAAAGAGTTTTTTTGGTTCTTCTAGATTGATAATGACTTGGTGAATGGTAGATTGATTTGTCGTTATTGGAACAAAATGAGGAAAAACACTAAGAGCAAAAACATTGAAAATTTTTTGTGGAGAGAATGGAAGATAACTAGAAGGGAATATACTTTATTGATTCCAATTATTTGCAAATTATAACTATTTATAGAACTTCAAATCTTCCTATTAATATCAATATTAACGAACTAGCTAATCAATATAAAAAACACAAGATAGAATTTGTTCAATGCATGATTAATAGGCCACCAACTCTTCCGCCAACCCCACCGGCTTTCATTGGAAGCACTAAAATAGTTTTGATTTTTTTTTCATTTTTTAAATCAAATTTAATTCTTAACAATTGTTTCTAGATTCCCCACGACAATAATTGTTAGACATTTTAAATAGAAAAATAGGACATTAGTGTTACAAAAGTACCCTTTCTTGTTTTGGCATATGTTACTAACTTTTCAGGGTATCGAAACTCGAGGATGACTCAAATATGGAATGCAGCTGAAGACTTTTTGTATTGTCTGTTTGTGCCCCTTTTGCACAGGTTTTGTCAAGATATGGACGGTCAAACATAGGAGAATGATCAGGGACAAGACAAAACAACGTTGCAGGTTTGTGGTGGAGCATTTAATACCCCAATGTTGGTTAGTCAAACATTGCATTGAGACAATGTGTTTGTATAAACAGACTGTGAAACAGTCTTGTGATGGGAGAGTGAAAAATCTAGTGAGAGAAAGAGTATTTTCTCTCAATCTTTTCGTTTTCACTACTCCTTGATCCGAAGAAGAATACGAGCTTTCATGGAGATTTGAAGCTCATCTGAAGAAGGAGAAAAAAGGAAAAAGGATTTCCAATAGGAGAAGAAGATCAACTTGTACCTGCTTACTCTCAGTTAGACTGCTGGTCTGCTAGGATTAGAACTGCGGTTTAATCCCTAGTTTCTTGTACATTGCGATGTAAAGAAGACTGTAAGAGATGATAGCTTTGGGTCCCTGTTTGTTGAGTCATTGAGTCCCTTGTATACCTGGTGATAGATTTAGTGAACGTCTCCTGGATTGGAATCCCCAGATGTAGGTAGTTACACCGAACTGGGTTAACAAATCTTATGTGTTGTGTTTTTTTTATGTTTGATCTTTGCCAGCCATAGGCAAGTATCTGTGACACACACAAGACTTATAACCACGAAACAATACCACGCATTTCCAAAGTGCAAACCCCTTGTTGTTTCCTATTTTCGCTGCCATTAGACTCGGAGGAGTGTTGGCCTCTTACTGTGTACGTGTTCCAGCTCACGTCTTTCCTCGTTACCCAACAGTTAGTTTGTGGACAGAGAGAGTATTATTTTTTTATTATATCCATTTAGGGGTTGTGTAAAAGTTTATCATCTAGGCTCTTGGGCATATGGTAATGAACCCAACATCCATTTATAACTTGTTGAGGCTATCTATGATCGATTCATCTTCACAATTAGTCATCTCCATGTGCAAAACTTTTAAATCTATTTTATACTTTGTTTATAATTAGAAATTGTGGGTTATGGGAAATAAAGTTGAACCAAGCAAAAATAAATCTTGGGTGTAATTCTTCTTTGGAGCAAAATTGAAATGCAAATAGTAGACACAAGCTAAACTTTTAATGATGTGGGAAGACACTTTTAATAGTATTAGTGAAATAGACAAACAAACATTAGATGCTTTCAATTAACACAATATTGTAATGCATCCATTGAAATCATATGCCGACAGTTCACACTTTACAGTAACTTTATAAATATATTATACGGACTGAAATCAATAATAGTGTGTATTGTGTGAACTGTTGTATGTTGTTAGTTCATATGCTGCATTTGTATTATACTAACATAAATTATGTGCAATTTGATTAAAATTTTATGTGTTATCAGCATTGTGCTTAAAGTGCTAATTTAGCACTGAAAGTGCAGCCGAGATGAAAATTGTCGAATGAAAATGATTTTATTCTTTTATCTTCGTACCCTTTGTGAAACTCATTGTTTCCCTTTGCAATGTGTATAATTTCACAATAACAGTTTGAGCTTTTACAAAAAAAATTTTCAGATCGGCATACTTGCTACAATTGCAGCGAAGCTTCTGCTTTCTATTGTTGCACCTGCAAATATGCAGTCTGCACGCGCTGCCGTTCGTGATTCAGATTTATCCAGGAAGAATGAAAATTTTTGAGGAAAAATGCGGTATCCGGTCAGCTAGAAAGGCCAACAATCGCGAGCATATTCATCATATCTACAGCCATCTTTATTTGAAAATGCTTAATCGATTTATTCATATGTATTCAACAAACTGCTGTATATAATTGTGTAGGGAGTTGTAGTTAAAACTTATATCTATGTAAAGACACATGGTTTATTTTTGCAGGTTGGTGGAAAAGATTGAATAGATCGTCTAAAATGAACAATATCTTTGTTTTTCTGCTAGTATTTGAAAAACAATGTGCTGATGCAGATTAAATTAATAAGTGTTTTAATTTCTGTAGAGTTTGAATTTGAAAATGTAAAAGTAGAAATCTGGTAATAATTGAATTTAAAAAACTAATGACTATAGATTAGGAGAAGCAAGAAGGTATTCTAGAAAATTATAATTGGCATATGGTGATATATATATATATATGTACTGCAAAAAAATAGATTGCACATCTGCTAAAAATGATTTGCTTATTTAAATTGTTGGATTTCATCTGATCTTTGCAATAATTGAGCACTGGAATTGCAACCAAGATGAATATTGTCGAATGAAAATGATTTTGTTCTTGTATATCTTTATACCATTAGTGAAACTCATTATTTCCTTTTGTGATGTGTATCATTTCACAGTAACACGTCGAGCTTTTAAATTGCAAATTTTCAGATCGGCACACTTGCTACAATTGCAGCCTTCTATTGTTACACCTGCAAATATGCAGCCTGCCCGCGCTGCGTTCATGATTCAGATTTTTCACTAGTCCGAGGGAGATATGGTTGTCGGCTGCTATGTTGGCATAATTTTAAATCCAAAAGGTCATCGGCGTTCACTGCATTCTTTAATTTCCAGCTCATGCAGATTAAAAGTTAGCCCCTTAGATGGATTATTTGATTATGCTTTGATGAACTAATGGTTTTTTTTTTTTTTATCCCCCATTACTCGCACATCTAGTCGCCGTAGCAAATTCAAAACTAGTTCACTGATTGCGCCTCGTGGTGAGGCTAGCTGTTCTTCAATTTCTCTGATGTGCCCGAAGGAACTTCCAACAATAACTTATCAGAAGAGGATTTTAAGTCGTTCCGATCTGAAATTTTGCATTGTGAAAGCTCAAAGTGTTATTGTGAAACATTGCAAAGGAAATAATGAATTTCACTAATGGTATAAAAGATAAAAGAATAGAACCATTTCCATTCAACAATTTTAATCAAAAGCAACTTGAAATAATACAAATACAATGTACGAACCTATAAATTTCACATTTCTATTAAAGGATAAAAATCCAACACATGGGCGAGCCCCGGCGGCTCTGAACAGCAGAGGAAGCCGGAATATGTTCCTGAAATTGTAAACTGTATAGTCGAGCCTGGTGCTATTTTCGAGCCGAATGATTGATGCGCAAAAGTGACAGAGGATTGTTTTTTTGAATCATATATACCTTCCAATTAATGTAGTAAGAATTTTTGAAGCTACTTATTTTAGTTACAACATCACTTGCTCGCCCATTCGGTCGAGTAAAAAAGTCTACAAGCTAGTTCAAGTTCTTATTTTGCCTTTTCTACAAATAAAAAGTGATTCTTGCCTTTTCGAGGCTTCGAGTTCCGGTGGGGAGAATTGGATTTGATTTGTTTGTATGTTTTAAAGATGTAAGATACTAAGTTCGAAAACATAATGGAGAGTGAACATAGGACGAAGTTTCGCATATATATATATATATAGTCTGGATTGTGTGTTTTAAGGTTATCCATATGGGCTTGTTGGTGCAGCTGACTTCTCTTGATCACTTGTTGATCATGACACGGTGAATGTTAGATTGTTCCGTTGTTTTAGATTAATCCTTGAGCACTTTTTATTTTGTCGATATTATGTTAGTTAATGCTATCATAAAGATTTCTTTCTTTTTTTTTCTAGATTGACGATGACTCGTTGAATTCTAAATTGTTTTGTCGTTTTAAAACTTTTAGCATACTTTTTATTTTGTCGATTATATATCTGTTAATGCTACCGTAAAGATTTTTGTATATCGGTGATAAGTTGGTTAATACTAAATTGCTTTGTCTTTTTTAAATTCCTTTTGCGTGCTTTTTATTTTGTTGATTTTATGTCGGTTAATGCTGACAGAAAGATTGTTATTATTTCTTCTGTATTGATGATGACTTGGTGAATGTTAGATTATTTTGTCATTTTCAAGTTGGCTAATGCTAATGTAAAGAGTTATCTTGTTTCTTCTAGATTGATGATGACTTGGTGGATGTTAGATTGTTTTTGTTTTTAGATTTTTTTACGTATTTTTTATTTTGTCTAATGTTAGTTTAAAGAGTTTTCTTACTTCTTCTAGATTGATGGTGTTTGCTGAATGCTACTTTGTTTTGTCATTTGTAGATTCCTTGTGCACTTTTTATGTTGTCGCTTTTATGTTAGTTAATGTTAATGTAAAGAGTTTTCATGTTTCTTCTAGATTGATGATGACTTGGTGAATGTTGGATTGTTTTGTCGTTTTTAGATTCCTCGTGCACTTGTTATTTTTTTGATTTTATGTGTGTTAATGCTAGTGTAAAGAGTTTTCTTGTTTGTTCTAAATTGACAATGACTTGATAAATGCTAGATTGTTTCGTAATTTTTAGATTTTTCAGGCGCTTCTTGCTTTGTTGCTTTTAGATCCATTTAATGCTATCATAAAAGAGTTTTTTTTTTTTTTTTTTTTATAATGTCGATCGTTTATAGTAGTTTTAATGTCTATATCTTTTAAGTGTCAGCACCATGCTGATTAATTTTGAACGCTTAGATCAAACATGTGAAAGAATTAACGGTTGAGATTCATCATGGTAATAATGTAATTTTATATTCGTAATCATCTGTTATAACTTATATATGTAATATGTAAAGAAATGGTGTTGTATTGCCAACGCATCAGTTGCTATTTAGGAATATAATTATTGCTTTCCTAGTGCATGTTTGGTGCTGTTAGTTGATGTAAGATAACCTTTTATTTATTAATTTATTTATTTTTATCTTCCAAGTTTGTTTTTATTTTATGACGTAAGAGTTGTTTCTCTTATTCTTTTGTAGGTGAGTTTTGATTGGGTGATCTAAATTTTTATAGGCTCTGGTTACTTGTAAAAGTTTACCCCCTAGTGTTACTATTTTAATTTTTATTTTTTTTTTAAAATATCAAATTTAAATATTTAATTTTTATTTATTTTATTACACTAAAATCTAATTTATATCGCATCAATACATATTTATATACTCGAATGTATCCGGCTGAACCTAATATCTTGGAAATTAGAGCCGACAAAGCAAATCACACATCGATAAAAGAGGAGGAAGAAGACAGGGCTTTTGGAAATCATGGACACATGGTCGTATTTATCTATCTGGAAACGAGAGCGTACGACAGCTCCCTCTAACTGCTGCTTTAATTTTATTATGCACATTTGATGGTTAGATCAGATGGAATTTAACTAACTTGTGCTTTAATTTGATAGAATCAAAGTGTTGCTTCTCAAAAGTCAAGATATATAATTAGTTGCTGCTGACAACAAATTGAACTAATTATATTAATGTAATACTGAATTTGAATTTAATTATTGCTTTTCATATATATACACGTTTAGTTTAATTTGTGCCTTACTGATAAACATAATTAAGTTGTTTGTTGATTAGAAACTAAATTATTGCTTTCATTGTAATTATATATATATATATATTGTATTACTGTGGTGGTAAATGTTTCGATCAAAATTTAATACTTTTTTTTTTTATATAAAAATCACATAAATACTATAAAATTAAATTTCAAAAATGACAAAAGAAAAAAACACACACACAAACCAAGCAAACTCATAATAAAATTTTATCAACATTTAAAATTCATTCATGATAAAAATGAAATAATTTGAACGACTGTTCTAATAAAAAATATTCTCTCACGAGACTAGTAAAATAATACTCTCTTTTCCAAAAAAAATTGTTCACATTACCGTAAATATGCTATTTTTTAAAAATGTATAATTAGTAAATAATTAAGAAATTTATTAGTAAAAATAATTATTATTAAAGTTTATAATTATTTTCTAAAAAAAAAAATAATGTAAGACTGACAAAAAATTAAAAAATAAAAATAAAAATGAACATTTTAGTGGAAAAGAGTGACTAGAGTTAATTGCAATCTAGAAAGAATTAGGAGGAAACAACATATATACTTATTAACCTCAAAAGTGCATACAAAAATTGAAAGATGTGTGAATGAATGATTAACTTCAAATCGGCCAAAATTGTTGTTATTATCTCTAATAGATTGAGGGTTAAAAGTAGTAGTAGTTGTTACAATACATATAATAAAGTGATGGGGGAGGGGACCAAAAATTCTATCTAATGCTGCTTCCATTGTTAAATCTTGACCGTCTCAGCTAGCTTATCTATATATATATAAATAAATTTGGCCAAGATCAACAAAAGGAAGAAGATGAATCTTATATATATATAGCTTATTAATTCAATGGACTGCTGCTAGCTACTTACCGTGGATTATATGATTCTAGTTAAGCAGTAGCTTCCTTGAGGTATGCGATTAGATCCGAACGCTCCTGAGGCTTCTTTAATCCAGGGAACACCATCTTCGTTCCAGGTATGTACTGTGATTATATATATATATATATATGTGCATATCAATATATAATGGATCATGAGGCGAGGGATAGAACAATGTTTAGCAGAAATGGTGATGAATTGTGCGTACCTTCTTGGGGTTAAGCAAGTACTCGTAAAGTGTATTCTCTCCCCAGGTCACGGCCATGCTCTTGTTGGCAGCTGAGTATGAATAGCCAGGGGTTGTTCCGGATTGTCTTCCGAAAAGTCCATTCAGGTTGGGACCTGCGTAGATTGCAAAGCAACAACAACAGTGTGGTTGTCACATCGAATCAATCATCGCTTGTTAGATGGATGCATGGCAGAGATCTACGAGAATGTAATATTGGAAGGAGCGATCATGTCATGTTGTGATATACTATTATGAGCTCATCCGTTGAGATGAATGCACGAATCAATTGTTGCAGAACGTGGATTGTATGTATGCAAGGTCGATTGTGAACAGTAACGTCAAACAACAAACAGAGCGCAAGTAGATTCGATTGCAGATTGAATCTAGAAATCTAACAACCGAAATTCAATCCGTCCGATACCTAACATGGAAAAGAAACAGAAAATCGAAATTCAATCAGTCCGATACCTAACATGGAACAAAAACAGTCAATCCGTCCGATGGCTAACATGAAACAAAAACAGAAAACCGAAATTCAATCCGTCCGATACCGTCAAAAGCTCATCGTGAATCCAAATTCAATATCAAAATCACGTTAGGAACACGCGAACAGGACGAAACATCACTTTCAGAAAAAAAAAAAAAAAAAAAAAGGATCGAAGAGTCCAGCAATCAAACACATTACGCATGGCAAAACGAATTGAAGGAAAATCAAAACCTTGCTTATGGCCGGCGCCTTTCTCGACGGTGTGGCACTGCGCACACTTAGTCTTAAAGATCTTCTCGCCGGATTTGGTATCGCCGGCCGGAGCTTCGCTGAACGTGGCCATTGAATCCGAGGATGCTGGAAAGAATGTGCGGAAATGCTCGCAAACGATTCGGTAACAAGAAGGGAACGCAACCAAAGGGTTATAAATAAATACCAAGAAGGAAGCTTCTAGAAGATATGCAAAACAGAGCGCTTTTCCGTTGGGACTCATGGCGGCGAGGAGCAACAGGAACTTGCCTTCCATTAAAACCGCGCCACGTGTCACTTCTCCATCGACCATTTGACCCGTGCATTTCAAAATAATATTTAATCAAACATATATATATTTTTAATAATTTAATACTTACTTCGTTTTGTAATAGATCTAACAAATAATAACATTTTATTAAATAGGAGTGTGTAAGAAATTTTAGTATTTTTGTATAAAATAAGTGTATATGTAATAATATATTTATAATTTAGATAAAAGTTAAAAGGTGTTTTGATATTAATGTATTGATTATTTTTTTTAAATAAAAAAAATACTTTGAAATTGAACGAAAAAAATTGTAAAAATTGTATTTTGAATTGAGGAGGAGAAAATATATTTATAAATTAAGGGTATAATTTGAAGAAGCTTGTACAATCTCTACATCGTGTATCTTTTCCTAAATTGCTAAGAAACCGGGTTTAGATGAACCGCGCTACAACCGGGCAACTTACTGAACCGGCGGCCGGCCATCTTCCTCCTAACCCACCATGCATCGTCCCACCGCCGCGCTCCGGCGTAAATTCCGGCCAAAAGAGTGTCGCCGCCACCGTCGCCGGACATAATCTCCGCCATCCGACGGGCAATCCGCTCGCCCATCTCGACATTTTCGTAACTCCGGCAAGCGCTAAGCAAGGATCCGTAAAGCGGAGCAACAAACTCCCGGTCTTTCTCGCGGACTCGGCTTATCAACCTCTCGGCCTCCTCCAACATTCCGGCCCGTCCGAGAAGATCGATAAGGCACCCGTAATGCTCGACTTTTGGCTCGACGTTAAACACCTCCGTCATCGAAGCGAAATGCCGTCGCCCCTCGTCCAACATCCCGCCGTGGGTGCAAGCGGTAAGCACGCCGACAAATGTGATCTCATCGGGACGCACCCCGGCCTGCATCATTTCGGAGAACAATTCCAACGCCTCGAGCGCGCTCCCGTTCATCGCCATCGCGCAGATCACGGAAGTCCACGCCGCAGTGTCCTTGTTGCTCAACCGACGGAAAATCTGCAACGACATCTCCACGCAGCCGCATTTCGCGTACATCTCGATCAAGGCAGTCCCGACCACGGCGTCGACGGGGATCCGATTTTCCGACAAGTACGCGTGAACCCATTTACCCTGCTCGAGCGCGCCTAGCTGCGCGCACCCGGTGAGCAAAGCAACCAACGTGTATTTATCCGGCTCGACGCCGTCGATCTGCATTCGTCGAAACAATTCCATCGCCTCTTCAACTTGATTGAACTGCACGTACCCATTGATCATCGCTGTCCATAGAACACGATCCCGACCCGTGACCAGACTTTTTTCGAACAACGCTCTCGCCTCGTCCAAACGGCCGCGGCTCGCGTACGCCGACACCATACTAGTCCAACAAATTACATTCTTTTCAACAATGCTATCGAATATCCGGCGCGCGACGTCCAAGCAGCCACATTTGGCGTACATATCCAACAAAGAATTCTCGATCCTCGGCGTGAGCCCCAACCGTGCGGCGACATATGAATGAATCTCGCGGCCGAGGTCCAAGCTCTGCAGCGCCGTGCAAGCCGACAGCGTGGTCACCACCGTCGCCTCGTCGGGTAGCTCGTTCGACTCCATTTTCATCCTCTCGTAAGCGGCGACAGCTTCGTCGAACCTGCGGCATTTGACAAACGCAGAGATCAACACATTCCAGGAAACTAAGTCCTTTTGGGGAATTTCGTCGAACACCTTACGAGCATACTGCAACTCCCCCAATTCTCCGTACATATCCAGAGCAGAATTGCAGACATAGCAATCGTACAGAGCGCCAGCCTTGAATGCGAAGCCATGGATCCTCTCTCCGAGGTGAGAATCTTTCAATTTCCCGACCGCCTTGAAGACGAAAGGGTATGTGTAATTATCCGGCCACAATCCGGCGGCGAGCAATTCGTCGAACAGGTTGAGGGCGCTTCTCCAATTGGCGGATCTCGCACGCGCCTTGATTAGAAGATTGTAGATGACCAAAGTGGGGCGATGGACGCCGGAAAAAACCTTGTCGGCGTAAGGTAAGTCGGCGGCGGCAATGAGCTTGTGTAGGACGTCGATGTTGCAGTGGAGGCCGTGGGAGAAGAGCTGGGCGTGGATTTGGTGGAGATGAGGCATCCATTTGCAGGCCTTGAGGAGGTCTATGAAGGCCTTCTTTGAGAGGGGGAAGATGGGAGGAGTCGGCCATGGATGTAGAGCTCGTTTGCGCACAACCATTATGGACTCACTCTATTGTACGGTTCGTCCTAAAATTTCAAATGAAAGATACAAATTGATAGGGGATATTATTTTGTTACGATATTTTGAATAAAATCATCTTCTATATATATATATACTTCCCTCAATCTTTTTTGCGTTATTTGATATTTACACGTAAAAATTTTTGTTATAAAATGACAAATTTTATTATTAATTTTGTATATAGAAAAGAAAATGAGTAAATAAAGTAAAGGTAAAATAGTAAATTTTGTGTATAAAAATAAAAAATAAAAGACAATAATTATTTGACATTCAAAATAGGAAAGTAAGATGTTAGTTTGTGCGTGGATGGAGTATAATTTTATTATGATTTTATTTTGGATCAATTGAATGACAAATTAAGTATTATTTTCGTCTCATTTAAATTGTGCATGGAATTTTAGATATTGTATAATTAGTAAATGACTATAAAATATAATTAGTAAAAATAATTATGATTTAATACAAATAATTATAAATTAAGATTAAAATAACTAAATAATCTAATTAAAATAAAAAAATTATAACTTAACAATTTTAAAATGTAATTAAATTTTCATATGAAAGAAAATGACAAGGCATGGCCGCCGCGGCTGCGCATTCTCCCGTCTATTGGGACTGGGCCAACTCAACGGATTTGTTTTTGGATATTTTTCAAAAGGCCTCATACTAGTGGAGTTCACTATGGACTTATAAGGTGTGAAATTTTTCTTCACAGCTTCCGATGTGGGACTTGGGTTTGCACCCCAACAATCCTCCCCTCAAACCAAGGACCAACCGATGGACCTTCCCTGTCCACCTTGTGCCGCCTATTACAAAGGGACCTGCTGCCTGACCACCTCAATCGGGACCGACCCAACACCGCCAGGAGACTTTCGACACAAGGCACATCCGCAGGTCACGAGGGCGAGCCCACCACCACAACCAATGCCCAATGCCACCCAGTCCACTTCACCATCTAACCGGGCTCTGATACCACTGTTGGGTTTTGGATATTCTCCAAAAGACCTCATACTAGTGGAGTTCACTTGGGACTTATAAGGTGTGAAATTTTTCTTCACAGCTTCCGATGTGGGACTTGGGTTTGCACCCCAATAATCCTCCCCTCAAACCAAGGACCAACCAATGGACCTTCCTTGTTCACCTTGTGCCGCCTATTACAAAAGGACCCACTTCCTGACCACCTCAATCGGGACCGACTCAACACCGCCAGAAAACTTTCGACACAAGGCACATCCGCAGGTCACGAGGGCGAGCCCACCACCACAACCAATGCCCAATGCCACCCAGTCCACTTCACCATCTAACTGGGCTCTGATACCACTGTTGGGACTGGGTCAACTCAACACTACTGGGTCAACTCAACACTAGTATGATATTGTCCGCTTGGGACTGAGCCCGCACGAATTTGTTTTTGGATATTCTCCAAAAGGCCTCATACTAGTGGAGTTCACTTGGGACTTATAAGGTGTGAAATTTTTCTTCACAGCTTCCGATGTGGGACTTGGGTTTGCACCCCAACAATGAGCCCGCACGGATTTGTTTTTGGATATTCTCCAAAAGGCCTCGTACTAGTGGAGTTCACTTGGGACTTATAAGGTGTGAAATTTTTCTTCACAGCTTCCGATGTGGGACTTGGGTTTGCACCCCAACACTGTCATCTCTTTCAAGCAAACAACGCAAGTCTCTATAGGGGGACCCGACATCTCCACGCGCCTCAACGTCTCTATCGACGACTATTTTGCCGGAACCATCCCGGCACCACCCTCCACCACCACCCACGACGGGCAGAAACTCATCTTCACCTGACAAACTATAGTGTGTCATTATCATAGGACATCGAACCTTAACGGTATTTTATACTGAACCATTCTTGAACAGCTTAATTGCCCTACTAGCTTTTACCAACGCAAAAACGACTGCCACCCGACGGTGGCGGTCTCCGAGGTCCCAATGGCGGAGCTGATCGCCGATGATTTTTGTGGATTCTTTACGGCTGAATATTTGATCGTTCTTGAGCTTCGCGTAGGCCACCATTTGCCCTAAATATCTTGATCGGGCGAACGACTCGTCGTCCACATTGCGCCCGATTCTATATAATAATTTTTTGATTCTGACATGGTTGACGGTTCGAAGATCTTGCGGTGTTGATCGATTGTTGAAATTGAAATTGAGAAAGAATTTTGATCTAGAATGTAGATATATACTCCCTTCGTCCCAATACAATAGTCTTGTTTTTTTTGTTCGTCCCAAAACAGAACTCTTATTTCCATAAATAATCATATCACCAGGTTAAACCTAATACCATATCCAACAAGTCAAGTCAAATATGAACAATGACGAACCATTTGTAGCAGGTGATCTGGAAGCGTGGGAATTTGAACCCGTCACCTCACCTCATGGTCACGAATCCACACCACCACCGCGCTATTCTTACGGGATATGATAAAGATGTTCTGAATTATTGTGCTCTCATAATATTTAAAAATTTTAAAATTATATATATTATAATAATAATTTATATATATTCTAAATAAAAAACAAATAATTTATAATATTTAAATTATATCTTAGCATATTTTTACCAAACTAATTCAATTCTTCATCCAAATCACTTAAAAATCTCAACAAAATGTATTTATCCATACTAAACACTCTAAAAATACCTTCAAATAAATATCTTAAAAATACCTTCAAATAAATATCTTATAAACAATAATATTTATATGTATGCATGTGTTGTTATAAGTAGGGTGTGTTTGGTTGAGGGATTTGTTTGGATTTCCACTGTTCATCATATTTTTTTTCCCCAAAAACATCAAATCAAACACTTATTTTTTATTTTTTATATTATACTAAAAATTAATTTTACCTTCAAAACATCACATCAACACCTATTTATATCACATCATACAATTATTCAAATTCAAAATTTTTACTATTCAAATCCCAACTCAAAATCTAAACCCTCAAACAAACACACCCTAAATTGGTTTGACTATCTCTATTCTAAGTACCTTTATTTTTTTTTTAACTTCATAAATCCTTTTCTTGAAACATTTGAAAGAATTCATTCAAAGAATTACTATGAATTTGAAGAAAAAATAAAATAAATTAACTCTATTTATTAGTACTTTTATTTTTATATTTTCAGATATTTTGGCATCATTTTTAATTTGGTTTTTAATACTACTTTAAATTTGAATGTTTTATGTTAATCAGTGTTGCAAAATTGTCTACTATCATCTTCTCAAACAACGCTGCAGTGTTTATACATGTTCAGAAATTTCTGGGAACACGGTTGTTCCCTTGAAATTTCAATAGGAGACCAAAATTAATAATTTTTTAATTTTTTTTTTACTAATTTTGATAATTATTTTTGAATTGGTCACATTGTAAAAAATGAATTTAATTGCAACTATTATTGATTTTTGCTCAATATTTATAGAAAATTATTTTACTTAAAACACAGAAAGTGAACAAACCTTAAAAGCTATATTTATTTGAGATTTTTTCAAAAAGTTATATAGTCCACCTCAAACGTCGTACCATTCTTCAAACTCAATCCAACTTCACAACACAAAAGTGTCATAGTGTTGGTAAGGGATAGTTCGATGCCGTGAGGATGAACTAATTATATATTCAGATTCTGACGCCTCCAGATCCACCTACTACACATAATTCGTAACTTGCAGAATATTAAGTTCGGCAAGCTAGAAATTTACCCAGAGTACACTCAATGATTTAGTATGGTATGCTATTCAGACTAGCAATTATTCAAATCTCATTAATGAGATTTCTCGGCCAATTCTGTCACTCAAGCCGCAACTTCACGGCTGACCATCCCACATACTACAAACAAAGATAAATCCTCAAACCCCCGACGCCTCAGGTCACCCTGCCACACATGGTTCACCTAATGTGACTTGTTTGTCGAAACTAATTTGCAGAGTATTAAGTTCGATGGAAGATTTAGCCGGTACGTACTTTAGGGTAGTAACTAAGGTTCCCACGTTATCCAAAAAAAAAAAAAAGAGATAAATCCTCAAAGCCCAACAAAATCATACAAATCAAAAAACAAGCATCATCTTCATAAAGCTGTAAATTTTGTTACACGCAACTCAAACTAATTAAGGCATAGTGCCACCAAAATAAAATAAGGTGGGTGACATCGACATTGACATATATATCTATATATATAGCAAGCAACAATTGAACCTCAGCACCCAAATTAGCAATCACTACTAACAAGTTAAAATTCTTTACACAGTTTTGAAAATTTTACCCCAAAAATGATGTCCGCGCCGTCTGCAGTATTAGGCTCCACGACCTTGTGCCCTCCCAACCATAGGCCAGCCAAGAAGGCCAGGCGAACCAGGCGGGGAAAATTGCTGACTAGGATCAAAGAGGCTCAGTTCCACGAACCCTGCTTCCGAGCCTTCGTCTTTTTCCCTTGTCCTAAACGAAATCGATCCACATTTTTCTGAAGCAGCTGAGTTTCTCCCCGGACTAGTCACCAGACTGCCTTCAAGAGTGCTCTGGTTGGCGATCAATGAGATGGTGTCATTATACTCGTCGATCATTGCCCTCCCGGCTTCTATATCTCTTTGAAGACTTCTCAGAGATAAGGAATCTGCAATAGGAAGGTAGACGAGCATGCAGATGCCCACACTCGCACAACATAAAAGGGAAAGAAAAGCCAGGAACGATATGGCGTCAAACACAAGTCTTTCGGGATTGGGTAGGACAGATAAGCCGAGCAGAAGAACTCTCAGAGGCAAGAAACTAGATACGGAGAAGATCAATGTGTACACCCTTTTCTGCAAGCCCTTATTGATGACCAAGTGAACTATTTGCCTTCCGAGCCAGAACAAGTACGCCGTTAGAAAAGTTGCAAAGAGGCCTAAAACAATGGTGCTCAACAGGGGGTAGGTGCAGAGGGCGATGTTTTCAGTCGTCTTTGGAGAAGAAGCTGCTGTAATGAAATACGAGGGTAGTTTCGGATTGTGGTCCTTCTTGTACCTCGGTCCAATCAAGATTACAACGAGCTGAAGTATGATCATGGGGAAGCAATACAGGAGAACGAAACCAGCTGTTTTCATGTTCCACTTCCGACTTAATGTTCCTGAGCTCTGTAAAGATGCGCGGAGAAGAAAAATCAGCGTAAGGAACAGGCATGGCTCGGCAAATCCCAGGTTCGATACAATGTAGCCTTTGCAAACATTTTCTTGCCATTGCAAAGTGAGAGCATCCAAGACTCGACCCTTTCGTCTCAGCAGGTTCAACCGAATAATTTCACCGATGCCCCACCAGACAGCAAAGAATATAAGTGTAATTCTTATAACCCAAGGGCCACTGAAGTAATTTAGCTGAGCAAAACCTTGACCACGGATCCGACAGCGGAAGTAAAATGAATATATGATGCAAGACAGACCAAGAAGGATCAATAGTGCAACAAGAGAAATTGTTGCCACACCAAGTGCATCAGCAACAAACCGTGTCAGGGGCATCACCCAAGGCACAGATTCCACGCATGCTCTCGGCCCGCATGGACACAATAAAATCTTCTATTCGGTCAGCACTTCCCTATTGACTCCAGAAGAATCGGATGCACTAGTTAATAAAATCTTCCCCGCGAAAATAGTAATGGGAGCACAAATTACTCAAACCCCATTGATTTGATCAACTTGCTACCGATAAGAACTTGTTCTAATTTTTAAATATCCTTCCAGATCAAGCACCTAGCCAAACTGCAAAAAAAGGAAGAGGTTACAATATATTAACTTGAAGCTAACATACCGAGCGATGTAATAAATTAAGGTAGAACGTTAATCCAAATTATGGAAATGTAGAATATAGTTCATGATTTTTTCTTTTATAGCAAAACTTCACCACCCCTGAATATAGCAAAATGGATAGGGCAAATTGGCCAAAAACACGATTCATAATATATATAAAGGAACCAATGCACGACACATGGCCGCAACATATACGTAACATTCGTTCGGTCAGCAATAACCAAGACACCACATGTACAATAATAATATGATGCCATCATTCTCCAAAAGCATTGGATACCACCAACATAAATCCACCCAATCCGGAAGTTCCAATTTAAGGCATTACATGTCAAATTGAGATTCTATAATCTGATGCATTCCACATGGCGACATAAAAAGTTAAAAAGTTTTTCGAAAGCATGATAACATTGTCATCTAGCATTTGAATTATGCAACACACGAAAACTACAAATAAAAGAAAGCAAGGCAATAGAATTGAACACTCCTAAAATGTAGAATTTTAAATATGTAACTGGTTTTTAATATCCTTCAATTGCAGGTACCACAAAAAAAAAGATTACTTACTGGAAAGAAAATGACAGGAACTACAACATCTGAGAACTGATACGTGCAGCCCACCTAAAAACCTCCAATAGCTTTCATATTCTTAATATATATAGCAACTTCCTCAGAAAATGTTATACCAACAACCGTAGGACATGGCTAACCACATGTTGTATATCAGAACTTGATCTACTTTGTAAAATTCTCAATAATGAAATCAAAAAGCTGGAAGAAACTGATAATATTCAAAAGGACCCAATTCTAAATCAGAATATCACACAATTAGCAAGTCCGTGTCTGACAATATGATTGCAACCGCCTACAGAAACATATGCACACCAACAAGAATAAAGCATTTCATATTCAAGCAAGAAAAGACGAAGTAAAGAATTTCTTAGTAGTTTTATCTAAAAAATCTTTCCAAATCCATGAATAACAAAAGCAAGGAGCCACTTACAAACTGGAAAGCTCCGGACTGATTAACTACATAGTTAAAAGGATAAATCACAAAAACTACAAATTTGTAACATGCACGACAATTTCCCCAAAAACACGCAGAAAAATTAGCAGCAAAAACAGGCAACTAAGAAAAATAAATAAATAAATAACGAAAAACACCACAAAAGCAGGCCACAATCAAAGCAAGCCTAACATACCAGCAACTCCATCTCAGGCGAAGCTACCGAGGACTCAAAAACTCCAAAACCAGCATTTACAATAAAAAATAAAATAAAATGACGAAAATGATGCTCACCGCTTCCGAATCAGCGATCCGGCGAGATGCGTCGGTGAATCCGAGTTCCCTCACAAAATGCCAAACCAAACCCTAGAGAGAGAGAGAGGAGATAACACAAGCAACGCAGGCAAATGAGGTATTCATCTTCGTAGTGAGAGAAAGGAAAAGGAAACACAACAAAGGGTGGAGAGTAGTCTTCAGAGAGAGAGAGAGAGAGAGAGAGAGACTTCGTTGTTGACAGCCTGTCGCCAGCTAATAAATCCAGGAATTAAAATGATAAAAAATAATTAATTTGTAAATAATAATAATACCTGCCCTCTACCGTCGGTTTTCTTTTTTCTATATATACTGCTTATTTTTCTCCCAATGGTGTTTTGGTAATTACATGTGGAAATGAGGTGATTTTGTCCGCTCTGTGGACAGCTGGCACGTGATACGCACGATGTGGAGGTCCCGAACTGTCCAGCTGGCTTCCCGATTTTGGCGGTCGTTTTACCTTGAATATTCTTTCCGCGTCTTGTGTTTTACAGGACGCTGCACTCTCGGCTTTAATCACTTGTACCTTGTGCTCGATGTACAAGCACTTGCGAGCATTGCATGGTTTCTTCTTTCTACTGTTTTTATTTTGTAAGATAAAATTATAATTTTAAAATATTTTTTATTTTTAATAAAAAATTAAGTTTATCATTTTTAGAAAAATGTGCTTCTTTTTTTTTTTACATCGTTTTTACATTTTGTATTATACAATATTAATATAGATATTTTTTTATTTTATACTTACGTATTAATATAATATTAATATTTAAATAATTTCATACTTATTTAGGGATGAAAGCAATACTATTTTTACAATTTTTCTTATTATAAAAAATAAAAATCTATTAGGTTTATTAAATTCACAAATTTAACAATAAAATAATAAAATTCGGGCAAAAGCTCGAGCTTAATTTATATATTATGATATTAAATTCTGAAGTTATTACAAGAATATGAGAAAAGTAAATGGAGCGGAAAATTAAAGTGGTAATTTCCAAAAAAAAAATATATATGTAAATAAAAATGTGAAATTTTTTTTAGGTGTTAGATATTTAAAGATAGTTGATATGAACGATTAAACTTGATTATTCCGATCAAGGGGGTCGTGGGAGAAGTCATGCAACGGTTTTTTCTCATTAGTCATCATAGGCCGATTGAGTTAAAATCGGTTATTTCAAAAACATATCAAAATTGACTTTGAACCATCATTAGTCATAATAAGCCGATTCGGTTAACCACTAACCTAGTCAATATTTGCTTATGAAATTTGACACACTTTGGTGAAATTCAGCAAAAGCTCGAACTTAATATTTACATCATGAAACTGAAAATTTAAACTATTATAAGAATAAGAGAAAAGTAAATGATGCAGAAATTTAAAATAGGATCCCTATGAAATTTGTGTGATTGAAGTTGTCGAAATTTTCTTATGTGTTAAGTATTTAAAGGTAGTTGATGTGAACAGTTAAAATCAATTATTTTAGTGTTATAGGGCCGTGGGAGAAATCGAGCAACGTTTTTTTTTTCATCAATCATCATAGGCCGATTGAATTAAAATCAATAATTCCATAAACGTATCAAAACTGACTTTGAATCATCATTAGTCATTATAAGCCAATTCGGTGAACCCCGAACCTGGTCAACATTTGCTTATGAATTTTGACACGAGTGGATGAAATTAAGGCAAAGCTCAACTTTAATTTTTATATCACGAGACTAAGATTTATAAACTTATTATGAGGATGTGAAACAAATAAACGGTACAAAATTTTTAAATAGTGATCCCCAAGAAATTTGTGTGTGGTTGAAGATGTCGAATTTTTTTTAAATGCTAGGTATCAAAAGGTAGTTGATGTGAATGGTTAAAATTAGTTATTCTGATCACGGTGATTATGGGAAAAATCGTACAGTGATTTTTTTATTTTTATTTTTATCATAAGTCATCATAGGCTAATTCGGTTAAATTTTGATGCAAGTTAGCAGTTTTGGTCTGACCTATTGCACTGGATTGAGCTAAAGCTAAAAGCCGATTTTGGGTTTGTAACAAACATATTCATACATAATAAATGGAGCATATGTTAAAACACAAAATATCAGCCCAAAACCAAAAATCCAAACAAACATATTCATTGGGGTGTGTTTGTCCGGAGGATTTGATTTTAAATACATTATTTATTTTATTTTTTTATCTAAAAAAAACATCAAATTAAATAACTATTTTTTATTTTTTATATTATATTAAAAATCACAAAATTTAGAAGATGTTTAGGCTTTAGATTATAAAAATTAAGTTTGAGCTTTAGCTCAAATTTTACTATTTTATTGTTAGGTTTGTATTTAGCAATATAATAATAAGATTAATAAATAATATATGGGTAAATTGATTTTTATTTTTATTTTTTTTCGTGTAACTGAATTTTTTTAATATATCATTTGAGTCTTGTAACTGAAGCCAATTCCAAATGAAAAATTTTCGCACTTTTAGTTCTTCGGTGCCGGAGATGTCTACGTGGTACCCACATGACTTTTCGACAACTGGCATATAAGTGAATTTTTTTAATTTTTTCAAATTTTAAGTTTTAAATTTTTAATTTTTTTTAATATATAAATATTCAGTCTATTCATCAGTATTTTTCGATGGAACAATTTTTCATAAATATTATTAAACAATACAAATATACACACATTAATATAATATATATTATCAACTAATAAAAAATTAATAATTCAACACAAAATATTATTTTTTATATTATCAACGTAATTCAATTCACGTACTATACACAAAAAAATCAGTTCATTTAAAAATGCAGGTGTACAGACTAATTATTTGAAACTAATTAATTTCATTAATCTACATATAATAATTATATTTTATTAGTGTATTATTATATCAAATCAATTTCAGATTCTAATAAATTGTATAGTATACATGTGATTAAATTTGACAAAATAATATTATTCCCTATAATTACTCAAAACATTTTATTTTTTTTCTGTATTAATTTCACTATTCATATAAAATGATTATATATGATATTTTGTACTAAGGGTGTGTTTGTTTGGAAGATTTGGAAAGACTTTCACTATTCACACAATTTTTTTTTTCAAAAATATCAAATTAAACATATATTTTTTATTTTTATATTATACTAAAAATTAATTTTATATTCAAAACATCACATCAGTACTTATTTATATCACATCATATCACTATTTCAATTCAATTTTTTTACTATTCAAATTCCAATAAAAAATCCAAACATTCGAACAAACACACCCTAAAAGTATCTAATATTATAAGCTTAAAGTAAATTAAAATAAATAAGCACATAATGTTTTTAAAGTGGAGAAAAAATAATACCTATTTTTCGTCAGGTCAATTTTATATCCGTTCCTTATAAAATATAAATGAGTATATTTTTATTAAGACGTATAAATATTGAATAACGATAATTTCTTGTTTAAGTAAAAAGTAAAAATACGTATATGTATGATTGTTTTCGGTCTCAATACACTAGTCTTATTTACCATTTTGTCCGTCTCAAAATAATAGTCTCATTTCTATAATAACTATATCACCATAAAATTATCTATTCTTTTTTTTATTACACAATTTTCATTAGTTTTTACACTAATATACTCACGGGACAAAAAAAACTCATTTATCATTACTTTTTACTAACTACCAATATAATATCAATATTTATGGCCAACACAATAAAATTATGTTTTTGGGACGAAGGGAGTATTAGTTATTAAATATAATGAAAATATCATAGTAAAATATTTATTTTATTATTTTGTGGACGTCTCATAATATATATATATAAGAGAAAATGTGTAAGAATTTTGATTTTTTTTTTTATATATTTATAATTTAAATAAAAATTAAAGATAATTTGATATTAGTATATAATTACTTCTAAAATTAAAAAAAAACATATTATAAGATAAGATCGACAAAAATAATAAAAATGCATTTTGAATTGGAACTATAACGAGGAAATACACTTTTAAAATTAGAAAAATCCACAATATATATCTATTAATTATTTATATACAATTTTAAAATTAGAAAATTCACAATATATATCCATTAATTAATTATTTATAATTTAATCTAATTATATTTTAATTTAATTTAATAAATGAATTCCCCCTTAATCAATTCGAAGGACGCATAAGAGAAAGCAGCCAGAGCTTGCTTGGGTTGGGTGTCAAGTACCTTTTCAACCCAAGACCTACTGCCAAGGGAAAGAATTTCGACCTCCCAGTCACCATGAGCTCCGATTAGTAAGAGATTACTCGCCTAGATTTCGATTTTGATTTGAATGCGAACTTATTGGTTCCTGATTGTTGTTTTCTGAGACGATTTTTTGTTTTTGCCTTTTTGTGCAGCGATTATTTGTTCAAGCTTCTTTTAATCGGGGACTCGTCTGTCGGAAAATCCTGTCTCCTTCTCAGATTCGCGGTACGTTCGCTTTACTTGCTCCATTGATCTGTTTTATGTTTTGGTTGCCAGCGGTTTTGTTGTGGAAAACGTGGATGTCGAGCGAGTTGCGAATTAGGTTTTTGTTCTTATGTGTTTTTTTGGAATCACTGATATGTGGCCGATTGCCGCAGGATGATTCGTATGTGGACAGTTATATCAGCACCATTGGAGTTGATTTTGTAAGTACTAATTTTTTTTTGGCTTTGTGATTTGTTCGAGCTGTTTTTATTGGTGTTTGGTTGATTTAGTTTGTTGGATGGTTATCAAAGTTTTTATTGGATGTTTACATGGCTGTGTGCCATCCATGTTTATTGCAGAAAATAAGGACGGTGGAGCTCGATGGGAAGACTATCAAACTCCAAATTGTGAGTTGACGTAGTTACAAACCACTCTGTTTATGCAACTGGACAAAAATGGTTTTTGATGATAAGAGGGTTTTCAAGATTGAATTTCTTGTAGACTATATATAGTAGTATTGTTTAATTTTTTTTAAAAATCTGCCTATATTTCCCTGTGTTGATGATAAATAGTTTGTTTGTTTGGAAGTTTGGATTTTGAATAGTAAAATTTTGAATTGGAATAATTGTTTGATGTGTTATAAATAGATGTTGGTGTTATGGTTTTAATGTAAAATTGGTTTTTAATATAATATATATAAAACGAGGTGTTTTATGTGATGTTTTTGAGGGAATTTTTTTTAGGAATAGTGGAAATCTTGTAAAATCTCCCAAACAAACACATTATAGTTTTCTCAGAAAGAAACACTGTTTCCGGATGAATAGATGCAGGTTGTGTGATCCCTGTACTATGTATTAGTGAGGCATAGACTTCGGCAATGTGGGTGTAGGAAAAATATTTATAAGGTTACATTTATAGGTAAGCCAGCTGAAGACAACTTTATGTTTCATATGATGCAATGATTTCGAAACAACCAACTGCCAATTTAATACAATGAAAGTGTGAAGGAATACATATTGATATCATGTCTCTTCGGTAGCTCCTAGTTTCATTTTCCGACTTATTGCTCTTTCCTTTTTCACATTTCAAGTGGGACACTGCCGGTCAAGAGCGGTTCCGGACTATTACTAGCAGTTACTATCGTGGTGCTCATGGAATCATTGTAAGAAAAGTCTTGATTTATTTGTTCTGGTATTACTCGTCTCCATCTTTTGCGTCTGGTACGGTGTCATTTATTACTTGTTGTAGCTTCCTTCTTCCAAGTAACGATATATTAGTGTTTGATTTGAAATAATGTCAATGTGAAAACTGACTAAAGAAGTTTAATGTACTCGTTTTGTGAGGTCCATTTCTGTATCCGGAATCCTGTTTTATCTGCTTTCATTTTTATGGTTGATTTATCTTAAATGCTACTCCATGGATTTTTATCTTGATCGGTTATGTGCTAACATCACAAGTTTACGGCTTTCTTTTGCCAATGTGTCTTCTATTCAGTTACTACCTACCTTAGTTTCTGGTTTTGTTATAGATTTTTTCTCTCAAAACTTCCTAGTTTATGGTTGTAGTCCACTATCTGCACTAGCTGCTGAACTTTCATGAATCAGATTAAAGACAAACCTTATATTAAATTTTCTTAGTTTTGGAAACTGCTCAATATCATTTTGCGACATGTTTCGTCATAGGTGCAGTTTTCTGACATGTTTTGATTGTTATAGATTGTGTATGATGTCACTGAGATGGAGAGCTTCAACAATGTCAAGCAGTGGCTTAATGAGATTGATAGATATGCCAATGACAGTGTTTGCAAGCTTTTGGTCGGGAACAAATGCGATCTAGTTGAGGAGAAGGTCGTGGACACACAAACAGCTAAGGTGAATGATTTTTGTCACTTTCAATTATTATTCTCGGTATCCAACATTAAATGAAGCTTCACGGTTCAGTTTCTGACATATCCCCAATTGTTATTACAGCAGCCGATAGTCATGTCGTAACTAATACGCATAAACTGGATTTCATTGATCAAGTTTTGTTCATGCTTGAATGGATGCCACATTTGCATGTTACATGTTTCACTTTGACATAATACATAAAGGGTTTTACATATCCTCAGAAATTTAAACATTTAACGTCAGAATGGGCACATATTTCGACTTTTTGGTAGTATTGACTATGCTCTCTACCTTTAAAATGGTCACAAGCAACCTTTTCTTCCCTATTTTCTGGCATAAATGCTCTTGAAATATATATATATATATAGATGTGATGATCATTCACATCAGGCTGTATTGGATTGAGATTGAGCTTACTCTGAGCAATCTTGCAGGCATTTGCCGACGAGCAAGGGATTCCCTTCCTCGAGACTAGTGCAAAAGACGCAATCAATGTGGAGCAAGCTTTCTTGACTATGGCTGGTGAGATCAAGAAAAAGTAAGTCTTTTTTCGTATCTAGGTTGTGTGTTTATACACAATCTGTTCTCCTTAAAGATATAGAATCCCCACACACTCAATATATATTGTTTAATTCACTATTCAAATGGAATTCCTGTTTCCTGCCATTGTTTAGCACGAATTCACCGATACAATTGAAGAATAACATTTGACTGTGTGATGTAACGTATACTTTATATAATACTTTGTAAAACTTATGCCGCAATTGCACATACAGGATGGGTAACCAGCCAACGTCAAACAGGAGCTCAGGCAGCACAGTTCAGATTAAGGGACAGCCCATCGAGCAGAAGAGTAACTGCTGCAGTTAGGTCAGCATGTTTATGTCTACTATTTAGCAGAATTGTAAAAAAAGATAGCAAATTGCATCTACCGGAATATCTTTTCGGTGTTCCCTAACTTGATATTCCTGTCGGCCCTTAATGTTGTTAACTTGTGCACTACTGCATCCTGCGCCTTTGTGCATGTTTCGTAGAAACCTATCTTTTATCTTATGTTGAACTACCTTCAGTAGTGTGTAATTACTGAAGTACATCATGTGTCTTGCTTTCCTTTTCTTCGCATAAAAATGTGCTGCTTTTATGGCTAGATGAGTCGTGCTTTGAGGTCTAATGCATCGTAACGATCGTGCTAGAGTCTAGACTGTAGAAATTGTTGTAATTTCGATAGGGTAATGTCATATTTATATTATGTAATAGATCAAGTCTAAACTCCGATAAAGTTCAAACTTGAAAATAAGATACCTACTATAATAGCATCTCGCGGTAAGATTTAAACATATTTAGTATAGCCAAAGTAATATCTTATCATGTTATTCGAACATAGAAAGCATAAATAAAACAGAAACAAGTTAAAGTTGATCGTCGAGCAGCGTATGTACCTTCGACTCACTGCTCTTCGAGAAATGGATAGTCAGTGTACCCGACTATGGGGTCCGAGGTATAAAACGTGCTCCTATTGTACTTGTTAAGAGGAGCATCCAGTGCGTACCGTTTAGGCAAGTCTGGATTAGCCAAGAATAGGCGTCCGTAAGTGATTAAGTCCGCGTAGCTATCAGCAATGGCTCTATTTCCTTTACTCCGGTTGTAACCACCTGCAGCAAGGAATGTGTTCTTGAATGCCTTCCTCATGGGGAGGAGTTCGTGTGGAACATTATCCTCATGGCCTGGAGGCGGGTCTGAATCACCAACCGACCTCGGCTCGATCACATGGAGGTAGAGAATGTTGAACTTATTAAGTGCATTGGCCATGTAGACGCCTAGGCCGTGTGGATCTGAGTCGACTGACTCCATGAAATCGGTGAAGGGCGATAGTCTTATCCCGACTCTATGAGCTCCGATTTCATCGCAGATTGCTTCCACGATTTCTAGCGCAAAGCGCGCCCGGTTTTCTAAGCTTCCACCGTATTCATCAGTCCTGTTGTTGACTTGATCTTTCAGGAACTGCTCAATTAAGTAGCCGTTTGCTGCATGTACCTCCACCCCATCGAATCCTGCAGTCGGGAAAAAAAATGAGTAGGGTGATTCGAGGATTTTTGCAGGATGGATAGTTGGATGCACCTGCTTTGATGGCATTCCGAGCAGCTTGTCTGTAATCGTTGACAATGCCCGGGATTTCGTCTGTCCGTAGGCGTCTAGGTGGAGACCAGTCCGTTCCGTAGAGTCCCGGGGTGTTGCCTTTGTCTGTTGACGAGATTGGTGCCTGGCCATTCGGCTGGAAACCTGATCATCGTTATTCAATCTCAATCAAACACGGGATTGGATTGTTAAATGATCAATTCATCTTAAAAGTTAAGTTTAAAGGAATGTACCGTAAGTAGAGACACGGCCAACGTGCCACAGTTGAAGGAAGAATATTCCGCCCTTACGATGAACTGCATCGACAATCGGCTTCCATGCCGCCACTTGCTCCTCCGTCCAAACTCCGGGCGTGTCGGGGTACCTAAATGTTGATGGATTATGATCATGGAGGTCTATAAAGCAGGGTGAAGGATGAGGCGGCTGATTGGAACTTAACCATACCCCTGTGCGGTGTCGGATACGCCGGTGGCCTCTGCGATGAGAAGACCGCCTTCTGTAGCTCTTTGAGAGTAGTAGACAGCCGCGTGAGGCTGCGGAATGTTGTTTTTGGAACGGCATCGAGTCAATGGTGCCAAAACAATTCTGCGCAGATACTCAAGTTAAGGATTCGCAATCAAAATTCAAATCGAGGCTACAATGGAATACTCTGAGCAGATGCTCATGGCGTAATCGATTCTCCTGTCTAAATACTAAGATTAGTCTGCGCAGATGCTCATGGCGTAAACGATTCTCATATCAAAATCCTCTGTATCGATTCGATTGTCCTATCAGAATTTAATGCGAGACTACAAGGATTACTCTGAGCAGATGCTCATGGCGCAATCGATTCTCAATCAAAACTCAAATCGAGACTATCTGCGCAGTTATTAATGAACTCGCCGATACTCAAATTGAAATTCAAAGTGAGAGTACAGCGGATTACTCAAAGATGTTCATGAACTCACCGACACTCGAATTGAAATTGAATGCGAGACTAAATCAGATCACTCTACGAAGATGCTCATGGACTTACCGATACTCAAATCGAAATTCAAAGCGAGACAATGGATTGAGTACTACGAGCACTCACTCACTCACTCGTTGGTTGCAAAAATGGAATCAGATCGATGCAGAAATCCTCAAATCAATAAACTCAACAGAGACAATAACAGGAGAGAAAGAGGTACCTGTGAGAGAGATGGAATTCCCCCATTTTGTAGGGAGTGAGGAGCGGAATAGAGCCAGAGGTACCCCTGCTGTTCTCCATGGTAGCCGACATAGCTCAAACTCCGAACCAGATCCTCGCCGCGCTCTGTTACTCCGTACGACGACAACGACACTAACAATCTGGATTTCGGAAGCAATGCCATTACTACTGCTTCACTGCGCCTATATATACAGCAAATCTGTGGTAAAATCCAAACGAATTGACGCCGATATTTTGTCTTCAATGGAAAGTGGGGCCGAGGAACAGGAGAGATAGATAGAGACAGAAATGGCTGGTTTTGCTCCCCTACAGACTGAATTTCCGTCCACGTGAAAGCCGTTTATTTATAATTTCTGTGAAGTTATGAAAAGAGGAGAGAATTAGATAATTAAGAAGATTGAAGACGATGATAATAAATTGGGTTAAGTTATAATGGGTCAATTTTTTTTGCTGTTATATTTTATTTGGTTGATTTAGGTTTATTTTTTTTGGACCAGCCTATTAGGTTGTCAGAGTTTGTTAAAGGTAGATTCTTTGTATATATCTGTCTTCTTCTTCTTCCTTGGTTAATCAACTGTAAAATATACAATAGTTGTATTTTTATTTTCTAGAATTTCTACTTTGACTTTTTATATCGGATCGTATAGCCGGCAAATGACATCATCATCTACCATGTTGATCGATTATCAACCAATCACTCGGGGTGTGTTTAGTCGGCGGTTTGAATTTTAATTTAGAATTCGAATACTAAAAAATTTAAATTTGAATAATTATATAATGTGATATAAATAAGTATTAATACGTATTTTTTGATAATTTGGAAAAATTTTAGTTTCAATTTGATATTAAAATAATGTATAATTGAATGTTTTGTGTGAGAAAGTAAATATATCTTTTTCGAAAAAAGTGCATAGTCCAAATAGTAAAAAACTGAAGTTTTTAACACACCTATAATTTTTGAATATAAAATTAAATTTTAAAATAATATAAAAAGTACCCTCTTAGTCTCAACTAATTTGTCCCATTTAGCTTAGGCTAATTAGTGAATAATTAAGAAGTGTATTGGTGAAAATAATTATAATATAAACTAATTATAAATTATAAATTTTAAAATGTGATTAAAGTGTATAATTATATTTTTGAAAAAAATACAAATGATTTGAGACAAACAAAAACAGAAATAATTGACAAATTAAGTGAGTTGAAAGAAGTAAAAAAAATTGTACTCCCTCCGTCCCAAACAAGGTGCAACATTATTTTTGGCACGGATTTTTAAGTGGGTAGTATTAAGTATAATAATTTAGAAATTAGACGATGTGATGGAGAGAGAAATATATATTTTATTTTTTTATTTGGATGACGTGAGAGGGATAAAGTGTGGGGTATAGATTATGTATAATTAATTATTTTCTATTTTAGAAATGTTGCACGGTGTTTGGGACATATAAAAAGGGAATGTTGCACGGTGTTTGGGACGGAGGAATTATAATTTAGGTAATATTTCTTTACTATCTAAACCTCATGTTTCTACTATTCTGACTCTATTTTCTTAAACGAAATATACTCTCCGTCCCAGCTAATTGTCTACCTTAGTGGTAGCTCAGAATTTTAGGTAAATAATGTATTAGTAAAAATAATTATATATTAAGATTAAAATAAATAAATAATTTAATTAAAATAAAAATTTATAAATTATAAAATTTAAAATGTGATTAAAATTTATAATTATATTTTTTTATAAAAAAGTGACAAATTATATAATATAAACCAAAACAAAAAAAAATAGATAAATTATGTGAGATCAGAGAGTATTAATTATTGTGCTAACTTAGCAGTTGGCAGCTGCTCTGTAGGTAATAATATATGTGCCTATATATTATAAGTTCTATGTCCATTAGGTTGTGTTTGTTTGGGGCATTCAATTTTAATCTCACTATTCATCCAATTTTTTTCTTCAAAATTCTCAAATCAAACATCTATTTTTCATTTTTTAATTATACTAAAAATTAATTTTACATTCAAAATATCACATCAACACCTATCTATATCGCATCATACAACTATTCAAATTCAAAATTTTTACTATTCAAATCTCAACTCAAAATCCAAACTCCCAAAACAAACACACCCTTAATACTCCCTCCGTCTCAAACACCATGCAATATTTTTTTCCTATGTCCCAAACACCCTGCAATATTTCCAAAATAGGAAATAATTAATTATATTTAATCTCTACCCCACACTTTATCCCATCACATAACCTAAATAAAAAAATAAAATATACATTTCTCTCTCCATCACATCACCTAATTTCTAAATTATTTTACTTAATACTACACAGCTAAAAGTCCGTGCCCAAAATAAATGTTGCACCTTATTTGCGACGGATGAAATATTTATTTACGTAGAATTCATATTTTAATAAATATATTATTATTTATATAATTCATTATATATATTATCATATTTGTATTACAAGAATTGATACAAATATTTTGTTATTTTCCTTTTTATTTTAGAGGTGGAGGAAGAAAATATCTTTTACAAAATATCATAATAAATATGATTATTTTTAATATTCTAAAATTTCAAAAATAATTATACAAATGGAGCAATAAAATATTAATACTCGGTCTGTCTATTCATTATTTTTTTATTTATCTATCCATTATCTTTTTATTTATTTTTGGCATGAAAATTATAGAATCTTAATATTTTATCGAAGTATAGTATAAATGAAATATTTAAAGATAATGTCGTCCTTGTCTTTTTTTTTTTGGCGCAAAAATAATAATATGATAATAAAGTAGAAGTCTTTTTATATTAATTTGGAATATAATTTTACTTAAAAATAAAAAAATAAAAAAATTGAATAAACAAATTAAAATAAAAAAAAACGAGAAAATTTTGATTGGACTAATAAAATACTACTCCTTCAGTCTCACATACCTTATCTGTTATACTGTAAATACGATATTTTAGGAAAAATATAATTAGTAGATAATTAAAAATATATTAGTTAAAATAATTAATTTAATTAAAATTTTAAAAAATAAATTAAAAAATTTAAAATAAAATTAAAGTATCTAAATCATTTTCTTAAAAAAAAAAAAAAACTTTGTGGGAGGAAGGGAATATAAGATACTAGTATAATAAATAGAGGGATCCATAAGTTGCTTTGACGTGAGCCATGACGCATTTAGAATGGGCTTATTTCTAGTGGGGCCTATAAGCCCACTATAATAAATAAATTATATGCAAATAAAAGCCTGTTAGAGTTTTGGCCCACCACATTACCTATTTATTATAAGTAAATATTAAATTGACCAATGGTATGAATTCACAATATATTGCAACAATCCAAATATTTGGGTGTGTTTGTCTCGGAGTTTGGATTTAAAGTTGGAATTTAAATAATAAAAATTTTGAATTTGAATAGTTGTATAATATGATATGATATAAATAAGTGTTGATGTGATGTTTTGAATATAAAATTGTTTTTTACTATAATATAAAAAATAAAAAATAGTTGTTTAATTTAATATTTTTTGAAAAAAAAAAAATTGAATAAATAGTGAATTTAAAATCAAATTCCCCAAACAAACACACCTGAATATTTTAAGATTACATTTTTGTATGCGTATAAGAAATATTACTCATTCCTAGCTAAATTGTCTTATTTAGCTTAGTATTAAGACATAAATTGTTCTATTTAGCTTAGATAGGAAATTTTAAATTTGGTGTAATTGTGCTTAGGTACGAAGTTTTAGATACTATATAATTATTAAGTAATTAAAAAGTTTATTAGTGAAAATAATTATGATTTAATAAAAATAATTATAGATTAAAATTAAGATGACTAAATAGTTTAATTAAAACAAAAAAATTATAAATTATGAATTTTAAAATGTGATTAAATTGTATAATTATATTTCCATAAAACGAAAATGATAAATTATGTATGACGAAAAAAAATAGAAAAAATAGACAAATTAAGTAGGACGAAGGAAATAATATTTTAAATAGTAGTAGATGAATATAATAGTGTAAATATCTAATTATCTTTACTTTTTATATATTAGTGTATAATAAAGTGATGATAATATAAGAAATAATTTTTCAAAAAATATTAGTAGTTAACGCGAAAGTTCACAATTACTAAAAATAAAAAATATAAATATTTGAACTGGACAGACGAAAATAGAAATATATAAATGTTAAAAGCGGACGAGAGGATATTATTTATTATTATTATTATTATTTTCGTGTCATTTTTTATACAAGAGGTATTATTTAATTTATTTTATTTTGTGTCATATTTTATCTTCTTAAATTTAATATTTTTTTTTTAAATTTAAATAATTGTAGACATGAATAGCATCCATGTTCTTTTAATATATATATATATATATATATATTTTAATAATACTAACTTCACATATAATATATAGTTAATGATGGTACATTCCTTCTAATGTTTGTCATAAAACTAAACAGTATAAATTTACTTTTGCATACAAGCGTTTTCAAATCTAATGCATGCTTTTGATTTTTTGCATATTGATCTTTGGGGCCATACAAGTTTGCATCACTAAGATGGTGGCATTACTTTCTTATATTGGTCGACGACTATTCCCGTGTCACTTGGACTATTTTTCTCCCTATCAAACAATAAATCTACTTTATCCTGGAACACTTTATCCTTAACATCAAAATTCAATATAGTACTATTGTTAAAACCATATGTTCTAATAATACGAGTGATTTTGTCAATAGTTAGTGATCTAAACTGTTCTACCGACATGGCATAAACTATCAACGCTTTTGTCCCTATAGTTCTAAAAAAATGGTCGAGTTGAAATAAAGCATTAGCATCTTCTTCAAATAACCCAAGCTCTTCTCTTCCAAGCTAAATTGCCGCACCATTTTTGGGGTAAAGTTTTACTTATGGGCACACATATTATCGAAAGACTGTCCACTGCTACCTTAAACTAGTGCACATCATTTGAGAAACTTCGCAACCAAACTCCTAATCTCTCTCGAATCCACACATTTGGATGTTTGTGCTACGACATTGACATCAATTCTCATCGCACAAAGCTAGATTCCAAATCCAAAAGATGTCTATTCAGGCCCGTGCTTGACCTTTATTAGGCCCGGGGCAAAATTAGAATATTGGGTTTTTAAATATATTTCTTATATAATTATAATAATAATAATATATATTTTAATATAAATGTATTAATAATTTTTTTTATATATTAAAAGATCAAAATATAAATATAAAATTAATGTGACATATTTAGTATAACATAAAAAATTTAAAAAAATATTTGATCTAATATTTTTTAAAGAATATTTTTATAAACAATCAAAAGTCTTTATAAGAAAATTTTCAAACAAAAATATTTATTAAGGGTTTGCTTTTTTTGATTGGTTTAGGAAAAAATTTGGTTTAAATTTGATATTAAAATAATATTTGATGAAATATTTGTGAGAGAGAAAAGCATAGTTCTAATAGTAAAAATTAGAAAGTTTAGATTAAATAAACAAACTCAATGTTTATATAATACACAAATTTTTAAAACTACTACTAAAAAATATACAAATTTAAACATATAAATATAAAAATAAAAATAATAAGAACACAAAAATATTACTCTATCATATCTTTTTAATTTTACATAATTCACAAAAAATATAAAATCATATCATTAAATAAATACACTAAAACATACAAATAAATAATTTAAAAATTAATGTAAAAATTATTTATTTAAAAAAAAATTATAAAATAATTTTTTATTTAAATTTTATTTTATATATTCTACAAATAATAATAATAATAATAATAATAATATATATATTAATATATAGGAGTATATATATATATTATTAGGGCCCCTTATGGGCTCTGGGCCAGGGCCCTCTATTCTTGGGTTATCCACCTGGTCAGAAAAGATTTAAATTGTTAAATTTTGATGAAAATAAAGTCTTCATTTCTAGAGATGTTCATTTTTACGAGGACATATTTTCATACCCGTCTCTCTTACTCGGTGCCTCTTCGCTGCCAAGTAATATTCCCCTCTGTGCTTCGCTCAGCTATGAACACCCCTTTTACCATACGAGAGTGCTTCCTCTAGTCCTGTGTCAGACTCCGCCTTTGGTTTACTTGTGTTTGTTTGAAGGATTTTGCAAAAATTATACTATTGATCCAAAAAATTTTTTCCAAAAACGTCAAAGTAAACACTTAATTTTTATTTTTTATATTACTCTAAAAATTAAATTTATATTCAAAATATCACATCAACACCTATTTATATTATATCATATCATGCAATTATTCAAATTCAAAAATTTTACTATTCAAATTCCAATTCAAAATCTAAACCTTCAAACAAACACACAATGAACTTACTTATTAGACTCTGCCTTAAACCCTTTTGGGATAAATATAAAAAGAATACATGTATATTTGTAATTTAAGTTATTTAGAAATAGATATTTTGAAATTTATTTGTGTAGATAAAACACCGTTAAATAAGAATAATCGAGGGACTAGATGCAAAGTTTATAAAATCTTTGACGAAATCTGACACAATTTTAAAAATATGAGATATTTGACTCAATTTTGTAAAATTAAGTGCAGTTTTGCCATAAAAATTTTATATATTTTTATTTATATCAAATTATTTATTTTTAAAATGTATTTTTTAAAAAAATATATTAATATACATATTATTATGTAGAAAATATATAATATAAATAAAAATATATTATAATAAATATATAAATAAAGAATTTCTAAGCCTTAAATGACATAAACATCACGCGAGTATATTCTTTACCAAAATATTAGTAAAATAATTTCTCTTGTAGTTTTAAAATATATCAATTTAATTGGGAAAAAAAAATCTTAAAAAAAATACGAGTGTTTGTTTATCCATAATTTCATAAAAATTCATAGGCAAGAATGAAAATAATTGTTTTATTGAAAATAAATAAATAAATAAATAGAGCTTCCGAACCGACACCAAAGCTGGGGGTTGTGTACCAATGGAATTGTTGTCCAATCCTCAATTATGAAAATCTTCTGAAGATTCCATGGCTTTGCATTTCGGATTACGGTTTTGAATTTTGATATCCAGCGATCGATCGGGTGGAAGGAGGAGGAGGAGGGGATGGAAAGCAGCCCAAGGATCGCCAATCATTCTCCAGCGCAAGACAACTTTGGAAAATTTTAGAACCAGCAGAAGAATTCCGGGGGAGAAGAAATGGGGGCAGAGATCTCTGCATTGCGCCTTTTCGCCTTCTGTTGTTCCGCCTTTTCGATTTTCGTTTCAGGTTCGACTTTCCTTTAGATCTATCTAACTCTATTTGATTCGTGTGTTGATTGAAACAAGTTAAGATGCGTAGAGTATCATTGTTCTTGATTCATTTTTTAGAATTCTAGTTTTGAGGAAACTTTCTGTTGTTATTGGATCGGATCGTGTCTGTAATTGAAGCATTAGGTTTCTTGGATACGAAACGAGGAGAAGAAAACGAAAATTGAAGTATTCTAAAGCGTTTCAGGAGAGAATCCAAATGGCTATGTGTGTATTTGTTTAGTGCTGTGAATAATTGATCGAAATTAAGCATGAGCAAGTGTGAGAAATGATTGCAACACTCTTTATATGAGTTTAAGCAGCAAAATTTTCCAATATTCTTATGATTCCAAGCCAGAATTGATATTCTTAGATGATTTAGCATCATAAAATTCTAACAGATATAATTGTAATGTAGTTTGCATAATAAACGAAACTTTCATTCACAATCAATTGGTAGTATCTGTTCGAGACCTTACCCCTTGCCTCATCAATTTGCTGTTTTTTTCGCCTGTGAAACAAATCATATAACAATGTTCTGTGCAGCCTATTCTGATGATTCATCATCAGCTCATAAAAGTGGAACAGAAACTGAAGATCACAGCAGTAGTAATGGATCCCAGAGGCTACTTATATGTCTTGCAGCCGTGGCTGCTACTGTGCTATTGTTTTTCCTTTTCAAATTCTGGCAAAAGAAGAAGCGCGAAGAACAGTATGCTCGATTGCTGAGGTTGTTCGAGGAGGATGACGAGCTGGAGCTGGAGCTCGGTCTACGTGATTGAGCACTTCTTCCTTTTGAATTATGATCTTATTGAGGTGAGATATCTGCCTTACTTTCATCATCTCTGCATCTCAATACCCGAAATTTTTGTCTTGTTAAATGTTTTATTTTGGCATATGATATCTATTGCAACTGATAATTTTCTTCGAAATCTTGATAATTCAGCTCTCTGTATATGCTCTGACCTCTGAAACTCATCTTGTCGAAAGCGTATAGTAATAGAACCAAGGCAAAATTACATGTAACCGTAGTTTAGAAAGTCTGCATCATACTATTTCATGATTTAAAAACTTTACGACACTTCGTGTTGTTTTAGAAAAAAAAAAATTCCTAGAACTGTACGAGACTCTATTGTATTTTCAAAAATATTGTACAAAATCCTTTAAGCAAAGGATTCTATGTTTTTTCTAAAATAAGAAGGAGCTTAACGCGGTTTTTAAATCACAAGGGAGAATAATCCAAGCCATTGTAATTTTGTTTAGAAACAATTGAACAAAAAACAGCGAATTTGTCTGCACTTGCTCTTCTTCCTCAAATGTAATGCTAAAATTGCACCCGAAAATCGAATTTTACTTGCATCTTGTTCTCATGTGGATCATTTTTGAAGGTGTGCGCAAAGTGGATACATTAGTCAGACAAGTAGCAATAGAGGCCCTTGGAGAAACTCTTTGATCGTTGGTTGTATGATGCGCGCGCGCCGTGCCCCCGGGATAGCTGTAGCAAGGTATTTTCTTGACGAGACTAGGATGGATATATTGAGTTTGTTTTTGGTTGAAACTAGCCATTTTGGAAGTGCTTAATTCAAAACTTGTGTGTGAATATTTCATTTCATTTTGTGTATTACATTGGTTTCTTTGTTTCTTTCTACATTGGCACATTAGATGTTAGCAAAGTAGTGGTTAAGAATGTGTACGAATAGTGCTTCTTTTGTTCTGTCGATATATATATATATATATTACTCACTTCATCCCATTTTGCTTATTTGTTGCTATAATTTATTTTTTAGGTATTGTGGGTGTTACTTTTAGTTTTATTTTATTTTTTTGTTTGAATAGGAATTTAGATATAATGTAATGAACATTTTGTTATCAATAACTTAATGAATAGGCGACGGTGATTCGACATTTCCTAAGAACCGTTTTGGCGGGTAGCACGGTGCGGTGGCAATACACATATTATTACATATAATATTTTATTTATATTAATATATAAATTAACACTAGATATTTTTATATAAGTTGATTATGATTTAAAATATGAATATTTTGACAAGTATATAAGTTAGTTAATAGGGTGATAGAAAATTTTCAATAAATTAAATATGTAATGATTATAGTATATCTATAAGTTAGTTAATAGGGTGATAGAAAATTTTCAATAAATTAAATATGTAATGATTATAGTATATCTATAAGTAAATATAATATTGAATAGTATAAATTAAGAAAAATTGTAAGAATTATTATATAAAAAAAATATATATTATACTAAAATTGTTCTTTTAATTATATTTTAAAGTCACCTATGCTGATGTTTATTATATATAATTTTAATTTTTTTTAATATCACATCAACTATATATTTTTTATACAATAACATCTATTTATATTATGGGTACAGGCGTACACAATCTAAGGGATGTTTGGCAAATAGTTTTTTGAAAAATTTTAGCTTATTGATGTTTGATCAGTCAAAAAGTTAATTTAGGTGTTCGGTAAATTAACTTTTTGGAATAGCTTTTGGATCCAAAAAACTAATTTTTGAAGAGCTAACTTATCCGGTGTTTTAAAATATTTTTTTTTAAAAAAACTTTTTATTCGCCCTTAAAAAGTTATTATGCATTTTACACAAATAAATATATTTTGATTATTTATTAATTATATTAGAATATTTTATTATATTATAGTTTTACTTTTATAAATTTAAAATAATTAATTTTTAGATAAAAATTATTTTAATTATAAAATATATAAATTTATTAAAATCAACGTAAAATAGAAAATATAAATATTAATAATTTATTTTTATATTAAAATTACATTATATAAATTTTATACTAAAAATAAATTAAATAAATTGAATTTATTGAAAATTATAAATATAATAAACTACTCGATAACTAACATAATAAATATATACACGAAAAATTTATTATTTTATATTTTACATCATTTTCAATAGAAAAAACTATTTATATATTTTAATAAAAATATATTATTATTTAAATCTAACTGTAATAAAAATAAATAGTTTTATAATACTTTTACAATTTTCAATAACTAATGACAAAATTTTAAACATTCTAAACTCAAAAGAACATGATTGAATATATTAGAAACAAAAATAAAATAGAAATATCTTTGATTGTCATTTTACGTGTAAACAGCTAATATAAAATAGTTATTTTATCAAATATTTTAATACAAACAACTAATCGAATCAGCTAGTCAAACCAGCTAATTAAATCGACTAATTGAATCAGCTATCAGCTAATTGCCGAACAACCCTAAATACAATTGGATAGTTTTTGTTGAGGCAGAATAATAATTACCAATATATTAATATAGTTAAACACTAGTATTATATTTCTAAATTAATTTATCTCTATTCTTATTGAAACTAACGGTCTCATCTGACAAACTTCACTTCTTATTAATAATATAATAAATATTTTCAATTAAAAATAGCATTTTTATATTTCTTTTTTCTGATTATAACGTATCTTGTCACCTTAAGCATTTTTAAATAGGCAGATTTTGCAGAGAAATAGTAATTGATGATATATTAATAAAATAAAAGAGTATTATATTTTTTAAATTAATTTATTTGTATTTTTATTAAAAATAATGATTAATTTTTTAATTTTTCTGCTAATAAACTTCATTTTTATTGATAATATATAAAGTACATTTTCATTAAAAATAACACTTGTATGCTTCTCTCATAATGTATCTTACATTTTATTAAGATTTATGCGTTAAATAAAGACATTAATAATTAATTTTTTTATTTTTGTTTCTTCTATTTAAAGTCACATCTTATTATTCAATTTGGACATTATGAACATGAATACCAACATAGCTACTGTATATAGATTTATATTTTAATTACAATGATCGATATGAAAATTTTTTAAACAGATCACATCGTTAATGAAGATATTCAATAACAAACTTTTGTTTGACATATAGATAAACAATTTTCTTCTCATTTTATTTTTTTATAGTAAAAATTTTGTAATATTTTACAAAGATTTATATTGTGTTTATTATTAGCTTATACACAATACATTGAATTATAGCCATAATAAGCCTGAAAATTTGTATACATATTAAATATCAATTTAATTCTAATTTTATTTTTTGAAATTTTGATGTCTAGAAATTTTATAACTTCATTACTCACCGAATTTGGTGTTTCTTAGTTATCTTCTACAGCTCCTCACTGCGACAATCAGAGTGTTACGTAAATAACTCACAATGATATTTTTCACGAACGCACCAAACATATTGAGCTTGACTGTCACTTCATTCGACAACATATTGTCCATCTCGTTTCGGTCTCATCCGCAGATGAGATAACATATATCTTCACCAAGTCTCTTCTTCTCATCCGCTTCCGATTGTTCTTGGACAAACTCAAGTTGATTTCTACATGACCTACTTGAGTTTGAGGGGGTTAGATATAGATATTTATTTTGTATCTTTATTATTTTAGTTTAGCCCCGAGTCCGAGTCCAGTAGATGTATTTTTGTACTCCTACTTTCGTAATAATACAATTTCAGAATTTTCCCCAAAATTCTAACATAATGGGTTGTGGAAAATAATATGCAAGTTAAATTCTTCTAAAAATAGAGAGATTGATTAATCCTTAGGAGCAGGTTGATATCCCTATTGGCTATTGTTGTTCTTTTTTATTTCATCCATATTATTCTAAAATTTTTGCTAATCGTGACAATATTTCCTAAAGATTTGTTCCAATACTTACGTACTAAGCCAAACTTTAGATTATTTTTCAACCTTAGTAAAAAAAGTTGTTTAATTTATATTATTTTTATTTTTCTGACAATGTATTATTTTTTTTTTATCATTATAAATAAACTATTTTTCTGAGATATAATTTTTTATATAAAATATATAAAAAATAAATAGAGTAATGTTTTATATTAGAATATTGAAAATTTGTGAAATAATAAAATATAAGTAATATAAATTTTGATAATCTTCGGAAAAAGTTGTTTGAAAAAAGTTATTGAATTATTTTAATTTGATTAAACCCATAAAGAAATGGACTGATCAATTTTTTTATTCTATTTTAAAACTAATAAATATTTTCTTAGAAGAAAAGAAATGAAAGCTGTTGTTGCTCTTTGAGCCACGTCACCATCATCTTCTTCCTCTTCTTCAACTTCATATCTTTCCCCCTTAAGCCAACCATATATATATATATAATTTATACACACATAACCACTGGAACATCGGCGAATGCTCCTCGTCCATAATCAAGCTGTCGGCTATGGCGGCAGCAGCTCACATCTTCCTCCCCTTCTCCACTTCCACGTCCAAATTCAGAGCTCCTTCGGCGCGGCTTTCCAGCAACGGCTCAACCTCCTCCTCCTCCAGTGGTTCACCATCTCTCACTCATCAATTCTCAGGTCCTTCGCTCTCTTCACCCACACCTCTATCTATGGCGAAGCTATTTATATCTTCGAGAGATTGCGTGCGTGCGTCGGTCGAGTTAAGCTGATCAATTACCAAAACATCTCGAATCGAATTGAATAGTTCAATTTCTGCAAATCTATTTGATATTCATCCACAAACAGGTTTCGATTGTTTGGTTGTTGTAGAACGTAGCTAGAATTCCGATGAATCTCACACGCATAATTAAGCTTAGCTATAATCCGCTGGTAGTGGTACATATCTTTGCCTAATCTCGATTTTGCACTCGAAGAAACCCTAATTTACTAGAACCTTCCATTGTCAACGAAACCGTTTCAATTCAATTACTGTAACTGCAATTAGTTATTCGCAGGCAAACCTGAGGCTGACGTCATTGTCATAGGCAGCGGCATTGGTGGTCTCTGCTGCGGTGCACTTCTAGCTCGCTACAATCAAGATGTTCTGGTATTGGAAAGCCACGATCTCCCCGGCGGCGCCGCCCATTGCTTCGACATCAAAGGCTACAAGTTCGATTCTGGACCGTCTCTCTTCTCCGGCCTCCAATCGAGAGGACCTCAGGCCAATCCTCTAGCACAAGTACACACACAGAGACACACACACATATCTATCTATCTATCTATCTATATATAATGCGATGTTTCATCTGTTTGATTTCATCTTGGTTCGATGATTTTTCTCACCGATTTTGGATAATTTCAAGGTTCTCGATGCATTAGGCGAGTCGCTGCCCTGCGCCACTTACGATTCGTGGATGGTGTACATACCGGAGGGCGAATTTTTGTCTCGCATTGGCCCTACGGAGTTCTTCAAGGTTAACTTTAATTCATCGGCGATGAGTATATATATATGTGTGTGTGTGTGTGTATTTGTATCGAATTTATCGAGACGATAAGGCTTCTGTATTGCTTCGCAGGATCTACAGACCTACGCTGGTGCGAATGCCGTGCAAGAATGGAGGAAGCTTCTTGTGAGCATCAAATTTTGTTGCGGAAATTTTGTTCCAGAGATTTTATTATTTTGTTTCATGTCTACTAGCTTTGTCTTCTTTTTTGCCATAGGATGCAATACTTCCATTGTCTGCTGCTGCAATGGCGCTTCCTCCTCTGTCCATTCGAGGCGACTTGGGCGTTCTTTCCACTGCTGGCGCTCGTTACGCTCCCTCTCTGTTAAAATCCTTCGCACAAATGGGGCCTCGAGGTGCACTAGGTGCCATGAAGCTTCTCAGGCCCTTCTCAGAGATACTCGACTCATTGGAATTGAAAGATCCCTTCGTGCGAAATTGGGTGGATCTTCTCTCCTTTTTACTCGCTGGAGTGAAATCAAACGGCGTCCTGTCCGCAGAGATGGTAAACAATTTCTACTTCTTGCTATGGAGCTATTGAGATCCTCTTTTGCATACAGTGATGATGCTCGATTTTGTTTAGTAGATATACATGTTTTCGGAATGGTACAAACCGGGGTGTTGTTTGGAGTATCCGCTCCATGGAAGTGGCGCAATCGTTGATGCTCTTGTCCGAGGACTTAACAAGTTCAATGGTCGACTTTCCCTTAGGAGTCACGTGGATAAGATAGTTGTCGAAGGTGGACGAGCCGTGGGAGTGAAGCTACGCGACGGTCAGGTGAGTTCATAACTCTGTCGTCATCTCTCGAGCTTCTGTCTTTCGAAATGATTATGGTAACAGCTGCGCCTTCATGCATCGTAGTTTCTTCGCGCTAGAAAGGCTGTTGTAAGCAATGCGTCGATGTGGGATACGTTGAGTTTGCTGCCTGTCGAAGCGATTCCAAAATCCTACCGGGAAAGCATTGAGACAACCCCGCAATGCGACTCGTTTATGCACCTGCATCTCGGATTCGACGCGGAGCTTGCGCCAGAAGGGTTGGGGATCCATCACATTGTCGTTAACGATTGGGATCGAGGAGTCGACGCAGATCAGAACGTTGTCCTCATATCTGTTCCCACCGTGCTGAGCCCGGATCTCGCCCCGCCGGGCAAGCACGTGCTACATGCCTACACGCCGGGGACCGAGCCATTCGAGCTATGGGAAGGGCTTGATCGGAGAAGCAACGAGTACAAAGAACTCAAAGCCCAGAGGAGCGAGGTAAAACTGCGTCGACTTCAAACTGCAGTCGTGATTGATTGTAATTAATCCCGGCGATGGATTCAATTGTTGTTAGATAATGTGGGAGGCTGTGGAACGCACGCTCGGCCCGGGATTTGATCGTGGAAAATGCGACGTGAAATTGGTCGGAAGTCCCTTAACGCATCGCCGGTTCTTGAGACGAAACAGAGGCACTTATGGCCCTGCTGTAAAGGCCGGCGAACGTTCCTTCCCGGGACACACAACACCGATCCCGCAGCTGTTCTGCTGTGGGGACTCGACATTTCCCGGCATCGGAGTTCCGGCAGTTGCTGCCAGCGGCGCCATTGTAGCGAATTCGCTCGTCCCGGTGGCGCAGCACTCAGAGCTGCTCGACGCTGTGGGGATATAATCGATCTCCGTCAAGGATCAAGTAAGTTTTAAATTACGAAAATTCAATTATAGTTCTTGTTTTGATATTATCTTTAAATCTCCGAGTAATAACACATATATAACCAAAATATCACAAGGAGAGTTTACATATAACAACCCTTGACACAACTACAGCAGAACAGATCAGATCAAAAACAGCATTTGATCTTCAGAGCATATGATAGATCTGAGTAAAGTGTGTTTCAAAAGTCTATAGAGTTTAATGTAAGAAAAAAAAGATATCTAGAACACCAAGTAACCTTACTTTAACACGAACTAGACAAGACAGTAGATAGAGCATGCAGCCTTCCCAGCCCGATTCATCAGTCTGTACATAGAATCGATCCTTTAACGGTTGTTCTTCCCCGAGTCGCTTACATCTCCCTTCCCGGCATGCTCATGCTATCCCAAGCCTTCATTCCACTCTGCCCATACCGGGGGCTCAAATTAGGGCTCCCGGCAAGGCTTCTAGGTCTCCTCCTCTCTGTAAAATCATCATACGGCGTGCATTTAGTGTACACCCCGTTCCCGCGGCTCTGCCTGAAAGCGTAGTAGTGATGAGGAGGGACAGGGTCGACTTGGTATTTTAGTCCTTCAGCTCTCCCGACTGATCTGATGGGAAAAAGCCTATCCGGCGCAATGCTCTTATGGGCGTCGATGGGGGGTTTGGGCATCGGCATTTGGTAGCTGGCGAAGTTCTGCCCCTGCCTGTAGTGATGGTGGTAGGGAGATTGAGCAGGGTGGATGCTGCCGTGTTGCTGCGACTGGGCGCCGAGACTAGATATGCTAGGCGAACTCCGGACCCTCTGCATTCCCGTTCTTCCATTTCTGTTGTGGGCAGTTGGGGGCAATAACTCGCCATTTGTTGCCTCTGAATTGTAGCTGTCCGGTGACCTGGGGGATGTGCAGGCAGACGACGCCAAAGAGCTGCATTGCACGGAGCTGAGTGTAGGGTGCGGCTTCGTGATATGGCTTGGGATGTGGTGGATTATGCCGTTGATGGAATCGATGTAGCGTTGCTGGGGCTCGACTGTTGTAGACAGGCTGTTGCTTTCCATCACGACCGGTTTCAGAGGGAAGAGGAAGGCTCGCAGTCGGGGGCCTCCTGCGCTGTCGTAGCGGTTGATTTCTTCAAGCATGTGGCAAAGATCCTCGTCGGATTTTACGGACACTAAGGCGTCCAAGTCCTCGGACATTACCTGGTACTTGAGTACCATTTCTCCATTAACCATGGAAGTTAGCTTGTTGATGAATTCTGTTAAGAGAAAATTAGGAAACATCAATGGTAAAATTCATGGAACGCATCATGTTCCAGCCAAGATTATACTCCTAAAAGACCTACCTATCCAAAGAATATTGCAGACAGTTCTGCACAATTTACCAAAGCCAAATTAGGTCTTCTTCTTCCCAAATCCTAATCTAACGTTTTCATTGTCAAAAACTTGACATGTGAGAAAAACCAAACGGTGTGGTGCTATGTTACAACAGAACATCAAATACCAAACTATTCATTTCCTAGATAATAGATTGAAGGAGGATTTCAAGCCTGAATTCCTAAATTCCTGTCTCCATTAGAGACTTAACACACCAGCACCACAATTTCAACGAAAATTGCTCTCAAACTTGCAATATTCAAGCAGATATTTACATAATCGAACAATATACCTACGCCTAAACAAAATTATTTCCCCTCGCGTTGCAGAATCAAAACCAGGAGACCTAAAAACCAACAAACATCACGCGAAACGGTACAATCTAGAAATTTCCAGAAACCCAACGCAATATATGTATATATATATATATATATACAATGTACCCTAAAAAATTTAAAATTAAAACAAAAAACCGACATGCCTTGATAAGTAATGTCTCGAGGCACGGAGACGACGCGCGTTTCGCCGCCGACATACTTGAGCTGGCCGTCGGAGGGGCGGGGAAGGATCTTCCCGCCGTAACTGCAGAGGAATTTGGCACGCTGATGAGGAGAAGTGGAGGCGGAATTGGGCGCCGAGGGGCACGAGACGGCACGAGTCGCGACGATGGCGCCATCGGTAGACATCGTTCAAGGATGGAACGCAGGGAGAGAAAGCGAAGCAATGGCGAACGAAGAGGCAGTTTCCGAGACCACCGGTATATACATACAACCTTGCCTCGCTATTTATACCCTACCTTATATTTTAGTAAATATATTTCCCTATAAATAAATAAATATTTTTTGCAAATAATTATAATAATAGGTAATTAAATAAAATTAATTTATACAGTCAAGGAGACGTACGGGTTAACAAAATATTAATTCGTAGATTACGTTATAAGAGCATTGATTAGTTACTATGCATATTTTACTAATATAGATTTCAAGAATATATATTGCAATTAGCTCATTTTACAACTCCATTTATTCAATTATAAATTGTTAACTTTAATTCATAACTTTATTTTCAGCTTCAAAATAAATATTCTCTAAATATTCTATTTTATATATTATTTTAAATAATTTTTTATATTAAAAAATATAAATATATATAATTAAAATATAAAAAATTACAGATTGATCCTTGTAGGACCAATTTGCAATTTATAAAAATTATAAAAATAATAAAAAAAAAACATCATAATTGGTATTTTTGCATACATACAAACAGATTTGAATTTAATTTTTTTTAAATATAATATACAAAATAAAAATATATATATTTAATTTAATATGTTCAGAATATTTTTTTTTACAAAAAAAAAATACTTAAAAACAAGCCAACAAACAAACACGATCTTGAAAGTCATGTATGCGTAATTGAATTTTTTTTTTATATATTCAATTTTTATTGTTTAATTTTAATATTTAAAATAAAATTATATTTATTTTTTTATGTATAAACTATCACATTCAAATAACAATTTATAATACAAAAATCAGTAAAACTTTCCGTTTACATATATAAATATTTTTTTGCATTATTTTTTATTTTAAATAAAAAATATCAATATATTCAATTAGCATTTTTATTTTCTTTGTTCATGTACTGATTTGATTTTTAATTTTGCTATTTTGACGTTAATCATTATATTCTAATACTCTATATATGCAATTCAGTTTAAGATGATTCGGGACAGTATACCAAAAATATTGAATTATATTGTGTACCGTGTCAATTTTTTTAGTTTATTAAAAAAAATATCGTTATTGTATCAAATATTTGGTATATATAAACTTACCAAAAGAAATAAATATATTTTCTATATATACTGAAAATATTTAACTATATATCATTACCATACAAAAAAAAGTCATATCATACTAAAAATGTGAAATTTTTTTGGTAGTTTTTTTTATGAGTAAACATGTTATTTTCGTAATTCGGTATTTTTTTATCCATAAATTTGATATACCAAAACATATGTACGATATTGATACGGTAAAATATCATACAAAAAATTTTGGTATTAAATTTGATATGTCACAACGAACTATTTTTAACGACAAGAAAATTCGAAAAAATTTATGCAATGTTCATATAAAATTTTTATTATTATATTTTTTATTGTATTATTAACATTCAAATAATTAATTTTTTAAATCTAATTGCATGTATTAATTTACAATAGATACAATTATTATTATTATTTGAATAATTTCAGTAAATAAAAAAAAATTAATATTTAAAAATAAATATAAAAGATATTTTAACTTTTAAATTAATTCTTCCACTTTAAAGCTTTACGTTTACTTTTTTTTGCGTGTTGATATTTGAATATTAATTATTATATCAAAACATACAACAAATTAAGTAAAAATAACAAAAATACTTCTATTAGTGTCTTATAATACAAATATAATGACATTTGTATAAAAATTTATACATACATAATGATATTTTTAACGTTAATACAATGACACATAAGGTAAATGTAAACTTTCAAAGTGAACGGAGATAGTATTTTATCAAATAAAAATATTTAAAATAATATTTTATTACATCAACTAATCAAATTAATTAATTATATAACACAATTTTTTTAAATTACGTACCCAAAAGTAAGTCGGCTAATTCCGGAAGACCGACCGAGTAGTTTTGTTTAGTTAATTTTAGAAATAAACTAATCTTTTCGGGATTTGATTGATTTGATCCATATATAGAATGCAATATTAGTATTTATAAACAAATAAATACTTTGTTTGGTTTTTATTGGGTAAAATACTTTTTTTCTTTTTTTTTAACTAATGTGTCTATTTGAAATTCTTTATTTTTTAAATGATAATTTTAGTCTTTTATTCATTAAATTAGTTTAATTTTAATTTTTAATTATTATATTTTTTAAAAAAATAATAAATATAATTATTACTACATTTGTCACATAAAATATAGATACTTTTGTTTTTATAAAAAATTGTAAGAAAAAAAAAATACATATAACATTAAAATTCATTCTCAAAAGTTTCTTGAGATTTTTTTTTATAAAGGAAGGTAATGTATGATTTCTATATCGAAAGATATCATTCTTATTCATTATTTAAATTAATTTATATCATTATTATTATTATTATTATTATCAGATATTTTTCACATAAATATTTTCTTTCAAACAAATCATTTTAAAAACAATTTTAAACACTAAATATAAAAATCGTATATATATACTAAATAGTACTATCTCCGTTCCGACTATCGTATCTCATTTACTGTAAATACGAGAATTTATGAGGAGTATAATAACGAAATAATTAAGAATGTATTAGTAAAAATAATTATCGTATAATAAAAATACTTTTAGATTAAGATAACTAATTGGTCTAATTAAAATAAAAAAAAAAATTAATATGTTTTAAAATATATAATTTATTTTCAAAAAAGTTGGCAGAATAAGAATAAGATGGACAGACGAAAATGAAAATATATAAATCATTTCAAACTGGTCCAGGTTACCCTACTCTCAATATATTGTTGTGCCATCTGTATTTAAAATTTTTATTTTATTAATTTTTTTGTTTAAAATTTTTCATTTTATTTTATTTTATTTTTTTGTTTTAAAAATACATGTCACCGATGGTGATTGGTCGTGTAGAAAAGGCACAATACATTGAAAATATAGTAACTGAACCCCTTTCAAACTATTTTACAAAACAAATATGTATCTATTTCAGACATTCAATTGTTATAATAGAACCAATTCAAAATTCAAATAGCACTAAATATACTTAGGAGCACAATATATATATATATATATTCTATAGAGCACAACACTTACTATTGTAAAACCCCAAATGTACTTCTATATAGCACCAGTTTAAAAAACAAACAAATAGCATACAATTCTTATATTAAAAAACACAGTGCTATCTACATTGGACTATCTCTAACTTATTCCTTCATTTTTGCAATAGTTACACTAAAAATGCAGTTGATGTAATTTTATTACAATCATAAACTTCAATTTTTTACTCTAAAAATATATTCCCTACATATTCCTCTTTTATATAATTTTTTATATTTATAAATTACACCCTAATTTTAATTTATTTTTACAATATAACCCAAATACATATAATTACACATTATTTTTAAAAAACTATATAATTATATACCACTTTTTGAAAGATAAAATTATATATCACTTTTAAAAAAATAAAATTATACATTATTTTTAAAAATAAAATTATATCACTTTTCAAAAAATAAAATTATACATTATTTTTCAAAAAATTAAAATTACATATTATTTTCTAAAAAAATAAAATTACATAATATACTCAAAAAAAAAAAATAACAAAAATACACATACACCACAAAACACCACACAAACTCCACTCCAAAAAAGGAGTGGAGTGTACAGTGTTACTCCCCCCAAATTTCCCCAAACTTTTAGAGTAACACTGTATCAGGCTGCAAAAATGAGAGGAATTTGAGGGTGGGTTGCATTATGAGTGAGTTGGAGTTGCCCTAAATATTAGAGTTTTTTAAGATTTTTACTCTATATTTTCAAAGAAAATTGATACTTTTAGAATATTTACTCCTGCTTTCAAAAAAAATCAGCAAGAAACTAACATGTAATTATTACCATACACTAATTTCATTAAGAGATGTTTTATTAACGATCTAACATCTAAATTGTAAGAAAAACTAACGGTAAGTTTTTATTTGAAAAAGAAAAAGTGCTCAATGATCGAACAGAAAACCCTAATCGAAATTCTTAAGGAAACAAAACATCACAAGAAACAATTAATCCTAACCCTATCCCCGCCGTCAAATTCCCGGCAGCTGCGGCGGCCGGAGTCGATCATTTCTTCCAACCATCTGAAACTGTCCCGACGGGCCGGCGACATTATGCTGCAATTGCCCCTCCTCATAACTCTCCACCGCGCCGGAAAACTGCATCGGCGGCGGCGGCAACGGCAACGGCAAAGGCAAAGGCACGGCGCCGTACGGCGGCGGCGCCGGCGACAAGACCGTCGTCCCGTAGTAGCGGGCCTGTAAAGGATTAGGGCTATGACACATCACGTGATGGTCAACGACGCCGCCGGCCGCCGCCTCGTAGAAAACCTGGTGCCGCTTATACGACGTCGTCGCGCACTGTATATTCCCGCCGCCGGCAACCCCCGATCCGCCGGCGAAGTCGCCGTCGTTAAGCAGCAGAGCCATCATCGGATTTTGCTGCTGCTCCATCCCCGCCGCAGAGTAGGCGGCCTGCTGCTTAAAAACCTCCAATTCGTACACATTCAGCCGCGGCTGAGGAGGCGGCGCCGCCAGCCTCTGCTGCCCGAAATCGGCGAAATTAGACATATCCAAACCCAGACAAAGCCCCTCCCGAGTGGTCCGAAGGAATTCGAGTCTGGCGGCGACGTACTCCGCCCGGCCGGCGAGATAGGCGGCGAGGGAGCGGAGCTGCGGCTCCGACATGGCGGCGATGGAGTCGTGCCACGTCGGAAATTTGGCCTCCATGTTTTTCTTCCGCAATTTCGCGAGTTCGTCGTCGATTTTTCGGGCCCGATCGTGGAAGAAGTCGGAAATGCCGAAGGTTTTGTTGCCGGAATCTTTGTTCTTAGCTTTATAGATGTCGATGATTCTGCGGACTTCGTCGGCGGCCGGTGGCCAGATCTCCGGCTCGGCGGCGGAGGAGGAGGAGGAGGCGGAGCGAGGGCCGTAGATGATGATGCAAGCGGTGACGTCACAAAGAGTGGTGAATTCGTGCATCTTTCGAATAAGGCCTTCTTTTCTTTTCTTGAATGTTGTGTTTCTTGATTTTTCCTTTGTGATCAATTCCATATTAAGCTTTGCCCTACCCATCGACACTTTTATTTTTATTTTTTTTTTGTAATCGATTCAATATCCACAAACTAAGAATTGAAAGTAATCCCCCCGACAAGATAATATATATATATATATATATATATATGTTGAGAGAGAGGGATTAGAGGGTTTTGAGAGAAGTTAGTTTCGGGTAATTGATTATATTGATGATCTTTTGGGGATTTCTTGATTTTGAATGTAATAACGTTGTAATTGTAATGTGTGTATGTATATATATATATATATAGAGAGAGAGAGAGAGAGAGAGATTAGTGGATTAATATGTGGGCTTTTTTGGGGATTATCAATTTAATGTAATAATGTGATATCTAGTGTGTGTGTGAGAGAGGGATGAGTATAATTAGGGTTTTGTGATAAGTTAATTGGAGGTAATTAATATTTGGATTTTCTTGGGGATTTCATATCTATATATCTAGTGTGTGTGAGTGAGAGAGAGAGAGAGAGAGAGATAATCTTTGGATTTTCTTGGGGATTTTGTATGAGAGAGAGAGAGAGAGATTAGTGGAATTAGGGTTTTGTGAGAATTTAATTGGGGATTTAATTTCTTAAATGTTTAATACATTCATTGAATATACTTACTAATCACTCAAGATAAAATAATCTAAAATGATGATATAATGTGTGTAGAATGTATATCGATTATGATTTTATGAATAATTTAAAATGATAAAATAAATATATTATTTCATCTCACAAAATATCATATCATATATTATTTTAATTCCAAAATTTTTCAATACCCATCAAAAAAACAAACCCTAAGTATTTTACAAGAATATATATATATATGTATGTAGGTGCGTGTGTATTTTATGCTTTTAAAAAGGAGTGGTACTCAATTACCTTATAAGTATTTCTTTTAATTACCTTATAAGGGTGTGTTTGTTTGGGGTTGAATTTTAGTTGATATTTGAATAATATAAATTTTGCATGTAAAATTAATTTTTAATATAATATAAAAAATAAAAAATAGATATTTGATTTGATATTTTTTAACAAAATTTTTTTTTAATAAGTAGTAAAAAATTTTAAAAGTTGGACAAATGAACACATCCTAGTTCATACATAGCTTATGTTACCATGTTGATTGATTACAATATACAATATATATATATATTAAAACACAATATATTTTAAAAATATATGTTAAAACAATATAAAAACACAATATATTTTTTTATTTTCAACATACTAAATAAATATATATATTCAACATAGTACAATATATAAATTGCACAGCACATATAAAATATATTATTATTATTATTATTATTTTAAAGCCGTTGTGACGAGCAAGAAAAATTGTAATATCATATCGAATCTAATAGTCTGCAAATTAACTCATTTAATGACATAATTAATGCGAAAGTTATTCTTATAGTAAATATTGGAAAGTCTACCCAATAACTTATATTTTTTTTAAAAGTATGTTTTTGTTCATATTAATAAATAATTGTTTGTCATATATGATATCTAGCTTTAACTGTTTTATATATATGGAAATAATTTTTAAAAATTTTATTTACGAATATAATGATTTTTTTAATTATGAAAGTTATTCTCTTTTTAACATTTGTTTGGAAGTTTGGAAATTCAAACCGATTAATCTATCAAAGTGATACAATATGTCTTAATTATACTTTTTTTCGAATATTAAAAAAATTAAAAAAAAAGTTTGTAGATGATATCTAGCTTTGACTGAAATATTTTCCGTTATATTTTAAAATAACTTTCCTAATATACAAATATGTTGTATCATAGAAATATTTTATTTCCTAATCCAATGATATTCTAATTATGGAAATTATTCTCTTCAAATAGTAACATTTTTTTGGGTAATTGACCATTGAGTAATCTATATGCTCAATGTATTATTTTTATCATTTTATTCAAAAATATCTCTTTTAATTATAATAAAAGTAATTGTTGAGAATTTCGATCATTCGAAGTCCAATCTCAACGAATTCGTCGATAAATAAAATAAGTTGACTCATTCTTTAATTCAATTCCTGATCCACCCGCCCAAACCCTTTAGCTCATATCCTAAGCCCAAACTTATAATTTCAATCCCTAAACCATTTGAGCTTGAATTGATTATAACAGTAATGGTGTTTAAAAAAGAGAAAACCGAGAGAGTGAGGGAGAGAGTGACTTTTGAGTGATTTTCCGGTGAGCGTAGGAATCATTTTTGTCGTGGCTTAGAGTGTTGAGCTGACCTCCACCATGCAAAAATAGTTACTTCGGACCAAAATGAGCCAAAAATTCGCCTTTCCTATCGCTGGAGTGTTCGGGTCTGTTGTGTGTAATATATAAATATGAAAATATTTTTGAACATCATACTCCACTTTTTATTTAATTAGTTGATAATATTAAATGATGTGTTTCCTTTATATTTATATTTTAATTTCTATAGATAAAATACTTTCGAACATCATATATTCTATAAAAATTGATACTCCATTTTTGTCAAGACATTGCACAGTGAAAAAATAGCAAAAAACACACCCACACAATTAGTCAACCATACATCATTGTTACCTATCAATTGTGTGATCAAATCCCAACAATCGATTTTCAATCAAGAAAGAGCCAATGCATTATATATATATATATATATATATTGCCAACAATTTTTCTTTCTCCATAGATGCAGATCAAGAATATCATCATCCAGGATTCACTGTTTTCATGGCCACTTAATTCTGTATTTTGCGCCCGGCTGGGACGACATCGACTACTTCATGAACGAGGAAATGGCTGAGCTAAAGGTGCTCCTTCGGGCAGAACCCGGGTTGTGACAACCTAGCAATGAACGAGGTCCATTCCAGACGGATTCGGAGTTGTCTGCAAACAGGGTCCCATACAATTCCAGCAGCATCGGGTTGTCTAGGTACCGTAAATTCTCCAACATTTTAGCCCTCTGATGCTTATCCAGCAGCTCCTGAAAAGGAAAGGAACGCAATCGATTAACAATGGGAGCTCATATTTTAGATGTGAATAAAAAATAAAATAAAAATTGACTACCTTGTGTTTTCCTTCATCATTCTGCTTTGATGTGCCTTTTTGTGCATCATTCGAACAATTTCCATGTGCTGTCTGAATGTGCAGCGCATTTTCCTCGCTAGACTTCTGTGTCGACTGCAAATCTTGAGGACTCTCTTGTTTTCCTGGAACTGTATTGCCATCATCGCTCTGCAGACCGTAGAAGTTTCTGAGGTGTCCCAATTTCATATCCTGGCTTTTTCTTTCGGTTTCAGTATTATCTGCGTCCGGGGAGTTCTCTATGTTTGAGGAAGCATACTCACCAAATGGACTTTCTCCATGTGAGTTTCCCTTCAGGAGTGTATACGAATATGAGGAATCTTAATGCAAAACTAAGTAAACAAATAAGCTATAAAAGTGTAGATTACAACAATTAAAGCAGTCGGGGTTTGAGAAGGGCATTTAAAGCACGTTAGAAACTATAAGGTTGTGTTCTTTTGTGGGTTTTACCGTAGGTTTTTACTATTCAAATTCTTTTTTTCCTCCAAAAATATAACATCAAACGATTATTTTTCTTTTTTTATATTATACTACAAATGTATTTTACTTTCAAAATATCACATCAACCTCTATTTATATCACATCAAGTAACTATTCAAATTCAACTTTTTACTATTCAAAAATCCAAACCCAATAACCAAAACCCACAAACAAACACACCCTAAGTTTTGAATCTTATAAAATTTACAATCTAGTCATGAAAATGTAGCCTGAGAATAAAAAGTAATTGGTTAATTACCTCGGGTTTCATATCTTCGCCAACAGAGTCATCACTTCCTTCAGTTGGTCCTTCCATCAGACGAGCAATCTCCTCTCGCTCCTGCCTGCGCCGCATCATTATGCATATAGCACACATGCAACCTTCTTTGTGCTTCTTAAGTCTGGAGAAACAAGAGTCGAAAATTACAAGTTACAGGCTGACATATGTAAATTCTAAATTCTTTTCACCTGAACTAAAGCCGAGTCTTTGATGAAAAAAGAAAATTAATAGAGAGAGACCAGGAAAAGCATTGAATATTTGCTTAGTTGCAAAAATCCAGGGCAGCAAATAGTAAGCACCCATTGATTTTACTTTCACGTGTGCATCTCCTAGTTATTTAAGTCACTTGATTATTTATCTTAAGAAATACGGAAAAAGTGCAAAAGACAATGGTAGTCCAAAATTTCAGACATACCCATGGAACTTTTTCCCTGAAAGGATCACAGCACCACCATTGGCTGATGTATTCCCTTCACTTGGAGGAGTAAGATCCTTCGGTGGATTGCTTTCGTGTCCTATACAGAATTAAAGAGAACCAAGTTAAAACAAAGGTATACTTGATTCTCATATTCAAAATGTTACAATCATTGCAGCAAAATTAGATCAGTAATCAACGCCTGATTGGAAACTTAGCCATAGAATTACTCAATGGACCAAATTTTATCTTTCAAGATTAAGCTTACGGAACATTGTAATGACCCCCCAAAGTGCAATTTATTTCATAAACCACAGTCAACTCAGTAGTGTGCTTGGCAAAAATGTTTGGTAGCATGGAGCAAAATCCTGATGCCAAACTACTGGCTCTGAATAACCAGAAGATTTAAAGAACATTAATTACACCTAAAAGCGTTGTCATCATAACAGGCCTTTATCCCATCATGTAAATGAAATCCATCCTAGTAAAACAAGGACCCTACTATACATGCTATCTTTTGTAGTGTTAAAAGTCAATTCATGGATTTTCTCACATTAATTAAACTAAGATAGTTCATAAATCCAAGTTATAAAAAAGCCTGTAGCAAGCTTCTTTTTGAAAATTGCTCAGAAACATAATTAATTAGGAAGCAATAAATTTCAGCACAGGCTAAAGACATGCATTCAATTGGATTTAGGGCGATTATGCATCAAATTAAAGTATATTATATACATAAGATTGTAAATTAAAGTAATTACAATTAAAATTGCAAATTAGAAATTAAAAAGAGCAAGTTGAACATGATCCATCCTAGTAAAACAAGGACCCTACTATACATGCTATCTTTTGTAGTGTTAAAAGTCAATTCATGGATTTTCTCACATTAATTAAACTAAGATAGTTCATAAATCCAAGTTATAAAAAAGCCTGTAGCAAGCTTCTTTTTGAAAATTGCTCAGAAACATAATTAATTAGGAAGCAATAAATTTCAGCACAGGCTAAAGACATGCATTCAATTGGATTTAGGGCGATTATGCATCAAATTAAAGTATATTATATACATAAGATTGTAAATTAAAGTAATTACAATTAAAATTGCAAATTAGAAATTAAAAAGAGCAAGTTGAACATGATCCATCCTAGTAAAACAAGGACCCTACTATACATGCTATCTTTTGTAGTGTTAAAAGTCAATTCATGGATTTTCTCACATTAATTAAACTAAGATAGTTCATAAATCCAAGTTATAAAAAAGCCTGTAGCAAGCTTCTTTTTGAAAATTGCTCAGAAACATAATTAATTAGGAAGCAATAAATTTCAGCACAGGCTAAAGACATGCATTCAATTGGATTTAGGGCGATTATGCATCAAATTAAAGTATATTATATACATAAGATTGTAAATTAAAGTAATTACAATTAAAATTGCAAATTAGAAATTAAAAAGAGCAAGTTGAACATGCACATTGAAGGAATGTGTACGGATCGAATAAAACAGTAAAAACACACTTTGATGTATCACTATAAGACTTTAGCATTCTTTAGGTTCCAAGTGGTTAAGCTATCCGAAGGTTTTGAAACCATACAACCCCCATTATGCAACATCTAGTGAAAGATTACTTATTAACATCCAAAAGCTAACTCTGAACATTTTCTGATTTAAATAAATAACATTTTATATCCAACTATAGTGAGAAAAGCCATCTTAAAATCCAAACACGGACAGAAATAATGAAAAAAGTGTAAAGCATGAAGAAAAACATCACCACTAGTTTCCTGTGGCTGATCAGTAGTGTATAATCCAAGTGCAGTCCAATACTTGGTGAAGCTTTTCTTCACGCGCTTCATAAGATCCACAATATAATCACCTTTATTATTGTACTTGTAACAATTATCCCAGATATATTGCACGTCTTTGAAAACATCCTCTGAGCTCTTGTACTTGGTTCCTTTCTCAAGGTTACTGCATATAGTACCGAAATCCATAGGTGTATCTATGACATCAAAGTAGTCCTGTGTCCATTCCACACAAACTTATCAAAACAAACTGATATATCATAATGCAAGTGTGAAAAAAGCCTCAAATAAATGTCTATCTACAATCTTGTACGAGTTTCCACCGAGCCAAAAACAGCTCACACCAAAGCAGAATAACACATTTGATTATTCCACTATGCAGTAAAAGAATGGATCAAACATCAGGCTTACAGGTATTCCAAGAGCAACAGGATTAACAGGGACATTGAAGGGCTCTGCTGCATCCATTTTCATAACTCTTCTTATAACCTAAAAGAAAGAACAATAGAGAAGGGCGATCATTGCAACATCAAATATAACTAAACCTCCAGGTTTTAGCAATTTTACCTCCAATGCAGCTTTTAGTTCTTGTTCGTTGTATTGTGACTCCTGATGAATTGATTCTGTATCTTTCTTCTCTACCTTTTCTACCTTCATTGGTTCAGAATTGCTACAGGGGCTCATACTTGAAGAGCCTAACCCCCTAGATGCTTTAATCTTTATACCCACAGACTTCTTAGATATATTCCCAGATACAACTCCGTTGGTCTCTGACAGAGAATTGGCACTATCCTCCATTTTCTCACTAGGACCGACTTGCTTATCTGAACCCACTGGCTGGTTACTCTTTTCAGTATCACTCAGAGCACGAACATCTTTGGATGTATTCTGAGATTCTAAATTTTTTGAAGTCTTGATCTTCACTTTTACCCTTGTATACACTGCTTTCACAAGTGTGTGGTTATTTTGTCGTATCTCAGGAGCTAAATCAACAGATTTAGCAACTGTTTCAGGCTGACTAGCTCCTCTTGATGGGGATGGCGTGCTCTCAGTCCCGGCATCCACTCCAGAGTCAATATCTTCATTATCAAACTCATTCAAACCAGAATTATCTTCTGCGTTTAAACTAACAGCATTAGATGCCACCTCATTTGCACTGGCCAACTTTGGCTTCTTCTTTGTTTTCCCTTTCTTGTTTGCACGCTTTCGCTTCATTTAAACTTGTTACAACACTTGTCTTTGCAGGTAGATTTCAAGATTGCAGATCCACTATTACTGTATTAAAATACTTCAATCTGGGGATACTGCTATCGTCCTATACAGAAGCAAAGGCAGAATATACAATTGAAGACGTTAGAACTTAGTGCAAGCTATAATCTTCCGTAAACCACATTGTACACATGTTATGCACACAATTTAACCATCACTTTATTTGCAAAATGTGTTAATATCATTTGCCATGTTCACTCACTAGAGATGAGTTGTTGCAATTGAGTATATGCAAAACGTAAAGTTACTTGATTTATCATGATCAGTATGTAAGAATCATAATGAAGTTACAATGCTGATAGTTGTATAAAAACTTTGAAAGTCGGATATTGGAGCTGATCCGTAGAAAATTCCAGAGCATTGCTTCATTTCTCTTCAATAAGCAGAATTAATGCACCGACAAGAGAATGTATCTGAATACATTATAATAAAACAATAAAAGTTTCCATTACTCTTTACATGCAAGTATTACGATCACTTTATTTATATTTTAACCAGAATTACAAGTGAGAAGAAATCTCCAAGAACTCAAAAGTGCTGCACAAGAGAATTTAAAATATATAGGTATGGTAGCCAAAAGGGGAACAAAGCATTTGACTAATTTCAAATTGCCTATCAAATTTCGAGCTGTCTAATGAAAAAAATAAAATAAAATAAAATGAATCCCCACTTATCTGCGAAGTTCTGCCATGTTACATTACTTCTCAGTTTAGTGACATGATTAAAAGCATCCCCAAATTCACTACTTAGGAACACCAAACAAAATACTTAAAAGTACTTGTATTAAAGAGATGTCTGTAATGTTCTCCAAAAACCTCATACCAACAACATCAACATGAATACAAGATTCCTACATCCGAACCAAAATAAACAGCCAAGAAAACTAAAACTAAAAGCACAATTTGGTCAGTAAAATTCAATCAGCATTACTAACAAATTTCTTCTCAACCTACCAATCACAGGTATAATCATCTTTGACTAACAACAAAAAACATCATCATCAATTCAAGCTGATTTAACCTCTTATCAATCTCCAGCATCACCCACAATTCCCAAACTCATCTAATTTTCCACGTCAATTAACAACTAATCCAAAGTACAACTTCAGAATAACCGAACACCACGATCCCAAAATCACCACATAACCTACACTAGCCAACCCAAAATCCCACCAACAACAAACCCTAAAAACAGTACGCATATTCAATCAAAACAATCACACCCCACCATAGCCTCGTTTCGTGGGCAATATTTTTCACAATCAACTGCATGTATAATTCAATTACAAAACAACAAAACACAGGAAACAAAGAAGAAACAAAAAATTATATGACGAATCTTGAAGCGTATTCGTTCGAGAAGAATAGCGAAACTCAAATCGAGCCCGCCCACGACAACAAGGCGGTAAAGAAGCGGGGCTAGCAGAGACGTAGCCCACAAAATACGGTGTAGATGGGAGAGTATATATACGTTTTGCATACCTGGTTTTATAAAAATTCGATTTTTCCGAATCGCCCTTAAAAAGATTAAAACAATAAGATGAGTGAATTTGGGTCTAGGGCATTGTTTGTAAGAGGCTATACTACTGGTCACTTTATTTTAGTTTCTTGTTATAGCCAATCTGTTATTGCTATTTCCACACCCATGACGAAAACGCCCCTGCAATGGTATATTCATAAATTTTATTTTATTTTTCATTAGTAAAAAGATATTTGAAAAAAATATATTAATTAGTTAATAATAATATATTATTTTATTATTTTATTACTACTTTTTTATTTAATTAATAATATTGATAATTGTAAAATAAATTTAATATATATATTAAAAAATTAAATACGCATTTAAATATTTTAAAAATTATATCACAATAAAAAATATATACATAATAAATTTTTTTATAATAAAATATTTTTATTTATTTATAATTAATATAAATTAATTTTATAAAAAATGTAGAAGATAAAATTTATTTTTTTTAGAAATAAAAATAAAAATAAAAGAATTTTTAGTATGTCCTACATAATTTATGATATTATATATTTAGTAGAAAATTTCGACCATAGAAGATTTAGACGTTTTGTCTCCTGTGCTCGATCGAATTGGGTTTTAGAAAAACTTAACTTGCAACAATACAGTCGAATTCATAAAAAACAATGTCATGTTTTCTATACAGGATCTATTTCATGGATATTCCGAATAAAAACATATGTAACGAAACTGTGTTTATTGCTGTTTTAACAATACGGCCATAGCCATGTTTTTAGAAAACGGCCTTGTACATGGCCGTGTCTATCCGATGAATTGTGAAGTGGAATACGAATGTATTTAATTTAACACGTCCGTATTTAAATATGGCTAGTGAAAGTCACCATAAGATATTTAAAAGATCTGGCCAATATATATGTTATAATGTTAAAAGAAAATGATTGAATCATTTGTAAAATAATATTAATTATAAATATTTATGAGAAATATACGTATTTGGTGTAAACTTTTTTTTATAGCGCTATCAATAAATAGTGGAAGTAATTTTATAATATATATTAAAAAGAGTTTTAATATAATTCAATATATATTTTTTTAAATAATATTTAAGCTGTTTAAAATATAATTTTTGAAATGTGTTGAAATGGTTAACTTGAATAATTTTTTATTGATATAATTTTTAATATATAATATTTTTTATAAAAAAGTTAATGTTTAATTTAAAATATTCTTTTTTTATAAATCAATACAATTTACTATATCTAAAAAATAAAAAATAATAATAATAATAAAAAAACTTTAATTTAAACTAAAACACCAATAGAATGTCACATAATTAATAATACAAAATATATGTTAATTATAATATAAATCGACCATAATAATCTACATATAAACGAACACCAATAGAGTGTTAAAGAATTAATAATACAAAATATATGTTAATTATAATATAAATTGACAATAATAATCCACACAATGCATACTGTATATAAGTAACAAAATGTACAATCTACGCATGCTATATTAGTTCAACACATGTGCAGGTGGTAAAATTTTATATTATGATTCTCTTACACTCTGTATTTTTGTTTAATATTGTAATTTAATATATTTTTCTAGATAAAAATATATAGAAAAATATATATTTTTATTATAAATAGTTGTGTGAAAAAGTAAAAAATATATATATTACTAGAAATTTAGTTAGGGAAACAAACCCTATGGATTAAAATTATATATATACTCACTCTTTTCCATATTTATATATTTATTTATTTTTTGTACGGAATTTTAGAAATATTAGTATTATATTGGGATAAAATATAAATAAAAGTAAAAAGATTAAATTAACCCGGTATGATATAAATGTAATGATATTTGTGTAATATATTCTAAACTGGAAGGATATTTGTAATGTTAAGTAGATAGTGCAATTACTAAAAAAAATGAAATTGATATTTTGTTATGGGACGGACCAAAATAAAAAAAATAGATAGATTGTTAAGGGATTGAGGGAGTATTTTTTTTATAATGTGAGAATCCGCAACTACTAGCCGATGAGTGCGCTCTGAGTAAACTTCCGGTCAAACTTAATACTCTGCAAATTAGATTCGACAAGACAAGTTACACTAACTGAATCATGTATGGCAAGTGAACCTAGAGACATCGAAATTTAAACTCATGATCTCACAGTCACAAATTCACTCCATACGCTGCATAGCTATCCCTTACCCCTTACGCGACATAGAAATTTTACATTGTTGTATACAAATAGAATGGCATGTCGGGAATATTGTCCGGAACATCAATGTCTCCTTCCAACATCCTTATAGCCTCCAACATTGTTGGCCTCAAAGCCACCATCAAATGCGCACACAAAATCCCAACCCTCACAAACCTCTCCATCGCCGCCACCCCATCCTTCCCGCCGCCGCCGATCACGGCGGGGTCCACCGCTGCTGCCGCCCTCCCGCCCCTCGCCCGCCTCCAAGCCCAATCCGTGATCAGCAACTCCGCCGATGGCCCCGAAAAATCGAGAACTTTTCTCCCGCACATTATCTCTAGAACCACAATTCCAAAACTGTACACATCGCTCTTCTCTGTCAGCTGCCCATATAGAGCGTACTCGGGCGCCATATACCCATGCGTCCCGACGATTCGCGTCGAGAAGTCGCAATTGCCCTCTGACGGTATCCCTCGTTTGGCAAGCCCGAAATCTGCGACTCGAGCGCGCATGCTCGAGTCTAACAATATGTTGCTCGGCTTTACGTCACGGTGATATATTGGCGGATTCACGCCGTAATGGAGGTAAGCCAACGCATTTGCCACGTCGAGAATCACCGTCTTTCTTTGCTGCCATGTCAGCAGAACTCGTTGAGTCGTAACCTGGGGGAATAAACGGTCTTGTAGATTCCCGTTCGGCATGTACTCGTAGACGACATACTCTACGCCGTTTGAGACGCACCCGCCTCGTAGCGGGACGAGATTCCGGTGCTTCAAAATCGAGATCATCTCGAATTCCCCGTGATACTCGCCGTGAATTTTGTAAAAACCCGAGTCGATTATCCTCTTGACGGCGATCGTAGTTCCGTCGCGCAATGTCCCCTTGTAGACATCGCCGAACCGCCCTTTCCCTATTAAGTTCCTCGTCGAAAATGTTCCTGTCGCCTTCTCGAGGTCGCGGATCTCGAATTCCATCGGCCGCGATCTTGGCTTCCAATTCAGCAACGCATCCTCCTCCGAATCGAAATCCAATCTCGGTAACGATGGAACTTCCGGCGGCGGAGCAATTTTCCGGTCACCGGAAAAATGCAACATGTAGCATCCAACTAAACATATCATTACAAAAACAGCCGATACGGCGGCGCCGACAGAGCCGAAGACAATCGCCGATTTTCTCGCCGGCGCCGAAGACAAAACGGGCAATCCGAGGATGCAAGAGAGGGCGCCGGGGCTGTCAGGGCCGAGCTCGTTGACAACGCCGGCGGCATACAGAACAGTGTAATAAAAGCATCCTTTCCAGTGATCGACATCGCCGTCGATACCGAGCAGCCGGGACTGGACCTGGAAGCCGGCGAGGACACAGGCGTCGCAGGCCGCCGCGTCGGCGACGTCTGTCCGGCAGGCGGCGTCGAGGGCGGTGGAATGTCCTAACAGCCTCAGCCAGTCCGACGTGGTCCGTACGCCGGCGCAAGCATTTCTGGTATGGACAAATTGCTCCGGTCGGAAACAGACCGCCGTCAGGTTGGGGGCGAGGCCGAGGCCGGCGAGCCTGGCCTGGAATTCCGACAGGCAGGAGGCGGAGGTGCTGCGGTCGGGGAGGCGGAAATGGGAGGTGTGGTTGAGGTAGCGGGCGGTGGCGACGCCGATGAGGCTGGTAAGAGTCTGACAGCAGGTGGCGATGTTGTCGTGAGTACAGGAGGAGGAGTCCCAGGGGATTGTGGCGACATAGCTGAAGTCCATAGGGCAGTCGGAATTAATGGAAGATGCAGAAATCTGTGAGGACAGTGTTAAAGAGGAGACGAGGAGGAAGACGATGACATAAGCCATTGGTGGATGATATTGAAGACTTCCACCATTAAAATAGATTTCTGTTTTAGGGCAAGAAACTTCTTAGTTCGTCGGGACTCTATCGTCGTCGTCATCACTTTTGTCTCCCACGAGGAACCTCCAGTTGACCGATGGTAGAAATTTGAAATTGATTTGTTTTTATTTAAAAAAAAACTATATAATTTAGAATAAAATAATTTTGATTTTATACTTCCATTCAATATGACATTTCTCAATATTTGAATAAATTCCAATTATGGGTCGTACTCGTGAGTGAGTTCCACTGAAGTGATAGTGGGTGGGCTGGCTGTCCTTTGTCAACTGTTTATTGCAAAAATAAATATATATATATATATATGTTTAAAAAAATAAATAAATTGTTAATTGCAAATATATATATATATATATATATATTTTGGTTAATTGCAAAAATTGAGGACAAGGCTTCGAGGTATTTTCTCGGACTCGGAAATGGAAGGAAAGAAAGAAAATGACAGAACGGTTAGTGGTTTTTCATTCGTTCTTATTGTTGGTGCTGTGCTCGTATTGTCACATTCTCTTTTCTCAGCATGGACAGTGTAATTTTTGTTTTTTATTTAAAATTTGAATATAATAAAATTTGAATTAAATAATGTCATTTGTTAATATAATATTTTGTTCATTTGATCCTAGGATTTTTACAAAAATAGATGAAAATAAAAAATTTTACTTTATAAGATAAAAACAAAATAGGAAATATCGTATTTTTTCTGTTCGAAAATTATAATATTAGTTGAGTATTAATTATATTGGACACGAGATTTAACAAATATTAATATTATATTGGTACTTGATAAAAAAATATGGATAAATGATTTTTTTGACTTGTGATAATTGTATAATAATAATGAAAAAATAGAAATAATTTTATAATGATACGGTTATTTATTAAAATAAAACTATTGTCTTGGAATAAAAAATAATAATAACTAAGACTGTTGTATTGAAAATGAAAAAGTATTTTTTATATACAAAAACAAAAATATATTTAGATGTCAATAAAAAAAAAAAAAAGAATAAATTTAAATAATGGGACTATTAGGGCCCGTTTGGATTGGCTTAAAAAATAAGCAGAAGTCAAAAGCAGAAGCAGAAGCAGAAGTAGTCCGATTTTGTATTTGGATAAATTATTATAAAAGTAGCTTTTCGTAAAAAACTGTTTGGACGTTGAAAGTGCTTTTAAACTGTTAAAATTACTTAAAATGACATGCGGATAATATAATACTAGTATTTTTCTATAATACTTTTATAATTTAATTTAAATTTTATAAATTATATTTAAATATTTTAAATTAAAGTATAACAAATGTAGTTTTAAATTTTGATTATTTATATTTTAAAATTTTAATTTAAAGATAATATATCACTGAAACATAAAATTATAGTATAATATTATATAATTTGTATTTTATAAATTTATTTTAAAATTTTATAAATTATATTTAATAATTTAAGTATAATTAAAAAATTTATATACTCCTATTTACATTCAGTATTTAAATTTTAAATTTTAATCCAAATATAATACATAAATTAAAAATAATAAATTAATTATATTTTTTAATTTGTATTAAAATATAATATATATATATATAAGTTATTTATTTTTATATTATATTATATTATTGTTATTATTATTATTATTATTAAGGATAAAACAGTAATTTTAACTTGAAAAGTACTTCTGTTTATTTCAAAAGCTACCCAATGTGCTTCTGAAAAAAACACTTTCAACTTCAAAAACTGCTTCTGCTTTTGAACAGAAGTCAATGCAAATATGTGCAAACTGTTTTTTTAGAAGCAGAAGCCAAAAGCTCCTATAGTACCTTATATTAAGGGTGGATTTTTATATAATATACTATTTCTTTTGTCTGGTAATAAGATTTATATTTAATTTTTATGTGTTAATATTAAATATTAATATTATATTAATATATAATATAAATAAAAAAAATAACAAAAAAAATTATTTATATTGTATAATACAAATATAATAATATTTGTAATAATAAATTATTTAAATATAAAAATATTTTTATTGTATATTAAATGCAAAAATAAGTTAGATGATATGGTAATTTTAAATAATTTTTCTATTTATTACTTCTCTCATATAAAAACAATTGACTCATTTTTTAGTTTTATTTATTGGGTTCTTCCACCATTTTTTTCTATATAATTTTTTAAAAATATTAATATATCATATACATTTATTATTTTTATATTTTTTACAAATGCTATATACTTTACATGAGAAAATATTTATTCAATTTATCCCACAAAACAAACATAATTTTATTTGACAGTTTTTTATATGGATAAAATTTATTAATTCAAAACATACTTATAAATATAAAATAATTTAAGTAATTTCATAATCTATAAAATCATACTATCCATACATGATCAATTTAAAACTATTTTATTTTAATTTTTTTTATCTCAATATATAAATATTTTATCTACGGTTAAAATTTTTTATCTTTTATAAAAATTAGTTTATGTTTATAATAAATAAATAAATAAATTTTTATTTATTTATATCATATAAAATTTTATTATCTAGAAAGTGATATACATATTATATATTTTTTTATTTAGATATAATTTTAAAAATATTTAAATTAATATTTTAATATTTTTTAATTATATATATTACTAATTTTATTTTAAAATTACAAAACATATCACTCACATCAAAAAAAATAATAATGATAAACTATATCATAACTTGCTACGATTAACCAATTAAACATCATTATTTTAAATATTGTACCGTAAATCAAAGATGTCAATTGTTTCGGACGAAAAAAAATATTATTTATTTATTTTTCTTTTCATATTTTTTTAAAATGCAAAACCAAAATTAGAGGACGTTTGGTTACTGGTTGGGTTTTATTTTAAAAATAATTAATTTAATTAATATTTGATTTATAATAAAATAGATAGAGAGTTTTAAAAAAAATTTAAAATGTGTTAAATATTTTTATCGCTATTCTTCAAGAAATAATAGTATTTTAATTATAGTGGACAGTTAAAAGTAGTGTAATGATATTTTTGCCCTTGCTTTTTTGTCTAAAAGTAATGATGCGATATAAAGTATGAGTATTTGTGAAAAAAGTAAGACATTTAATGAAATATTTATTTTGTAATTGAATGTCCCAAAATAAAAATATGTATACTTTCTAATTTGACGGAGGGAGTATATCAATATTACCAATTCAATCTCATTTTCTACTCCATTTTTTGGAGTTATGTTAGTGTTACTCTATTTTTGAACTAACATTGTGCACTACTCCATTCTAGAGTTATGTATTTTTGTAATTTTGTTAATTTTTGGTCATGTTTAAATTTATTTTTTTTGAAACGTAATATGTAATTTAATTTTTGGAAAATAATGTGTATTTTTATTTTTGAAGCACAACATATAGTTTCATTTTTTTAAAAGTAATACTCTTTTCGTCCCAATGCAAGGTTGTCGTTTACTTTTGGCACATAGATTTTTTAATATTAGTATTATAATAAGATGTAGTGAAAAATACGAAAATACCCATATTAGTACTGTGTAATATATAAGTTTGTAAGCTTGAAGGACATTTATTATGTTATGTATGTAACACAATTACTAAATTAGAAAAATGATAAACTTGTTTTGAGATGGATAAAAATGGAAACATGACAACCTTTCAATTGGACGGAGAGAGTATGTAATTTTATTTTTTTAAAAATAATGTATAAATTTATTTTTTAGAAAGTGATATACGGAATATAATTTTATTTTCGGAGAGAAATATATAAATAATAAAAAGTTAAGATTGAATGTAATTTATAAATATAAAAATTTGTATTATATTATAAAATAATATATATAGGAAATATATATTTTTTTTACTGGAACAACTATATTTTTTAAGAAATTGATTGGAGATGGTTTAATCTACTAATGGTGTATTTGTTTGGGAGTTTGGATTTTGGATTGATATTTGAATAGTAAAAAATATTGAATTTAAATAGTTGTATTATGTGATATAAATATGTATTGATGTAATATTTTAAATGTAAAATTAATTTAGTATAATATAAAAACGAAAATAGACGTTTGATTTGATATTTTTGAATTTTTGTTTTTGTATAAATAGTACTATAAATCCTTCTAAATCATTGTGTTTGTTTGGGGGTTTGGATTTTGAGTTGAGATTTGAATAGTAAAAATTTTAAATTTGAATAATTGTATGATGTGATATAAATAGGTGTTGATATGATATTTTGAATGTAAAATTAATTTTTAGTATAATATAAAAAATAAAAACTAAATATTTAATTTGATTTTTTTTAAAAAAAATAAATAGTAAATTTAAAATAAAATGCCCCGAACAAACACACAAGGAATGTATGTTTTTTTTTACTAGAAGTCAATCACCAATGGGACTCTACCATGTCAGATAAGTGACGTGGTCAACGATCATGGCTCATGACAAGTAAGCAAAGACATATTTGCCTAATTTTAATTTCTCAATAACAAAATAAATTTACTTGTATTTTAATTTTATATTTGAGAATACATATAAACAATTATTTAAATAATATTTTAAAAATATAAAGGGCTTGTTTGCAATTAGCTGATAGATGTTAGCTGATTCAATCTGACTAGCTGATTCGATTAGCTGTTTGTATTAAAATGTTTGGTAAAATAACTGTTTGATATTAGCTGTTTATACATAAAATGACAATTGAGAACATTTCTATTTTATTTTTATTTTTAATATATTCAATTATGTTTTTTTAGTTTAGAATATTTAAAAATTTTTGTTATTAGTTATTGAAAATTGTAAAAGTGTTATAAAAGTATTTATTTTTATTACAGTTAGATTTTTAAAAATAATATATTTTTATTAAAATATATAAATAGTTTTTTCTATTGAAAATGATGTAACGGATGAAATGGGATCAGAGTCGTGAACAGGTAATAAATTTTTCGTGTATATATTTATTATGTTAGTTATCGATTAATTCATTATATTTATAATTTTCAATAATTTTAATTTATTTAATTTATTTTTAGTATAAAATTTATATAATGTAATTTACATATAAAAATAAATTATTAATATTTATATTTTATATTTTATGTTGATTTTAATAAATTTATATATTTTAACATTAAAATAAGTTTTATATAAAAATTAATTATTTTAAAGATATAAAATAAAACTATAATATAATAAAATATTCTAATATAATTAATAAATATCTTTATTTGTGTAAAATGCATAAGAAATTTTTAAGGACATATAAAGAATAATTTTTTTTTTTTACTAAAAAGCTATTTTAAAAAGTTGGGTAAGTTAGTTTTTAGAAATTAGCTTTTTGGGTCCAAAAAGTTATTCAAAAAACTAATTTACCAAACACCTAAATTAAAAAAAAAAAAAAAAAACTATTTGCCAAACACCCCAAAATTATTTAGAAAAAAAAAAAAATTAAAGGAACAAGATCCATTTTGCATCATTTATAAGGGATTCTTGTAGAACTTATTAGATACCATTGACTTCTGTATCTAATAAGTTTTTTTAATATTTAAATATATTTGAAATATAAAAGGACAAACTAAATTTTATAAAATTGGATTGAGTTAAGACTTAATTTTTGAATTTGAATTTTTATAATATTTATAAATAATATTTTTATTAAAAAAAAACTAAATAGTAAAAACTGACTATATTTTTATACATACTCATACTTTAAAAACATTTGAAATTATTTTTATGAATTAATAATAATTCATCAAAATATTAAATTCAATAATTTATTTGAAAAATTAAAAAGAAAAGATTAAGAAATTACGAAGGTGCCCTTCCCTGCAGGTAGTCAGAAACACGAGCAGTTCGGACTCCTCCGTGTTTGAGACTGGCGGCCCAAAAGCACACAGAGTCTTCGTTTCCCTCGTAGGTCAGCGCTCAATTTACACTTCCAGATCGACCACTGGATACGTAGAATCAACCATTGACGAATAATCGGAGAACACATTGAGGTAAGGGAAACCAATTTCCTTAATTCTGCGCGCAATGGGGATGGCTTGATCCTATTCAACATCGAAGATTTGGAGCACAAGTTCATCAGAAATTCATTCCAGATTCGAGAATGGGGACCCTAATCAGATCTAGGGTCTGTTTTCTGCTCCTTCTGGCTTTGTATATTGGTCTCTCCTGTCACTCGGCCACTGCCCAGGATCGCCGGCCGAAGAATGTCCAGGTTGCCCTAAGAGCCAAGTGGTCTGGCACTCCCCTTCTTTTGGAAGCCGGGTATGATTCTATACCTATCCTGATGTTTTGTTTTTATCCTCTGTAAGTAATGTTAGCTTCGATATTTGGGGCTTTTGATCTACTGTGAAGTGTAATTGTGGCATGGTCGTAATGAATTGTGCTTTCTTCCCTATCAGTCGAACTGCAATTGTGCAAGAAGTTTTTTGATTAGATAATTTGTAAGAAAGAGGTTTTATTTCCAGTTTTTACCATCTTACATGTTCTGGAATATGCCTGGCTTACTGTGCAGCTGCATTGTAGAAGATATGGTAGGTTAGCTGTTGGCTTTGTCTGCTGTCTTATTGTTTCAATTAATTTACAGTTTCTTTGGCCAGTTAAATTAAATGCCATGGCCGAAAAGAAATTTATAGTCATGTGTCTTTTAATGTAAAATTCTTACTTGAACTAAATAAACAACAACAAAAAAAAACAGTTCTTTCTTGTTGCTAACCAAAATGGATGTTTATACATAAAATATAGGGTCTGTTTTGATTGTATTTTGAATGAAATGTAAATATTGGATGGGATGTTTAAAATGAAACATAGGAGCTGGAGTTCATTTGGACAGGAAAGATAATTTTACTGTGTAGACTGCATAACGTGGAATGGGACGAAAACACAATTGAACACATTGTTTTTTGGCCAATTTTCCCCCTTTTTTTCTGGCCAAGGAAAATGTATTTATTATGATTATTATTTCTAAACTTTATTTTTCCCATATGTTGATGCATAACTTGTTGCTTTTTCTTCTGTATTACTCTTCCCTTTGGTAACCTGGGTTAAACTGTGATTTTATTTTGAGGTGTCTTGAATTAGGAGCATGTACTGAATTAATGCAACCTTGTTGTTCCAGTTCATTTTTGTTGATTGAGCACGGTCTGATACTCTTATATAATGATAAATGGATCAATAAATGCATAAGCACTGGGAAGCTACTGATCATAGGGTGAATAAGACCTTCTAGAAGCTTCTCAAGCTGGTATTGATGTATAAAATCAAGCAATAAAATTAATATAATGACTTCAGAATTGAACGGCAGCACTCTGTATATGAACATGTGAATATTATATTAGCTCCTGCAGTAACTCTGGCTTCTCTAAATAGAAAATAGACTCATTTATAATAAAAGTGTTTCTGCTTAGCACGTGATTGGTGATGATTCTATCAAATAGTGTGTCTTCTTTAGTGCATTATGGCTATTGGTTGTTATATTTTACAGGGAATTGCTGGCGAAGGAATGGAAAGACTTATTCTGGGATTTTGTCGAATCATGGATTCAGTCTGATAATGTAGACTCTGAATTGAATTCTGCTAAAGATTGTTTGAAGAAAATTTCAACATATGGGAAATCTCTATTAACTGAGCCTTTAGCATCGATTTTTGAATTCTCCCTCACCCTTAGGTCAGCTTCGCCTAGGTTAGTGGTGTATCGCCAATTAGCTGAGGAATCTCTTTCATCTTTTCCTCTAACTGATGATGATCTTACCTCAAACGCTATTGAAGGAGGGATTTTGAAACCAAACGAAACCACCATAACCAAAAACTCCGAAAGGTTTCTCTTGGGCATGAACCCCAATAGTCCAGGAAATAAATGTTGTTGGGTTGATACTGGTGAGTCACTGTTTTTTGAAGTTGCAGAGTTGCAGACGTGGCTGTCAAATCTCAATCACATGTATGTCCAGCACAACGCTATACTGCTACTCTCTAAAAAAGAACTTATAGGCACTAGTTTATATCCATTCCTAACAGAAAGCCTTTGGTTTAGTTGTAATCATAATATTCCTTCTTTTAATTCCAGGACTGATGGCACATTTCAGCAGCCCGAGATTTTTGAATTTGATCATATTCATCCAGAATCATCAGCTGGAGGTCTCACTGCCATTCTGTATGGAGGTCTTGGGACAGAATGCTTCAAAGAATTTCACCTAACTTTGTCAGAAGCTGCTAAAAAGGTTCAAATAGTAAAATATTATCATCCTGAAATGTAGTATCTTAAAAAGAAACTCAAATAGTAAGCACACCCCTTGGGTGTAGTTCCTTATCTTTTCTTAAGATTTATCCGGTGATGATGATTTGCTATGTAATCCTTAGGGTCAAGTGAAGTATGTTGCCAGATCTGTATTGCCTTCAGGGTGTGAATCAAAAGCTGCCACCTGTGGAGCTATTGGTACAGGAGAACCATTAAACCTAGCTGGCTATGGGGTGGAGCTTGCTTTGAAGAATATGGAATACAAGGCTATGGATGATAGCGCAATAAAGAAAGGTGGGATACTTGTAGTTTAGATGTTACTATTAAGATTATCTAGTGAGATTATCTTTGAAGAATTTTCTATTAATTGCAGGTGTAACTCTGGAGGATCCTCACACAGAAGATCTTAGCCAAGAAGTCCGAGGGTTTATATTCTCCCGGATTTTGGTTTGTTCATTCTCTCATTTACTAATAGAATTACTATCAAATAGAAAATAAGCAAATAAATGTAACTGGATGTGTTGAAAACTTGAAAACAAACACCACAATGTTAAGATCTGTTTTCATGTACAAAGGGTGAAGCACATGGACTCTCTATGTATTAATTTTCTGCGGGTAAAGTGTTTTTTAACTGTGAAAATATGTGAACATGTTTATGTGCAAACTCTTGTAGGAGCGCAAACCACAGCTTACATCTGAGGTAATGGCATTCAGGGATTATCTATTATCGGCTGCTGTTTCTGATACCCTGGATGTTTGGGAGCTGAAAGGTGATTCTTTATTGTAACTTAAATCAATCTTGATTAGATTTAAGCACTCATAACTTTACTAATAATTTCCATTGATGGGCCAGACTTAGGACATCAAACTGCACAGAGGATTTTGCATGCTTCTGATCCTTTGCAAGCAATGCAGGAAATCAATCAAAATTTTCCCACTGTTGTGTCTTCATTATCTCGTATGAAGGTAGGGCGTTTTTTCTCTGTATAAGTTGATCTAGCATGTTGTGATGTGTACTCTTAAGTTTGGGCTGGCAAATATATTGTTGATAACTTGATAATATGTTATTTGTGGAGTGATGGATAATGTGCTAACTTTCTTGCAGGTCAATGATTCCATAAAAGAGGAAATTATAGCAAACCAGCGAATGATTCCTCCTGGCAAGTCCTTGTTGGCACTCAATGGCGCCTTAATCAATATTGAAGATGTTGACCTATATCTGTAATGCTCCTTCACACCCTTCTCTCTAAGATCACTTCATATTCCTTCCTTGGTGACTCTCTTTGCTCCATATTGGGGAAAAAATAAATAATAAATGAAGTTCCCTATATTGTGTCATGAGACTCCTTTGATAACATGAAAAAGTACCATGTGGTCAGCAGTTTCCTTGCAAGATTACTTCTGCTTGCAACCTGTTATACTGGCTACTTCTGCTAGCAACCTGTTATGCTGGTTTGGTGTTTAGGTTGCAGTAGCATTCTGTAGAACACTTTATATCCACTACCTAGCTAAGAAAAAAAGGTAAATGCAAGGGCACATAAAAGGGAAAACAACACTTATAGTAATTTATAAATGATTATAATGTTTCCATAGTTGTGATTACTTAAGAAACACTAGCTATTATATTTCTATAATCTATATTTGCTACACACCATATACCTTTACACCCTTGTCCTTTAATTGGATGATAAAAGCCCAGGACAGTGCATGGCCAGTAACAATTCTTTGTTTTTCATGTTTACACTTAGTTTGTTGATTGTTTCCTCGTCTTTTAAAGCCCTGTGGATTCCTCTATAAGTTTTACCCTAACAAACTTCAGTTTTAAGCTGACTTGTGATGTATGTGTCATTTCCAGACTGATTGACTTGGTTCATCAGGAGCTATCATTGGCTGATCAGTATAGAAAACTAAAGGTATGTACTTTTAAAATTCCTATCAGTGAGATTAATGTTGGAGCCCAATTTGGACATAGTAGCTGGATTTACATTTCTATTTCAATTAGTAAATTTGAACTTAAAATCATTATTGAGCACATTCCTCTTGGTTGTGATACTTAGTTAACTAGTTTCCAAAATTGAATGTTCCCAATGAACTTGTAGATCCCTCCAAGTACTGTGAAGAAATTACTTTCCATTTTGCCCCCATCAGAATCGGATGCACTGCGTGTAGATTTTCGCTCTCACCATGTTCACTACATTAATAACTTGGAAGTGGATGCCATATACAAGCGATGGAGAAGCAATATTAATGAGGTTTAGCATTCTTCTAACATGTGTTTATAGTCCTTTAAGAATTACTGTACTAACATAATTGTATTCCATCTCTGGTCATAGATTTTGATGCCAGTCTTCCCTGGGCAACTGCATTACATTCGTAAGAACATGTTTCATGCAGTTTATGTTCTGGACCCTGCATCTCCACGTGGGCTTGAGGCAAGCGTGTATCTTGTCGACTTATATATAGATCTAGCATACACTTCTTGTTCGATCATGATTCCGTTATAATTTGAATGATGCAGACAGTTGATTTGATCATATCCTTGTTTGAGAATAATCTCCCAATGAGGTTTGGAGTAATATTGTACTCCGCAAAATTAATTGAGAAAGTTGAAGCAAATGATGGGGAACTTCCAATCAAATCTTTGGAGGATGATCAGGAAGATGTTTCTACTTTGGTAATTTCTTAACATTATACCACTATGTTTTGAGGCGTTTTCGAAATGTTCTTTCACATGGTAATGGCTTGTTGACTTCTTTGTTTGAATTGAAGGAACAAGTTATGAATATAATCATTTCACTTCTTTATCCTAATCAAATGCTGAATATGTTGGATTTATATATTTATCCGGCTTATGTGTTTCCTTTTAGATATTCTGGGCGAATTCATCTTGTAAAAAATAAAATCACTCATTTGTTGTAAAACTGCAATAGCATTCTGCCACTTTGGGCTTACCCAAATATTTGGTGTATAAAGGATGTTATGTAATAACTTCCTGTGACATATTAATATACTGAGCAACGTGCGGCACTCTCATTGTAAGTAACTACAAAAGTTCTTATTTGTTGATTAATTTGACATGGCTGCACATTAGATTCTACTACGTTGACTTTTCTGATCTTCCCCTATCCGACTTGAACTTTCATGGTAAAAATTATTATGGCCTGTATATGTGATGGCTTGGATGTTCCTGTGGAGCTATTGTGATTTGTTTCCTCCATGCTTTGATACAGTTTCTCATTGATCAGACTCTTGAAAATAACTTTTACATTCTTACAATTTGAAACTGCGAGCCATTTAAAAGATTCCTCCCCCAGATTAATGTTTAATGATTCAATAAAGTAGAAAAGGATTCTGAGATAAACTGCAATTTAATTAACCATTATGCTTGAAAAAAGAATTTTAAAATGCTAAATGATGGCGGGAACATAACTTTACTGATGATGTGTTGTTTTCTGTTTAACAGATTATACAGCTTTTTGTTTACATCAAGGAGAATCATGGAACTTTGATGGCTTTCCAGTTTCTGAGCAACGTAAGGGTTTTCAATCTTTTATTAATCAAGCCACTGGTTGCTCTGCCATTTCTTTACTGGCCATAATCAAGATATCATGGAAAGAGTAGATTGATATTCTGGTTCTTTAGTTGGGTTAATACATTCAGCTAAGGAATCAAAATGAGCTCAGCTGTTCTACCCTTGTGTACCTTGATAAACAAAAATTTCATGAAAAGTATGCATTACAGACATGTTTTACGTGAGAGGGTGACATATGTTCAGTGTCACATGATATTATAATCATTGTACAAAATCATGAAGACTTATATGAAGATGCACTTTTAAAATTTCAATACAGGGCTAGTTCTTACTAAAAATCCTTTCGTGTGTTCTTTTGAGGATGTTTACTTAAGATATTACTATTCATCAAAAAAATTTCCTCAAAAAATATCAAATCAAAATTATACTAGAAATTAAATTTACATTCAAAAAATTACATCGTCACCTATTTATATCACATTGTGTAACTATTTCAATTCAAAATTTTTAATATTCAAATTCTAAACACAAAATCCAAACCCTCAAAAGAACACACCTGAATTCATCTTAGTGGATATAGAGTAATGTACATTATTTCTTATTGACATGGAGCATATCCAAGATTGTTCTACCCTGTTTGCTTGCAATCAAGTCATTGTTTCTTTAATGTTATACCTGTTCTAAAATTTATCCTTTGTGATTTTAGGTGAACAAATTAAGGCTTGAATCGGGTGCAGAAGACGATCCAGAAACACATCTTGTAGAAGGAGCTTTTGTTGAAACAATACTGTAAGACTTTGAAAATTTCTACCTGATTAGTTACTGTCTTGTTGGTGTTCTCTGCCATCTGCAAGGCACATTTGATAAAATACACTTCCATCAATAATCAGAATCCTGTTACTTTAAATGATTCTATCAACCAAATACCTTATTATATAGCTCCACCTCTTAGGCCAAAGGCAAAATCACCACCGCAAGATACTCTGCAGAGACTGGTGAAGGATCAAACATTGAATAAACTCTCTCTGGAAAGCTCCATGTTTGCTTTTAAATTGGGTTTGAACAAGTTGGATTGTGCTCTCTTGATGAATGGGCTTGTCTATGAACCGAATGAGGTAGACATCAATGCAGTTCTACATCCCTCTGTTCTTTGGAAGTCCTTGAGATATGTCTGCAACAGTTTGTTTTGATCCCTTTTTTCTTTAAGATATGTCTGCAGCAGTTTTATGCTTTTTTTGAAAGCCATAGAACTTACGTGTTGGCTACATCACATGGATCTATTTGTTTATTACATATTTATTTCCTTGTTAATGACTAAGAAACTAAAGACTGGAGGAAGAGATACTTTGCTAATTGATGAGTGCAGTAGTGATGAATCCTATTAGGTGAACTTTGGCCAATCCGTGCAAGATAAGAGTTACATCTAAACATATAAACCAACCCTTAGAAGTAACAAACATTTTAAATATCGGGAGAGAAAGGTTGTATTTTTTTAGTGTTTAGTAATTTTTAGGGTTTTTATTGTTAGTTATTGGAAACTGCAAAAGTATTATTAAAATATTTGTTCTGTTGTTTTTCTTTTAATATTTTATAAGAAATAGTGTATTTTATTGAGAACGACATGTAGTGTTTTGTGAAAGTAAACAAAACCAATTTATATTGAACCTCTATCAGCTGTTCTTATTACTTTGTAACCGAAAATGGTGAAACCAGATTTAGCTTGAGTTTCAGCGGTCAACAAATAGTGGCATTATCAGCAGGTATGTGATGTGAACTTTTTCTTGGATCTGCTTTCTTCAGGAGGCTCTTTTAAATGCCGTAAATGAGGAACTTCCTAGAATACAAGAGCAAGTATATTATGGACATATAAATTCTCACACTGATATTCTGGAAAAATTTCTTGCCGTAAGTGGTGTCCAGCGATACAACCCAAAGGTATCTCTTTGTGTTATTTTGAATTCTTTGATTGTACACTTTTCTATTGCTTAATCTTGTAAATCTTTGATCATGTAGATCATAGGAGATGGGAAAGCTTCACCCAAATTTGTGTCTTTGTCTGCATCAATTCTTACAAAAGACTCTGTCTTGAATGCTCTACATTACTTGCATTCTCCTGAAAGTAAGTTGTTGTAAAGCACAATCAAGAATGCACATTTCTTGAAAAAAGTACCTAAGTTTGCCATATTATTTCAGCTATGGATGATGTGAAGCCTGTGACTCATCTTCTTGTTGTTGACATCACATCAAAGAAAGGGATGAAATTGCTACGGGAAGGAATACGCTATCTGGTAATTTTTATGCTTCACTTGTTTACATTATTATATGCATGATAATATGATTCATTTAATTGAAGTGATAGTTTGATCTCTTGTACTATGGCCAATGCTCTATACCTTGCTACATTAGCTGTTTGTCAAATTGAATGTTCTTGTACATAGGTGTTATGTTGCTAATATCGTGCATTTTGTCATAGACCGGGTTTTCTGCATGTCCTGTTTCACCCTGTAGTTATCTGTTGTCATATGTGTAGCAGTGTAGCTAATTTCCTATGTAGTTTGTTCAGGTTTGCATTTCATTGTGTTGATATGTAATATACATATAATATTTTCTACTGTATGTTTTGCAGATTGATGGTTCTACAAATGCTCGAATTGGTGTGTTGTTTAATGCTAATAAGGATACAACATTACCTGGTTTCGTGTTTATAAAGGCTTTTGAAATAACTGCATCATCATATAGGTATGTGAATTTTCTATTTTGTTTCGATATCCCTCAAGTTAGTACGTAGATGTTCCACATAAATCTTACTTTGGGTTATTTGATTGTTGGTTTTTTAAGTTTGTTTTCTTTCCAACATATTGTACATTGCAGCCATAAGAAAGGGGTGCTACAATTCCTTGATCAACTCTGTGCTTTCTATGAGCAACACCATGTTGTTGTTTCTGGGACTAGTGAAAGCTACCAGTCACTTGTAGATAAGATCTTACAATTAGCAGATGCAAATGGTTTGCCGTCGAAGGGCTATGAGTCTGCACTGCCTGAGTTATCTGCTGAAAGTTCAAGGACTGACTTAAAAAGGGTATTTCTTCATCCATGATAGAAAATGTCACTGAAGCAGTCTGATCAATTATCTCTTTAATCAACTATCTTCCAGTGAGGGCTTCTGAATTAACTTACTTTTCCTTCGTATGTATGGAATAATATAGTTTGTTTTGCTTATAAACCTTTTAACTCATGTAGGTAAATACTAAAGAGTCTCTGTTTCCACACAAATGAACCTTCGTGTGCCTCATTTTATTCGTTTGTGTATGGCAAAGAATGTTTTAACAGCTGCAACCTAGCAAAATACTTGGCTAATGTTTGACCAGTTACTTAAAGTATTGCACATATATTTTTATCCCTGGTTATGACAATAATAATTATGATTCATATAAGTCATTCAAAATGAGTAACATTTTGTAGTGGTACTTGTTCTGCAGGTGGCCCAATTTTTATACAGTACAAGTGGTATAGAAGGTGGTGTAAATGCGGTTATCACAAATGGGAGAGTAAGCTTTCTGCTTGCCTTTAGAGCATCACTATCTAATAGCATTATTAGATTATTTAGACCTTCATTTTGTAGTAACTTGTCTAATGATTTTTAATTTTTTAGTTATTAACTGTCTTCAACAATGATTTACTTTTTTTTTTTTGTGCATCTCTTGATGAACACTTCTATTTTGCATCTCATCAATAATTTTTTTCTTTTTGCTGAGTCCTTGTGTAATGTCAATGACCTTTTCCATAGGTTATCCGAATATTTGATGGGAGTTCATTCTTGAGCCATGATCTTCGTCTTCTTGAATCTCTAGAGTTCAAGAAACGAATAAAGAATATTGCGGAGATTGTTGAAGAAATCAAGTGGGAGGATATGGATCCTGATCTATTAACTAGGTATGCACACCTTATGTGATGCAATCTGGTTTCCATTTTCCCATCTTATTTATATCTTTTAATGAAATTTTTTAAATCACACGGCAAGCTATCAACTGGTTCAGCATGTTGATGCACACAAGTCTCTGTAATTATATGTTGTATGTCATCTTCAAATAATTGAAAACTACTATTTGCAGCAAATTCATCAGTGACATTGTTATGGCTCTCACCTCCTCAATTTCTACAAGGGATCGAAGTTCCGAAAGTGCTCGCTTTGACATTTTAAGTGCAGACTACAGGTACCTACCTATTTGCAATTTCAGAAAATTAAGTATTGTCAGGAGCCAGCATACTTTTCGTGTTCATGTCCAGGTTTCAAGAATTTATTGCATGTGTTTTTGTCAAGCCAGAAGTAATATAAGTATTTCTTACTTCTATATTATTGATGCGTCTTAGTGATTTTAGTAATGCTCGCCTTCTTAGTCTGTGTTTTTAATATTCTTTAATATTCTCATTGGTCAGACTTTTCACATGTTTTGCCTTCATGTAGTTATCACTTGGACACTAACGTGACTGCTTTTGTTCTTACTCGTGAAATTCCCTGCTCCCTAGTCATTTGACTTCTGTCTTTCATAGTTCCAATGTACCTTGTATTCTTGCAAGATCTAAGGTCCTTTGTAAAACTATAGAATGTAAGTAGAGAAAATGAAGACCTCTTCTTCTTGTACTTTTCACAGTGCTGTTATTTTGGAAGATAAACTTTCAAGCATTCATATTGATGCTGTCATTGATCCCCTGAGTCCTTCTGGTCAAAAGTTAGCTGCTCTGCTTCGAATTCTGTCCAAGTACACCCAGCCGAGTATGAGACTTGTGCTGAATCCAGTGGTACGTTTATCTCACGTTTCTTATGCTTTGATATTCCTGCTTGCTAAACAAACCTGTTGAAATGCTGTTGCAATATTGCTCTTGAAACTTGTACAATGAGAAGAGAGAGAGATGATTTCATATTGTGAGAACTGAAATATTATCTGCAATCATCAAACAAGGTAGGCTTGAAAATTCTATTGCATTTGTTTGGGGGTTTGAATTTTGGGTTTTGGTTTAAATAGTAATTTTATTTAATTTTTTAATTTGAATAGTTGTTTGATGTGATATAAGTTAACTAGAATTTAACTAGAGTTTAGTTATTTTGAAGCATCCATCTGAGACTCCGAACTTTAAAGTAATTTTTGGTACGAACAAATGTGGCCAACCTTCTACTTACATATTGGTTTTACAATAGTTTCTATCGTCATGTCATCCACTCATCATTCTAATGCTTATTTAATTTGGGCAATTGGAACATTTTGTTATCGACTTGTGGCTGTGTATACCACTTCTGGAATTGTGCTTGAACAAACGATTATCTTGTATTTGTGGCAGAGCTCTCTGGCAGATCTTCCGTTGAAGAATTACTACAGATTTGTAGTTCCCTCACTGGTATACCTAATGTCTCTGAACTTTATCCTCTTTTGTCAATTAACTTTCACCCTTTCATCACTCGGGTTTTTTTTTTGTAGGATGACTTCAGCTGTACAGATAACACAGTTCATGGTCCCAAAGCATTTTTCGCTAATATGCCACTCTCGAAAACTCTAACTATGAATCTTGATGTTCCCGAACCATGGCTTGTTCAGTCTGTGTATGCTATGTAAGTTTTTAAATGCAATCTGGAGTCTTTTGAATGTTCAGCACCACTATTTGCATGTCTGCTGAAGTGTCAGGACTTGGATTTTGCAGCCATGACCTGGACAACATATTGCTAGAGAATCTTGCTGACACGAGGACGTTGCAAGCGGTGTACGAACTTGAAGCTCTTGTACTTACAGGTAAAATTATATAATCTAAGTTTTTCAGTCAGTCCAGGCATGCTAATTATTTGTTAATGGAAATGTGAGTAGGGCATTGCTCCGAAAAAGATCACGAACCTCCCCGAGGTCTGCAGTTGATTCTTGGAACAAAGAATACTCCCCACTTAGTTGATACACTCGTCATGGCCAATCTGGGTTACTGGCAAATGAAGGGCTTTCCTGGGGTGTGGTACTTGCAGCTTGCTCCTGGTAGAAGCTCTGAACTCTATCTTATGAAAGAAGATGGTGACGGAACTCAGAAGACGACGTTGTTGAAGCAAATCATAATAGATGATTTGCGTGGTAAATTGGTTCATATGGAAGTGGTGAAGAAGAAAGGCAAGGAGCGGGAGAAACTGTTGGTTCCTACTGATGATGACGGTCATTCTAGTTCCACGAAAGTAAGATATTAAGATTTTTACTATCTACACCTCTTCATCATAATGCATTAAATGAAGCCCTTTTATCTGACTTCAAAGTCGTATCAAATGAAAATGTTTGTTTAGGGTAACCATAACAGCTGGAACTCCAACATCCTCAAATGGGCTTCTGGATTCATCGGAGGAAAAGGAAAATCTAACGACGAAAGCAGCTCCTTGGTAATCCATCTTTTTTATTCTTTCTTCCGTCTCTTCTTATTTGCAAGACTCCGCATATATAAAGACTTGTTGATTTACTGTAGGTTTCTGAAAGCGATGGTCGCCATGGACAGAAAATTAACATATTTTCCGTTGCTTCTGGGCACTTGTAAGTATCTTGTATCTCTACAAGCATTTGATATCTGTCAGTCTAGTAGAAGCACCATGGGCTTCATTATAATCATACGAATGTACTTACTCTTGTTTATATAAAAATTTCTCTGCAGGTACGAACGGTTCCTGAAAATAATGATTTTGAGTGTTCTGAAGAACACAGATCGACCGGTCAAGTTTTGGTTTATAAAGAACTACCTCTCCCCTCAATTCAAGGTTTTATGCAAACTCCTAACTGCCCATTGTCAATGGATTTCTTGCTATATGGTTCTTAATCCATTCAACACAATCATTATCACATTTTGCCAGTGTCTATGTTGAAGTGTTTACGGTATCCTGCAGGACGTAATTCCCCATATGGCACAACACTATGGTTTCGAGTACGAGTTGATTACCTACAAGTGGCCGACATGGCTCCATAAACAGAAAGAGAAACAGAGAATCATTTGGGCATACAAAATCCTTTTCCTAGACGTCATTTTCCCGCTAGCCTTAGAGAAGGTATTTGTGGAAACACTAAGCGCAGACAATGTGTTTTCTTGTACTATCCTCGCCTAAGGTAAAAAGCATTGTCGTTGCAGGTTATATTCGTGGATGCAGACCAAATTGTGAGGGCAGATATGGGCGAGCTTTACGACATGGATTTGAAAGGAAGATCTCTTGCATATACTCCATTCTGTGACAATAACAAAGAGATGGACGGCTATCGATTCTGGAAACAAGTACATCCCCACTCTACCTATCTCTCAATATATTTTTGGAGCCAACTTTTTTAAACCAAGAGCGATTGATTTTTAATGATGTCGAAACAGGGATTCTGGAAAGATCATTTGCGAGGAAAGCCGTATCATATTAGGTGAGTGCAGTGTACCTCATTGTAGTAAATGATCATCTTTTCATGTGTTCCAATATATTCTACGGCCCGTCATTGCTGCTGCATCCTTTCGCAGTGCTTTGTATGTAGTTGATCTTGTCAAATTCCGGGAGACGGCTGCAGGAGACCAGTTGCGAGTAATTTATGAAACTCTGAGCAAAGATCCCAACAGTCTATCGAATCTTGATCAGGCAAGTGAAGTTTGATTCAACATCATAATTATGAACTTGAGCTCAACCCAATTCAATTTTACTCCGCTGTAGGATCTACCGAACTACGCCCAACACATGGTGCCCATCTTTTCCCTCCCCCAAGAGTGGCTATGGTGCGAGTCGTGGTGTGGCAATGCAACAAAATCCCGGGCAAAGACAATCGATCTGTGCAACAATCCCATGACAAAGGAGCCCAAACTCCAGGTAGAAGTCGAACAAAAAACTTTTCTTGCTTACCTCACCAATTTCCTCGCCTCACTTTCGCTTGTATCCATTCCCCGTGCTGTGCTCCTTCCCTTGCAGGGAGCCAAAAGAATAGTCACAGAGTGGCCGGACCTCGATCTTGAAGCCCGGCGCTTCACTGCCAGAATCTCAGGCGAAATCATAGAAGAACCACAGGAACAAGCAGCGCCGCCACCGCCACCACCTCCCCAAACCGAAACTGCAAACAACGATGCATCGGAAGACATTGAGTGGAAAGCAGAACTTTGAATGCTCGAGCTTCCGACAGACATACCTCAGCGCGATATGATCAGAACACTTTTCGGAGGAGAATCGTTGTCGACGATGCTACCGGACTTTGGTGGTGAAAGAACTGAAATATCAGTGTATGTATCAAGAGCGTTCATATTTCTTTTCCTAATCTTCCTTCCAAATGGTGGTTGGGATTGGGGACACTGAATTTTGTCTGTCTCAAGTATGTTAGGTAGTACATGAGAGAGAAAGAATGAGAGAGAGAGAGAGAGAGAGGAACTATATATTAGTTAATACTACTACACACACTTAACACTTTTTTATCAATGGAATAGAAGAATGACATATTTATCTCTGCATCATTCAAAAACAGTGTAGAATTAAGAGTGAGAAACTTAACTATTCATGGTATGATCTAAGATGTGTGACTGACTGATAGCATATGTGCAATCTGCAATCTTCTTCTTGTTTGATTGATAGCATACCTTAGGATGGCAGCCACTGTTTATGGGGTCTAATCCTTCCCATATTTCTTTCTTTATCAAAATACTACATCACATCATTATCACACAGAATCATCTTCTGCACCATTTTACAATATTAAATATGGCAAATGATTGTGTTTGTTTGGGAGTTTGGATTTTGAGTTGGGATTCGAATAGTAAAAATTTCGAATTTGAATACTTGTATGATGTGAGATAAATAGATGTTGATGTGATATAAATAGATGTTGATGTGATATTTTGAATGTAAAATTGATTTTTAGTATAATATAAAAAAAAAAATACGTGATGTTTTTTTGGGGGAAAAAATGAGATGAATAGTAAGATTTTGTTAAAATCCTTCAAACGAACACTCTTCCCTATTTGAAATCTCACCACTTCCTTACATCCATTGACAATAATCTTTCATAATAAACATGTTCTAGTTATGTGCTTATGTTCTTCATTCAAGAATCTTGTTGATGGACTGTTTCTGGTTTTCATCCTTGGAAACCATAACTGTACAAGTACAGCACTTAGTGCCGTGGGCAAGTTTGGCTGAGACCTTGTCGAACTAGCCGTTGAGGACAAGAACTTAACGTAGCTCGGGAGGTATTTTTTATGATGGACGCAAGCGTAGTTGAACACGGATCGAGCCCGAGCCCTTGTCGGAAAAGGGAGTGTCACAAAGTATATTTATGATAGTTAGTTACTTAATAGTAATATGTATGTATGTGAGTATGTATCCTACAAGTAGTAGTAGGGAATGTTGACGAGGGATCCCATTGTGCCCCACATTTTAAATAAAGTAGAAACCATAATAAAACCATATATGTTCTCAAATATTATGGAACTCCCTAAAAAGCATTCTGCTTCTCTTGTGTTGAGAGTTAGACTCTCTATATTGAGTGAGTGCTTTTACAAACACACATACTCTCTCCTTCTCAGACATTTAATAATTGTAAATGGCAGATTCCCAATCATCTCCTCCACCCTAAAGCACAGAGACATAATTGCTCCCAACAAACATATTCTTCTTTGTCATTTGGAAACCTGTGCTCCTGGAAATATGCACTTGATGCATTTTCTCTGTTAAGAGAGGCCTACTAACTCTAATTCTCCACTGAATTCTCTCAAAATTCCCCCAAAAAGTGCACACACACACATACACACACATATATATATATCAACATATATATATATATATCTCCATCACTTTTGTTTTCCTCCCAACTTCAACTCCAACTCACATCCTATTCATTCATTCCCAACTCTTTGTTCTTTGTTTCTTTGTTTCATCCAACAATATATCCATCCCATGATGAGTAGTCATTCTTCTTCCTCCACTTCTGTGAGTGGATTCTTCAGTTTCCTGGCAAGAGAGCTCAATAATCTTGATCACCTCTTCCTCTCCCAGAACTTCATGTCAATCAACTTCCTTCAACATGTTCTCTCATCCCTCAGATCCTTCCATTCCCAGTTAACCCTTCTTGTTCAAAAGTTACACTTGCCCGCCGGAGAAAAATGGCTCGATGAGTACATGGACGAAAGCTCCCGCCTTTGGGATGCTTGCCATCTCCTCAAATCAGCTGTATCTTCCATGGAGAACTACTATTCATCTGGGGCCAATATGCTATCTTTAATCAGTGATCGCCGCCGTGTTCTAAACGCTCAGCTCTCCCGCCAGGTTACTCATACCATATGCTATCCATAATCCAATTAATCTTAACTGTTCATATAAACAAACTAGTATTGTATTATATTCTGTCTTCTTATGTTTCAAGATCAATATGTATATATATATACCTTTTGGGGCAGGTTGTAAGAGCAATCAACGGCTGCCAAATGGAAATGACGGCGCTGCAAGAGGAAAACAAGAGCTTAGCAGAAACAAGAGCACAAAACATATGTCTAAGGCAAGATGAAAATGTCGTGGTAGATTCTAAATTCAACAAGTACAGTGGTTTCAGGGGAGTCCTATATGCAATGAGGAGTGTTAGCACATTGCTACTAATGATTTTACTAAGTGGGCTTGTGTATTTCTGCCCTGAAATGAGCTTACTATACCAAGGGGGCTGCCAAGGAATATCAGCATTCGGATCCACTTTCATGGTTGCAACAACTACATTGCAACAGAGAGTGGCGAATGCGATAGGCCAACTTGATTGTCAGCCAGGAATCCTTCTGCATGAGCTGCAGGAGGCCAGGTTTGCCATGGATGAGCTGAAAATGGAGGTGGAAAGCTTACTGGAGTACGGACAGGAGGCGCCGCCCACAATCCAAGTTTATGATAAAGTTGAAAACTTGAAGAGCTGTTTGGGAATTTTGCAATGTGGGGCTGAGAGCATAATTGGGCAGCTTGATGACTTCTTTGATGAAATAGTTGAAGGTAGGAAGATGCTTTTGGGCATGTGTTCTCATAGGTAGGGACAGACAGGGACAAGAGGAAAGGAGAAAAACAGGTGTGAATTTGACTGTAAGACATCAGATGATGATTTAGTAGTGATTCTAATCTTCATTTCAATTCCCTCTTCCTATGTGCATTGTTTTCTTGTTGAAGCTAGGGGAATATTTTTTAAGGTAAAAGAATGTGATTCTTGCTTTCAAGGAAAGTAGCTAAGCATTACTATAATGAGGGTACAAACAAGTAGAATATGTTGGATAATGATAGCTTCAACAGAAAGCAAGACTTCCTGCAAAGGAAAAACAAAAATTTAAATTTAAACAAACAAAAGGAAGAAAAGAATAGATTCTTCTAATCATGTTCCTCTGCTAGTAAAATAGTTTATCCTACTCTTACAGGAAGAGCTAAAAGCATATTTAAAAAGAAAGAAAATCAATGATACACAAAGTAAATAAATAAAGTAAATGCAACACTATTTTAGACATGTTAGTGCACACTTAGGTTCATATATTTTGCAAAACCAAAAATCAGAAAAAAACAAAACACCCATGATGATCATCAACGGAAAGCATCCATATATGGTGGCAAATATATTGAAAAGAAATTTCATAAAAAAAAAAAAAAAAAAAGAGAGAGAGAGATTTAACTCCCACAAAATTAATTTATTGGTATAGTACTTTATACAGTAAGTAAGGCTGTTGAAACAATTACTTGAGTCTTCCAAGAATTGGAAGATGCTTCTCTCGACTAATAAAAGAGGATATATGATCACTGAAATAAAGTTAGCAAAAGGGAATGATGCTTCCTGTTTGCTTGACAATGTCATTCTACACAAGAAAATGACAGCTACTTTTGCATTGAAGCAGCCCTCCTCCACCAGACTACTTTTTTCTTAGTCTACACTAAAATTAACTTTTCTTGATTTTAATCTAAACTAACCTTAAAAGCAAATAACTGTTTGTGTAAAATCCTACTGAACATAAGCCTGCCAAGTTAGGGAAAAAGAGGAAAGGAAAAGTAGCTAAATCATGAAAAGGAACTAATAATACAAGATTCTTTATCATTAGAAACAGTTCAAATCTAATTCACTGACAGCGCAAGCAAATAGTTAGATTTGATTGCACTGAAGAGGAAAATGGAAAAAAAGATTTGACAACACACCACATTAAGCATTTTGATCAATGGCCACTGGCCCCATACCATTCAAGAAAGTTCCTTATTTTTGGCAGAGTCAATGGCTAATACTAGTGATCAACAATACCACAGTTAAGTTAATAATTTTTAAGAAATAACTTGCTGTTTGTTACTCAGCAGTGTATGTATGAACCTCAAAATAAGAAGGGTTCAAAGCACTTAGAGTGGAGTTTGAAAAACACTAATTAAAAGGTCTGAGTCAACTTTATTGGGAGGTGGGTTTGTTCCTGACAACTAATGAAAATCTTACATGCAATTTCCATGTTAGATTCTCCAAAGTTGTGATAGTAAAATGGACAATGATTCCACCTGTGAAACAATGATGGGAAAGTGGGGGAGGAGGACAATATGGGAGGAGAGAGATGAGCATGAAGGGAAGAAAAAATAAAATTAAAAATTAAAAAAAGTGCAGATGGTAGGGGATTTCTAATATAATAATATAGTGATCTGCTTTATAGAAGAAAAAAATAAAATATATAGATATATCAAAAAAGAAGTATTTCTTTCTCAATTGAAGCTTTTGTCTGATTCTAGTTTTTCTTTTCCTTGGAATTGAAACTTGAAAGTAATGGGATTTTGGTGATTGTTTCCTGCTGCTTATGATAAAGTAAAGCTTCTCAGAACAGAGCAAATATTTGAGGTCTGTTTCAAAGTTCATTACCATACCAAATCTGACACTGTTGCTTGTTCCCTCTGGTGTGTTTTGCTTGGCTCTTTTTAAAGTCTACTCCTCTTTACAACTTGCAAGAGGATTGGTTCCTTTCAAATAATTCATCGAATGATTTCCCTCTGCATGCTTAGCATTGATAGTTTCTGTATTGAGGGAAGGAAGACTGCAAGAACAGGACAAACACACAAGAGTTAGACATAATGCCAACAGAAAGAATAAGAAAGAAAATAAAGAGGTTCCAGCAAGTTACAAAGAGAGGGAACTTTTTCTGCAAAGTCCATTTTCAGTTTCATTTATGAGAGATTTCTTTAGACACAATTCCTTTACCTGCAAGCATTGCTGTCCTGTCCTGACTTGCAACTTTTCCCATGAGTTCTAACCACAGAATCACATCAACATATATACAAGATCAGCATGTCCTGTTTGTTGCAAGATTGGTGATCCCAAAGAATAGAAATAAATAGTTAAACAATTACATAAGAGCTATTCAATCAGCTTGACAACTGCAGAATACATACATACAGGATAGGGAATCAGCAATTCAAACACAAAAGCAAAGAATACATTATTACAGGATGTGCATGCCCTGACATCACAAGTAGAAGCTCATACTACATACAACATAATTCCAATAACTGAAGGGAAATAAATGTAATTCGATCTTAAGATGATCACAAGCACCAAATAAATAATAATGTAACCTTCCATAGCAAAAATCCACAGGAAAAAATTACAGCAAATGATAGGGTCCTGCAATTAGCACATAATCGTCGGTGCCACGAAAACTTAGCCAGGGGTAAAGCTTGGCAGCATTCAGCTACACTCCATTCTCAAAACTTGAGTGACCATATGTTGGCATGATAACCAGACAGGTTGGTGGTGCATGCAATGATATAAAACTCAATGAGAAAAACTTTATATCAAACACAGCTGCCAAAGAATCATAAAAAGCCCCATCATTTTGGTTGTACAAGGATTCCTATGCCACTTTGAAGATACCATTTTAAAGGAGATTATCATGAATAGGTAGATGGAAGTATGCCTCTCCCATGTAAGACAGGAACCAAATCATCCATCACATCCCGCAATGGCAAATTGTGAAGCAAAGCTTTCTACCCGGTTCCAAAGTTCAATCATTTCTTTGTTGTCCGCAAGGCCATTCATGAACCCTTTTCGTTGTTTCCCATGTTCTTTCTATATAGAACTAGCAATACGAGCAGCTTGAATAAGAAATCCAGCTATCGTCTCAAAATCAGCCTCTAGACAACCTCTTGAAGTCATTGCAGGTGTACGTACCTAGGGCACAATCATTTTTAAAATATCACAAAATTATAATAGCCACACACAGAACCTGTGTATTAAGAAAATAAACACTGTCAATTTCATATTCAAAAGATAGTAAACTTACCCATCCTTACGCCTCTGGGTGTTATGTTGCCATTGTCATAAAAAACAGTAACTTTATTCACGGAACCTCTCAAAATTTTTGCCTACATCCCGAAATATAGACATGATAAATACATGCTATGTAGTCTAAGCATCAAAAGCAGAACATATCATCCACATGCAACTCCAGCACAATTGATGTTATATGGTTGATGAACTTGAAATATATTAGATTAACACAAACCCTACGGACAAACATTGCAAAAGAAACAAACCAAGAGGTCATTATATAAATCTTAAACAGTGACGCAACATTATAATTCACATTGTTGTGATTAAGAAATCAACTGAGAGAAAAACAATGCTATATTGGGTCCAAAGGCATCTAAAAAAAATTACATCATGGTACACTAGCAGTAGGTACCCTATGTCAATATTCAGCCATCAAAGAGTCCCTGATCAATACATTGTTTGTGAGAACACACACTGCCCTCATATTATCAATTCCCAAACATAGATAACTCATTGCTGTCAAATAAGATCAGCAACAAACACATAATTTTAAAATACTCAAATTTCTCACAGGGTACAAGAAGATGAAAATGCAGAACTATTGGACCATAGTAAATGCATATCATAATGCCATGCAAGTGATATCTATAACAATGAAATTTGGAGGGGGAAAATGTAAAAGATTACTCAATAAAGATAATGAGAATAGATTGATTCCAGAACATAAACTGTACCCAGAAAAAATATATATATCATAAATTCATAAGAAAACAATCTTTCCACCTAGAAATATAGTTATCCAGGAACTTACATATAGTCCTACCTACATAGAGCATGGCACTAATCTATTTAATGCTGATCTACCAAAATGTTAGTTATACTTTGTTGTTTAATTTTTCTTACAGAAGAAACTTTTGTTCATTAGTTTGGATAACATATAATTTGTTCATATTTTTTAAACATGAAAACTATCAATATCATCGACAAACTTTATATATTACATACTTATGTACTGAACTCCTATCTGGGATATGCTACAACATGAACTGTGTGTCATCTCTTTAAGTAGGATTTCAAGCCATGACATTATACACCAATGACAAGTATCGTCTTTTGGTAAGCCTTAGCTAAACAGAATATAATCAGGAACATAGTCTTAATTAGACCATCAACTTCCAAACAGGAATGCCTATCCATTGTGTGAGGTAATATATTGCAGCAGTTGGAAAGGCATTCAAAGTTCACATCAATATTACTTTCATTTCAAACCATTTTTCTTGATTGTCCCACTTTGCATCCAACTTCCCCAACTCACTATTATTGACCCAATGCTTCATGAAACAAAAAAATAAGATTATTTACAAGTTAAAGTAGAGTGTTTAGCTAACTCATCCAACCTGAAGTAGTATATCTGAAGTGATGAAATCATGCATCAACAATAAAATCATAGCCTGTAATGCACATCAGATGATATAACCAAGTTGGCAGATAAGAGGATAAGTAGCATCAATATAAAAAAAACAACGTGCCTGTCAATCCAAAATTTAAAGTCCCACAGCAACAGATGATTATCAGTGCCCCCAGTCACTAATTTGCAGTCTCCTCTCAATAAATTAAAGCTGATGCTAAAGCCTGAGAATTTTTCTTAACTTGTTGCATATAAGCTTGTATACAGAAGTTACCACCTCTTTCAGTGCTATTAGCGTGCTGGGAAAACAGCAAAGTTAATCCTCTCCTCAAAAGTCATATCGATCTGTGCCATCTCCTTGATTAAGAACCATGCCTCTCTTCTTTGGCTTTTGTCCTGAAAATATTTAAAATATTATAAAGTAATTATAATCTAGTAATGAGAAAAAATTTGGAAAATTTTCGTAAAAGAAACAAACCTTTGCCCTAATAAATCCAACTCCACGCTCTACAGCGCCGCCGCAGCCGCACCAGGTTCTTCCCCATCTTCTTCTTCTTCCCCAATTCTTTCCTTATTCTTTCCTCCTCCTAACTTCTTCACAATCGCAGCCGCAGCCCTCAGGTTCTTTCTGCATCTTTTTCTTCTTTCCCAATTCTTTCCTTTCTTCCATCTTCTTTCCACTTCCTCCTCCTTCACAGTCCCCGCCCACCCGCAACATTCCACAGTCGCCGCCCCGATTCCAACTAAAATTTAAGTCATGGCTGAACCGCCGGTTGACAAATATACGAATCGAAAACCGGAGGTTCCGAACCGGAAGGGCAAGTCTAACCCCTCAAGGTGGGAATCGTGTTCTGTGTTCTGAGCCCAAAACAAATTCAAGAAACCATAATAGCCTACTCACTCAGTCTTCCCCCCTCTAGGTTAATCTATCAACAAACCCAAAACCAAACCCGCCGTCAATTCCACACCTGAAGCCCCTCCACTGCCGATCGTCTCTAAGTTGACAAACAGAGAGAGAGGAAGACGCTTCGATTTACATCTGCGATTGCACTACTGCACATGCTTTTTTTACCTACCCACCAGGTTTGCCTATCCCTTACTCTTATCATCCATCATCCATAACCAATTGTATTATATATATATATATATATGTATATGTTGGAATTTTGGCCAAACTGTTCGAGTTATTGTGTTAATCATCGAGCAACTAGGTCGGCACATGCTTTATAATATTTGTTGTGTGGTGGGAGAATTTTAAGAGTTATGGTTGAGTTCTGATTATGGGTCCTTTTAGGAAATTGTTCAATGTATGAATCTCGTAGGATCAGATTAATCAAATTTCAGAATGACTCAAGGGCAGGAGGACTTATGATATGCGATTCATTTTTCAAGGCTGAATTACAACTCATATAAATTGAAGGGATTGAATGGAATTTTTTTTTCTTAAAAACAAAATTTATATGTTGGTTGTTTTTCGCTTGAAGTATTCAAATGGGTCGTAATATTATGTTGTCCAGGTTATAATGCTATAAATAAAATCCAACATCAAACTTGGGTATGAGTTTGATTGCACGAGTGAGGCAGCATTTGCCATATGGATTCTTGAGAAGGCATGCGGCATCCCCTTCAATCAGAAACTTTACTCAGCCAGCAAGGGTCGAAGACGAAGAGGAAGTTGAAATAGATCAAAGAAGGCTTCCTGCTGATTATGACCCAGCAAACTTCGACCCCACAGAGCATCGTAGCCCCCCATCTGAGAGGGTATGGAGGCTTGTTGATGAAATAGCTGGGTTGACTCTTGCTGAATCTGCGGAGCTGTCGTCTATTATGATGAGGAAATTGGGCATGAAGGAAATGCCAGTCATTGGGGTCATGAAGCCCGGTGCTGTTGGAGTGGCAGGGAACACTGCAGCAGCAGCAACAGCAGCCAAGGAGGAAAGCAAGCCTGAAAAGACTGCATTTGAGCTAAAGCTAGAATCTTTTGATGCTGCATCGAAGCTCAAGATTATTAAGGAGATCCGCAGTTTTACTGAGTTGGGGCTGAAGGAGGCAAAAGACTTGGCAGAGAAATTGCCTGCAATCATCAAGAAGGGGGTCCCCAAGGAAGAAGCAGAAAAAATTGTTGAAAGGATGAAAGCAATTGGGGCAGTAGTCATAATGGATTGATCAATTGTTTTCATTCATTCATATCTGTATTGTATGCATGCTTTGTCTTGTCTGATGATTGTTTCTTCTCTCGATATATGTATGGAAGGAAGGATGCATTGCACGATATACTCTTGGAGAATAATCCAATCCAATCCCATCCCTCAATTTTTTCTTATGGCAACAGTCAGTGGGACTGGTGTGGTGTGTTAGTCATCATCTTACAAATTGTGCACTTATTTGCTGCTTCAGGCCTCCAGTCTAGTCTATACTCCTGCTTGCCTTCACTTGAAGATAGCGAGCGTGTAAGAGGAGGACAGGACAGGCATCCATCCAACGAGAGAGAGGTAAACTCACTCTCACTCACATACTAATCACTAATCTTTATTTGATTCTTCTCATTGTGTGGAGGATCTAATAATAATTTCTTAATGATGAATGGAAATGTTTGGAGAGGGGAAGGAGTGGAGTAGAGTGGGTATGTGTCAACTGAAAGCTATATAATACAGTTGCAAGAGGAGTGGTGTTATATGTACTGTACTGCATTATATGATTGATTTTGTGATCTGCTGCTTTGCCTCTCTATTTCTCTAAAGGAGTGATTGGAAGGATCTCGAGTTCAAAGACTATAACTTTAACTTTCTGCAAAGGGAAGGTTGGCAAGCCAGCCAGCAGAAGGTGGTTGGGTTGTCTCAAGGCATGGCATGCCTACACAACTTACTATACTGTACTTCATTTTCTTTCTGCCCATATATGGTTTTAAATAACCCAATATTTATGCTACAAATCTAATCACACTAGGTGCTTGAATTTCAATAGAAGAACCAACCATTCAATTATGCATGTATAATCTTTTTTTATTCAATCGGAAAATGCCCTGTTTCTCATTTATCCAACTTTTCAATGAAATATGAAAAAAAATGGATTGATTGTCTTACTTTCTACTTGGATGGCATATTAACTGGTTTCATAATTATTGTGCTTGTGATGCCAAGTCATGTAGATGTTTATTCATTGTTGGACTGATTAAAAAAGTTGGTTCAGTTGATATTTCTTCAATTCAAATGGGGTGAGCTTGAGCTTGGTGATTTCAATTTGTTTTTAATGCAGCGTTTCTTAGTTCCCAATTTATGATCTGCTTCTGATAAAATGCAGCTTTGAAACAAATTTGCCGAAAGCAGGTGTGACATTGTACACCACTTCTTGGATTAAACACTGTTCAGCTTTATATGGCACTGTATTTCATATTTTCATTTTTTTTAATATTTATTTATAAACAAAATTTGAAATACTTAGAGGATTGATTGAATGTGCTGTTATACTATCTCAGATCCATCTTTTATTACTTGAAATCTTTTTGGATCTCAATAAAAAATATTCAAGTATGTGCCCTGTCTTACTATAGATAAGGGTTTCCCATTACATACACTGCATTAGTTGATAAATCAAATGATTAGTTGATAGTTTCTGTAGTTAAGGAAGACTGAAAGAACAGGACAAAACACAATAGTTAATGCCATTGCCAACAGAAAGAAAATAAAGAGATTACAGCAAGCTACAAAGAGAGGGAACTTTTTCTGCAAAGTCCATTTTCAGTTTTCATTTATGAGAATTCTTTAGACACAATCCCTTTACCTGCAAGCTATTGCTGTCCTGTCCTGACTTGCAACTTTTCCCATGAGTTCTAAGTTCTAACCAAAGATTCACATCAACATACATACATACAAGATCAGCATGTCATGTTTGTTGCAAGATTGGTAATCCCAAAGATTAATACAAATAAATAGTTACACAATTACATAGGAGCTTTTCAATCAGCAATTCAAACACAAAAGCAAAGACAATACACTATTACAGGATGTTCATGCCTTGACATCACAAGTAGAAACTCAAACTACATACAACATAATTCCAATAACTGTTGGGAAATAAATGTAATTCGATCTTAACATGCTCACAAGCACAAAATAAATACTAATAATTTAACCTTCCATAGCAAAAATCCACAGGACAAAATAACAGCAAATGATAGGGCCCTACAATTAACACATAATCGTCGGTACCACCAAAACTTAGCCGAGGATGAAGCTTGGCAGCATTCAGCCACACTCGACATTCTCAAAACTTGAGTGACCATCAGGTTCTGCCCAGAGCATATGTTGGCATGATAACCAGACAGGGTGGTGGTGCATGCAATGATATAAAACCCAATGAGTAAAATTTTATATGAAACACAGCTGCCAAAGAATCATAAAAAGCCCCATCATTTTGGTTGTACAAGGATTCCTATGCCACTTTATCATGAATAGATGGAAATATGCCTCTCCCATGTAAGACAGGAACCAAATCATTCATCAAATCCCGGCATGGCAAATTGTGAAGCAAAGGTTTCTACCCGGTTCCGGAGTTCAATGATTTCTTTGTTGTTCTCAAGTCCTTTCATAAACCCTTTTGGCTGTTTCCCATGTTCTTTCTGTATAGAGCTAGCAATACGAGCAGCTTGAATAAGAATTCCAGCTATCGTCTCAAAATCAGACTCCAGACAGCCTCTTGAAGTCATTGCGGGTGTACCTGGAGCACGATCATTTAAAAAAAAAAAGAAAAGAAAAGAAAAAATCAAACTATAATAGCCACACACAACCTGTATATTACGAAAATAAGCCATGTCAAGTTCATATTCAAAAGATAGTAAGTAAACTTACCAATCCTTACGCCTCCAGGTGTTATGTTGCCATTGTCATCAAAAACAGTAACTTTATTGACGGTAATGTGACATAGTTCACAGAACTTCTCAAAATTTTTGCCTACATTCCAAAATATAGACATAATCAGTACATGCTACGTAGTTAAGAACAACTCCAACACAATTAACGTAATATGGTTGATGAACTTGAAATATGTTGATCAACAAAAACCCCATGGACAAACATTGTAAAAGAAACAAGCCAATAGGTCATTTATATAAACCTCAAACAGTGACGCAACAATATAATTCACATTGTTATGATTAAGAAATCAACTCACAGAAAAACAATGCTATATTGGGTCCAAAGGCATCTAAGAAAATTACATCATGGTAACACTAGCAATAGGTACCCTATGTCAATATTCAGCCATCAAAGAGTCCCTGATCAATGCATTGTTTGTGAGACCACACACTGCCCTCATATTCTTATTTTTTAATTCCAAAACATAGCTAACTCATTACTGTCAAAATAAGATTAGCAACAAAGAGGGTCATCACATAATTTTAAAATACTCAAATTTCTCACAGGGTACAAGAAGATGAAAATGCATAACTATTTGAACATAGTAAATGCATATTATAATGCCATGAAAGTGATTTCTATAACAAAGAAATTTAGACTAGGGGAAAAAATGTAGAGGATTACCCAATAACGATAATGAGAATATTAGTTTTTATCACAAAAAACATAGATTGATTCCAGAACATACTGTACCCAGAAAATATATATATAATTTAGGCATCATAAAGTCATCAGAAGAAAATCTTTCCACCTAGAAAAATAATTATGCAGGGACCCTCATAAAGTCCTACCTATATAGAGCATGGCACTAATCTATTTAATGCTTTATCTACCAAAATGCTAGTTATACTATAGCACTGACGGTGATTTGCTGTTTAATTTTTCTTACAGAAGAAACTTTTGTTCATTTGTTTGGATAGCATATAACTTTATATTTTGTAAACATGAAAACTATCAATATCATGGACATTTTCTATATTCGTACTTATGTACTGAACTCCTATATGGCATATGCTACAACATGAACTGTGTACCGTCTCTTCAAGTAGGATTTCAAGCCACGACATTATACACCATTGACAAGTATGGTCTCTTGTAAGCCTTAGGGAAAGAGAATATAATCAGCAACATGCCCTTAATTAGCCCATCAACTTCCAAACAATGATGCCTATCCATTGTGTGCAGTAATATATTGCAGCAGTTGGAAAGGCATTCAAAGTTCCCATCAATATTACTTTCATTTTAAACTGTTTTTCTTGATTGTCCAACTTCCCAACTCACTATTATTGACCCAATGCTTCATGAAACAAAAAAATAAGATTATTTACAAGTTAAAGTAGAGTGATGAAATCATGCATCAACAATAAAATCATAGCCCATAATGCACGTCGCATGATATAACCAAGTTGACAGATAAAAGGATAAGTAGCATCAATATAAAAAAACAACGTGCCTGTCAATCCAAAATTTTTTAAGTCCCACAGCAACAGATGATTATCAGTGCCCCCAGTCACTAATTTGCATTCTCCTCTCAATAAAGCTGATGCTAAAGCCTGAGAATTTTTCTTAACTTGTTGCATATACATCTTGTATTCAGGAGTTGCCACCTGTTTCAGTGCTATTGCCAGGGCAGCAATATGATTATTATGCGGCCCACCTTGCAGTGCTGGGAAAACGGCAAAGTTAATCCTCTCCTCAAAGTCATATCGATCTGTGCCATCTCCTTGATTCAGAAGCATGCCCCTCTTCTTTGGCTTTTGTCCTTTCCTGTAGAATATTATTCCTCCCCTGGGACCTCGAAGGCTTTTATGTGTAGTGGAAGTAACAACATCACAATATTCAAATGGATTTGCACACTCCTGAAATTTTAAGTTTCTTTTAGTTGGATTAAGGATGTACAATAAACTATATAGAATAAAGTCACTTAATGAAGAAAGAGTTTATAAGTAGCAATGATATCAAACATCAATGAAAGAAATGAAAGCATCTCTGATTTTATGAAGTTTTTTGCACAATGCATATTTTTTGATGGAAAATATATATCTATACATATATATTCACTTCCAACACAACGTGCTAACCAAAGTACAGATTGGTTCCAAGTAAAGGGTGAACCCAGAGGCCTGGAAAATTGATAATGTTCGCATGAAGGGAGTTCACATCTGCTACTTTTAGATGCATCACGAGGCTTGTGGGTACAATTTCATGAAAAAAAGGCTTTGCTAATCAGAACCAAGTCAACACCATGACTTAATAGCCTATGGAAAATTAATATATTGACCTAAATATAATATGGATATAAATAAAGTGAACTTCACTCAACCTGTTAATTTCAAAATACATGTATATATATATAAACAGATAATGATATTTTTATACTTTGAAGACGCTCAAAAGATGAATGCCTTTATGAACTGTAAACAATACAAAGAAACACTAAAGCAAACAATAAAAACATTTTCAAGCAAGAAAGATCCAATGCAAACTCATGAAATGGCAAAAAGATTATTACCTTAGCAGCAATGAGACCACTGATCTGGGCCATATCACACAACAAAACTGCACCACATTTATCAGCTATTTCTCGGAACCTTGCATAATCCCAATCGCGAGGATACGAACTCCCACCACAAATCAATATTTTGGGGCGAAAATCAAGTGCCTTCTCCACAAGCTTATCATAGTCAACATACCCAGTCTGCGGATCAACCTTATAGGGAAGAGTTTCAAAAAATATTGAGGCCCCCGACACTTTTCTACCATTAGGTAAATAGCAACCATGACTAGTATTCCCTCCCGAGGGGGTGTCTAACCCCATAATCCTATCCCCTGGTAACAAAAGACCAGTATAAACACCAAAATTAGCTGATGTGCATGAGTAAGGTTGCACATTGACACCCCAACTTTCAGAATCAAGCCCGAATGCAGCCAATGCACGATCACGGCAGAGTGTTTCGATCTCATCAATATACTGATTCCCGCCATAGTATCGAGCACCAGGCATCCCTTCGGAGTACTTGTTCGTCAAGTGGCTCCCCAATGCCTCCATGACTGCTTTACACACAAAATTCTCTGAGGCAATCAATTCAATCCCTTTCACTTGTCTCTCTCTCTCTTTCTCCATGATTTTGAACAAATCAGAGTCAGCCTCTTGCAAGCTCTGATTCCCCCAAGCCCTGACGGCGCTCCTGCGAGATTCCATACTCGAAGAAACCCTAATGCCCTTTGAGGTGGAGGACGAAGCTGCCATTGTTGAAGAACCCGAATCGCAATCGCGCTTCCGCTTCAAAGTCATGCAATGTCCCAAAATCCGAAACTCCTCAAACTCCTTCTCGTCTTCCTCCTCTTTGCCCCTTTTCTCAGTCGCATTGTTTTCGACTAAACGGTGACTCTCCTCGGTTTGCTGGTCCATCAATTGAAGCGGAATCGATGGCAGAGGATGGGAAGGATCTCGAACCCTCGACTCGATCTGAAAAGATATCGAATCGTCAGCGATTTTCGAATCCCTGCTATTGCTCTCCTGAGCTGTTGCTGCTGCTGAAACGTGGGATAAAAACCCTAACGACAAACCGCTATTCTCCGGCGGCCGAGTCAAATCCATCTCCGCAGCCCAAAACGAAGAAACAAACAGAAATTCAAAGCCAAACTACTGATTCTAGCCTTCTCGCAGCTTCCGATAAATTATGGAACCCTAAGACAATAATCAACAAGGTCTACAAGCAGAGACGTCAACGGCAACAAGAACATCGGCGACGGTATGATCAATATAGCCGACGACCTCGGAGACGACAAAATCCATCCCCAAAATTATATACAGAAGAATTGGGAATTTTGCTAATGGGAATCCAAATTCAGAATCGACTCCAGAAAATGTATAATACTCCCTCCTTGCTCAACAATTATTGACATTTTTTTTTTTTTTTTTCATTTTTGTATGTACACTTCTTTAACAATATAAATTTAATTTAATTAATTAATATTATAAAGATTACTCAAAAAAATTATTTTTTATTTTTTATAATAAATAAATATTTTTATTTATATTTAAAATTTTATATCTAGTTTATATTATAAGTATTATTTTATTACTTCATCCGTCACACCTAATTTGTTCACTATTCTATTTTCTTATGTTTTATATCATTTTTTTTTCTTTTTTTTTCTTCAAAAAATATAATTATATATTTTAATTATATTTTAAAATTTATAAGTTATAATTTTTTATTTTAATTAAACTATTTAATCATTTTAATCATAATCTATAATTATTTTTATTAAATTATAATTATTTTTAATAGTAATATATTTTTTAAAATTATTTATTAATTACACAATATTTAAAACTTTGTGCCCAATTAAAATTACTTTTTTTAACTTAATTAATACTATCCATAGTTTTTAAGAAAATAATAATATATACAACTATAAAAATCAGAATATATATTAAAATATTTTAAAAATTATATTATCACAATATAAAAAAGATATAGGTAATATAAATATCATTTTGTAGAATATAAATTGACGATGAAAAGTTATATCTTTTCTAAAAGTAACATATGTGTATAAGTTTATTTGATTTTTATTTAAAAATTTTATATATAATTTTTATGAAAATATTATTTTTATCAATATATTATAAAAGAAAATAATATTTACTAATCAATCTATTTTGTTATTTTATCATTTGAAATCAATTATTTTCAAGGTAAATTTAACTTTTTTTATTATTTTATTATACTCCATTCGTCCCTTAATAATTTATCAATTTTTTTATTTTGTTCCGTACCATAACAAATATCTACTGTCTACCTAACATTACAAATACTCTTCAAATTTACAATATATTATACAAATACTATTACATTTGGTATCATACAATATTAATAGAGTTAATTTAGTCTTTTTATCTTTAATTTTACTTTATCCCAATATAATATTAAATTTCTAAAACTCCATGAAAAAACAAATAAATATATAAATATGCGATGAAGAGAGTATTATTTATATAAAAGATGTTAATATTAAAAAAATTTACTGATAAATACATATATAGAGTGGGTAGAGAGTATAATATTATTAGGATTAATAATACATTTTTATATAAAATATTTACTGCTATTATTATTATTATTATTATCTTGAAAAAAAAATTATGTTGAATTTATTTCACTTGCGGCTGATTTTTTTATCTAAAATAGTATTTTAACATTATATTTTTTAAAAATAAAAAATAAATTAAAATAATAGTAATATATTTTGATTGAAAGCAATTATAAATCCTCATCAGCGCCGCCGTACTACTCACATACAATACAAGAATAGTATACATATTATTGAAGTTAGTTAAAATCGGGAAGGTGTATAGTTGATTATATATTTATATTTATATGCCTAAACAACCATGGATACCCAACGCTGCCCAGAAAAAGCGTTACCACAATTATAGTGGCACCCGTGTCAAACATTCTTCGTATCCCTAATCCACCTGCACCACCAAATAAATAATAAATAATAAATTATTATTACTCCATTATTTGTTTTTCATTAGAATAAATATTGGTTATTATTGTTTTTTTTTATATAAATTTTAAGGGTGTTTTTTAAAGCTTGGTTACATTTTTTTTTTTATTAGGTAACAATTATAATTTTCTATATAGAAGACAATATGTTTCTTTAAAAAATATTTGCTTTAGTTACTATATTTATTGGATCGAATCATCAAATATGTATAAAAATAAATAAATATTAATATAATATATAATATATATTGTAGTAACACATTATATAACTTTAAATAAACTTCAAGTCATTACTTCAACTCCATCCCTTTCTCAATTGGATCCATCTATAATCAATAAATCTAATTTGAGTATGTGTTTGTTTGAAGGATTTGTTTGGATATCCACTATTCATCCTATTTTTTTTTCCCAAAAATATCAAATCAAACATCTATTTTTTATTTTTTATATTATACTAAAAATCAATTTTACATTCAAAACATCACATCAACACCTATTTATATCACATCATACAACTATTCAAATTTAAAATTTTTACTATTCAAATCCCAATCCAAAATCCAAACCCACAAACAAACAAAATTTTTACCATTTTCAACTCTATTTAAAATAAAATCCAATGCAGTAATAAGTTGAATTTTTACAACTTTTTTTTCTACATTTAAATATATATATATCTTGGTTTCAATAAAAACTTTTAAATGTGTTTAAATGTGCAAAATGTATAATAGGCTTAGATTTGGTGATCTTTCTTGTTTTACCTTTTCATTATTCAAATTATTTTTTCTCGTAAAATAATCCTTTTGTATTTAAATTATACAAAAGAATACTTACCAGAGGGCACAAACTCGAACTCCCATCTTTCGTAGAGTAGAGCGAAAAACAACTGCAAATAAAGGATAAAGTTAACATGGTGATAGAGCATCCACTGAAACATAACAATGGCAAATTCCCTCAGGATGTGAAACAAATCCATCAACAAAATCTATTCAAGGCAATGTAGATCGAAAGAATGATAATACTTACCCCAAGAAGGCGCAAAATGTAGTAGGTGCATCTCAAGGCATCGGGATATAGCAAAACTCGGAATGCTCTCTTCAACAAAATTGGAATAGACCGAATCCGCTGCCAAAGTCAGGATCAAATCATCAAGTTCATACACAATATAGGCTATTTGATTTTGAAATAATCGATTGGATGAGAATTTATGATGAAATGATCATATAACATAAGCATATATATATGAACACAAGTGTAATTGCAGGCAGGAAAAGCATCCAACCTGATCAACCATTCAGAAAGCAAAGATATTCCAAACCGTGTTCGGAGAGTAAAGATGGCGATCGTACATGGAAAGCTCGGAGCGCCGGCGATCCGGTGCTGTAGAGTCCGTTGTAGTGGTGCACTTTTTTAAGAGCGTTGGTATCGTAGCCCGCCGCCGCAGCTGTCGGAGGAAATGGCGGCGGATGAGCTTCTGGTTTGAGGTTGACTATCCGTGAATAGCACAGCGGACATTTGCACGGTTGGATCGAAGATCGGAACATCCAGAGCTGGATGATGCAGCTGGCTGAATTAGAGAAACAGAGATTCGGAAATCAGATGCGGTAAGTGGAAAATAGCCATGAAATCACTCAAACCGGTACACAGATGCTTCGAATTGACAACAGTCAGTGATGTAAGATCCATCGGAAACGAAATGAACAATCTCAAATCTATGGCGGAAAGCGTAGATCAACAAATCACGAAACAAATCAACTGATACAAAATCAAACGCAGGCAGGCAGGCAGAAGAAATTAACCAAATCGAAGAAGAAATTAAAAACTTACCGCAAAACCAGTGGCCGCAGTTTGATCTGCAAGGAAGGATGAATCCGTCGAAGCATATAGGGCAAACATCGTCGATCGGAGCTCTGACCTCAGCATAAGCCCCAAATCGATCCCTAATTTCCTCAGCTGGTTCGTCGTTGCTGAAGCTGCTATCTCCAGCTCCTTCCTCCATCTCCAATCCAACAAATTCCTCCTGATCTTCTTCTTCTTCTTCTTCTTCTCCTATGCGCACCTCGTCGTTGTTGTCTCCTTGCGAAGCCATGGTGGATTAGAGAGAGGGAAATAATGGTGGAGAGGAGAGGTAGGTTGTGGTTTGTCGCGTCGCTTTGTTGGGAAACGTATGAAGAATGTGTGCGTTTGTCGGTTAGGGGATGCTTATGTTAACTACAGTAGCCTTTATTTATAGCTGAAAGGTGTAGGCGGCGACTCACCGCGTATGGACGGATTTGCACTGTAACATTGCATTACGCCCCAATTTAGGGCCACATTCAATGCTAATGTTATTAGCTTTCTTTAATTTCATTTTTTTTATTGTCATATATATATATATATATATTCTTTTAGTAACAAAATATATTTATTTTTTTTACTTCTTTTTTCATCTAAAAAGGAAAAAATATATATATTTATTATTATTTTTTTAAAAAAAATTCATTCTCAATCACATAAGCACATTTTTTTTTTATGAGAAGTACTATTGTTTCTTAATAATATGAATTTTAGAAAAAACAATTGGTGTATTTACATGTGAGATTTGATTTCATATTTTATTGTTTTAATTTTTTTAAAGGATATAAAATTAAATATTTATTTTTTATTTTTTATTAAAGAAAAAAAAAAAAAAAAAAAGTGACGTAAAAGCCTCAAATAACAATTCACTTACTACTACTCACTATATTGTCACTCCTACTTTCGTGTAGTCATGGAGTATCATTATTCTTCTGGGCACCAAATTCATTAAATACACTTATTATTATATTATTATTATTTTTATATTATTTTTTATATTTTACATATATTTTTAAAAATTATTTCACTAAACAAATAAAGTCTGTATTTTTTTTAATATAAATATAATATCTTACAAAAAAAAAAAAAAAAACTTCTACAAAATAATTTATGTGGAGAAATTATCATATAATACATTAGTCTACATAGAATGTGTTCATCTAGTATTTTTAATATATACAATTTCTTAAAAATATTACTTAAAACATTAAATAAAATTTCAAAAACACATAAAAATCTATAAAAATATATAAAATGTTATTCACTGTACTTTTACGATTTCACATACATTTAGGGTATATTTGGTATAAAAATAAAGAAATAAAAAGATGCTATATTTTAATTTTTAAAAAAAATTTTAATTACATTAATTAAATTATTTTAATTTTAATATATAATTAGTTGTTTTGACCATAATTATTTTACTAATATAATTTTAAATTATATATTAATTATATCACTTTTATAATTTTGTATGTATATTACACAAGATAGGGACGAAGAGAGTAATACTATTTTCTTTAAAAAAAAGATAATTATTCCTTTCGTTCAAATACAACAGTCTTGTTTATCATTTTTGTCCGTTCTAAAACGATAGTTTTGTTTCTATAAATAATCGTATCATCATAAAATTACACTTATTTTTTTTATTGCACAATTGTTACTATTTTTTACACGGATACACTCACGAGAGAAAAAAAATATTTTATTCATACTTTTTACCAATTACCAATATAATATCAATATTTCTTAAATTTTGTGTCCAACCCAATTAAAACTATATTTATGAGATGGAGGGAGTATTATACTTGCCTTTTGTTTACTTTGTATTTCATTCTTTCTATGTAGAAATTTGTGGCCATATAACACGGTGATCATTCTCAAGGGATATTTGCATTTGTTCTGTTCACAATGTAGAAATTTCAATATATAAAACTCTTTTTATTTTTATTTAAAGTATTTAATTTTTATAATACATTAAAAATAATAATAATATTATAATCTGGATTGTAAGGTTCCTGCAATCACAAATAATTCTTACCAAGACAATTATTAGCAAGTTAGCCGATAAAAAAATATTAATAAAATTTATAAGAAACAAGAAAAATAGTGCTATAAAATATTTGAAATGTTCGGCTCAAAACACAGTCCATTATGTGCCAATTAGAAGCTTTGAACAAACCATATACAATAATAATTATTATTATATAATCAAATAAAACAAAAAAACCTTAACTGTTCATGCATATGACAAAGAATCATCTATGAATCAAAATATAAAAATAATAATAATACCTTAGGATGCGTTTTGTCGAGGATTTTACCTTACAATTATACTTTAATTTTTTTATTTGAAAATATCAAATTAAATTTATTTTCTTTTTTTTTTTGTATTATAATAAATACTATCAATTTTATATTCAAAATTTCATACAATAATACATATTTATAACATATCAAATAACTATTTAAATTAAAATTTTTATTATTCAAAACTCAAACCTCAAATCCAAAAAGCCTAATCATCATAAATCCAAGGTTAAGCATATAAATATATTTTAGACTTGTTGATATCTAACCTTATAACAAAAGCGGTATAACAACTAAAGAAATCGTGTTTCACATCAAAACAATCGCTACATTGTTTGATAAAAACATACAATCATTCTTCATCCTACCTGAGAAACGGCCAAAACATGGCATCATTGATAATCAACTACGAGCTCCATGACGGTAGAACTCTGCCGCCATCGCCATCGCCATCGCCGCCGCCGCCCCCTTGTTCGACTGCGCTAACCTCGACATCGAATAAGTTATCATCAAAGTCGATGTCGTCGAATTGGTCGTAGTTGTACACAGGTAACGGTGTGTGATCATTAGCCTCAGAATTTCTCGATTGAGTTTTCAGCAACCTTTTCTTCGACCTCCCGGTGCTTTCCATGAAGTCGTCGTTAAGGGATGTCTCGTCTACAACGTTTGCATTGCGACGTCTTCGCTTCGATTCGCTGCTGCCATTGCTATTGCTGCTGCTGCTGTTCTTGTCTTTGTTGTTGTAATCTCTGATCGTGGCTTCGATCGTTTCCAGCACACGATCTCCGTATTTGGTGATCTTCGCCCTGAGACAACGACGATGATGTTAGTTAGAGATCGATGGTTGGGAAGGTTGCGTGTTCTGGGGATAATTAGTTTATTACTTACTTTCCAATGCCGTTGATCTCGAGAAGTTCGTCTTTGTTTCGAGGTATCCTTTTACTGATCTGCTGCAACGTAGCGTTTCTGATCGAGTAGCGAAGATAATTAGAGGAAGCATGAAATGATCGTCTCGTCTAATGATTATCAAATTGAATGAATCGTTGTTACCCGAAAATGTGATATGCCATCACCCCTTCTCCGGCTTCCTTGACGAGAATAGTTCTAAGCATCCGCAGTGCAGAATATAGTTTTGCGGAAAGGGCCTGCGCCGACGAAACGGAATAATTGAATGAATGTATATTTGGATGGTAGATCTCAGGCGAAGTTCTTCGAAAGCTCGTAAATTTTACCAAATCTACTTCAGATTGAGGTTGGGCCGGAGTATCCATTTGTGGCAGGATTAGCTTTTCTGAAACCAGTGATCCCTTCGCTGGAGTGGCATCTGGTCGACTCGATTTAGACGCTTTAGCAGTAGATGGGAACCTGAAAGCAATGCAAAAGGAAACGGTAGGGTGGGTGGAGAATGCAGATCCATGAAGAACAAGAATGTAATCTTATTCGACAAATGAATAATTTACGGAGGAGAATGTAACCTTAGCGTAATTGTAAGACCGCCGGCGAAGAGATTGTAAGCTTTGGATTCATTCATCTGAGATAGAGAAACATATGCCAGAGGCTATATTACATACGCATTTGTCGATACATAGAACATGAAAGAGAGAGTTGAACCGAGGAACAAGAAAGTACTAAGGAAACATATGATATTTCAGGTCGAAAAATGCCTACAGTATATACCTTCACGACTGAGGATACCGATCCGTATATGTCACTTTTTTTCACATCTTCAACAAGAACATCCTCAGTAACCAAATGTCGCAATACTCGAGATGCCTCGCCCTTTGACAGATGCTTTCCAGCTCCATGCAAGCTCAGCCTCTCATGCCTGTGTTTTTTGACCTAAAGTTTTGCATAAAAATTGTGTCGAAAAATTGACAGAGAACAGATAGGACATTGGAACAACTGTGGTTATACAGACATACATATTGGCTCAGAGAACCTCTGTAGACCTCCAAGATATGTGTATTTGAAAACTGCTGCCCCGTCAACTTAACCAATTCAACCTGTGAAATGTATACCGTATATAATATGTTCAGGTCATTCAGTTGACTAAAACGACGACGTAAAGTTAATAGAAGGTTAAGAAATGCAGAGTAAACAACAAAATATTCGACTCCTGAAAGTAAAGAAAACTCGGACAACTTGAATATTGAAATAAAAAATGAAAATCCTAACCAGCTGCTTTGCAATATCTGTTACGTCTTTCTCCAGACAGTTTTGACACTTGGAGCAATTGTCGCAAGTTTTCTGGCAATTTAGAGAATCAAATTTTTCCCCGAAATGGAGTAGCTGAAGGAGACGCCGGCAATCAACATTGTTTTCACAGTAGCTAACCTGAAAGGAATTGTTTAAAGGCGCAAGCAATCAAGAAATTTTTGTGCTGACAGAGTAAGACAACAAAATGAAGTACCATTCTAAGGAGATTCTCAGTGTTTGTCTCTAATGACCTTCCAGATGGTGCCGTACTTGCTCGATTGAAGCCATATGAAGAGGGAGCCTGATCGGCAGCTCCTTGACTGATCATATGCTTCACACGAATCTGCATAAAAACAGAAAAAAAAAAAAAAAAAGTATAGAAAATGACATGGCACTGTCCAGCATGACATAACCCTTGAATTATCATTTTTTTGAAGGAAGAAAAATTAAGACGAGGGACAGAAAAAGAGAACTCCATCACTGGAACTCACATAATCACTATAACTGTAGTACAACACACAGGATGAAGGAAGGCCATCCCTACCAGCACGGCCACACTCCTACATACAAGAAGATAGTGCCACCATATGAACTTGGATTAAAGTCATCGAATTACATCAGTCAATATAAGAAAGGAAAAGGCAGAACAATGTGCTTCAGAGATTACCTGATGATAGCCTTCAATGGATTTTGGAAGTGAATGGTGAATGACAAACCGAACGTCCGGCTTATTGATTCCTGTCGAGGCTTATGTTAATACGCTTCATTTATGTGCTTCGAAGGTGGGAAGAAAAGCTGGAAATCATTTTACCCATTCCAAATGCCACAGTTGCACATATTATGTTGATCTCATCCTTGCTCCACAATTTCTGAGTCATCGCACGCTGAGTACTATCCATGCTGCCGTGGTAAAAGGCAGCCTTGTGCCCATATTCCTGAAAGGAAAAGGCATTTGTTGCTGAGATAAAATAAAAACATATTTTTTTTCATGGTCTATAGACATTGTTATTATTTCTATTTCCAGACAAGTTAGCCGCTAGAGTATCATGATCACAAATGCTGCACTCCAGATATAGGCTGTGCATTAAGTTGCAGCACCCAGAATGTCACAAAATACTTAACCATATACAGAAATGAAGATTTTCCTTCCACTTTTTCCAGCAAGCACAATACTTTCGGCACAGGTATGAAAATGTTCTTTAAATATTACATTACTATTGTTAGTGAAACAACTTTGCAGTTCAACAGAAATATAGGCAAACCTGCAACTTTTCAGCAACTTTTTCGCAATCCATTCTTGAAAGACAGTAAATGATCCCACATTCATCAAAATGATTCTCTCTGATAAATTTGTCAATATCCTCTACACATTTCTTGGTCTTGGGAACAACAGAATACCTGCAATAGTTGCATTATAAAAAATTGCAATTTTGCTCAATAATTTGTAATTAGAACTTACCTTAGGTTTGGGCGATTAAAGCTTTGCCGAAAAATTACACAATTTACAAGACCAAGGGCTTGTACAACATCTTCCTTTACAGTAATGGTAGCAGTAGCAGTTAAGGCCAATACAGGTATGGTAGGAAACTTTTGTTTCAGGATACCAAGACCCTGCAGAAAGCCCAAATCCACCAAATAAGATGAACCCAATCAATCCGAAAAATATTCATCAAAGTAGAATACAATGGATCTAAAGTTGTTCCAATAGGTCAGAAAACAATAAGTTCCAAATCACTTGCAAATCCTTCAAACAACATATCCATAGATGAAAACTATACAGGAGACAGGAGTCTACTAGAGTACACAATTTATTTTGGCTTTAAAGTAACATGCTTGCAAACCTGGTAATCAGGTCTGAAATCATGTCCCCATTGACTAACACAGTGAGCTTCATCAATGACAATACGAGCAAGAGAATCACGAGCATGTAGGCTCTCCAACTGACGCAAAAGGGCATCACTTCTGCAGTTATGAACTGATTAAGCTTTTGGCATCACACAGTTGGAAAAAATATATATATAAATCTCAGATAACATTATCGCAAAGAGCACACCCAAAATACTGTAAATTTCTCTTAAAAATTTTGGAATAAGACCAAATAATCCAATTTAATACTTGCACATTGAATGAACTGAACAAAAAAACATGTGCATCAGAAAAAAAAAAAAAAAAAAAAAAAAAAACCCAATTTCCAACAGCGTTTAAAATACTTGAACAATAAAAACAAAATGCTCAAAGTTTATCTTCTCAAGCAAACCATATGGTCATTATTTCCAAATTATAATATAAATGTAACAGCTTAAGGCACAAGCACCTTATAGAAGCTGTTGGTAAGTTTAGTGTATGAACATACAAAACCCAAAGTTTGGCCTAAAGGCATTCTATTCAAAGAAAAATTATATAGAATTTTGGAATCCTGCACTCACTTGGCAACTTTCTCTGGGGTGACATACAATAACTTGTACTTGCAGTAATCTGAATTAAGCTCTCTAAGAATCTCCTGCTGTTCTGTCCATTCCATGCTGGCACTTAGATAAGCAGCAGGTATATTTGCCTGGTTATTATAGACATATAGACAATAGGGTGAAGTTTAGTAGAATCCATCCTCTGTAGTTACATTTTAGTAAACAAGACTATTTGACCAATGTGACTAAAAATTACCTGTAGTAGATGCATTATTTGGTCTTGGATGAGAGAAACAAGGGGTGAAATGACTAAAGTTATCCCAGGACATATAAGTGCGGGAAGCTGCATTGAACCAACATCCACACCAGTCAAAAGCCACTTATAGAATACTGAATAAAATGGAATTGATTCAAAAAACAATAGAGCATTCACCCTATGACACAGGTAAGTTATGACACAAGCAAATATTTTTGTCAACAAAAGCAAATTACATTCAAGAGAAATTATTAAGGGTGGGAGAAGATTGGAAAATTTAGGTTTGAAAATGAACTAGAAACCTAATCTCACAAGCTTGCATATATGCAATACTTTATTCAATTGAATTCATCTGCTTTTCAGACCTGATAGACCACATACCACATATAAATCTCAACAAACGGCCATCTTAGTAGCTTTATCCAATACAGACAAATAGAATATTTTAAGATAAAGTGCACTTCTCCATATTGTACTCAGCAGTCAGCACAATTTATTAAAAAAACTAGAGAGAGAAAATGTTTAACCTGATAAGTCAGGCTTTTTCCCCCGCCAGTTGGCATTAAGACAAAAACATCACATCCACTCATTGTGGCATTGATCACCTCTCTTTGGTTTGGTCGGAAAGAATGATTGCCAAAAACCTTTTTATTGTTAGCCTGAAAATCAAACAATACATTAGATTTTAGAATGTTGGAGGAAATAAACCACAAAACTGCATCCAATACAAACCTCTAACTTCTTTGTCCATGAATATTCCCGGCTACTCCACTTTTTGTCTGTTGAACCTTCTATATAATTGATATCTATATGCTTAGGAATATATGGTTCTCTCTCAAATGCAGCAGTTGACACCCCAAACCCATCAGTCGAATAAGAAGGTATGGATGATGAATTCCATCTATCAAACCCATGTGACTCATTGTTTCCCTGAAATCGGGAATCAAGATTCATTGGATCAACTCTAAATTGCATTGTTGAAGGAGTCCCGTACTGAAAAGCCATTGGGGTTGCTGTGGATGCAGAAAAATGTGATGTCTTTCTTTCCTGGTTGACAGATTGGATGCATATATATTTCTCAAGTTGCTGAATTTTTTTCTTCAGTTGTTGCCTAACACCACAAAATATACAATCAATTTCATTCAATTGCATTTATCTATAGAGACAAAGAAAAGTGCAGCAGCACAGAACAAATGCATACATGATAACAACTCAGTTGCTGCTTTCTCTCTTTTCAGTTTGCACAATCCAACTAATTAAAATTTGTGCTGTGAAATAGTTAAATCACAAAACATAGTTAATAGCTAAAAGAGTAAGAACCTCTCTTGGCGAAGCGCCTCCACTTTCTCCGAGCTCATCTCGTCAATATTATCTATAAGATCATTCGATATGGCTATTAGAGTATCCTTCATGCCTTGCAGGTGATTTGATGCTTCAGGGCAAAGTCCTAGCTGCGCCAATACTAAAAGTAAGGTCTAGGAATGGTAGTAAATCTGTATTAAATGTAGAGAATGGATAATTTTAAAAATTACCTTACAATTGTGGCTGCACATCAAGGACAACTCAGGAGGCAAATCTGGTTCCTCTCTGACAAGATTGCCCTTGTTGGTATGTGGCGTGATTGGTGGAAACTGAGAGGCTGATGGTTGGGGTGTTGAGTTAAAGTGATTTTGAACAATTTCATCCACATCAATATTCTGAAGGACAGAAATTCATCAAAACCATTCATAACTAAATGACTTGAGACAGCAATAAAGAAAAAAGAATAAAATTAGACATGACATGACATGACACATGCATCACATTCATTAGCTCTCCACACACCACAGATGCAGAAAACTTCTCATTATCTCAACATATACCAACTTTGTATATAAAATTATTATGAAAGTTTTTTCAGGGCTTCGCAATCTTGAATAGCAGCATTTGCGCTAGTTTATAACATTCAGAATGGCACTGTGATAATTACCTCAAGAATCTCATCATCATCAATGCCTACAGAAGCTGATGATTTCAGGTCATCCCTTGTACCCATGTGTACTGGAAAAGAATTGCCTAAGCTCTTGTTCAATTGACTAGTTCCCCCATTCTGTTCACCAAACCACTGAGTATTTTGGTTATGTGCTGCAGCCGTGCTTTTAGAAGTGGCTGAGCATTGTTGAGTTCTTGGACTTTGAGGTATAGATGTGTTGACATTTTTGGACAGAGGAAGAGTTTTTCCTGGCTTAATATAACTTCTGGAAGACAACTGAAGGTTGGAAAGACCCTGCCAAGCCTGCAGAGAGTTTGTATGTCAAATATCATTATACATACACAAAAATAGAAAACCACAGCATTGCAATGTTATCATTCTATTCAATTCAAGTAAACTATATTGCCTATACACATGTACACTTTGAAATATTTAATGTCTGTTTCTTCAATAGTATTGACCTCATTGTAGTTTGTCTCTTTGTTGTGCATCTTGGATTGAGACAAAGTGATGTATGCATGGCTAAGGTCAATATGCCTAGTGTCAGTGAATGAGATTGAAAATAATAATTCATTGTACAAACTAATAATTTACCAGTTGTTGAAATTCCAGGACTATTATGTTTAAATGATTCTAAAGACACAATAGGCATGCTATTAATAAGAATCTTAAACTGGTAGTAATATAAATTTTAAATTGAGGAGAAACTTTCGAGCTCAACATATTAACAAAACACCATGATGTATAACCTGCATTGATTGATCTATATGTCACATGGATCATTATCACATTCTCAGGACTACATTTGCATGTGTGATAACAATATATATCCTTTGTTTGTCTAAGGATAGGACACTTTTGGTAAACGCATATAGTTCACTCCTCTTAGGTCAACACTCGGTTTGCATCACTTGATTGACCTCATACCTTGCAAATTAAATACACTGGTCCCTTCTCAAAAATATAGATGAAAACATATATTGTTTTGACATGAACATGATGATGCATAGCCATGGTAATGCACCATAACATTCCACAAAGAGTTAAAACACTGCTGCAGAGTGCCAGGAACAAGGTGTTAATATAAAGAATCATCTGACGAAAGAAGTAAAGTCATCCATGCATAAACTACGGGGCAAACCACACATGTATGTACAGAGATAGAGAGAAGACACAAGAATTGATTATACAAAAATTATCAGGTCAGTATAGAATAGCTATCTCACGATCTCAATTTACAATCCTAAATGTCATCATTCTTACGCAACTAACAAATGCACTAGGTAATTCAGCAATTAGAATACTGGCATGTGAAGGAAAAAAGTCTAATGCATATCCCAAGCATACAACAATTAGAAGGAAATTGCTCAGATCCAATAAAAACTACACCTTTTCAAGCTGTGCATTGTGCAGACTAGCATTCTGAACTCGACAAAGCACGGACCTGGATAAAAGTAAGGTAACAGTGTAAGGAAAGGGCATAGAAGCACTGAAAGATGGCATCCTAGAAAATTCAAAACATGATTCAGGGTTCAGACCAACATGAACCTTCCCAACTTTGTTCCGAAGTATCAAGTGCATACTCATGTGAGATGCATAACAATAATGTAGATTCAAAATTTTCAAGCTGCTACAACAAGCATGATACTTCGCAACAAAGTTTTATATAAAACATCAGTAATCCAGATTAGACTTTTAAGTCAGGGCAAATGTCATTGACACGAAACGACGATCAATACACAGTAAAGTAAAATGCATGCCAAGAATATGGCTCATAAGTGCATAAAATATCGCAGTATATTACCTCGCAGCCATTGTTTCATCAATTTGAGGTTTTTTATTAGACAATGAGAAAAGGAAATTGGAGGTTAGGAGTTCATCCTGTTTCGTGAAATTACTGTGTGCAACCACATGCTGGGACCAATTGACTTTATTCAGCTTGCAATCGCCGTTTGACTTGCTTTTGCTGCATTCATTGTAAACACTTTGAGCATATGTGTACAATAAAACAATGGAGAGCTAATGAATGGAATAAGATGTGCATTGCCCTTGCCTCGATTGCACTTCCTTCGTCATTAATTAAACATGTTCCTCCAGTTACCTCGTTTTGCCCTTCTTGTAGAACCCTAAATCATCAACATGAGTACAGAGTAAAGTTAGAGAGATAGAGAAAGTCAAATCCAAGCATTTTTCGTTCAAAAATTAACACCAGCCGCGGCGTAACCTATTGCCCACCCATTGAAACTATATCCCCAACAATTCATATACACATGTCGCATCTGCAATCCAAACCAAGCAATCCTAAACAAAAACTCACCGGTTATCAACAGGAAACTATCCGCCGTAGATTAATCTGAACGCTGCTGAATCAAAACTCCAACAATCAACAATGAAATCTTTCGTTCGTGTGAGAGGGAGGCAGTGAAAAAGTTACTAATAAGCTTCAAATTGAAGCGCGCTTAGAATGGCGGGATGTTATCGTAAATCAGAATTGAACGAAAAGGTTCTGCCCGTTTTTGTTGACCCGACCCGGAAGATTTCCGTCGGGTAGGGCTTTCGACCATGCTTGTTTTACCTCAAATTATTTATACATTTTTGTGTTTTTCTTGATAAATAATAGCTGTGTTGCATAACCCATTTTCACTATCATATTTAATTTTAAACTTTTTTATAAAATATTATATTAAATATTTATTTTTTATTTTTTTTTTCAAAATTTTAAGATTCTCTGAAAATATGTATCTAAAACTGCTTGAAATAACGATTCGTCTAATTTCTTTGCATGAATATTTTTGTTAATATTTGACACTATTTATTGAAAAAAAATATTCCATTAAATATCTTTTTCATAAACTCAAATTGTTTTCACAAGTCTTAACATTTTTCATCTTTAGACTCTGTTTATTTTGGGGAGTTTTTATTCTGATTTTACTATTTTAATTTTTTTTTATTTTCAAAAAATATCGAATCAAACACAATTATTTATTTATTATATTATACAAAAATTTTATTTTACATTCAAAATTTCGTATTAATGAAAATAACTATTTTAATTCAAAATTTTAATACTAAAATTAAAATTCAAAATCAAAATCTTTCAAGTAATTCTTCTAATAAACTTTTAAATTAATTTTCTAACAAAAACTTTCAACATATCAAATTTACATTAAACAACAAATTAATACGCACGAAATGAACTTAACATTAATGGTAAATGCATTCAACATAAAATATTATAGAGCTTCATTCAACGAGCAACCATCCAACATTAAGCCCGACGAAAAACAAACATTAAAAAACAAAAAAAAAAAAAAACATACACAAGAATTTTCTTCTAAATGCAAAATAAAAACGACTCTGCATATTTACATATTCAAGACAGTATCCACATGCTGGAGATGATTTTTACCACAGTGAAAGCTTAAGAGTTGCATAAATAAAAATGTACCCTTCTTTGATTTTTTCTTTCTTTTCTAGGGTTCCGGCGTTGTCGTCGTCGTCGTCGGCGTAGACAGGCCGGGGCCTCAAACAGCTCGCACCTCGCCGCTAGCGTGGGCGGCCTTCACTTGTTTTTCATATTCATCATCTTCTTCGTCTACTTCTTCCTTGACATCCTCCTCTTGGTCCTCCTCGTCGCCCCACCCAAAGCCTCCGACTGCACGAGCGACGGGAGGGGGGGCTTTGGCCTGTTCGACAATGTTCATGATTTCCTCCACGGTCTGAAGGGAAAACGTCGGGTTTTCTCTGCGGTAGTACGCTGCTTGAGCTGTATCCGTCAATTCTCGAGGCATATTCTTCAGAAACCATGGATGAGTTTTGATGTCTTTAATCGAAATCCTCTGGCAAAATTAAGTGAAATTCAGGAGCTTGTTTAGATAGAGGTTAACAAATAAAGATCTGATAGAGGATTGCACGTACCCGAGCTGGATTGGCGACAAATAGGCGAGAAAGAAGGTGCCGGCAATCTTGAGATATGTGGACGTAGTCGGGGATCTTGTACTGAACCGACATTATCCTCTGGCAAAGGAAATTTTCCGAAGCATATAACTATGGTCAACCACAAGAACTCCATTTTTAAAAAATATCTTATCAGATACGTATTCATTCTCAGAAAATATCATATCAAATATTAACCTTCAAAATTCCAGAAGTCTCTATCTAAATTGAAGATTTGGAAATCAAGATCGTTCGGTGGGCAAGAAAGGTAAAAAAAGATCACCTGGATGGTTTTCCGAAAGTTCTTTGGATCTTCTTGATCTTCGAAAGGATAAGCGCCAACCAGCATGACGTAAAGTGTAACACCGCACGACCATACATCAGCCAACTGAAATGAAGCCAAGTAAACCACAGCCGGAATAATCAACAAATGAACGGCGCAATAGAATTGGATTTCGGTTTTAAAATGGATGGAATGCAAACAGAAACGTTATGAATAAACAGGAAATGAACATGTTGGAATGAAGCCAATAACACCGTAGCATCCATTTCTAAACCGAAAATGAACACAAACACATTGCATTGATTGAGTGCAACGAAGATTGGGAGCACCCCGATAACATCATTACACAAGCATGATCCAAGACGAAGATAATACTACATACAAGAATGTCTAAATCGACCTCCACGATAATAAAGCCAAATTTATTACAACCACATAATACAAAATAACAGGTGTGGTTAGATTTTCATCCAATATATTTCCCCCAAAAAACATAGACTCGAATGTTTTAAGGGTGTGTTCGTTTATGGGATTTTGCCAAAATTCTACTATTTATCAAATTGTTTTTTTCAAAAAACATCATATCAAACACTTATTTTTCAACTTTTATATTATACAAAAAAATTAATCTTACATTCAAAACATCACATCAATACTTATTTATATCAATCATACAACTATTACAATTCAAAATTTTTATCATTTAAACCCCCAAACAAACACACTCTAAATATGCTCGTCAACGAAAACAGGAAAGATGATTACCTTTCCATCGTATTCTCTTCTGGATAGAACCTCAGGAGCAATATAAGCAGGGGTGCCAACCGTCGATTTGGGCCTCGAATGAAGCAAAGATGACTTGAACAAAGATAAAAATAACAATAAGTTAAACTTTCTGCCGTAACACAGCCATTTTCTAACACACTTACATAAACAATATTCGTAAACATCAAGCGGACACAACCGACACTACCTTTGAGTAACCAAAATCACAGATTTTCAGGCGCGGGGCGGGGTTTCCATCTAGAAGGGTATTTTCCAGCTTCAAGTCGCGATGACATATTTGCTGCAGATCAAAATAACAAAGCAGAAACACAACTACATTCATATAAATGTCGGAAAATGTAAACTAGACCACTTTATGAAAATATATGAACCCCAACTTCGCTCACCATGGTGTGGCAATAGTTCACCCCGGATATGAGCTGCTGAAAGAAGTACCTAGCCTAAAAACACGGCAAAGTAGACGTAAAAAATATGATTAATATAAGATCATCGTAATATTCATTCAATTCATAGTTCCCTAATTTGTGGTGCATTGAACAAGTGAGAAAAAAGGCGCTACCTCATCCTCACTAAACCTCCCGGCATTGCAGATTCTCTCAAAGAGCTCCCCACCGGCAGCATACTCCATTACAATAGCAAGATGTGTCGGCGTCAAAACCACCTACAAATAGTACAAAAACTCAACAATCATTTTTAATCGCACCAAGAAATTAAACAACTCGAAAACTACATTGCAACACAAACCTCCTTGAACCTAATTATGTTAGGATGGCGAAGGGACCGATGATTTATTATCTCCCGAGCAACATTCTCATCGATCTACATCAAAATTTCGACAAACCTTAATCCAAGTAAACATCAAAAAGTTCACTGCCAGCCTAAATACCAACACAACATAGCATCAAGGAAATCGAAACATCAAATATCATACAGACAAGAACTCGAAATCGAGGAAAAACATCATGTGATCGAACAAGATGAATCCAAAAACAGAGCAAACCTTGTGCCCTCTTTCCATGTATTTCATGGCCACGAGCTCCTTCGTCTCCTTGTTCCTCATAAGCCTGGCCACACCAAAATTTCCAGACCCAATATCCTTCACATGTTCGTATTTCTCCATTGTATTCACCACTGTTTATTAATTCAATTCCCTCGAACAAGAACAAAAGTCGCACCTACCAAGCTTTCAAACCCTAAATTCACACCTCAGCCACATGAAAGCTACTCCAGATTTCCAAAAAAATCCCTAAATCAGATGAAATGGAAGACTCCACACTAATATTAATCCTCAATTCGCCATCTCTGAAACCAAAATCGATTGATCAACGAACCCTAAAAAAAGCCCTAAATATTAAAAACAATTGAAGATGATTACAATCCCAAATCCGCACGGCACTGCCTGCCTTTACAGGGATTCAAATCCGATTTCCAGCGAGTGCAGGAAAAGGATACGCATTCGAAAAAAGAAAAAAACAGAAAAGCAAGGAATATATTACAGAAAACGCATTGTGAGATTATTCGTCAAGCGTGCTTTCATGTGCATGAGAGAAGAAAATATATATATAAATATATGTATATAATATGCATATGAGGGAACAATTGCAGGCCAGCAGGGAAGAATAAATCAATTAAATAATGGATTGAATCGAGAAAAAAGGAGGTGGCAGGGATGGGGATGATGCAATACTTTTTAATGGCAAGTTGGGGGAGAAGGACGAAGAAGAAGAAGAAGAAGAATAAGAACGGGAAAATTGACTAATATTGATTGATGGAGTTTGTCGTCGACAATGGGGCGATGGGTCCGGTTGGGTCGTCTGTGCGTAAGCGCTGTTCATAGGTCCGATCTCATCTAGCAGCTGCGATGACGATGATGATGGTGATAGGCGATGGCGATGGTGGAGGTGACCGATCCAACGGTCAGATGTTCTTCTAGTTTTGAGCTGAAGATCAACGGTGAAGATTTTACCACTGTTCTTGAGTAGCCATTTGAGAATGGATTGTGGCGTATGAATGGGGATAAATGAATAAATGATAATACTATTATGTGTTCAATGATTATTATTATTATTATTATTTATTTAATAATAATTTGAGGAGTAAAATCATTTTAGATGTGCATAGTTGAAACAATAACAGTAGAAAAAGTTGAAATATAGTTTAAATTTATTCAATTTGTATGGTTGAATGTGAGACTCTATACTAACATTTTTTTAACTTTCACAATTTTTTATTATACCCCCTTCGTCGTCCAAATATGTGTTCATTTTACTCAATTTTAATAAAATAAATAATAATTGTTAATTTTTTTATAGTAAAAAATAGTTCAAAAGTAGAATAATTTTTTATTTAAAAAAGAAATAAAAATATTTTTTTTTTATGACAATCAAAAAAAAATGAGTATAAATTTGAATGACCAACAAAGTAATAAGTTTTTTAACGATACAATTCATATCTCAAATTAAAAAATACTTTATACTAAAATACCACTCCTATTAAATAAAAAAATAAAAATATAAAAAACCCCGAGTTTTGTTTATAGATATACTTTTTTGATTGATACTTTACCGCATTTCACATTAAAAAAAATAAAAATAAAATTAAAGATTGTTTGATTATGATTTAAAATTAATTTAAAATAAAATATTAAATTTAATAATATTTTGATATAATATTTTATTAAAAAATAAATTTTTATTATAAATTGTGAAAGATGAACAAATTTAAAATTCTTAAAGAACAAATTCTAAAAACCAAACTCTTTTCTTTTTTTTTCACTTGCAAAAAATCATATTAAATCAATGAACTTTTATTGTTACCAAATTTTCTCAAGACTTCAAAATCTCTATTAAGGTGTTTAACAATTATTGGGAAGTTGAATTTGAATAGTTACAGATGTAATATAAATAAAAGTTGATATGATATGTTGAAAGTAAAATAAATTTATAATATAATATAAAAAATAATAATTGTTTGATATAATATTTTTGAAAAAAAAAAAAAAAAACTATTTAAATACAACCTAAATGCTTCTTACAATGTATAACAATAATAATAATAATAATAATAATAATAATATCTTGACTTATAAAGACTAAGCATGGAAATGGTCTTTATAAAAAGCAACTATATAAAAATAGGAGTTCACTCACTCATCATGCAATTATCATAAAACACAAGGAATTATCTGATGTGGAGGTTGGATGTGTAACGGTGAAGTCATTTATTCAAGCCTCCGACACTTTACGGGTGCACCCTTGTCGTCATAAAAAATATATATATATATATCATAAAACATAATATCTAAATTATTAATTTAATCAAACAAAAAATTAAGAATCCGACCCAATCAATGAGGCCCGGAATAAAAACTTAAAAAGCTCATTAAGAGCCCGAATAGAACCATTCTCTAAGGGTGTGTTTGTTTGGGGATTGGATTTTAATTATACTATTCATTTCATTTTTTCCCCCAAAAAAAACATCAAATCAAACACCTATTTTTCATTTTTTATATTATACTAAAAATCAATTTTACATTCAAAATATTACATCATACAACTATTCAAATTCAAATTTTTTACTACTCAAATCTCGTCTCAAAATCCAAACCCCCAAACAAACACAAACACACCCTAAGAGAAAAGAAGGCATGGTAAATAATAATAATAAAGTATTAAAAAAAAGTTTTATAATGGTTATTACTATTTATTAAATAAGATAATAAAATTATTTCTTATAATAAAATAGATATAAATTTAATAAAAATTAAAATAATAATATAATTTTAATGGACATTGTTAATACCTAGAAATCTAGCATTATTTCATCAAAATATTTAATTTTAAAAATATATTTTACTCAACTGTGAATTCAACATATATTTATGCCAGAAATTATTGTGCTTAGATATAAAATAAATCATATGATTTACAACACACAATATATTACCATATTGTACAAGAAATAAATATGGCTGCATTAATTATATTAATATAATACAAATATATTATAAAGTAACGACAGATAACACAAGTCATACAATACATCGGACAAACAATACCTAAATTATATTAATGTAATATGAATACACGATATCTCAATACAATGTACAATTGACACCTTTTTATTTTGGACAAACTTACTAAATCAAAATTTACTTTAAAAAATAAATCAATTTAATTAATTATATAATATATAATCCTATACATATGATCCACTTAAAAATATCTTTATTTATATATATTTCCTAAAAAATAAAGGAATTTGGGACAGCCAAAGTCAACCGCGACAAAATTGCATCTAGTTCTCTGTGCTAATGTAGTTGGGTGTTTGATGTACTATATGGTTAGGGATGGATAAATTTACCGAATATACCGAAATATCGACTTATCGTACTATATCGTGTCAGAAATACCAAAAATTTCGGTACGGTATGGATATCGTATCGAAGTTTTCGGTACGGTATCGGTATGAATTTTCGGAAAATTTGGTATTTCGGTATGATACCGTACCGATATTATTTTTATTAAATAATTTAATTATTAATATAAATAATAATTATTAATATTTTTTTTAAAATCATAACAAAAAATACGTATACTATTGAAAATTTATTGGTTTTTTCATAATATTTTTGTGATGGAGAATAGTGATATTTATTAAATTTTTAAATCATTTTGAAATTTAAAATTATATTTTCGGTATAATCTGTATATACCAGTATCTACCGAAATCAAAATTTTCGGTATAATCGATATATACCGGTATCTACCGAAATCAAAATTACCGTACCGAAAATTTCGGTATACCGTATACCGAAATTTTCGGTACGGTATTGATATATATTTTAGTCATATCGAAAAGTTCGATACGATATCAGTATCGACCGATATTTTCGGTAAGGTACGGTATGTCATCCTCTATATATATATATACTAGAACACGCTCTTGCGCGGTATACCGCGCGACTATTCTATAATGTAATGTAGTGAAACATTATTTATTTGAAATATAAACTGTAAAACAAAAATGTAATCGAATTATTTGTGCTCAGGTCGGTGGGTCAGGTCGTTTCGTTTGGTCGGTTGGTCTGGTCGGTTGGTTAGCGGTCGGATAGGAAGGTCGGAAGGTCCTCGGTCGGATGATCAGGTCGGTTGGTTAGCGAACGGATGGGCAGGTCGGAAGGTCCTCGGTCGGTTGGTCTGGTCGGTTGGTCCTCGGTCGGATGGTTAGCGGTCAGACAGACAGGTCTGATGGTCACCATATCGGACAGACAGGTCTGATGGTCTGCGGTCGGATAAAGTAGGTCGGCTGGTCTGCGGTCGGATAGGCAAGTCAGCTGGTCCGCAGGTGGATGGACAGGTTGCTTGGTGGGTGCGGCCAAGGAGTCTTTTGGTCTAGCGATTGGTCTCTGGATTGGTCGATTGGGCTATTTGAGTTCTGGAACTGGTGGAGGCATTTGGCGAGGCGGTTGATGTAACCGACCAGACGACGTTTCAAAATGTTTCGTCTTGGGCGGTTGACGGCGGTTGCTGGCGACGGTTCCAAAACGTCTTTTCAAGCCAGTACAAAGGTAGGGTAAGAGCTAAATTGTCATTTTCGAAATGAGGGGCATGATAGACTTTTCAAGTGACAAATCCATACAATCTCGTGTATAACAACATACAAGTTTTAATACCCAAATCAACTAATACATGAGGTCTTGTTACGTACAAAAATAATAATAATAATAATAATAATAATAATGGTAGCAGTGTCTTGAAGGAAGGTAGGACCCGAAGTCGGGTAGAAAAGTAGAAAAATTTGCGCTCAGGTTGGTTGGTCAGGTCGGGAGGTCCTCAGGTCGGGAGGTCCTCAAGATGGAAAGTCATCAAGAAGGAAAGTCCTCAGGTCGGTTAATCAGGTCGGTTGGTTAGCGGGTCGGAAAGTCTGTAGGTCTGATGGTCAGCAGGTCGGACAGACAAGTCGGAAGGTCTGCGGTCGGGTAGTCAGGTCGGTTGGTTAGCGGGTCGGATGGTCCATAGGTCAGAAATTCTGCAGGTCTGATGGTCAGCAGGTCGGACAAACAGGTCGGATGGTCAGCAGGTCGGACAGACAGGTGTGATGGTCAGCAGGTCGGACGAACAAGTCTGATGGTCTGCGGTCGGATAAAGTAGGTCGGCTGGTCTAGCAATTGGTCTTTTGAATGGTCGGTCGGGCCAGTTGAGTTCTGGAACTGGTGGAAGCGTTTGGCGAGACGGTGCAAGACACGTGTCAATAAAGGAGGAATTAGTGGGCAGTTGATGTAACAGACCAGACGACGTTTCAAAGCGTTTCGTCTTGGGCGGTTGACGGCGGTTGCTGGCGACGGTTCCAAAACGTCTTTTCAAGTAATATTTAAGGATTTAGATTTTTTATTTTCAAGCATCTTCAATCAACTTCAACAAAGCAAAGTCATATTTGGGGATCACCACTTTAAATTTTCAGCATTTTAATTTTCCAATCAATTTCCTTTTATGTACCGTACAGTGTTTAGAGATTCCTAATCTCAGACGCTAAAAAATCAAATTTAAGGTGTTACGTACAAAAATAATAATAATAATAAAAATAATGGTAGCAGGGTCTTGAACGAAGGTAGGACCCGAAGTCGGGCAGAAAAGTAGAAAAATTTGCGCTCAGGTCGGGAAGTCCTTAGGTCGGGAGGTCCTCAAGACGGAAAGTGGTCAGGTCGGGAAGTCCCCAGGTCGGGACGTCCTCAGGTCGAGAGTTCCTCAAGACGGAAAGTGGTCACGTTGGGAAGTCCTCAGGTCGGGAGGTCCTCAAGACAGAAAGTGGTCAGGACGGGAAGTCCTCAGGTCGGGAGGTCCTCAAGACGGAAAGTGGTCAGGTCGGGAAGTCCTTAGGTCGGGAAGTCCTCAGGTCGGGAGGTCGTCAAGGCGAAAAGTGATCAAGTCGGGAAGTCCTTAGGTCGGGAAGTCTGCAGGTCTGATGGTCAGCAGGTCGGACAGACGGATGGTCAGTAGGTCGGACAGACAGGTCTGATGGTCAGCAGGTCGGATAAAGTAGGTCGGCTGGTCTAGCAATTGGTCTCTGGAATGGTCGGTCGGGCAAGTTGAGTTTGGGAACTGGTAGAAGCGTTTGGCGAGACGGTGCAAAGCACGTGTCAATAAAGGAGAAATTAGAGATTCCTAATCTCAGGCGCTAATTAATCAAATTTAAGGATATTTTCCATATCTTTGAATTTTACTTTTTGTCTATTGAAAAAATACATCAACACTTTATTTTCAGATTTTACTTTTTATTGTTGAAAAATTGCATCAACAACAATAAAAAATAAAATAGAGGAGAATGTAGATGAAATGTTTGAGATAAAAAGGGTGACCCTGCATCTCTTTATGAGTTTTGAAATGTCAAAAATAGCAAGGATATTTCAACTTTGATAATTGTTACGCAAAATAAATAAATAAATAATAATAATAATGATAATAATAATAATAATAATAAGGATAGTAGGATCTTAAAGGAAGATAGACACGAAATCGGGTGGAAAAGGAAAAAAAATTGCGCTCAAGTCGGTTGGTCCTCGGTCGGATGGTCAGGTGCGTTGGTTAGCAGTCAGATAGGCAGGTCGGAAGATCCTCGGTCGGTTGGTCTGGTCGGTTGGTCCTCGGTCGGATGATCAGGTCGGTTGGTTAGCGGTTCCAAAACGTCTTTTCAAGCCAGTACAAAGGTAGATTAATGGCTAAATTGTCATTTTCGAAATGAGGGGCTGGATAGACTTTTCAAGTGGCAGATCCGTACAATCTCGTCTTTTCAAGCCAGTACAAAGGTAGGTTAAGGGCTAAATTGTCATTTTTGAAATGAGGGGCAAGATAGACTTTTCAAGTGGCAGATCCGTACAAACTCGTATTTATATGATATAATATATGGTATATACCACGTTCTGACTAGGCCTATGCAGGTGGCCAGGTAAGTAACTACATGTCAAACCTCGGAATGGAGCATTGGAAAGCAATAGATTGGGTATTCAGGTATATGTGGGAAACATTAAATTATTGTCTTGAATTTGGAAAGGAAGATAATCCACAATTTATTAATTTATTAATTTATTACAATTAATAAATTAATAAACATGCTGGTTTAACTAAGACCACGAAATTAGAAAGTATTGAAAATAAACAACCACCACACTTAATACCTGCGACGATGATGATGGAAACGGGATGAGCCACACGATGTCGCCACGTGTCCGATAAAAATTCCGATCGGTCACGCTATAAGTACGACCTCTAACCGCCTTTCCATTTCCCCAACCCGCACGCGCTCCCCACGCTCCACCGGAACCCTAACCGTACCAACAATGGCGTCGTCTCTCTCCAGCGCTGCGCTCACCACCGCCTTGCTCCCCCGCACGCCGCCGTCAGCTTCCGCAAACAGGCGGCGGTATTCGCGTCCGGACGACGGGCAACGGCGGCAGGGCGGCGAAGTGTATGGCGTCGTACAAAGTGAAGCTCGTCACTCCGGAGGGAGAGAAGACAATCGAGTGCCCTAGCGACGTGTACATCCTCGACGCGGCGGAGGACGCCGTCGTCGACCTACCGTACTCGTGCCGCGCCGGATCTTGCTCCTCGTGCGTCGGGAAAATCGAGAGCGGCGGCGTGGACCAGTCGGACCAAAGCTATTTGGACGACGATCAGATTAACGACGGTTGGGTGCTAACCTGCGCAGCGTATCCTACTTCGGACCTCGTTGTGAAGACGCACTTGGAGGAGAAACTCTTCGGCTAATGAAGAACGAACCTGTTTACATGACTTAATTCTTCTTCAATTCACTTATTCACGGGAGTAAGAAGTTATATAGTAATATCGATTTAGCGTCGGCTAAGCCTGCTGCTGTGATTTTGGTGGTATATCATATTAACAGTCAACTCCGCCATTGTTGGTGATATTGCTGCTTAAAATATGAAATAAAATGTATTATTATATTAAAAAAAATTAACAAATTATATGAAACGAGAAGTATAATATATGGAAGATATATTCAGGGTGTGTTTGTTCGGAGGATAGGATTTTTTTTCACTATTTATTCAATTTTTTCGCAAAAAAATATGAAATCAAATATTTATTTTTTTATTTTTTATATTATACTAAAAATTAAATTTCATTCAAAACATCATATCAACATTTATTTATATCACATCATACAATTATTAAAATTTAAAACTTTTACTAATCAAATTCAAACCCATAAACAAACACACCCTTAAATTATTTTATAATCTCTTCGTCAATATATTATTTTAATTATATTTGATAGTTAAAAGTAGTTTAATGACTTTGACACAATACTATTTTAATTACAGTGGAAAGTTAAAAGTAACGTAATGACTTTATTCTTACTTTCTCATGTAAAAATAATGATTGATGTAAAGTAAACGTATACTTGGAAAAAATGTGATGTATTTAATAAAATATTTACACTTTAAAATATATATACTTTCTACCTTGACGGATTAGATGAAATATTATATTACTTTATTATACTATAAATTTATAAAATTCAATTTACTTTAATCCGCGAAAAAGTCAAATAAAATTTTTAAATAATATATTTTTTATTTAATAAATATATATGCAGTTAAACATTACAAATATATTTCTAACTACACCTATTTATTGAAATAATATTCTATTACAAATAATTTCATAAAGTTAAAATAGTCATTTAATATAAAATTCCACCGCCTATAATTAAAATGCTACTCCCTCTGTCGTAATGCAATAGTCTTATTTATCATTTTTGTTCGTCTCAAAACAATAGTCTTATTTTCATAAATAATCATATTACCATAAAATTATCCCTAACTTTTCATTTTTATTACACAATTACCACTACTTTTTACATTAATATATTTACAAGAACAAAAAAAATTTATCTATATTTTTTATCAACTACTAATGTAATATCAATATTTTTTTAAATTAGGTATCCAATTCAATTAAAACTATATTTATGGTAAGAAAGAAATATAACTTAGGGTGTGTTTCTCCACCCCATATTTGGGCCTGTCCACGATTTGGGGGACAACTTTGTGTTTTATTTTTTTAAAAAAAAAATATTAAAATATAATTTAATACTTATTCATTATAATTATAGGGGAAAAAAATATATACGATAATAAAATTTTTAATAAAACAAATAAATAAAAATTTAAATATATATATGTTGAGTATAATATAAATTTATAATCAAATCATACAATATAAATTTTATTCATTATCCATCAAATCAATACACACAACTGCCCAAATCCAAACACAAAAAAAAAAAAACAAAATTCAAATTCATCGAAAAATTCAAATAAAAATCAAACCCAAATTTTTTCGAACTTCCCTGGATAAACACACCTTGATACACAGAGGGAATGTGCGTATGAAGTTGAATAAATCTCTTATCTTGTTATGTTCAATGGATATGATTTATTTGAATTTCAAATTTAAATAAACTTAAGCAAATTCAATAACAATATTTATTTTTAAACAACAAAATTATAGAGTTTGTTTGTTTAATGTTTTTTTTTAATATAAAATATTATATTAATAATATAAAAACTAATATTTTTATATTAAATGTTAATTTTAGTGAGAGAATAAAATATATATTGAAAAAATACTTTAATCAAACAAAACCCTTTCAATATACAAGTATATTAATTTACCTTTAGCTGAGCAAAGACTATGGTGAGTTCTTCTATAATTTTGTTTTATTATTATTTTCTTTTTATGGCAAAATAATATAAAAAATTTCAGTGATTTTTTTGAATATGTTAAAATTTTCATTTGGTCCTAAAATTTTATATTATTTACTCGTAGTTTCCAAAATATTTGATAAAAAATCTTTATTACAATTCATGCATTTTAAAGTACAACTGTTAATAGAGGGAAGCACGACCACGAGTACTTCACGTGTGAATTGCATTGCCGTAAGTACTAACTGAGAGAGTTTTTTATGCAAAAATTTTGAAATTACGGTTAAATAATATGAAATCTTATAACCAGTGGAGATTTTTAACAATTTTCGAAAATTATAGGAGAATTTTATGTTATTTTATTTTTTTTTTAATAATAATTTTTACATAGAATTTGTTTGTTTAGTGATTGATTTGAAGAATTTTTTGAAATGCTTTTTTTAAAAGAATAAAATATATATTACAAACAAAAAAAATGTCAAACAAATCCATAATACTTTATTAAAAATTAGTATATGTTTTATAATAATATATTTTTATAAAATCATCATATCATAAAAATATAAAAATAAAATCAACATACACTCCAAATTTCTTCATTTATTTTCCAAAAATAATCATAGACGGCCCCAAAAATAAATGAAAGAACAGAAATGAAGAGAAGAAGAGAACCAGTCAGAAACAGTACCTCCTCGACGAGATAAGATGATCAGTGCATCTCGTCACAGGATCTCGCCACGTGTTGAACCACGCATTCCCAGCCACACGATTGCCAGCCACGCGATCTCCACAGGCCACACGCTATCCATCCATCTGCTATATTTCCTACCCAATCTCAGCATCCACAAAAAAGCGCCTCCTCAGTCCTCTCAACTTCAACGCAACAATGGCATCCATCTCCGTAGCCAACACCGTCTTCCTGCCTCAGAAGCCGCCGGTTTCCGCCAGGCTCGGCGCGCTTCCGAAGCAGGCGTCTCTGTTCGGCGTCAGGATCGGCGGTAGGGTGAGGTGTATGGCGACCTACAAAGTGAAGCTAATCACTCCGGAGGGAGAGAAAACAGTCGATTGCCCTAGCGATACGTACATCCTCGACGCGGCGGAGGAAGCAGGAATCGACTTACCGTACTCGTGCCGCGCCGGCGCGTGCTCCTCGTGCGCCGGTAAGGTCGTGAGCGGTAGCGTGGATCAGTCGGAGCAGAGCTTCCTCGACGACGACCAGGTAGACGCAGGCTTCCTGCTCACGTGCATATCGTTTCCTACTTCCGATGTCGTCGTCCAGACGCACGCCGAGGATGACCTCGCTGGTTAATTCATTTATGCAATCCGTTTTCATTTTCAGTTCCTTCTGATTCTTCGATTTAGCAATAAGACTTTTGAAATCAAATCTGTTGTTTGCTTCAAGTCTCGAGAAGAAGAACTACTGTCACTTTTGAGTTCTGTGGATTGCAATTTTAAACTCAAATGAAATTATTCACCTTTTGTAGAATATCATTTAAATTAATTTTAAACCGGCAATCAAATAAACTGTTAGTTCATTATTTATATATATATATACACACACTTGTTCGTGTTTTTTTCTTTTTAACTGACAAAATTTGAACTTACGAATCGCACTAGGGTTTGGTTGCTTTGTAATTTCTACATGCTCGTTCCTCTCACAACTCCGCCCTTAAATTTATATTCATTTTTTTTTGCAGTAACTTCAATTATCTCCTGACATTACATTACAATATAAACACAATTTTTTCAATTTATAATATATTATAAAAATATTAATTTAATATTTTATTTTATTCATACAGTATCTCAATACTAATATTTTTAAAATTTTATGAAAAAAATAAATGAATAAATAGATATTGAATGAATGGACTATTTATTAAAGTGTGTTTGGTTGTTGGTTTTGGAATGTAATTTTGAATTTAAATCTAAAAATTTAATACTCCATCTGTCCACACACAAAGTATATATTTATTTTTGATGCGGTGTTTAAGAAATAATAGTATTTTAATTATAATGGACAGTTAAAAATAATCTAATGACGCATTTGCCCTTGATTTTTGGTGTAAAAGTAACAATGTGATATAAAAAAATATTTGTGAAAAAGATATAATATTTAATGAAATATTTATTTTGTAGTTATACGTCCCAAAATATAAACATGTATACTTTCTAGTTGGACGGATGAAATATAAAATAGTTATTTAATTTATAAACTCATATAAAAAATATTAAGAAAATATGACTGAAACTTCCACGTAAATTAATACAAAAAAATTAAACAAAAACACATTATTATATGTGTAATTATAAATTAATTGAAATAAAATATTAATTTAAACTTTCATTTAAATAGGATTATAATATAATATTTTATAAAAAAATAATATATTTTAATTAAAAATTATATCAAACAAATGATATTAATATTAAGTGTACTTTAATATATTAAAAAATTTGAGTTGGGATTTGAATAGTAAAAAATTTGAATTTAAATAGTTGTATGATGTGATATAAATAGGTGTTGATGTGATGTTTTGAATGTAAAATTGATTTTTAGGATAATATAAAAAATAAAAAATAGGTGTTTGATTTGATATTTTTGGAAAAAAAAAATAGAATGAATAGTAGAAATCCAAAAAAATCCCTCAAACAAACACACCCTTAGGGTGTTTTTGTTCAAGAATTTTGGTAAACTTTTACTATTCATTTCATTTTTTCACCCAAAAATATCAAATCAAATATCTATTTTTTATTTTTTATATTATACTAAAAATTAATTTTATATTCAAAACATCACATCAACACCTATTTATATAACATAATACAACTATTCAAATTCAAAAATTTTACTATTCAACTCCCGTCACAAAATAAAAAAAAACAGCGTAAAAAAATGAAAGACTGGAAGTGAAGAGAAAAAATGCAGGCACGGTACCTGCGATTCAGTGGAGATAAGCAGATCAATGGAACGAGCCACAGGATGTTGCCACGTGTCACGCTTTCCAGCCACACAGAATTCTAGCCGCACGATATTTATCCATCCGTCTGCGCCATTTCCTCCTCTACCCAATCAGTATTTCATCAAAAAAACTCCTCCATTGCAACTCCAACAATGGCATCCATCGCCAGCTCCATCGCCAACACCGTCCTGCTTCCTCGGAAGCCGCCGGCTTCCGCCAGCCTCCGCGCGCTTCCAAACCAGGCGGCGACGTTCGGCGTCCGGACAGGCAACGGCGGCAGGGCGAAGTGTATGGCGTCGTCGTACAAAGTGAAGCTCGTCACTCCTGAGGGAGAGAAGACGATAAACTGCCCTAGCGACGTGTACATCCTCGACGCGGCGGAGGACGCCGGCGTCGACCTACCGTACTCGTGCCGCGCCGGATCGTGCTCCTCGTGCGCCGGTAAGGTCGTGAGCGGCTCCGTCGACCAGTCCGACCAAAGCTACCTCGACGACGACCAGATTGACGGCGGATGGGTGCTAACGTGCGCGGCGTATCCTACTTCGGATCTCGTCATCGAGACGCACAAGGAGTCGGATCTCTTCGACTGATCGATCGATGCAACCAAATTAAACTTCGCCGGTTCCTTCATCATCATGTCGTCGTCTTCGAGTTAGCAGTGATTGTAGAAGAAATCAATTTAGGGATTGCTGGAGTGAGTCTGGATGTCTCTAGAAGGATCTACTGTGCCTTTTGATTTCTTCGTTACGAACCGTCTTCGCTTTCGTTTACATATCTGCTGATTTATCACGAAATAATTTACTTAAGAGTGTTTTTATTTGGGTTTTGGATTTTAAATAGAAGAATTTTGGATTATGATAATTATTTGATATAGTATGAATAAATATGAGTATTGTTTTAAATTAAAATTATTTTTTTTGAAGTTGGAATTCAATCAATACGTTACTACTGAAATTAAATTAGTATAGAGTGTATTTATGCAGCTATAAAACCCAACGCAGTGGGTTGTAGATTCCCCCCATTTTTGGCAGGAATCAAAGAGTTTTTGTGGGTTCCCCGTCCAAAAGAATTGTATTGTGTAATTTTATAAAAGTGATATAATTTTAATTTTTGAAAAGTAATATATAATTTTATTTTTTAAATTAATATATAATTTTACTGTTTGAAAAGTAATATAATTTTTATTTTTTTAAAAATGATATGTAATTTTATTTTTTAAATTAACGTGTAATTTTACTTTGTAAAAAGTTATGTTTAATTATTATGATTATATTTGTCTTGATAGCATTTAATTATTTATTTAAAATTATTTTATTTTTAATATTTATTAATTATAAATGTTAATTTTATGTAATTTTTAAATAATTTATAAATTATATGTGTATGGATCTAATATAAAAATAAATTAAAGTTGGGGTGTAATTTATAAATATGAAAAGTTATATAAAATAATATAAAATATGAATATATATGAAATATATTTTTTAGAGTAAAAATTGAAGTTTATGGTTATAATAAAATTATGCATTTTTACTGTAGCAACTGCAAAAATAGAATGGAGGGTTGGAGATGGCTTAATCATATCATCTCCAATCAACTGTATTTATGGAAGGGGTTGGCCCCATTCTTTCCCTCATTTTTTAGGATAACTACAGTATTATTTCATTTTTTGAATAACACTGTAGCTCAACTCTATTTTTGGAGTGGAGTATTTTGTGTATTTTTATAATTTTTTGAATATTTTGTATAATTTTATTTTTAAAAAAGTGATATATAATTTCATATTTTGGAAATTGATATTTTTTCTGTCCCAATACGATAGTCTTGTTTATTATTTTTGTTCGTCTCAAAACAATAGTTTCATTTCCATAAATAATCATATCACTGTAAAACTACTCTTACTTTTTTATAATTATTACACAATTGTCACTCACAAGGGCAAAAAAGGTTTTTACCATTATTTTTTATCCAATACTAATATAATATTAATATTTCTTAAATTTCGTGTCAAATACAACTCAGCCTATAGTTCTGAGACAGAGGGAGTATATAATTTTATTTTTTTAAAAATAATATATAATTTTATTTTTTGAAAAGTGATATATAATTTATTTTTTCAAAGGTGATATATAATTTTATAAATAAAATATGAATTATATATTTTTAGTGATAATGTAAAAATAAATTAAAATTATGGTGTAATTTATAAATATGAAAAGTTATATAAAATAATATAAAAGAAGAGTATACAGGGAATATACTTTTTAGTGTAGATATTGAAGTTTTTTGCTGGAGTAAAATGACTGTAGACCAACAGCATTTTTCACTGTAGCTGCTGAAAAAATAAAGTAATGGGTTGGAGATGGCCTTAGTGTCAACTAATTTATCCGTGCCTAAAAAAACTATTCATTTTGGTATGTCTCGTAACAAATTATTTATTTTTTTTTTTTTAGTAACTGTACTATCTACCTAATATTATAAATATCCTTACAACTTACAATATATTATAGAAATGTTATTACTGTTATATCATACAATACTAATAAGGTCATTTTAATCATTTATATTTTATTCATATTATATTTTAATATAATACTAATATTTGTAAAACTTCGTGTAAAAAGTAAACAAATACATAAATATGGGACCGAAGGAGTATTACTTTATTATATTATATTGTGGAATTGTGTTATAATAATACACAATTTGTATTAACAATAGTAATAACATTTCCATAATTCGTCTAATGTGATTTACATTAAAAAAAAAAAAAAAAAATTAAAAAGATTGAAGGATAAAAACATAAATATACAAAAAATATTGAGGTATTTATTTGTAAGATTTTAATTTTAAATAATAAAATTTTAAATTAAATTTAATATTTTAAATGTAAAATAATATTATAGTATAATATGATAAATGTAAAATATATGTTTTATTTAATATTTTTAATGGAAAAAAATGTGAGAAAATTCACTTCGAACCTTGGAAGTGAATATATATTTATATATTTATTATAAACAGATATATATATAAAAGTTTAAACATAACCATCAAATGACCGCATAGCGCAGTGGATTAGCGCGTCTGACTTCGGATCAGAAGGTCGTGGGTTCGACTCCCACTGTGGTCAATTTTAATTTTTTTCCTTTTGCTAAATTTCCAGCTGTAAGTCAAATTTTGGGAATATTTAAGCTGTATTGTATTTTTTGTACTGTTCTTTATAAATGGAAAAATATATATCTACATAAAACTGGTGGAAAAATATATATATTTTTTTAATTTTTTATGTGTCTATATTTAATAAATGAATAGAAAATGGAAATAAAAAAGATAAAAAAATATATATTACATCCTCCATTGTAAAAAACCTAAGAACAAAATAAGATTAGTAAAATTAAATCATAATTTATTTTATTAAAAACATAAATGACAAACAAAATGAAAAAGAAAAACACAAAAACAATATAGACAAAATCGTAAAAATTTCGAGGCATCATTAAATAAAATAATAAATAAATGAGAAAAAATTAATTTTGGTCCAATATAATAAAAATTATCAATTTTTGTCCAAATATAAAAAATCATCAATTTTAGTCTCATTGCAAACCATTTCAATTAATTTTGATTCCATCATAAACAATTTCAATCAATTGATCTGGAACTACACGACCATGTATATTTCAGTGTACAATATGATCATATCTAATTGTACACTGAAATATATATGGCCGTGTGACAACGTGGCCGTGTAGTTCCAGGTCAGCTGTCACGTTAACTCCGTTGCGTCCACGTCAGTAATTTTCGTTAGTTTTTCAATAGTGAGACTAAAATTGATTAAAAATTTTTATAATGAGACCAAAATTGATTGAAATTATTTATAATGAAACTAAAATTGATGAATTTTTTATATTATGATCAAAATGATAAATTTTTTATTATATTGAGACCAAAATTGATTTTTTTTCTTATTATTTTTTTATATGAATAATATTGTTGAAATTTTTAAAATATAAATTAATATGGATGATTACAAAATTTTAAATATGTGTTTCAATACTTTTAGCATTATATTTCAATAATATATACTTCATCTGTCTCATTTAATTTGTCAACTATTTATATTTTGTTTGTCCCTTATAATTTGTCTTTTAAAAAAATATAATATATATTTTAATCAAATTTGAAAATATATAATTTATAATTTTTTATTATTTTAATTAAACTATTTGGTTATCTTAATATATACTTATTTTTATGAAATCATAATTTTTTTATTAATATAATTTTTAATTACTTATTAATTACACAATAATTAAAATTCTATACGTGAGCTAATAGAGACAAATTAGCTGGGACAGAGAAATTATAAAATATAAATATATTTTTGTAAATAATAAAATTTAACATAATACAAATAAATAAAAATTGTATTTATTTATTTATAATAACTTAAACTAGTTTTATAACAAAACAATAGAAAAAATTTAAATATAGATAGAAATATATGTTTATTAAAAAAAACATAAATAAAAATATTTTGAATGATCCTATATTTTAAATTTAATTAAATTAATTTATATTTTTAAATAAATTTAAAATTGATAAATTTATTAAAAAAAAAACGAATATATATTTTGAAACTAACTAAAAAGAAAAACGGATATCCGGCCAACACTAACCATCAATAACAAACAATAATATATATTTGCTTTTTTTATTATTATTTGTTAACCCAATTTTTTTTTTAATAAATATTAAAAATATAAAATTCAATCAATTTTATAACATACAAATTCATAGATTCACCTGTGAGACTGTGATCTATGAAAACTATTCGAAACCACCTATTTTCTTAAAATTGCATTAACCCCCTTATAGTTTCAAAAATCATGCGTTTAATCATCTATTCTATTTTTAATTAACACAGATTTAGTTATAAAAGATTTTTTGAAATATCTATACAGTCCGAACATGTGTAAAACAATCGCGGTTGATTAATAATAAAATTTAAGTTAAAGGTATAATTTATGAAAGTATAAGAAAATCTAATAGAATTTCAAAACAATATGAAATTCGGTGCAATTTTCGTAATTTACAAATGAATTTTATCTTATTTTGCCTAATAGGCAATATATATATATTCCCTCCATCCCAGCAAGAATGATCCATTCGGTGAGAAATACTGTATTTTAAATAATGTAGATTAATAAATTATGATATTATTTTTTATATCAGTAGTATTATTAAATTAATATTTGTGGTTTGTTTATTTATTTTGTGAAAGTTTTTGACACATTTTTCAAAAAAAAAAAAAAATTAATATGTTACACACACTTATTATATTTTTTATATTACCTAAATAATTCTCAATATTTCGTATAAATTATTTTTTTCCTTAAAATCAAAACACAAAATAAACACACTTTCTCTTCCCTCTCCACATGTTTGCTGTCAAACTTATAAAAAACAAATGATGCGATAATAAACAAAAACAATTAACATGCCAATTATATATATATACTATTCATTTTTTAATTTTAATTCGTCACATTAAAAAGTATTAATTTCATTTTTTAAGAACTATATTATCCCCATAATATTATAAATATCATTTCAATTTATAATATATTAAACAAATACCACTACATTTATATCATACCGTACTAATACATATAATTTAATCTTTTTATTTTTATTTTTAATATATATTAATATAATATTAATGTTTTTAAAATTTTTGTATAAAAAGAAAACATATATATATATATGTATATGAGAGCGAGGGTAAAGCAAATGATAATGTCAAAAATAATAACAATGGCTTTGGCTCCAATCCACATATCATTATTTCTATCTCTATCTCTATCCACTGTATCCGTACAGATTATATAGTTAAAAAGTTGACACTAGTGGAATCTGCACGCAGTAGAAGTAGTAGTAGCATTTTAGAAGAAGAAGAAACTAAAAAGAAGAAAAATGGAGTAAGAGAGAGAGAGAGAGATCCGGAAGGGGAGGGAAGGGACATTCCCTTAATTGGCCACCGTTAAAAATGGAGGCAGCCACCACACCCCACTGGTAGAAAAATATGGAATCTTGTATTGGGGTTGGGGCTCAATAAATAAATTTACTCTCTCTCTCTCTCTCTCTCTCTATATATATATAAAAAATAGAAAGACATCTCATATATGGCTGTCAAGTTAACCACACACACTTTCCCTCTGTGACGTTTTCTGCGCAAGTGGGAGACGAGGGCAGAGCTGTAACACACAGCTACAAGCCAAAAGGGAACCAACCAAGAGAGAGAGAGAGCGTACAGTAGAGTGAGCAACGGGGGATTGAAGAAGAAGAAGATTACCAGATTTTTATTCAGCTCTAGAAATTATTGTTCCAGTTTTTGGGGTTTTTTCCTCCCTCGAGATCTTCCATCGCTGTTCGGTGAAGGTGAGCTGATCTTTCCGCATCTTATTCTATTTCCCCCTAATTCGACCGAGATTTTTGTGGCGTGAATTCGCGTGAACTCTATTTATTTGGATTCCGATTCGATTCGAGTTCGGTAAATGCCGCAGACACGATGTAGGGTTTTTTTTTTTTTGGGGGGGGGGGGGGGAATTGAATCAAACCTTCGATTATGTGTTCGTATTTTTTGCTGAATATTTGAAAGAAACAGCAGTACTGTATGGGTTATTGGGCGTTGATTTCCAGAGATTTAGAGCTCTTAAGCCGCCATGGAAATGGAAATCGGCTGTCTTCTTATGGTAGTTTGTTAATTACAGTTCTACTGAGTGCAGTTTGTTTCAGAATTGGTGAACAATGCAGTTCCCATTACGATGTTGACGCCATATTCTCACTGGATCTGTCTCTTGCTTTGCCGCCATAGTAATGCTTAATTTGATTAGGGTTAGATGAACAGATTTAGGGTTTAGAGAGCTTTCTACAATTGGGGATAGGCATTGAGAAGCCAGTTTTCGACATCCCATTTCGAATTGAAAAAGATGCATTTGTATAGATAGAAGATTTGGATGTTCTGAATTTTTCGAAATATTTGAAATTTGATGTGATCTTTTATGATGAGAGACAATTTAATGTAATATAAATAGTGTCAAAAATTCCAAAAGTATCTGTGTAATCGAAAACAGAGGGACTGTTGTTATGAGACTAGAGGCTACCGGCAAAACAATGGGCTCCGGTTTAGCTTTAACTTTGTTGGTTCTTCACGATGTTTCTTTGGGGCATTTAGGTTTACATATGGATATATGTATTTGATTGTTTCTCGATTACCCGAGCTTTACAACAAAATGCTTAAGATCTAACAGTTAAGGTAGTCGGGCTGCGCTCGATTTTGCGTAACATGTTGTGTGATGTAAAATGTGGGTTTTTTTTTACTACGAAACTTAGGTGAATTGAGCGCGGCCGTAGAGTTTTAGGTACGTATTTTTTTACAGTGATGTTGATTATGTTGCAGGAAGAGGTTTTCGTAGGGTATGGCGAACTCCAAGGGGCCTTCGAACGTTAGAAGTATGTTGTACACCGGGAAGAGTTCGTTGCTACCGCCAAAGAGCCCGTTTCCGAGCATATCCCCGACATACACCGAGTTCATACCGAGTTCAGCGATCGGTCCGAAAGCTCATACAGCTGGAATGCCCAGAGATGGAAATTCGCATCAGCGAACTTCTTCCGAAAGTTTCTTGATGGTGGAGCAGCCCTCTTGGCTGGATGAGCTTCTCGAAGAGCCGGAAACACCTATGCGGAGAGGGCATCGCCGTTCGTCGAGCGATTCATTCGCATATTTGGACTCCTCGGCGAATGTCGGGAACATGGGCATGAATTATTCTGCTCAAGATGATAATAACAATAAGCAGAAGAATATAACTCCGGCGCTGTCTCCCTGGCACTCTCCGGACTTCGATATTTACAGGGGCGTGTGGAAAGGTTCTTTCCCGATGGACCAGAATACTTTGTTGGGGAAAACCAAGAGCAAGCCGTGGGAACCGCTCGTTGCGCCTGCTCGTGGCCTACCTTTGTCGAGAGGCAATAGCGTAGAAGAGAAGCCGACGGGGAAGAAGGATATGTTCGAGTCCGGTCATCAAGATCCGAAAGGCCTGAGTGAGAAAAAGGATACTTCTCATGCCAAGTCTTCAGAAACAGACTCGAAGCGCGCCAAGCAGTATGTTAACTTTTCTATGTTAACTTTTCTACTCTGTTTCGATTTGAAAATAGCACGTGAAAATCGAGCAAGGCTGAACTTTTAATCCAAATGCAGGCAATTTGCGCAACGATCGCGTGTCCGAAAGCTCCAATACATAGCTGAACTTGAGAGGAATGTTCAATCCTTACAGGCAAGTGTTTTTTACCTGTGGATTTTCCGTGACAATTCACACTTTCGGCTAAACAATTCGCTCGTGATTGCAGGCCGAAGGGTCTGAAGTTTCGGCTGAAGTTGAATTCCTCAACCAGCAGAATCTCATTCTAAGCCTCGAGAACAAAGCGCTGAAACAACGGTTGGAGAGTTTAGCTCAAGAACAGCTTATCAAATACTGTAAGTTTACCACTCCGCAGTCGAGGATTCGAAACCATAATTTGATCCATTCACCTGTTAAACTCGAAATTCTATGTTATGTAGTAGAACACGAAGTGCTGGAAAGAGAAGTTGGAAGACTGCGTACCTTGTATCAGCAACAGCAGCAGCCGTCGCCACAGCAGCCGGCATCCACCAGCCTTCGCCGCGCCAACAGCAGAGATCTTGATCAACATTTCGCTAACCTCTCCCTGAAAACCAAGGAAGCTGGCGCTGGTCGCGACTCTCTCCCCGACCAACTTCACATGTAAGACTTCCACACCTTTCCTGAGCACAACCAAGCCATGTCCTGACCATGCCAATGACTGAAAGCATTACAATCCTGCGCGGCTCTGTAGTCCCCTGCAACGGTAGCCTTCGCGCATCTAAGTTCTTTTACTTCTCTTCCTGTTTTTCGCGTAAGTTAATGTTTCCCACTTAAGATTAGTGGTGTGTGCGCCTGGTGGTACGTCCTATGCTGGAACCGTGTAGTTCCCGGCAGCGACTCATCTGAGGTGGTTTATTATTATCATTATCATCATCTGATAACATCCCCGTCTGTAAAATCGAGGGATCTTGATGCCCTTTTCTTGCCCTTTGCCCTTTGTGAGGCAGTAGTTACACTTCGGCTGTCCCCGTCTCCTATTTTTCTTCATTCCGGTCGAGTCACCGGAAGAGTTTCTAAGCAACATTTGCTGGGCAACTATTATGTAGTACTATTTTCTTGTTGCCAATTTCTGCTGCTTTTGCTGCATGTGCTGTGTTCCTGTACAAAAATATTCTAGTCCAAAACTAGAATTGCTAAGCGAACCGAGTCATTGGTGAACTCGACTTGATTCGGCTTGGTTAAAGTTCGTTTGCGAACGTTAACTAGTCGAGCCGAACAACATAAACAGGCTCGTTTAGTTATCGAACGAGCTCGAATTTTGTTCGCGAATATTCGTTAAAATAATATATTTATTATAAATATATATATATAATTATAATTTATAAATAAACAAATAAAATAATTTCATATTTTCTTTGTAATTTATATATTTAAAAAAAAAGATAAATGAGCTCGAATCGAATCTAAACAAGTCAAACATACATAAACACGAGTTCAAACAATAAAATTTTTTAACGAGCTGAGCTCGAACACTACAAACGAGCTCGAAAATTTAACGAACGAATATGAGCCTAGTTTGCAAACATTAATGAATGAACACGAATACTTAAATTTTGTTCGACTCAGCTCGCAAACGTTAATGAATGAACACGGATACTTAAATTTTGTTCGGATCGGGTTGTTAACAAAACCTTCCTTTAAGATTTAGAGAATCAGAACAGAACAAACTAATCTACCCAGAAAAAGGCCCTTTAGCTTCAAAGTAGAAAAGCATTGGATCTTTTATAACATTAAAGCAATGATTTCTACAATTTAAGGCCCTTTCCTGAATCAATTGCATAAACTAAGAACTAAAAACAATTTCTATTAGTAACAACAGAGAAAGAATCAGCAATGGAGCTACCTGAGCATGAATGTTGCCTGTATTCGGAAGCCTCGGGTAATCGTCCAGCGACGGCATCACACATTCCTCGCCGTTGAACGATATCTTTCTCGGGAACGCCCATCCTTCCCTAAGCGTGAATTTCCCGGGGACCTTGCTCAGCAGCATTTCCGTCTGGACATTGCCATCCTCCCCCGACTGCAGAAGCATGTCGTTGTAGTACTGTATACCGTAAAACATTCCTGTGTCATCTGAAAAGTCGAAGGAGCATGAGAATGGTAAAATGTCATTACTCTCCGTTACAAGACTCCTTCGTAATTTTATCGCCTGAGACAACGAGATCTTACTTATGTCGCCGTATACGCTTAGAGGCTTGTAGTTGAAACTAAAGACCTGCGTGACATTTCTGAGATTGGGGTGTAAAACAACCAAGTTCCACTCCGTGTAGTTCTTGACATAATTCAGATTCATCACTGTGATTTTAACTCTCCAATATAGTCTGTAGTTCTGCTTAACATGCCAGTGTACCTTAATCGGGCACATGTGATCCGAGCATTGCACGATAGGCTTCGGTCGTTCCCCTGGCTTTAATCTCAGTACTGAAGGAAGCTTCCCGGCCCTGCAAAATAATCGAATCGACTCATCAGCCTTGAAAAACAATCTGGGAAATTTTTCGAAGCAATGAAATGTCATACCTCACACATTTGGCCCTGGGTTGCCCCTGGCAAGAGCAGGTACATTTTGGACATGGAATGATAGTCTCGCTGTAAAACGCAGACAGTGAAACACAACATGTTGGCGCCGGCAAAGCCAAGAACTGAGAATAGGTGCAAGTCACATTCCACGTCGCTGAAAAGAAAAACGAAACAGAATAACTGTGAAAAACTCGAAGAAAGAACAGATTCCGGAAGTAAATTACACAAAGAATATTTGAGCGTAGGATTCAATTTATACCAAGGGCCTGTGTGGTTCTCCGACCATTGTCTTCCGAGGATTTCGTAGGTGGGACTTGTAAAGGATCTCCACATGTATAGCCTGGGATTCCGAGGCTGAAATTCTTCGGCATTGAAGGCAGAGGATTGTATAAACTTTCCGAACCAATGTGCATCTGAAAAGCTGCAATATATTTCGAAGGGCCTTGTGTCATCGATGAAAGAACTCCGCCTTTGCAGCAATTTGCCACCTGTTTGTTGTACGAAGTCCCGGGCAAAAGATCGATTATTACAGGCTTCCTTTCACAGCAATGCGGCAACACTCCTCCAGAGAACGCCGAACAGTTTCCCTGTTCGGTCGCTTCAGCACCCAATATATTCCATATCACTTCATCCCTGGGCCACACCCAACTTAGCTTCCATCCGGGCATCTCAATGTGCCGAAACAGCTGGTAGTTTATGATCGATAATCGTACCTGGAACACATTATTTCGCCAAATCCTCAAACTATATATATATATATATAGTGTGTGTCTTAACTGCTAAAATCATGATCAAAATGAATACATCGAAGAGTTTGCAATGCAAGTTTTGAAAATGAATGTGTAGGACAATAATGAATAACGATTGATATTTAGGTTAATTCTGTTGCAAAATAGCGACCAAGATCAGGCATTAGATATTACCATCATTCCACTTAATTCATACACTGATCAACCATCATATACGCTAACACTGCATCTTAATGTGCCGAAAACAGCTAATAGTTTATGATCGATGGTCGTAACTGGATCACATGATTTTGCCAAATCCTCTAACCGCTAAGGTTGCATAATTTCATGTTTTTCTCTAGCTATATATCCTTCACTGCTAAATCAAGATCAAAATGAACACATTGAAGAGTTTGCAATCCAAGTTTTTAAAATGAATGCGTAGCAAAATATTAAATAATAACGATCAATATTTAGGTTAATTCTGATTCAAAATACCAAGTATGATCAGGCATTAGACATTATCATCATTCCACTTCATTCATACACTGATCTACCATATCAATTCAAAAAAAATAAGTTACTGATATGAATACCTACATCTTGTGTGCCATCCCCACTTCGCTGCAGGACATCCCATCGAATGGTGATCTTCCCATTAGGATCCAACGGATCATAACCACCTGCAAAACAGCTGAGGAACATTCACCATCATAAGAACTTGGGAATTTCACAACAACAAAACAAAGAAAACCTAATTGAAATCTAAAGAAGCATCCACAAAACTTACGTACTGTCCGTACACAGTGTTCGCCACAAAGCATCACCGCAATCATCAAAATCACATCCAATAACCGCAATTTCGCGTCAAACCAACGAGAAATCGAAGCCATTCCCCCTCACAAAATAAATAACCTATTCCTTTCTCTCTAATTTCCCTCCAAATTCTCCATGCGCTCACTCCACCGCACTCTTCCCAATCCGAACATGTCCGCCGCAGCTCGCAGTTTCAACTGCGCCACCACCACGCACACATCTATATCGATCCATATATATACACACGCATGTCTAACCGAAAAATTTTCCAAAATTCTCTCTCCAACTGAAAATTCGACAAAAAATCATACGAAAATCCGCAAACGACAAGTGAAGAAAGCACTATCTGTGCTGCCATGAATTCAGGATCCGCGCCAAGAATGCTTCCTGAGAAAACATCGCACCCAACAAATGTGATGCTGCTACTCCATGATATACGAGATAGATACAAATAAATCAAACACTATCCCAACTGGCGGGGATAGCTCAGTTGGGAGAGCGTCAGACTGAAGATCTGAAGGTCGCGTGTTCGATCCACGCTCACCGCATGTTTTTTCATTTTTTCCGGGTTGGCCCTAATACCCGTATTCGGCCCAATTTAGATCCTATCCTGATTAGGCCCAAATATAATTTTTCCACATCTTGGGGCATTTCGGTAATTTGGACAATCCAGGGTATTTTAGTAAATGAACATTAGGGTAGGGTTTACGGTCGCACCACACTGGTATAAATCTCACGGCCTTCGCATTTAGCTCTAAATCCATTGTATCAGCCGCTCTGCTCAGTAGCGCCGCCGCACCTCCGATTTGCAGAGATCTCGGTATTTCGATCACTCTGCATTCAATAATTCGTTGTGCTGCATTTGTTTTACGATTTTATTCGCGCGGTCGGATGCTTCGAACTTTACTGGTTTTCAGCTTTGCTATATCTGAATGCACTTGATTTTGATAATCGGTTTTGTGATTCAAAATGAAATTGAATTTTTTTGTTATTATTATTTATGTTTGGCAACTTCTCGTTTTTTGGTTAATTTTCTTAAACGCGTTGTTTTGTTTTCATCGTGGTCACAGGTTATAAGCTCCGGAGGTTCGAAAATCAACAAGAAAAATGTCAGGGTAATTGGAAATTTTCGTAACCATTTTGCTCGTTAATGTCATGAAATTTCTCCCAACTTGGTATGAAGATGCTATTTTTCATCTTGCTTGCAATGAAATAAGGCAGTACAGTTCGTTTTATGATTATCTTGTTTGTTACACAACAAAAGTTCATACCTTGTTATAACAACGTATATATTTTTATGATTGTATATTTCATGCTTGCTAGTACTACTGCATTTGAATGTTTGAATCTATTTTAATTTCATTAAAGCCCGCAACTCTGTACAATAGTGATTTTATTCTAAATAATTTTTACTGGTGCATTTTTCATGGGTTTTAATTGATTTATTTGATTTGATTAATGTATAAGTTAGGATACTTGAAAAGATTCATGTTTGCTTAGTTTGTCAAACGTTTATTTCAAATCTGTTTTGCTTGATTATCAGTTTTGGTGAGTACATACCCAATCTTTAATTATTATTATAGCTGCTCTCAACATTATACAGTTAACCTAGATGTGTTCCACTGAGCAGCACCACAATTTGTTTTCAAGTTAACATGTGAATATCTGTAAAAGTGGAAAAATGAATTCTATATTATTCATGCTATCTTTGTTTTTCTCTGTTATTTCATATGTTTGTCTAAATTGTTTCGTTTCCTCACATTCAGAGAGGATGCCCCTGTCCCCGTTGCTGATGCCCCAGCGCCCGCCCTTGGAGAGCCTATGGACATCATGACTGCATTGCAGCTGGTTCTGAGGAAATCCAGGGCTCATAGTGGCCTTGCTCGTGGACTCCATGAATCTGCTAAGGTTATTGAGAAGCATGCGGCTCAGCTTTGTGTTTTGGCAGAGGACTGTGACCAGGCAGACTATGTTAAACTGGTGAAAGCACTATGCGCTGACCATAATGTCAGCTTGATCACGGTTCCTAGTGCTAAAACCCTTGGAGAATGGGCTGGGGTAAGTAACTTCCACTCCCCTTTTCTTACCTAAGCATAATTTTGCTGCAATGGTAGTCTATATTAGGCTTGCGGGGCTGAAGTTTGGCTCTTTGGCACTTCACACTATGCCTCAGAGATGAATGCAGCACCCTATATTATTTTATTCCTTCAGTTGAATTCGGATAGTTCTTCCCGTATCTACCTGAACATCAAAGGAGGAAACATACAAATGTATTGCATTCCTATATGTTATGCTGTTAAAAATTGATAGCTAGTTAGAAACATGTTATATAGGAACCATAGCTTGCGAAGCCAGATGATGATTATGGGTTTAAATTTCTCACGACGGTCGTCTGAGACACCTTATGTCGTCCATCTTGATGCTATAATCCAATCTCTCTGATGGTTTCTTCCTCCAATGCATGCATCCTGAATATTATCAACATGTTCTCTACTTTCATCACTCTTTTAATACAGCTGTTTTATAGTTAAACTAATCTTGTTTTTCTCTCTTCTCTTTATTCAGCTTTGTAAAATTGATTCTGAAGGAAAGGCAAGGAAGGTCGTCGGCTGCTCATGTGTGGTCGTCAAGGTAAGCTACAAACATTCCATATCTGCCCATCTGAAACTTTCTCATTATATTTTCATACGAACTAACCAGTGCTTCCATAATGTTATCTTTTGCAGGACTATGGCGAAGAAAGCGAAGGACTTCACATAGTGCAAGAGTATGTCAAGTCTCATTAGATGGATTCCAAACTACTAGAGGTTCTCCCATTGCCTCTGAATTCTGCATAGGCAGCAGAGTTTTCCTAGAAAAGACATGAAAAATCGAATCTTTTACATTTGGTGTTTTCTTGCCTTAAACATTGGATATCTTTTTATTTCATGTTTTCTCAATTTTGATGGCCTATTTGTGTTATTATGTTGTGCGCACATTTACGCATTTATGAATTTCTGTCATTTTACACACACCATTACCAACTATATCTACAAATGTAGATCAAAAATGTTTCACAAAATCTTTGGTTTTTTTTGTATTTTTTTTTCATATATATTTGTCTTTTTAACACACAGCACATTGTAATGCCAAAATATGCATGATAAATTTTTATCAGAAACTTAGTCTACAAACCATTAAGTTTTAGTCCTCATATTCAGTCTCCTCGTCATCATCCTCATTGATGTTGTTATTGTTGTTGTCTGGAAATCTCCAGCCATCTCCAATGTTGTCCCGCTCCTCCTCTGTTTCCTCGCTGTCTTCATCCTCGTACATCCCTTTACTCGGCCATGTTTTCTTCACAATGTTTATGGCAGCCGGAGGAGCCACCATAGCCGCCGCCTTACGGTGTTTAGCCGGAGGCGGTTTCGCGCTCGGCTTTGCCCTGCTCTTCTGAGCCTTGCTGTTGCTTCGTTTTCCTGCATACGCATCGATATCACTCCCTTCGTCCATCTCATTGCCGTTAGCCTGAGCATTCTTTGCATTCTCTTCCGGAAAGTGGCCCTGGTGCTCTCTCCGGAGATGGAGATTGAGTTTGTATTCGTGGATGTAGGCTTTCTCGCATCCATCGTATGGACATGCATACGGCCGCTCGGCTGATGCAGGACCCGTGGCGCTTGTGGATGCTTTTGGAGCCTTTACTGGTTTTTCGGGCGGGGGAGTGTACTTGACAGTGTCCATGATCTGCACCGGTGGACGAAATAAGAAAACATAACATAAGATTGCAAGAACGACAAAAATGGAGAATGTGTCGAACCTTCTCGTGGTGAGAAGCGATGTGATTCTTCAGCTTGTACTCGTGGGCGTATCGCTTCCCACACTCGGGGTAGGGGCAAATGTGATAATTCTCCTGGGAATGTGTTTTCATATGCGACCTCAGATTGAAGTCGAGCGAAAATGCCTGCGCAAAATCGAGTTTAAAGATCCGAGCGAAGGGTAGTAAACTGGAAAGCAAGAATACAGACTAACATGCTGCTCGACAACACCTTTCCACGGAGAAACAATCGCATCTTTCGATATTGAAAGAAATAATAGGACAAGATTAAGATCATAGAAGCGGCACAAACATGTTGGTGGATTATGGGTCGAGCAGCTTCTAGATTCATGGCTTTAATGCGAGCAATAGACGGCATGAGTTTCCCTAGTTTACTCACCTTACCACACCCTTCATGAGGGCACACAAAGTCTCTCTCTCCGGTGTGAATTAAGAAATGCCTCTTCAGTTTCGAACTATCCAAAAATTTCTGCAAGCAAGATAACAAAAATTTATGAGTTTTTCATTGAAGAGCAAAAACACGTATGAAGTAACAAACTCATATGGTCAAGCTAAATTTTAGAAGATAGGATTACACGAGAGCAAGCAGAAAAATCCATACCTTCCCACAATTCTCATAATGGCAAACATATTGTTTCTCCCCATGGATGTGAGAATGCTTCCTTAATGCACTTGCATCGATGAATGTCTTTCCACAGCCTTCGTAGCTGCATAGGAAAAGAACTTCTGTAGTTGGTTCAGGCTCGGGTTCCATCTGCTGCGGCTCTTTGGTTTTCTCTTTCATTGCCTTCAATGTGGCCTCTGAAAAGCATAACAAAAATTTTTCCTGTCAAGATTAACATCTAGGAGCTCTTATTTCATATTTGAAATAATAAAATAACAAGAAAACGAATTGGTAGGGAAAGCAAATTGAAGAATGCAATTGGTAGTGACCAACGGAGATCAAATTGACAAGTTCAGTTCTTAAGCTAGCATTCTTTACGGGTTCGAGTATACTTCTGATGTGGCAAGGTAATATTCTCCAAATTAGATGTAGTTTTGACTATGCATGAGTGTTTCAATCTTTCATAATGGAATATGTTAAAAATCAGTAATACATCATAAATTCCGGCTTAGCTAATGTGGCTTATCTTATGCAATCTGAGAGCACAAAACCAGCATTTTGATCATACAAGAATTTCTACAATGCAGGCAGAAAATCTAAATTACGAGTTTAATTAGAAGCCAATGAATGAGGTGACATAAATCAAATGATTAAGCAATATAAATTGGGACAAACCATCAGCTGCAAAAGCCTCGAAAGAAAGGAATGATATGATAGGTACTAACCATTAACCCATTTCAAAACATAGCATTTCCCGCCAGTTGCAATGACATCCTGCTGCACCCTACAAGAGACGATCAACAATTTGGTGAGCCAATTACACAAAGAAAACAAATACGTTTGCGCAAAGACAATCCATGTTAGAATATCTTTAAATTAGCTACTTTCATTTGTTCATCCAAACACCGAAATTTGTAGGCTCGTAAATAACCTTGGCCATTTTAACCTAGATGAAATTTACAATAATTTATAAAGACCAAGTACAACCTCTAACTGTATATTCCTCTTACAATATACTCCATACATATGACAAAATTTAAGGGTTTGTTTGCTGGTGTTTTGAATTGAAAATTTCTAATGAAAAATACCTTTGTAATGTGAGGTTTGTAATGGATAAAAAATCTTGCATATGATACTTTTTATTGAAAAATAAGTGATAGTGTGTAAACAAAATCGAAACACAAACACACACTTTTCTCCCAAAAAAGAACTAACTAATATCACTTCTCTATTAAAACCTTCAACAGTATTCCAAATTACTTCAACTAGATGAACAATGTGAAGAACACGCATCAATTCAACACAAATAGCATAAAAAGGACACAATATTCAAACACTTCACAAATTCAAAACCCACAATAATTTCCCAACTCAATTCATGATCGATCAAACTATTCGACACCCAACCACAGGTCCCAAATCAACCTATCAGATACCCTGCGCTAAATAACGGCAGAAAAAGGGTGAGGGGGTTTACCATTCTTTGACCCACTTAACGGCGGGAGCCTTGGATTTGGTAATGGGGCGTCTATCGAACGGATTGTGACCAAAGTGAGTCTCCATGTGACTCTCACGAATCATCTCCAAACACTCGCCAATGTTAACAAAATTGGGGCTAGGGTTTCATACAAGAAATCAACAACACAACGAATAAATAACAAACAATATCTTCAAAACTTCCCGATAGCCTTCGGTAATTGAGAATAACCACTGTTCTCCGTCGTTTTATTAGCGGCGAACACAATTTATCAATGAGCCGTCGCACACCCTCAGCCGCCTAATTCAGACTTTCAGCCATGGCTGCATAGCTGCGACCTTATGTTCTGTTTAAAAAATAAAAAAAAATAAAAAAAAAAATAAAAAAAGGAAAAAGGCCGTTTCTCTTTTAATGGGCCAAATTATTGGGCCTCTATATAATGTTTGGGCCCAATAAAAAATTGTCAAGCCCATTTATTATAAGCCCAAAATCTAACTATTAGAGAAATAAGCGGTTATATTATATATATATATATATATTTGTGTGTATGTATAATTTTGAAGAAAAGGGAAGTGTACGAGACGGCAGCAGATCGGACAGTGGTCCAATTGAAGAAACAGGCGCCATTGATGCGACAGCGACACATCAAACTTTCTCCAACCAGTATAGAGAAGGTACAGCAGCGCTAAAGCCTTTCATCGCAGAATCTCCTCACTTTTTTCACCTTTTTTTTACCGTCGGCGATTCATTCGGTAAGTTTACTCTGCAATCTGTACCTTTTTTAATTTCGTCATGAATTATTGCTATGGTAGATGGTATATTTCGTTGATTAATGCGTTACGGTTTCTGTGGAGGTTATCGAAACTTGCTTTCGTAGTGTTCGACAAATTGCCTAAAAATACTTTTTCTGCAGATAAACTTGTGCTCTAATTAACCAATTTTAACATTATATAATATAATTCGTTCGAAAAGCTTTCAGAGAAATGGTATGATCTCATGAACTATTTTTCATCTAGTTACTCCTAGATTCTCACTAAAATATGCATACAATTTTTAGATTTGATCAAATTTTTAGAAAGTAACTTCAAATTCAAGCTGAATAACAAATATGTTCTCAATTTGGTTATTTATTATATTTAGCGTTGGTCTATGCAGCGCTGAGAATCAAATTGATTAGGAGAGGCGAGTAAGTGTAAAAGCAAGTAAGACAGAGAATCAATTGAGGTAACGTTCTGGTTACATACACATTTTCATTCTAAATTATTTATTTTTCAAAAAATATAATTATCAAATCTATTTTTTCTCTTACAAAAACATCAAATTGATAAGAATTAATTTTTTACTTTTCTTTAAACTCTTAAATTTATAAACACTTTCAAAAATTCATATCTAAACAAACTCTATCTTAGTGGAGTAGTATTTAATTATTATGGGTAATAATTGACTGCATAAAATTTCTGACAAGTCAAAAACTGATTTTTTACTTGAAAAGGGTAAAGGTCATGTGGGGGCCTCGCCCTCGCTTCTAATCATAAATTTCTGACATCACTAGTACCATTGCATTATTTTGCTTTCTGAATTATGGCACAGCTGCTCTTGTTTTTACACTTTGTTATTAGTCTTTTATTCTTCTCTGCCCCAACTTTTCTGTTTTAGTTTTTTATTTCATTTAATTTTTCCTTAATGGGATTACTCGGTGTGTTTGTCTGGAGGTTTGAATTTTGAGTTGGAATTTGAATAGTAAAAATTTTGAATTTGAACAGTTGTATGATGTGATATAAATAGGTGTTGATGTGATGTTTTGAATGTAAAATTGATTTTTAGTAGTATAATATAAAAAATAAAAAATAGGTATTTGATTTGATATTTTTGGAGGAAAAAAATAGGATAAATAGTGAAAATTAAATCCAATCCCCCCAAACAAACACACCCTATTGAATTTTATATACTAAGTTCTAGCAATTCTTATACATTCTTTTGTTTTTTTCTTGAATAAATTTTAGGATGAAGGTAGTATAGGGTGTGTGAATTTCATTTCATCTACGTGTTAATGATTATTTGAAAATTAATAAACACAATTGTGTTTATTCTTTTATGTTTTACGTCATTTCAAAATAAAAATATTTACTCATATTTTTTAATAAAATACTATCCTTCCGTTTGAGTGATATATGTGAATTTAATATATTAGTATTTTGTAGATAATAGCTCACTAGAAAAATAAAAATATAATTTTACCTTCAAATTCATTTATATTTTAATGATATAGTTTGTAATATTGTGTAAAGTATAAGAATATACTCCCTCCGTCTCAGGGATGTGTGGGTAAATTAAAAAAAAAATTATAATTAAAAAGTTTAAAATAGATTAAAATGTGTAATCATTTTTCAAAAAATGAAAGTGACGTAAAATGTGGGACGGACAGAAACGACAATGTGGACATGATACGTGGGGACGGTGGGAGTAGTTTTTATTAAAGTACGAAGTGTTTTTACTAAGAACAGGAAACGGATACATTTGTTGGATAGATAAAAATGACCAAATTGTTATACATATGACTCAGATTGATGAAATATTTTTTTTCATAAAATATTTAAAAGTAGTAAATAAATACTTCGCCCAATCACAACTTCTTGAATATTTTAACGATTTTCAAAAATTAAAAACAAAAAACTTACAAAAGTCTATAATACTTGTGTGTTTCTTTGGGTTTCAGAATTTTGAATTAGATTTGGGATTAAATAAATACTCCATTTGATTGAACATTTTGTGAGAATAAAAAAAAAAAAAAATTAACACAAAATTCAAATAGTAGATATTAGAAAACATTTGATAAAGAAACACACATAATTTCTATCTTTTCTTGTAGTATTGTGAATAAACTGCTCCCTCTTTTCCATATAAAATTTTTATTTTTTCTATTTCAGTATCTCCCATGTAATTTGTTCGTTTTTTTATTAAAAATATAATTATATATTTTAATCATATTATAAATTATATAATTTATATTTTTTTAAATTTTAATTAAATTATTTAATTATTATCTAAATTTTTATTTCTAATAATGTGGACAAAAAAATTGGGACAGGGAGGGGGGAAAAATATTTTTATACATCATTATATTTAATACCGTACTAAATTCTACTCCATAGTATAAGCAATTATTTATAGCTATCGTTTCATTCATCTACGCTAGAACACGTGTTGCTTTTATAATTTACTATGTATGTTACATAATAATTTTCAATAAAAACTACTTATATGATCGAAGTTGGATATATGTTTTTTAACATGCTCTAGAGGTATTTAGGAAATGTTGTTTACGTATGAAATTTATATTGGATATTAAAATTTGCTTTATACCATTTAAATACGCCTCCGTCCACGTACCGTGTCTGTTACATTGTAGACACGGTATTTTAGGAGGGGTGTAATTAGTAGATAATTAAGAATGTATTAGTGAAAATAATTATTTTAAAATATAAATAATTATAAATTAATATTAAGATAACTAATTAGTTTAATTAAAATTAAAAAGTTTAAAATGAGATTAAAGTGTGTAATTATTTAAAAAAAAAGAAAGTGACACGGAGGAAGTAATATTTTATTATCATATTTTTATTTAGAATCACGGTAGTTGAATAATTATTTTTTTAAAAAATTCTTAAGATGAAGTGTACATGTTGTTTTCAAATTTGGTCACAAATTTTTCATTATACAACTATCACGATTTCTTAAAATAATAAATTAATAAATAAAAACACCTGTTATAGTGCAAAGATTCGTTCATTTCGGATTTTATTTGAGATCATGCTATTGTTGTTATTATTTTATTCAATATATATATATATAAGAATTATAAATACATAGTTTAGCAAGTATGTGAATTTTTTAGCTTATCTCTTATCTTGTATGAATTTGTAAGTTACTTATCCACTTAATTATGAGTTTGGATTATTTGTTGACACTGAAAGCACGTCATCCTAAGTGGAATTAATCAAATCAAGATCATTGTTTTTAATTTGGCCATTTAAAATAATTTATGGTTATAGCAAAGACTTTTTGCATTTAATAATTTATATATATATATATATATATATAATAAAAAAATAAAAAAATAAATAAGTTAGATAGAGACTTTATATCATTGAATGCAGCCATGATTCTGTACAAAAATTGAATAACAATTATGTTGACTCTCACCTACAGCATGATCGAGTTTGAATAAAAATGATTATTATTATTATTATTTTTTTAATGTATATATATACAACAATAATATTTCAACCTTATTTAAAAACATTAATCATGATTCAAGTTTAGAGTAAGAAAAGTAGAAAAGCGGTTAAAATTGGTAAAAAAATATTATAATTTTTTATGAAAAAAATTAAACAGATATATTTTTTATGGCATGCAAATAAAGAAAATGAATGTAATTTTTATTGACAGAAGAAATATTATTTTTAAAATATTTTGATATATACATATAAACAAACCACGACAATACCTAGAATATTAATAGGCAGTATGTAAAAGATTTGTATTGATATATTCTATTCCATCCGTCTCATATCTATATATTCATTTGTGTTTTGCACAGAGTTTTAAAAATATTATAATTATATTAGGATAAAGTAGAAATAAAGGTAAAAAGATTAAATTAACCCTATTAGTATTGTATGATATATAAAGTTAATGACATTTGTGTAATATATTGTAAATTGGAAGGATATTTGTAATGTTAGGTAGATTGTACAATTACTAAAAAAAAAAAAGAAATTGATATTTGTTACGAGACAAATCAAAATAGAAAAATGAATAGATTGTTGGAGAGAGTAATATAAATAGAATACAAACTAATAATACATGAGACTAGTTTACACAAGACATTTTATCAGTGATCACACCACAAGATATATGTCCCTACAACACACTTTATAATTATGAATTGACAACACATGTTTTCAAATAAAAAGTAGTACATGATTTGTAATATCAAATTATTTTTTATTTGTTCTAACGAGGATCCTAACTATCTTTTATATATATATATATATATATATATATAAAAGTAGCTTATCCGTTGAACAATATTACAAATGGTGTGTTTAATATCTAACGGGTTTTATTGACACAATTTTTTATAAATATTATTAAAAATACAATAAATATACATAATTATGAACCATACAAAATATTAATTTTTATATTATCGATATAATTTCTATTTTCTAATATAAAAAAAAAATACATTCATTCAAATACAAAGTTATTATTATTATTATTATTTAGTTTTATTTTTGTTTGAATAATTGTTTGAATATTAATATTTTACAAAAGAAAGCAATATATTTTATATTAAAAAAAAATAAAGAGAATGAAAACAAATTAAATCCTAATTTCAAATAAACATACCCAATATTTAACACAAAATATTTACATTCAACAATATTTTATTTTAAGATTTCCTAAGTTAAAATATATATATATATATATATACAAAATACAAAACTCAACGGTAAACAATATTAGCGCTTTGTTTATGAATAATATAATACTCCCTCCGTCCTAGAATTATAGTCTATCCTGTATTCGGCAAAAAATTTAAAGAATATTGATATTATATTGATAATGTGTAAAAAATATAGATAAAGCATATTTTTGCTATTGTGAATGTATTAGTGTAAAAAGTAGTGGCAATTCTGTAATAATAATAAAAAGTAAAGATAGTTTTATACTGGTAAGGACAAAAATGGTAAACAAAAATATTATACTGGGACGTAGAGAGTTTAAAACTTTAAAAGTGATATCCAAAATCTTGCATGACATCAAATTATTTGTTGCCATGTTGAGGAAAAGAGAGACTCCAAATGTATGTACGAACAATGACAAGATAAATTTAGGATGGATTCCTTTTTATGTTAAGTATAAAAATTAATATTTTATATTAAATTTTTTTTTTTTAATGAATAAAATATTTATATTTATATTATATTATGAAGACTCTGTTCCACCAAAAAATACTAATCAAACAAACCTAGATCTCATCAAAATGAATAAATTTGTTTTAACCACTATTTTGGTATAAACGTAAGATTTTTATTATAAAAGATAAATAAGTTTTTCTAAATGAAAAAATAATATATTACTTCTTCCCTCCATACAAAAATTATTTATTTGTGTAATTTTTTTACATTCATTTGATGTAATTATATTGATATAAATAAATATAAATTTAAAAGTAGCTTTAATGTATAGTTAAATTACATTTATTAAAAATATAATTTTTATTTTTGTATTTAAATAAATAATATATATATATTTCCAGTGAACAAATGAAAGTACATAATAGGGAGGGGAGTATGATACAGAGATGTGTTCATATTATTATATATTTTATGATGTAGGAATCCATCATTCATTTTCTAATACAAATAATTTTGAATTAAATATTAAAATGTTAAGATTTTTATTTTTTATATTATTTTTATTTTAATATTAATATTATATGATTTTATTACATATATATAAAATCTTAATCTTCGGTTAAAAGCAAAATGGATATAGAGAGTATATGCTTGTACAATAACTATTTTTGAGCGTAAACTGTTACTCTCTCCGTCCTAAACAATATGCAATATTTGTTTTTGGCACAAGTTTTTTTACGGATAGTTTTAAGTAGGATAATTTAGAAATTAGGTGATGTGACAGATAAAAATGTATATTTTATTTTTTTTATTTGAATGTAAAGTGTGGAATAAAGATAAGTATAATTAATTATTTTTTATTTTAGAAACGTTGCAAAGTGTTTGAGACATTAAAAAAATAATAATAATAAATAGTTTTTTTTCCTGGTAAATAATTGTTATTATCCGATACGATGTGGGGTTGGTTGCCGTGTCAGAATTATTTATTTAATCTGATTATTGTCTGTACAATTTTATTTTTTATTTTTTAAATAAAAAGTGGGCCCAGGTTGAAAACTACCTGGCTGTTGATTTATATATAGGCTAAGTTTATTTATGTTAAATTTCTATATAGACTAGAGTGGATGATCAAAGCGCCTTTATACTTTCCAGATGAGAGGGCAAAACAGTCATTTTACGATTCATGGCCTACGACATGAAGAATAATGGTTCGTTTCTTTAATAAAAATTTGAAAAATAAATAAATAAATTATTTGGGTTTTAAAGTTCGGACTTAATATTTTGGGTTTGCAAAAAATCGGATCTATCTGACCGAAACAGAAAAAATTTATGGCATGTTTGGATCGGTTTCGAATAGAATTGATAATTTGAAATTTAAAAATCAGGTTGGATTTCAAATTTCGGATTTACTTGAAATTATTATTATTTATTATTTTAATTTATAATATATATTATATTAAATATAAAATAATATAAACAAATTAAATTAAAATTAATTCCTTTTAGGAAAATTTAATTTATGTAGGTTCGTGTCAGTTTGTTCTGGTGTCGGTGATCAATAACTAATTAGGTCAACCTGAACCTGACTCGAAAAAATTAGTGTCGTATTCGGGTTTAGTGTTTAGGGTCAAATTTTGAGTTTGGGTTGAATTCGAATTGACAACTTTTTGTTATCCCCGTAGCTTAACCCGACACGAATACAATCCAAAAATACGAATCGACACCCGTATATTCGGCACAATAATAGTATTTTTTATAAGATATTTTCTCTTAAAATGTAGAATTTAAATAGTAATATTTGAAAATTTTGCATTACAAATATATATTTTATACGTTCATCAAATTTATAACTATTTTTCTATTTCGCTTATATATAACACTATAAATATTTTATTCTTAGCAAATAATTATTACACACTATTGATTTATATTATTCAATATTATATATTAATTTACAAAAACATCATAACTATTTACCCATTCGATTTTTCGAAAAAATTTCTTTTACTTAATTAACTAAGTTATATACTTTCCAACATGCTAGTATTATTTTATTTCATAATTAACCAATATAAATAATATATTCAATAAAATTTATTTTCAATTAAAATAAATATATATTTGGTAAACGGGGAGATTAAATTCAAAGGGTTATATTCGAGTATTAATAAAAATAAGTAATACTTGTTATTTTTTATTTTTTATAAAAAAATACACTAGAAAAAAAAAATATTTTTTTTTATAACTAACCAATAAATAAGTAAATATAGATTTTAAAACCAACGAAGTAGTAACTATTTAGTGTTTGAATATAGATTCTGTAGTCGTTCAAATTTATGTTTATAATATTTTTTTTTATTTTTTACTTTATTATTATATTTTAAATAAAATAACATAATTAGCCCAAAAAAAATGAAATATAAAATAACAATTATATATAAGTTTTAAAACATTGTATAAGTTTTAATTTAAAATATTTAGTGTGTAATGGTAGTTATATACTTACTATATATATATATATTATGGAGGCGGATCCGGTGTCCATCAGCACCATGCTGATCCAATTCGAGTCGTTCATCATAATTAGATTATGATGAACGGTTTAGATTACACAGGGGTAATAAAGTAATTTTTATTTTAAAGATTTACAGGCGTATATGAATTTTTCGTTTTCAAATCATCAATCTTATAGCATTCTTCAACGAAATTCTTCCCTCGCGCGTCATCTCCATTTCGTCTTCTTCAACTCTCTGTACCGTACTTCAAATCGACGACAGTGGGTGCGTCCATGGAGGCGATTTTCGGTAAGTTCTGTTTTATTAAAATGCATTTATTGAATAAATGGGCTGTAATGAAATGACACATCCCTACCCAATAATATTACATGTCTCCCAATAATTAGTAATATTTCTCCAACCCAAATGCACTTTGGTGTTTTAGGAAATTTTGCATCCCCAAATTAAAAAACACTATAATTTTAAAATTTAAAATACTTACTTCAAAAAAAAAAAATAATAATAATTAATTAATTTTTTTTTAAAATAAATGAATAAATAAATACCAATTGTGGGGCTGAGTTGTGATGAGCTGTCCTATAGTGATTGAACTAGATGCTCTTCACCTATCTGCCACTCTGGACTTACATTATGATATACTTATATTAGGAAAATATATTTATTTATTTATTATATAAGGAAAGCAAATTTAGTTAGGAGAATATTTATCTATTTATTTATAAATATTAATTTTCACATATTATAACAAAGTTCTCATCCTTCATTTCATAATAAGTAAATAATCATGTGTGTCAGCATAAGATAAATACCAAAATTAATTATGACATGACCTGTTAGCCGGGCAACAGTTTACTTTTAGAAGCTCCTGGGCGTTTGAGATCCCGGAGAACGTTTATTGTGCTGACCACTCACGTGGACTGCTCGGGATCTCGGACGCCTGGACCTTCTGCGTGTTGTCTCAGTACGTGTGTGCTGTCAGATGCATATGTACATATATATGGTGAGTGTTAAATTTCATTTTTTTCTATATTATGTGTTTTTTCAATAATTTGGGTGTGTTATCTCTGTTATATATATATATAATATATTTTAAAATTAGTTGGATTATAATTTAAAATTGCAGCAATTCAATAATATACATATTGGCCTTTTAAAATTATTGCAATTTGTTCCGTAAAAAGTACCTGATAATATCTGACTAAATGATACAAATATATATTTATTTGTACATCAAAAGAATATATGTTACTAATATTATTATACTCCCTTCGTCTCAGATATCATGTCTGCTACACCGTAGACACGGTATTTTAGGAGGGATATAATTAATAGATAATTAAAAATGTATTAGTGAAAATAATTATTCTATAATATAAATAATTATAAATTAAAATTAAGATAACTAATTAGTTTAATTAAAATTAAAAAAAAATTAAAAATTTAAAATGAGATTAAAGTGTGTAATCATTTTCCAAAAAGAAAAGTGACATGGTATATGGGACGGACAGAAACGGCAACGTGGACATGATATCTGGGACGGAGGGAGTATTATAATTAAAATATGCAATTTTATATAGTTAATTGTGTAACATATGCAATTTTAGAATAAGTGTATTGTATATAATAAACAATTCCCTATAAAAATATCAAAATTTTAAATTTTCAAATACTCCATCACTCCACTAAAAATATCCCATATGGGTCCAGCAAGGGGTTTAAAAAAAATAAATATTTTATTGAAAAAATGATAGGTGGTTGAGGATATTGTTGAAAATTTAATTAGAAATGAAACTAAATGAAGAGATATAATGTAATAAAGTTAGTGGTATTTGTTGTAAATAAGTATTGAATGAAGGGTAATAATTAAATGTTGATTTGTTGACTTTGTCAAAATTAGTAATATAATAAATTTAGCGGACGGACTAAAAATGAAAGTGAGAATAAATTTAACGGATGGATGAAGTAATTTTAAAGGGTGGGAAATGTGATTTTTAACTCTATCGGACTAGGTGTAATGTAATTAATCTAAGTAGTTGTAAATATCATAGTTAAATAAAATTTTTATATTTTTATTTCTTCTACGTACATTTTATAATTTAATTTCACGATTTTTTTTTTTAAAAAATCAAATCTCACTCAAAATCAATTTTTATTTGTGACACCACAATTCCATTAAGAAAAGGGAAAAAGATTGAATAATAATTTATAATGATTATGAGAAAACAAATTAAATAATAAAAAAATTCTTTTATAAATTTATTCATATATATATATTGTACTCATAAAAATAAAGAATTCACCAATAGGTTTGTTCACTTACCGATTTTTTATTAAATAATTTTTTATAAATATTATTAAAAAATACAACAAACATATATTGATATATTATATATAATATTTTATATATTTACAAAACTCAACAATTTAATACAAAATATTTTTTTTTTTATATTGCCAACATATATTTTCATACCTAAGTATAAAAAAAATGTTTATATATAAAAAAAAAGAAGAAAAAAATTTGTTTTTACATAATACTGCTGCATAGGTGCATAATAATAATAAAAAAAAATTAAATTAAAGTATAAAAAACATATGTTGAATAAAATTATTACATTCATTTCATAAATATCACTCCCTCTCTCTTATAACTATAGTTTGGATTATGTTTGACACAAAATTTAAGAAATATTAATATTATATTGACAGTGGGGGTAAAAGTACGGGTAAAAGACTTTTTTGCCCTTGTGAATGTATTAGTGTAAAAAGTAGTGACAATTGTGTAATAATAATGAAAAAATAAGTATAGTTTAATAGTGATATGATTATTTATGAAAATGAGACTATTGTTTTGGAACGGACAAAAATGGTAAACACGACTCTTGTATTAGGGCGGAGGGAGTAGTATAAATTTTCGAAAATGCGGGACGAATTTGATTCCTCATCTATTTAATCTATACCTACTCCTTTAAAAAAATAAATTAAAAAACAATTGAATAAATCTTATACTAAGAATAATTCGATTTGATTACAATTTTTTTTTTTAAAAAAAAGGTAAATATAATTATAAATTACACTTTTTAATAACATTATTACAATTTGTTAGTAAATCAAAATTGGTAAAAAGAACAGCCCGTTTCCCACGAGAGTGCTGACCTCATTCTTGGAAGCTCCGGGGACCCAAAAAGGAGACAGAACGACATGGCGGAGAGTACCCACGGGGACCCGAGCTCCGGGGATCCGCCAAAAAATTAGTGTGAAATAAAGACAAGAGTCAATTGGAAAACCGAGAAGTACCCCATAATAGTCACAAACTCTCAGTTTAGGTACCCAATTTTCTGCAAGATTTTGAAGGGCCCTCTCGCATTTTCACACTCATATAGATAAAATATATATACATATATAGATACAGACTTTCTCACTCTAAAAACAAGAACAAGAACAAGAAGAGAAAAAAGGAGAGAGAGAGAGAGAAAGGGGGCTATTGAATCAAGAAAATATTATATCATCAAAGTTGAAATTGAGATTGAAATTGAAATTGAACCCACCACCAAAGAAAATTCCTTCTTTGCCCCACATGGACCTCACTCCAGATTCTTCCCAAACCAATCCTCCCCAATCCTCCGGCGGCGGCGGCAGCGCCGCACAGCCGTACAACTACAATAACCCACATCTCCTCCACCGCCTCCATGTCCGATCGCCGCCCTTTACACCCACCGCCTCCTCGTCTTCGCCGACATCAACCACCGCGTCCAAACACGCGCCGCCGCAGATCGTCGACGCGTCGCTGGCAATCGCGACCGGATCGGAAACCCTAATTGAACAGGGGGGTAAAAAGGAGGTACGACAGCAGAAGCGCCAGGTACAACCGGAACAGCAGCAGCTGGCGGTGGTTAAACGGCCGACGAAAGACCGCCACACGAAAGTCGACGGCCGGGGGCGGCGCATCCGTATGCCGGCGGCGTGCGCGGCTAGGGTTTTTCAGCTGACTCGTGAGCTGGGGCATAAGTCCGACGGCGAGACGATTGAGTGGCTGCTGCAGCAAGCTGAGCCGGCGATTATCGCCGCCACTGGAACCGGGACGATTCCGGCGAATTTCTCTAGCCTGAACGTCTCCCTTAGGAGCGGCGCCGCCGCCACCCTCGCGGCGCCGCTGTCGAAGGCGCCGCCGCATTCGTTCCATAGCGCAATTGGATTGGCGCATACCCATCCTTATGAGGAGAATTTCTCCCAAATGTTAGGGTTCCACCACCAGCCACCGCCGCAGCTTCTGCCGCCGCCCCAGATGCCGGAGGCCCTAACAGCCGCCGGCGGAGAGGCGGCGGCGAATTACCTCCGGAAGAGATACAGAGAGGATTTATTTAAAGACGAAGGTACAAATAATTCACAAGGCAGCGACGCCGGCGAAGGCACCAGCTCGCCGCCGGCGAACAAGCAGTTCAAATCGACGGCGGGGCAATCTCCGGCGAGTCTAATGAGACCGAGCAACGTGATTCCCGCCACCGCGATGTGGGCGGTGACGCCGGCGCCTACCAGTGGCGCCACCGGAAGCACGTTCTGGATGCTTCCGGTGACGGCCGCCGACGCCGGGAAAACACCTCCGGCAGCGTCGGCAGGGCAGCCATCCGACGCGCCGCCTCAGGTATGGCCGTTCTCCGCCGCGAACAGCGGCGGAAACACCCTGCAAACGCCGCTACAGTTCCTGCCGAGATTCAATTACTCTGGATCCAATATCGAATTCCCCGGCGGCGCCGTCTCCGGCGCCGGCAATCCATTGCAGCTCGGATCAATCCTTATGCAGCCGCCGCCGCCGTCGCAGAATTTAGGGTTAGGCGTCTCTCCGGCGGCGGCGGAATCTAATTTGGGAATGCTGGCGGCGCTGAACGCGTATTCGCGAAGCCGCGGCGGCGGACTGACGATGAATTCCGACAACCTCGACCGTCGTCAAAACCAAAATCAAAATCAGAATCAGAATCAGAATCAAAATCAAAATACAGACAACAACAGCGAAGACGACGGCGATGCCCAAAACAGCTCTCAATAATTACATAAGTATATTCCCAACAATCATTTCCAGGTACGAATTTCATCAAATCATGAATTATTCAATATATATATATATATATATTTAATTCTATTATTGCATTTCATTTCCCAATAATTTCTAATTTCTTCAATTACAATTATATATATATATATATATATTTGAATGAAGATGGGAGATGTGTTTCAATCAAAGAGACTGATGGATCTCAAGAACAAGTTAAGGTATTTATATATATTTAATTTCATAATCTTATGAATTTTGGAATTTTTTTCCCCATAAGTATGTTGTGATGATTGATTATATACATAATTAGTAATATATATTATTTGTTTGTTGTTACATTTGGTGTGAAGGAGAAAATATTCGAATATATTTGGTCCAAATAACATTACAAGTATATATTTGCACTCACATTTTTATATATATACATATTTTTCATCTCTTCAAAATTTTTTGGTACAAAAGGTAAAATATACTCCCACTTAAAAATATTAGTATTATATTGGGATAAAGTAGAAGTAAAGGTAAAAAGACCAAATTAACTATATTAGTATTATATGATATAAAAGTAATTACATTTGTCTAATATATTGTAAATTGGAAGGTTATTTGTAATGTTAGGTACGTAGTACAATTACTTTAAAAAAATAGATATTTTGTTATGGGACAGACCAAAATGAAAAAAATGGATAGATTGTTAAGGGACGAATGGAGAATTATTTTAATGTTATTAATGTATATTTATATGGGTAACTTTAGAATTATAGAGGATTTGTAATATAAATTTAGAATTAAAATATATTGAAGTCCATTAGCGGTAATTATATAAATATGAAAATAAAACCACAATATTTTATTTTACTATTATTTTTTTTAGTTAGAAGGTTCGTTTTGTGAAATAGTTGAAAATGATTTTTTTTTTATTTGAAGTATAGAAAATTATGCAGAGAATATAAAAATAATAAAATTGTGTAATGCATTAGGTGATTGTTCAAATTTTTTGCTCTGTTTAAATGGAAATTTCTTTTAAAGATTATATATTTAAATATTTATTATAGAAAACTTTAAAAGTAGCATGAGTTTTATTGTTTGATCATATGATAATAAAATAAGTTCCAAAAATGAAATTAATTCTCGTTTGGATGATATTGAAAATAATAAATTTAATTGTGTTTGGTGAGGTCGGTCCACCCACACAGAAACTGTACCAAATAATTGTAATGAATGTTGAAGATAATGGATAATAGTAATATGAGGTAATATTGTTGGAAAAATACAATGGTACAGTTGAATGCACCAACTTTAATTTAAATTTGAAATATATATATATATATATTATTGTTTTGTTTTTATTCAAAATTTTGAAATTTGAAAAGTATGTGGTTGGAGGGGGCCTTCCTTCCATAATTTGCTGAAATTTGAAATATATATATATATATATATATTTTTATGATTTGATTGTATTTGGTGGGCTTCTGGTTTCTGTCTCATCACTGTGATTCCTTTTTTTTTTTCATAAATTTTTTCATTTAAAAATCTTTATGTTAGTTTTAGTAAAAAATTATTTCATGTTCTTATATAGTGTCACAATTGCAGTAGAGGCAGAAATTTAATACTGAGTATAATTAATAATATATTAATAAAATTAATTAGTATTTGAAAAAATATAAAGTATAAATTTAAAAATATAATTATAGTACGTAATGTATTTTAAAAAGAAAAAGTAACATAATATGAAATAGATAAAAATAGAAACTATGACATAATATACGAGACAGACAGATGAAGTATATTGCTTTTATACTTTTTCTATTATACAAAGTATTTCTTCTTGTCCATTTCAAATGAGCGGATTTTGCAATAGATTAAAAAATAAAAGTGTTTTAATAATTAGTAGAAGTGCGTTATAAGAGTTTTGACATTTTTGCCATTTGAGTTTTTTTTTTATATAAAATAATTGTATGCGTAATAATAAGTTAAGAGTATTTTAATATTAGTGTAAAACTACTTTATCTGAAATAAAACATAAATATTTTAAAGTTTGACGCGCAAAAATAATAAAAAATATATTTTAAAATGAGACGAAGAGTGTAAAAAATAATCAAACCATTTTTTTAGGTGACGCAAGGAGTATTAAATGTATATATCTATTTTTTTTAATAATAAATTAAAAAATAATACTCTCTCTATCTACTTAAAAAAAATATATATTTACTTTTTATTTAAAATTTGATAATATTGTATTTAATGATAATTTGTGATATTTTTAATATGTAAAAACTATTTAGTTGTGTGATGCATAAAGTTAATGTGAGAATATTAATATAAATAAATATAAATGATGAAAGTATTTGTAATGTATAGCGGATTTATATATACTTAAGTAAAGAAATAAATATTTTGTGTCTTAGAATAACAGAAATGAGAAAACATATACTTACCAAGTTGATGTAAGGAGAATTTTATTTGTTTCAATTAAAAGTATTTATTATTATTATTATTATTATTATTATTATTTGTCTATTTCATTCAAAAATATTTTTTGTTCTATTAGGGGATGTTTGGTACACAAAATAGAATTGCAAAGAGACGAGAGTACAAAATGAAATTGGAGATAAATTGAATTGAATAGAAAATGAGAAATAATTCACTTGTTTAGTAAAACAAAGAATCCAGTGCATGATCAAACAAAAATAAATGATTAATCAGATAAAAAAAATTTAACGAATGAGAATTAATAAAAAATATTTTTGGTGACTTTTTTTTTAAAAAAAAAAAATTATAAATTATATACAATGTTTTTTAAGATTATATTTTAGTACAATTTTTTAAAAAGATCGTAAAAATTAAATACTTTAACAATAAATTAAATTCAATTTTTGTAAAATTTAAATAATAGTATAATTTTTAAAAAATTATAAAAATTAAATAGTACAAAAAAAATTTTAAAAAAAATAAAAAATATACTACAACATCGTTTCTCTCTACATATGTGTGAAATGAAAATAAAGAAATAGAAATGATTTATTTTTCAAGTTTCATTTCTCTACTAAAACAAACAAGTTCATTTCTCTGGCATCATTTTTCTATACCAAATACAATCTTATAGTAAAAATAATTACACACTATTATTAAATACATCTATTTTTTTACATATATTACAAGGATACTATCATTACAAAGTATAAAGACAAATATCAAAATTATCTTATATATTTTCACCAAAAAAATTAAATATTATTATTTTTTAATTTATAAAAATTGGTACATTCATAATATTTTATTGTTATGTAAGGTGTCTAATAATATTTTGTCAAATTTGTTATTTGTATTTTGATGATATAATTTATTATTTAAGTAAAAATTAAGAATATTTTAATATTAATATAAAAAATATATTTACCATAATAAAAAATATACATTTATGAAAGAAAGATGAAAATATCAAAATAAATATTTTTGGGTGTAACGAAGAGAATATTTGATGTGTATATAGATTTGTTTGAATTTGTATAATAGTGATCTGAATTGATTTAACAATAGTAAGATATTTTGTTTTTTTAAAAAATAATATATTTTAATTAAAAAATTCACACAAGTTTTTTCTATGAAAATAACATGGGTTTGTTTGTTTTGTATTTTGGTTCGAAGGATTTTTTTTTATATAAATTATAGAGAATTGTGCAAATAATATAAAAATAATAAATATATTTAATATATTAATTTTTTCGAAAAATATATTTATTTCTTTTTTTTTACAAAGCAGATGTATTTAAACCAAACAAAATCACAGATAAATAATGAATATGTTTACCTCAATTATTTTTTGTTGACATCATTTTTTAATTTAATACCCCATCTGTCATTTAGTAATCTATCTATTTTTTTATTTTGGTCCGTCTCATAACAAAGTATCCATTTCTTTTTTTAGTAATTATACTACAATTCCAATTTACAATATATTATACAAATGTCATTACCTTTATATCATACCATACTAATAAGATTAATTTAGTTATTTTACCTTTATTTTTATTTTATCACAGTATAATACTAATATTTTTAAAACTCCGTATAAAAAATAAATAAATATATAAATATGAGACGGATGAAGTATTAACATTTATACATACAGTAACATGATATAAATAATATATAGTACTTTTTCACAAAGAAATTAATTATTTAATATAAAATTTTATATTATCCAGATAATATTTTATATTTCACATTAACAAAATACATCAAATTAATATTGTAACTCCAATATATATATACACGCACAGTGATTTGTAAGAGAAAATATTTAAAAAAATTCTAGAATTTTTTTTATATGTTATGGATAATTGTTTGATACTAGTATCTACATTAAAATAAATAAATAAATAAATATAATCTTTGAAAGTAGCAATAAATATGTTGATAAGATTATAAAATAAAAAAACAAAAACAAAAATGCAAATAGTCAATTAATTGATTGGTTTATATTAGAGCCTTCAAAATGGGTTGAGCCTGTCGGGTTGGTCCGTCCCATCTTATTTTTAAGGATGGTTAGTTGTGATTTTTTTAAGCCCATTATAATGCGGGCCTAAATGGGCTAACCCACATGAGCCGCGGGTTGAGGTTGGGTTAGCCCGCGGGTCAAGTAAATATAATAATTGGTACTCATTCGTCTAACTAAATGTATTTTTTTACCATTTTTTATTGTCATGTTAAAAAATTATAATAAAACTAATCAAATATTAATATAAGAATATATTTTAATTTTTTTATAAATTACAAATATACCATTATAAATAAGTTAAGACGAATAAAATAAAATTTATATTATCATTAGTTTAAATAAATTATCAATATTGTCTACACGGTTATTTTTCTTCTCTAACTATGTTATTCATGACATTGTTATTTGTTTCGATTTTTCATCATTTGTTTTGTTCGTCTTTCATTTTATTATTTTATAATTTTACAAATTCATAAAATTAATTATGATTTATTTTTAAAATGAAATATTTCTTATTATTAATTTTTTTTTTAAATACACTAATAAATAATATTTAGAATTGAGAATTTTAATATTTATTATTTAAATTGTATAATAAAATTATTTTTAGCAATTTTTAAATATTAATTACGAAAATATTTATAATATTAATATTCTTTTAATATTTTTAAAAAGCATGTGGGCTAGTCCGCTTAGTTCGCCGTCCGCAGGTGGATTGGGTTGGGTTGGACTGATGAAATTTTGATCCGCCCCACCGCGGGTTGGCCCGCAAATAAACCGCTTATTTGCGGATTATGGTGGATTGTAGGTCAATCCGCACCACTAACCCGTTTTGACAGGTCTATTTATATATATATATATATATTATCAAATGATAATTAAATATGAATGTAAAAGTTGAAAATATTTGTATATTGAATTATGGGTGAATTATGTCAACTTTTATATAAAAAAAATTCTATACATTTCAATAAAAGTATACATAATATAAGCATAATTTGTCTTTACATTATTTGAGCATGTGTAAAATGTGACATTTTTGGTGTACTCATGTTTATAATGAAAGTATCTAAAGTGATATAAACATTATTGGAAAGAAAAATAGAAAACTTTATAACTTAGTGAACAAATAATCGACGTGGTTTTGGTTACCGGTTCGATTATTGAGTTTGAAGAAATTTATTTAATTAATATTTTATTTATGATATAATATATATGATTAAAAATTTTAAAAATATGTATTTAATTATTTTAGTAATTAATATATTTTAATATAATATATATTAATATGAATATATTTTATAGAAAATAAAATTTATATAATACATATAAATAAGTAAATATAAATTTTATTTATAATTACATAAATTAATTTGCAAATAAATAGAGAATTTGAAATAAATATAAATTCATTTGTTTATTAATAATAGAGATAAAAATAAGATATTTTAAATGAATTTTGAATAGATGTCAATATGATGTAATATATATTCTTATAAAAATAAAATAAAAAATTGAAAGTATAATATCAACATGACTTGTAAATCCAACCAAACAGACCCCGAGTGAAATATATATATATATATATATATTGGAATCAATATAATTTTCATATTATCTGTTAAATCCTTAAACTTTATACAAATTCGTATCAAATCAAAATTTTCATTTCAAAATATTTCATAATTTTTAATTTTTTTCAATATAATTAATATATAATTATTAATTCTGAATAAAAAATATACGATTTTTTTATGAAACATATTTTAATAAAAAAATCAAACACAAAACACAAAATAATACTCCCTCCGTCCCCAGATACCATGTCCATGTTGTCGTTTCTGTCCGTTCCACGTACTATGTCACTTTCCTTTTTTGAAAAATGATTACACACTTTAATCTCATTTTAAATTTTAATTTTTTTTTAATTTTAATTAAACTAATTAGTTATCTTAATCTTAATTTATAATTATTTATATTATAATATAATTATTTTAATTAATTAATTCTTAATTATCTACTAATTATACTTCTAAAATATTGTATCTACAGTGTAGCAGACACGATATCGAATACGGGTACGGAGGGAATAATAATTTAAAAACAAAAAACATAAAGAAAAGTCAATAATGGAAAACAATCATTCATGATTAAAATAAAATTAAAAAAATCAACTTTAATATTGGTGGGGCCCATTTAAAAGCTTTCATTGATTTTGAGCATCAAATAAAATCTTCAATCTATCGTGACATTTTCGTCCGGACATCATTTGTCACAACAGATAATAATAATAATAATAATAATAATAATATGAAATGAATTTTTTTAATTGTGGATTCACATTATTGCCCACCAATGTCGAATTCTTGTGTTTGATTGGCTATCGAAAATTAATTATCGATTTTTATATGCGTGATTAAGTATCAAAAATTGAATTTAGAGTAATAATAATAAACCTACTTTGTTGACTATTGTACAACTTTCTCATCGAAAAAATTAAATTAAATTTACAATAATTTATTTCAAAAGTTAACCAATCATTTTCCACCAACAACCTCAACGTAGCAATGCATTTTAGATGATTTGGGTTGCGTTATTTTGTGATTTAATTTTGATTCAAAATGAAGTGTCTATACTTTTGTTTAAATAATATTTTAACGTGATTTTTTTTTTTTTTCTGAAAAATAATATATTTTTATTAAAAATTATGTTAAATAAATAGGGTTGATTTTGATTTGAAATGTCAAAAGAACATAACTGATCATCCAATGAATGCCAAATTAATTTTACTCCCCTTAGGTGCAAGCGTAAGGTATGCGTCTCGAGACCTAGCAGGTTCTGATACCATGTCCGATGCTGAATGACTGTCTCACCTAAAAATTTGAACTGTTAGAGAAATTAAGTCATTATTCATAATATCAACAAACGGGAGTCTCAACAGTTGTCGGACTAAACAAATATGCGAATACATACATATAAATAATTATACAAATCACACTATAATAATATATGTAATTGATCAAATCATATACTATTATATAATAATTAAAACTGAATCAAGTAACACTAACACAGTTATTTAATTATGGTTTAAAAATAATTTAAAATAAAATATTAATTTAAATTTTTATTTAACTAATAATTTAATGTATAATAATTTATAAAAAGTAATACTATAATTTATTAAAAATATATTAATTTTGATTTAAAATCACAAATGAACAAACGTTGTGCCATGTTAATAATAATACTCTGCATGATAATATCAAAGCACATACATGTATGCTTTGAAACCATGTATTGGAACTTTATCATAAAAAATATTCATATTTTCATTTCCTTTAGTAAAATTTATAAATACTTTTATTTTTTTACTATAAAGATAACAAATATATATCTATATACACATTTATGTTAAAATGTATGCAAAATCAAATATGGAAATACATTTTATCAATTTTTTTTGAATTTTTATTATTCATCAAATTCTTTTACCTGATAAATATTAAATTAAACATCCTTTTGTTTTTCTACATTAAATATCGTATCAATGTATCTTTATATACATATATATTGTACTCCTTCCGTCAAGATCATATTTGATTTAATATTTTATAAATAATAGTATAATAATAATAAAATAACAGTTTTGTCTTTAAAATCACTTACTTTTAGTGATATTGTTTATAATATTATGTAAAATTTAAAAATATATCTTATTTATTTTTACTAAAAAGTAAAATAAAAAAATTTGAATTAAACGGATAAAAATAACAAAATATTTATGGAGGAAATGTTGGATACCTATTTTTCATGCAAAATATCTTATAAAACAACTATAGATATTGAATTAAACACAGGCGCAGGTAGAATAACCAAATCAAAGAATATTGATTCCAAAAATGGCATAAATTATAAATAGAATAAGAAAAGTTCCACTTGTTATGCACACAACACCAACACCAACACCACCAATATATACACAACCTCAAAGCTCCCCCTGCATCTCCAGAATTTGCAGAAATTCATCGAAATTTGCTGTGCAATCCAAATAATTCACTAACTAAACCAATAAATATCATCGACAAAGCACCTTGTATCGATAACAGAGGCGCGTATATACTCTAATGGTTTAGATGATCAGAGGGCTTTCCGATCGGTAGCTTCTTGTTGGCGAGGAGATTCCACAGGGAAGAAGGAAAGTGCTTTCATCCTAAGCAAGTGTCACAAAAATAAATTCAGGGATTAGCCCTTCGGTTGTGTAAACTCGACATTTGCAACAGAAAAGACACAGATGTAGAATAACCAAGAATGTTTGCTGCAAAAAAGATCGAACTGTGTCTTTCTTATTAATGGTTTAGGTTTTAATACCCGGGAGAGAGCTTACGATAAAAAATCAGCAGAAAGAAATATTGGGATCCTTCCTAACCGGACACCTGTCCATTTATTTCTCCACGAAGCGATGACTTTGTCTGCTTCCGAGCCTGTAGCCGTCAAAACAAACTAGGACAAGAAGCCATAATCAGCACGCCAATAGCGAATTTGAAGCAGTGACCATATCAGAAAGACTGTAATCGAAAGCAGGGCATATCGGGAAGTTCTATCGAAATTTGAAAACAATTTCACTTTTTTTATGTACATTCAGCATAAGAATAGCCCTCGTCGTTGACTCACTAAAAATTTTAAGGGCAGAACAACTGAAATTGAAATTAACAAGTAACTTTCTGCCACGGAGCTTCATCTATAGATACATATATACACGAACGTACACAAACACAAGAGAGGGAGAGGTCCGGCACTTACTAATGGATACAATATAGCCATGACTCCGTAGCTAACAAGAGGTGAGAAGAAAAATGCAGAGAGAACGCACGGGCTTCCTGCAGATTTTTCAGTTGCGGCGATTCATCAACACAACTAAACAAATCATGAACTTAATATATGTATATAGAGACGCGATCCTCGATAGCAAGATTCATAGTAACATTTTTAAGCATCACACTGAAAGATTCTTACCAAAACCAGCAAAAAATGGCCAGTTGGACTCAAAAAATTCCAGCCTTTTGTCCAAACTTAAACCAGAATAGTTCCATTTATACCTAAAAACAAACCATGAGAAAGGAAGTGTCCACACAATTTTTTTCCCTCCGAGTTCCAATAAATAAATAAAATAATAATAATAAAGGGTAAGAAAAGAACAAAACATGGCTATCACCACTCACTCGAAACAATAATAAGCATACATCCATGAGAGCAACAAAAAGTTGAGTGCTTTTCCAACGAAAGGGACGAAACCAATCACATAGACCTGCAGACAACAATTTGATGATTATTTATTTCCATATTAAGGAGGAATTACGAGTTCGCACAATGTGGCAAACAGATTATGACAGAATTAACCTCTACGAAGAAGAAGCTCAGCAACAGAACTGAATAGACTTGCTCGGCTAAACCAATCATTGCACTACAAAAGATAACACAGCAGGTGATTTTGCATGATTAATTTCCTTTTCTTTTGAAAACAAAAAAAGATAATAATAAAGATGACTAGCATATTAGTTTTTATAAAGAAGGATTTTTGAGACGAACCCCCTGATGTCAGTACCCTTGTCACTAATAGGCGTACTTTCTGACATGGACAAGTTTTTCTGTCCAGATGCTTCTGAACCGGAAGTCCCACGTTTCTCTGTTGCAGAAAGCCCATGCTTTGCGATGTCATTATACCTTGAAATATAGTAAGAAGGATGACCGGATGACCAAAGCATCAAATGGGGCAGAGAGAGATAATCATATAACGTGTTAGACCTTTTATACAGTACGAAGTGGACAATTAACAGCTGAGTATCACGATCTTCTGGCTTAATTTATATGTTGATAAAGAGACCATGAAATCTCTTTGACTTTTAAGCATGCTGAGTAATCGTAGTCCTACCCATATATCTATTTTAAAATCAAGTGCGTTGATTCAAATTTCTCACGGTTTCAAGAAAGGTTAAAATCTACTGACTAGAACAATCTGTCACTTTCGCACATGAATTTGGACATATTAGAATTTAGAAATAGTTCTAGGAAGAGGACTTATTCTGATAACCTAGAAAAAAAATGCAGAGAAGTTGATTTCGGGGCATGCAGAACTCTAAATGAGTGCCATAGTGAAGATAGCATGGAGGTTATTCGAGCACTACATCAGCATAACTAAAGACTGAAAAATAAATGCAAATAAGAACAAAGGGAAAAGAAAAGAAAATACCACAGGGTACTGATTATGAAGCTGGATATGTACATAGGGTAGAACCAGAATACCTGGAAAAAAAGCTCCATCAGCTCATTGAATGAAACGAGCCACAACAAAGAAGTCACTCGCTTCTTGGAGGCGTTTTCCGAGACTAAATTCACATACATAACATTACTGTTTTAAAGGTCTTTAACATATCATTCAAACATTGTTTCAAGAAAGAATATTAAAAAGACAATCTACAGGAAAATCACGGAAGCTGTACTACGTAATTGCCAACTCATAGCAAAACATTGAAAACTGAAACTATCTATCTATATAGGTAAAAAAATTAAAGCAAGAAAGCGGATTTCTTAGATGATCCATTAATTTTAGTAGCTGCAAATTCTGATAAAGATCGGTGCTGTCTCCTTTAAGATTGAATTTGCTTGAAGCTCTTGTTGACCTAAATCCCAAATACAATATTATGTAAGAACTAACAATATCCTATACTTTTAACAATTCTAATATGGAAGTATTACTATGACAACTAAAATTTGATTGGTCGCTGATTATATATATATATATATATATATGGAAAAGAATGTACGGGCTGAAGTTAAGATAATCGAAAATATGACAATGATAGAGGTCAGAACGCCCGAAATTCATACATGAACTTGGGACTTCCAAATACCAGAAAGAAAGACAAGTAATATGAATATCTAATGGAATTTGACATGTGCAGACAAGGAAAACGGCAGATGGTTATGTAGCAAAAAAACCAGAACTCACATAGAAGAGTTGAACCAGTCCAAGTCGTAAGAAGGAATAGAATCTAAAAATAGCCCCGAATGAACACAATTCTTGAGAATTAATAAAAGAGCATCCATCAGGCAACAACCAATTCAACGTGGGAATGATAACAGATCTTAAAACAAAGATACTGCAAAAAACAAAAAACAATGCCATGATCAGATACAAAACCACATCAACAAAATACAGGTAAATTGATCTTACAGAAAACTAGAATTATTAGGCAGAAGGTATTAGGGAAATTCTAAAACAACCACAGCTTATAATTAGGTTAGGTTTGAATCAATGAAAGAGTTCCTTACGAAAAAATTCAGAATCGCTTCCTACGTGCGTTTATTTGAAGAAATTTCAGAAAGAAAGGCAAACTATAAGCAATTAACAAGAAATATAAAGTTTTATGTTGAGATTTGATTTGATTTGATTTGATTTTGGGGACGAACCTTCCTAAGAAGATGAAGCCGTTCAAAAGAAAACACTGTCCCGTACGGACAGCAAGCTCTCTCGACCTTCAAATTTCCAAAAACCAAAACAGAACGAGGAAGGAAGTAACATCAGTCAACTTCGAATCTAACAATGGTGAATTTAGGAATTCGGCAATAAACGAGCATCTATCTATCTATCAGAGATTGCGAGAGAGTTAGCAGCACCTTAGACAATAGATGACGACACGATGAAGACAGCAAGCCTCTCGGAAACCCTCCAGCCATAGAACCAGCACCTGCTTTAATTTAGTAATGGAACTGCACATTAAATTTCTGACCTTGGCATCCATGGACGAGAAATTCGCAGCCTGAGTAGGAGGATCAAGAACAAAGATGGATCTTTTTCGGCCCCTGGGAAGACTTGTGGGCAGATTCTCTCGATTTAGACTTCCCATTCGGTTTCGAACCGCCCGCCGTTCGCCGGTTTTCGAACCGGAGGATACGGTTCAAATCCGAAACCGGGCACAAATGGGATCGAAATCGTCGTTCCCAAACCGCGGTTTGAACCGGCGTTTGGTTTTTTTTTTTTTTTTTTCTCCAAAATCTCTCACAAGGGCGCAAAGAGGACGAAGAAACTAAAGAACTGAGAAAAATAAAGAAAGAATATTTATAAGATTTTGGATTTTGAGTTGGAATTTGATTAGTAAAAATTTTGAATTTGAATAGTTGTATGATGTGATATAAAAATGTGATGTTTTGAATGTAAAATTGATTTTTAGTATAATATAAAAAATAAAAAATAGGTGTTTGATTGGGGAAAAATGAGATGAATAGTGTATTTAAAATTCAATCCTCCAAACAAACACACCCTAAGTATAAAAGTATCTTTGTACTTAAAAAAATTATATGGTACCCATATATTTAAAAAAATATTGCATAAAATTTCACAACTATAAAAATTACCCTGTGTGATGAGAAGATTATATCCAATCTATATGTTTGGAATGACTGGAATTTCATTCAATATTTTTTGAAAATATAAGATAACTTCATGCACTCACTTTTAAAATAGAGTGGTCTTCATGCAACATTGTTTAAAATACAAGGGGTGTCATACAATTTTTAAAATAAATAAAAAATTTAAGTCAGAATTTCGAAATCACGGAAGTTGTGAACAATTTTGTCTTTATAATATATGTGCAAATGTATTGATTAGGGTAAATATATGTATGTATTTATAATCATAATAATACTATATTTATAATTAAAATTATATATATTAAATTTTATAAAATTTAAAAATATATTATCATTAACAAATATAAATAATTATTAATGATATTGAAAAAAATTATTGGCTCTTTTGGATAGATTTTTGATACGTGATATGAGAATTGTGTCAAAAATATCAAATATATTCCCTCCTCCCATTTAATAAATAAGTTTACATTTATTTTTACTTAATTGTATTTAACCATTTTTTTATTTGTATAAATTTTATATAAACATTTTTTTATTAGTATTATAAAATACTAATAATATTTTTTTTCTTCTTAAATTTGTATTACTTAAATTTTAATATAGTAATTAATATTTAAAACTCAAATGTAAACTTTCAAAGACGAGAGTATTATTTTTAAATTAAATACTCCCTCCGTTGTCATTATCTGTTCCAAAACAAGATTACCATTTTCTAATTTAATAATTATACTACCTACCTAACATAATAAATATCCTTTCAACTTACACTATATTACACAAGTGTCATTACTTTTATATATTACACTATAATAAATATTTTGTCTTTTTTACTACAATTTATTATAATACTAATATTAAAAAATTTACATGCAAAAAATAAATGACAACTTTGCAGCCGGACGGAGACTGTATTTGATTTTTAACCGCAACTAATTGGCTTGGGTGAACAAAGCCAATGAAAATAATTACTCTAGTAATACATTTACAGTTTTAAATAACTAACAGCAAACTATTTATAAAGCTAATAATATCTTTGGGATTGATCTAACAAAATAATAATAATAATAATAATAATATCTCACACGAATTGTGTGGTGAGGTGGTATTAATATAGTTGTATCTTACAGTCCAGCCCCCCAAAAAGGCCTTCGACTTTCGACCTTAATTCATTTTGGGATCTCACTTTGGACAAAAAAAACAGACTTAAGACTTACTATTGGAAACCAAGAGAGATTGATTAATCGATTATACATTATCAAGATTTTCGCATCGATGAATCCTGCTGCCTAAGAGGGATGCCTTCTTCACCCAATCCATCTTCCTCGTCTGCATGTTTAGGAAGTCTCATCGACTTCGAACCTACGAATACAATGGCAATGGTTATGCTACAAATTACGATACTCGCAGGATAGGGAAAAATGCGAAGCAATAGAAAGAAGACGACGTACCATCAGCCATGTCCTTCGTTTTGTGGAGAAGAAAGGTTCCGGAAAGAATAGTCACAAACCCGCACATTTCGGTGATAATTTGAGTCGGGTTCTGTCTGTCCCAGTCCTGTTTATCATCGATCTTTGATGAGTACAATGAAAGGTTTACGATTCTTTTCTAGCAGATGAAATGAGTTTTCGTTGTGATAGTGTGTGTCAAGAAATCTTGTATCTATGTGCATAATGTGTATCCAAAAATTAGTAGATCTTCCCGCAGCCTTTTTGATCAGATTCGACGAATTTTAAACACGAATTTCAATCTAACTAGAGCATTAAACTCGTAATTTACCTTGAACATTATCACACTTGCCAATATAGTCAAGGATGTGAACATCACATAGTAAATCGGAGAAACTACGGCTGTGTTGAATGTATCAAGAGCCTGCATTTAAGATTCACCGCATCATATACTAAAAGGGAAGATATTATAAGTAATAATTGTAAACCACAAAAACATATTCCCGCAAATTAAAGCAGCTAGTAATCAGTAGCTTAACTTGTCGGTAAGCAAAATTGTATAGCGGAGTATTGATGTAAATTTTACATATAATATACAACACCGCATGCGGAAAAACATATTATTGACACTAACAAGAAACAGAGTGAGTAGATCTACATAGACATATAAGTAATTATGTAAAGTTACGTAGAGGTAAATGTTGGATCGACTTTAAAGATTATAAGTATATCATTGTAGAGCATATTCGACTGAGAGAATAAATATTTTACCATGTTTAGGTAGTTCATTTGAGTGAGTACGCAAACGGCGACAACCATAGCAAACACCCATGTTTGGGGATACATCAGCTGATTCGTTCCCGATAGTGTGAGCTTTATCGCAATACTCAATGCTTTGACACTCATAACCTACCAAGGCATTCATAATGATCTGACATTTATGCGACTGGTTCAACACCTTTACGGTTTCATATCAAAATTGAATGAAAGAATATAAAACTTTAGACAACCATCAAAAAAATAAGAAAAGGCATACCGATAAAGAACCAACTAGCGAACAAACGCCAATGTAGAACAGTATATGAGTCTGGCCATACTGAGGGATGTAATGGAAGATTATAACGAGGACGAGGGTTATCACAAGAGCTGCATATAATAGAAATGCTGCAGGGGAAATAAAAGGTCAGTAAGTTCGTACGGGAGTTGGGAGATGTTACTCTAAGTTGAAATGCAACATTACCTGGCTCGGTGGCAAGGTCCCATACTTCCTTCACAGATTCGATCCCACTTTCCTGTGGAGCGTGCAAGACAATTGTTGTAGACCCCACGACACATAAGACACAGCCAAGAATACCAAATATGTGCAGTTTCTCCTCCAAAATAATATGTGCGAGCACAGCACTGTAATGCGTTCATATCGATCAGTAGTCTAAACAAGCCATGGCTGAGTTAGCTAGTGTATTCAACTTAAGATTATACCTGATTATAATGCTGATTGCACCGAGAGGAGTTACAAGAATTGCCGGAGCAAATGCATAAGCCGCAAAATTTGCTATCTCCCCAACAATCACTAACAAAACAGTGCTATTAAAGTTTAGTCCTGTAGAAACATTATATTGCAATAGCAATGACAGCAAATAAATGTACTAAAGAAATTGCTGAATACGGTGCTAAGGAAAAGCAATGTGGACAGAAAAGTTCTGTTTCGGCTTTCAAAATTATCATAGATTACTTAACGTGAATTAAACCCGTTGATTTGATCTAGCTATTAAAGTTCTTGCTTGGTTTGGCTACTATCTCTTCTATGATGTTATTTTGGTCGCATCCACCAAGGCAGAGTTAGCCTTCCTTAATGACCGATCGAAACGTACTTTTTCCTTAAGACACTTTTTGATTTTGCACTGTAAAGTTTCACACAAGGAAATTTGGAAATGACACCATTCACACATGCTTCACCTCTTTTTTGCTACCCTCCATCGACAGCAACAGAAGAGGGAAAACACCTGAGAATTTGCTAAGAATTCATTCTAAACTGACGGATGCCACAGAAATTCTAAAACCAAAATCTCCATGGAGCTACATTGTGAATTCTATTTTTAAACAAGTAATGCCTACGATTATCTTATTGATCCACCTTGCACAGCAGAGAATAATATGGTATACCACCAAAAGATGAGTACAGCCAGTAATACAGTAGTTGTAGAGCCAAGGTAAAGTAAATACATAAGTTATAGTCATTCTTAATTGTGCATACCAAATCCAACTTTATGTCGCTCCTCTATAACAGTAACTAAACCAAGCTATTCGTTGAGAGGTGTCGAAAGTTGTTATTTGATGTTCTGACATTTTAGAGGATAGTCCAAGACAAACTTCGGACGAGAGCATCAAACATGTCCTATATAACAGTTATGTAGTAAAAGACAGAATACGAGATATTGGGGATTGACATTTGCCTCCACCTCCGCCAAATATCAACTTTTAGACTATAGTTTAGCACATGGCTATATTACGGTTGACAGCTTTACTATCATGACGCACGAACTACGCCAATTCGTTAGATTGCTTTCTGGTAAAAGGAAATGCAAAGGGAACAAAACTCTACGCAAATGAACCGTACGTAATCAATATACCTCCTTTTCAATGAGAATATATCAGCTTTGGGAAAAACATACTTTGTACGATATGAGTTCTAACTTAATACAGAGAAACAGGTATAGATAACTCACTTGTTGTCATGCCCATCCACCACAATGGCTCGTATAAATATGAATACCCTCCAAATCCTGTTAGAAAAGAAAGAAATATATAATAAGACAAAATTGTGTCTGGATTTAACGAGAAAACCGACATCTTCCAACCAAAAGCAGCTGATCGGTAAAACAGGTGACACTCATTTAAACAATCGAGAGATTTGAACGCACCAAGAAAACTTGTTGACATGATAAAAATAACAATTCCTAGAAATTAATGAGCACAATGAAACAAAAGCCCTCCAGCATCTATTTGGAATAAGAAACACTTCATGCCTAAGTTTTCTTGGAGAAGTATCATTCCAACTAGATAGCGGTGTTACAGTCCGTTCTAGATTAGAAATGTTCGATTAAACCTATATAAGCAATAATGATCCATGGTCATATTTATTTAGAATACAATATTGATTACATAGTCGGAATACTATCAAGAAGACAAACTACTTATTAAATATATCGTGACTACGAGTTAGTAATTAAATAACAACAATTTAGTCCGATCTCCTTCCTATAAGTCAAGGAATCACTATCCATTGTGGCTTCTTCCAAAGAGTGACCGTTTACCAATTAGCGTGCAACATAACGATGGCGAACAAGTTCCATTAACATATAATTATATCTGAGACTAACACAAAGCATTAACAAAAATTCCTCCTGTTTATAAACCCCCGGAATTGTTAATCCATCCATTTCCATCATAGCACACCCCTTAGTACCTTCTTATTGACACCAATCCCTGCATAGTTTGTCATGAACTAACCAGTATTCTGAAACAGAATATACAGTCGATCGTGCAGGCCGTAGACCAAAGGCTTCATAAAGCTAATACTTAGAACAATGTAAAGATTTTCGAGATTTTGCCAACTACTTATCAACAGGTGTTTGTATGGGATTCGACATGACTAACAATCAAGCCCCGAAACAAAACCATTTTCGAAAAGACAGTACACAGATCCGGCATTGATCTCAATGATTGACACTACATCTAAAATTCTTAATCCCATACATCAGCCAAACCCTTAAAATAGAATGTACCGAATGCAACCTCAGAGATACCAACAGAGCTAATAAATCTAAAGATCTCAACCATTAACACGTTGAACCGCCATTGGAGCAATGGCTACTAACTTGCTATTATTATCCACAACCACAGTTCCTACCACTTCAAATTGCGAACGAATCAAATCAATATACCGTTACCAGTGAGAGCTAAAAACGAGTAAATTTACCAGCTCTTAGACCAGAAGCACCAGCCTTCTTCAACCCCTTTTTCTTAACAATGAAGCTGGCGCCGATGAAAATACTAGAAGACAAGGCCAAAACCAAGCCCTTCACGTTATCCTCCATCCCCTTGTACGAAACCGGCGTCGCTGCAGCACCCGCACCCATCTCCGCCGCCAAGATTACAGCACAATTGAGCTTTTAAAACCGTAATTCCGGACGACCTAACTACTGCACCCTCATTGCAGCTAAAGCAAGAACTCCCAGTCCAGCGATCTCGAAACAAAATCAGCTAATCGAATCGAATCGACTCCGATATCTGTTGTGGCGTGAAGATCTGCAGCAGCAGGTGTCGGTGGAAGCAGCAGCAAGAAGACCCGACGACTTGCTGGTCTACAAGGACGGCAAAAACTGCTCCCCTGGCAACGGAGAAATTCCAGCTGGGAATTCAACAAGAAAGGAAAGGGAACTGGGAATTTCAACAGGAATTGAATAAAAAATTGGAATGAGTATATTGGGATGAAAATTGGGAAATGGTGAGAGGGATTTGGCAGAGAGAAAATGGATCGAGCAAAACAACAATGAGTTGTCTCCGACTGGGCAGTGACACTGATGGGGTCGAAGTAGAAGTCGGAACTCTAACTCAAACTCTAACTCGAACTCGAAGCAATGGAGTACAATACGCCACCTTCGTAGCTCGTTATCTCCATTTTTGTAGTACTATTATTTAATGATTTTATTGTTTTTTATTTTTTTATTCCTCTCTCTCTATTTTTAGGAATATATATATATATTATAATGATATAATTTTCAAAATATTTTATAATTTTGAATTGAGTCTAAAATAGCAAGAGTTGAAAAGAGTTTGTTCCGTTTGCCCCAAACGTCCATAAAAAATAGTTTATTTGGTCCGCCATAGTAATTAAAAAAATATACTCTCTCTGTTTCATCGTTGAACTGTCTATCTAACATTACAAATACAGTATATTACACAAATATCATTACTTTTGTATCACACATGTTATATCATAATATAAAATTAATATTTCTAAAATTACTTGCAAAAAACAAATGGATACTTATTTTGGAGACGGATGAAGTATATATTTTATTTAAAAAATAATAGATAGTCGTAATTATTTTTGAAAATTTAGTTAAAAAGTAAAATAAATATATACATTGAATGTAATAAAATTAGTGGTATGTGTTATAAATAAGTATTGAATAAAAAATAATAATTAAATTTAATTTCTTTACTTTATCATTAATATGATAAATTTAGTGAACAAGACTAAAAAGAAAATGAAAATAAACTTAGCGGGCCAAGAAAGTACAAGTTTTTTTTTCTCATAAAACTTTCATTATATATTATTTAATATCAAATTTAAATTATTTTTTTCTCAAAGTCATCAAAATGATTATACCCTTTGTGCCCTGTTCAGTTTTCCTTGTTATTTAGATTTTATGTATTTGAAAAATATATATAAAATAAATTATATAATATTCTGTTCATCTCTCATAAGAATTTTATTTTATATTTTTATTATTTTACAAAAGTATAATTTTTTTATTTTAATAATTATACTATTTATATAATATAATGAATATTTTTACAATTTACATTGGAAAATAGTTTCTTTATTTATTATGTTCAATTATTAATTTATATTCTTGTGTCTTCCATAGGAATATATATATTTTTTTATTACAATTTAATATATATTAATATTAAAAGATGACATGAAAAAAAATCTATTACCAATGTTATGGAAATGAAATAGTATCTTTTTTTTTAAAATATAAATATTAAATATAATTATGTTAAATTACTATTTTCCAAAGTAAAGTTAGTTGTAAGTGTATATTTAATTATATAAACTATATATATATAAATGTAATAGGAAATATTCTGTATATTTTTATTAAAAATATAATTATATTATATAATTATCCAAATATTATATTTTTTTTATAAAATATGACGTCATATATTATTTTAATAAAGCAATTTTAATATTCAAATTAAAATTAATTGTATATTTTTATTTTTATATTACATTAAAATTTATTATTTTTTTCCATTAAAGAATGTTACTATATCAATAGTAATTTTTATGGTACCAAACAATTATTAAATAATTATTTTAATTTAAAATTTTTTATATTAAAAAATTAAATTTTCAACCAAACATTTTTTTTTGTCTGTGTATGTTTTAGATGTACGCATAGTTTTACATTAGATATCAATATATATTTAACTAATATAAAATTAATATTTGTGTTAAATTATTAATTTACTTTTGTTATATATTTTTTCTGTTTATTTTTAATATTTATATATTTTTATTTTTGTTCGATCAATTCAAAGGCTTACACTATTATATTTATCTATTAAGAATATTTTTTTAAATCTCATGGAAAAACAAATATAAACTTTAAAGTTAAATGAAGAGAGTATATTTTATTTTTATAATATTTATTGGGAGTTTTATTATAAAAATAAATATAATTAGGGTAAACTGTTTTTCTACTTCCGTAACTAGACCTTTATCATTTTAATTCCGTAAGTGGAGCCTGTCGCAAACTAGTCTCGTAAGTGAAAAATTTTAACTGTTTTAGTCATCCGGCACCGGAGACGCCAGGACATGTGAATTTTTTATTTCATTTTTAAAAAACTTATTTTTAATTTATTTTTAATTTTATTTGCATTTTTTTATTTTTTTATTTGGTTCAATTAAAAAAAAAATAAAAAAAAAAATCCACAAGTCCGTCAGGTGTAGCTGACCTGGCGGGACACCTGGCGGACACGTCACCTCCGGCGAGCCACGCGAGCGTCTCCGGCGCTGGAGGACTAAAACAACGATAATTTTTCACTTATGAGACTAGTTTGCGACAGGCTCCACTTACGGGACTAAAATGATAAGGGGTCCAGTTAGGGGACAAAAAAACAATTTACCCTAAAATAAAATTATGAGGTGAGCTCACCCATTGTATTTAGAAATAATAATAATAATAATTGTTTGATGATACTCAATAAATTCAAATGTTGATATATGTACATAACTTGAAAAATAGCACTTAAAAAAAGGCTATTACTTCTATAAAGTTAAGACTATGGAATATAATACACTAACTACGAGTTAGCATTTAATGACATTGATGAAGAATAATAAACTGGGGAAGTTGACTCAATCAAACGTGAAATATTTTACCATCACAAAAAAAAAGGAAAAAAAAAAAAAAAAAGTTGAAATATTTTAGGGGTGTGTTTGTTTGGGGGTTTGGATTTTGAGTTGGGATTTGAATAGTAAAAATTTTGAATTTGAATAGTTGTATGATGTGATATAAATAGGGTTTGATGTGATGTTTTGAATGTAAAATTGATTTTTAGTATAATATAAAAAATGAAAAATAGGTGTTTGATTTGATGTTTTTGGGGGGAAAAAATTGGATGAATAGTGGAAATCTATCAAAATCCTTCAAACAAAAGGTGTGTTTGTTTGGGAGTTTGAATTTTGAACTGAGATTTGAACAGTAAAAATTTTGAATTTGAATAGTTGTACGATGTGATATAAATAGGTGTTGATATGATGTTTTGAATGTAAAATTAATTTTTGACATAATATAAAAAATGAAAAATAGGTGTTTGATTTGATGTTTTTTTTGGGAAAAAAAATTGAATAAATAGTATAAATTCAATCCAATCCTCAAAACAAACGGACCAATGTTTAAGTTGTATTTGCATATACTCCTTCATTCCCTTATTTATGTATTCGCTTAAGTTTTACACTGAAATTTTAAAAATATTAATATTATATTGGGGTGATGTGTAGTACGAATAAAGTATAAACGACTAAAATAATTTTATTAGTATCGTGTAATATAAATGTAATGATATTTATGTAATATACTATAAGAATATTTTTAATGTAAGTATAAAGTGCCGTTGCTAAAAAAATAAAAATAAAATAGATATTTTGTGGATTAAAATAAAAAATAAATAAATAAATTATTAAGAGGAGTATGTTTTTAAGAAAGAAAAAAGTTGTCTTGTTGATCAAAGACAAATCAACATACATATGGCGTTATTTCTTCAATAACTATTGGTGTCGTTTGAAATCATTTTTTTTATGGTTTAGCGAATTGAGTCATTTCAAAAATAATATGGGAATAGTAAAATGCCCTTCAAGATATAGATAAGATAAAAAATAAAAATTTTGAATTAATTGATAATGTTGGTAAAAATTCAGAATGATTTACTATTGGTTCCATCTTCCAACAAATCAAAATAGCAATCTCCTATTGGCGGACCTAATTTATATGGTATTAGATTCGATCGAAGGTTTATCCAGTGTGTATTTTCGGATAGCGACTGCGGATTCTTATGTCATAAAAAAAAAAAAAAAAGAAAAACAATTTCCTACTCGGTTGTTCCATTCCAATCTATTCGTGCATAAACCTCTCTTTTCTTTTTATTTCCCCAATTTAAAATTTCTCTCATCTCCTCTCTTTATTTGAATTAAACTTATCTTTAGGAGTGTTTGGTACAAAGAATGAAATTAGATATAAAATAAGAGTAGATAATATAATTGAAGATAAAATGAATTTGGTTAGATAACAATAATTAATTTTTTTGTTCTATAAAAATAGAGAATTCAATTGCAAATTGTAAAAAAAAAAAAAAAAAAAAAACACACTTGTACAGATTATAAAAAATAGTTGATTAATAGGGTAGAAGATAATTTTAACAGATGAAAATATATAAAAGAAAAAAAAAAACTAAGATACGATATTTTGTTAATGCATAAATATTGAATTCTATGTGAGAGAATGAAAAATAATTTATTTTTCAAGTGGCATCCAGTCCATTCTAGTCGTTCATACTGGTCTTCGTAGTCCGGGATTCTCGCATTACACACATTTATGATTGACACGTGTCACCATACAAATCCAGGTGCAGAAAAAGGAAAACCTCGTGGCCGCAGAGAAGTATATTTAACAGTTGACACCAAGCAGTAGCACCGTCCTCGCATTTGCAATCGCCATCTTCGTCCCCATCGGCATCGGCGGCGGCGGCGGCTTCGGCGACGGTGGGGGGTTTATCTCTAAGGTTTACTGAAGGAAATCTCGAGAAAATGTCGCTGGTGCGAACGACAGTCCTGATGTGTTCTCCGCTCTCCACGCCGTCGGCGTCTTCTTCGAGCAACCGCGTCTCGGTGAAATTCGCGGTTTCGCGCTGCTCTGTGGCGTCTCCGACTACTGTGGTGAATGGAAACGTGGATAATAAGCCATGGGAGAGGAATGAAGTTCGGCTCGGGTTGCCGAGTAAAGGTCGAATGGCTACGGACACTCTCGATCTTCTCAAGGTAATTTGTTTTGTTTATGTGAATCTCGTGTATTTTTTGCGTCTATATTAATAGCACCGCTGGTTTCGATATTCGGCGGCCGTTTTACTCGGTTAATCTGCTCCTTTTTCGTGTGAAGGATTGCCAATTGGCTGTTAGACAAGTGAATCCACGGCAGTACGTTGCGGAGATTCCTCAGGTCAGCAAGATGTTACAAATTAACAGTATTCATCTTTTTTAGATTGTTGGATTCATTTGAGTTTTGCTTCGTTAATCGATGGTATTGGTCGTGACTGAATTTGTTAATTTCTTAAGAATATCAGAGATCCAGTGAAACCTAACTTGAATATGAATTTCGAAGTTCATACTATCTTTATAGCAAAGATGCTTGATTGGATTATTTGTTTTCCACTCTCAATTATCTTCCTCAGATTAAAAGCGTTTGCTTTATTCATATCACATCTTCAGTTTATATGTAGCCATTTTCTACATTGCAGCTTTCTAATCTGGAAGTTTGGTTTCAACGGCCAAAGGACATTGTGAGAAAGTTAGTATCCGGAGATTTAGACCTTGGAATTGTTGGGTTGGACACAGTAATGGAATATGGGCAGGTGAAAATTTTTATTCTTCAAGGGGGTTATTCCCAACTATTAGATTATTTTTCTGTTAAATGCAAGTTGCTATCCTGTTTTTAGCTTTACTGCAAATTTTGTTTCTTTCGTATTTCTTGAATCAGTCGGTAGGAAATAACTGTACCAAGTGTTTCCTATTATGTATCATGCCATCCATCAAATGAGTTTTATTTTACATAACATTGTCCATGTCTTAGTGTGCTTATACGTATTATACAATGCTATTAGTTATTGCTGTTTATAGATAGGAATATATGTTACTTTTTAATATTATAGTATTGTGTTGTTAATTTTCTATTATTCTTTCAAATCAGACCGTTCTTATCTAAATAGTTTTTGTAGGGAGATGAAGATCTGATTCTCGTCCATGATTCTCTTGACTATGGTGAATGCCATTTATCTTTAGCAGTAAGTAATAATTGTAACACATTTCACTCTTCTTGATCTTAGACAGCATTTTTTTCATTAGAATATGTTTCAGGTATATAACATTATTCTTTTTGTCAGATTCCCAAGTATGGTATATTTGAGAATGTAAATTCGTTGAAGGACCTAGCACAGATGCCACAATGGACACCCGAGAGACCTCTAAGAGTTGCTACTGGATTTACATATGTATGATTGATTCTTTTTTTTTGTCGTGTTTCTTTCATTTGTCGTATCATATATTGATTCTTTTTTTTTGTCGTGTTTCTTTCATTTGTCGTATCATATACTTTTTTATAACTGAATATGACCCTATTTAGTTACCTTTTTCTTAAGTTTATTTATTTATTGCAGTTGGCTCCTAAATTTATGAAGCAAGGTGGCCTACGACATGTCTCATTTTCAACTGCCGATGGAGCTCTGGAAGCGGCTCCTGCAGTAAGCCTCAACTGTTAGATACACAAGACATATATCTTTGTATAGCATGAGTATAAACTTTTATTTTTGACTTCTTTCCTTTGCGGGCATCTTTTAACCTTTCCTATCTTCTTTAGTTGTCTTGTGTTTTCTTCTTATGGTCATGTCAGGGTGGGATATTTAGTAAACAAGCATTTCTTCTTGGTTCACTATTGGGTGCTTTCACTGCATAACTTTCTTTTACTTTCATCTATCATCTATTTTCATTTATTATGCCAAACTGTCTTTGGCTTGCAACTTTCTGATACACATGACTTAGTCACTACATGACTTCTGTTGTTGAGACTGCTGCACTCTCTAGGTTCATTTGCAGTAGTTGGCCCAGCAGCCTTCTGGCATAGATGCCCTGAAGCATGGGTACTACAATGATACAAACTGAATTTTTAATAAAAATTTTAGGTGGAATCTTTGTGGATGAACTTGAAATATGTGTATGTCGTTAGCCTGTTGAATTAAAGTAGCCTAGGTGTTTTACTATCGGTAGACTGGAGCTGTTGGGTTCATCTTGAGAAGTTACATGGATCTTCTATTAAATGCATGCCAGGTTTCGACAAGTTGAAAATTGATGTTTTGTTGCAATCAGGTTGCCCCAATATTTTTGTAAATAATTGTTCTTTGTTATGTGGAAAAAACCATGTGCTGATGTTAGTGAACTAAGCGCTGCTGGTTTCATGTTTTTTTAGATGGGTATAGCTGACGCCATTGTGGACCTTGTGAGTAGCGGAACCACATTGAGAGAAAATAATTTGAAAGAAATTGACGGTGGAATTATCCTGGAAAGTCAGGTAAATCTTTTCGTTTCGCTAGTGAGATTGGAATCTCACACGAGTAATGGTATTGGTCGTTCATCTACAATCCTTATTTTCTTCTGAAATTTTCCCTGATTAAAACGTGTCATTTTAGGCGGTTCTTGTTGCTAGCAGAAGATCATTGACTCAGCGAAAGGGTGTGCTCGACATCACTCATGAAATGCTTGAAAGATTGGAGGCACATTTAAGGGCTGCCGGACAGTTCAAGGTCTGAATCATCCATTTCTTTTTCATATCTTCTTATACCTCCGTTATTTACAGTTCTCGTAACAGGTAACTGCCAACATGAGAGGAAATAGTGCCGAGGAAGTTGCGCGCAGAGTGATAAGCCAACCATCCTTATCTGGTCTGCAGGTCAGTTCAGCTTTTAATGTGTTTGTCATCAGTCCCTTCTCACCGGTTATATCAATTATCCAAAATTTGTCAATTGACATACCTTGCTTATAAGTAGGGACCAACCATAAGCCCGGTATTCACCAAGCGGGATGGAAGAGTTGCCGCTGATTACTATGCAATAGATATTTGTGTACCAAAGAAAGCACTATACAAATCTGTTCAGCAGCTTAGACAGGTACGACTCTATTTACATTACGACTGAGGCTAGGTACATCAAATTTTTAATCGGTTTAATTGGTGAAACACCATAATTTCATAAAAAAAATCATCATATCCATCCACTCAATTGATTAGTGACACACATTTTTCACTTAGTTTACCACAATGTTGTATGATTAAAAACTTGAAACCCTCGACAACTTTTGAGTGTCTGGGGATAGCGGTTATAAACTCGTTTAAAAAGGTCACCATTCTGTTTCCAAAAAATGACACGGGAATTGAAGCTGAATTACTACATTTCTAAGTGTTTCCCGCTGATATGGAAATTTCTTCTTCTAGAATGCTACCTGCATGAATTTGAAGTTTGTTGATCCCATGCCGGGGCTTTGCATTGAATATCAAAATGCAATCATTTTGCAGATTGGCGGCAGCGGAGTTCTGGTGTCACCTCTGACCTACATCTTTGACGAGGAAACTCCTAGATGGCGTCAGCTTCTTTCGAACTTGGGGCTTTGATGGTACGCCCTCCTCGATGGTTTTGTGTTTTTGTTATGATCTCATGGTTTCTTGCAATGTGGCTTGTTATACAAATTCTGTTTTCTCGAAGAAGATTCATGCCACTCTGCTGTTTGGATGAGGGTTTATGTTATGTCTAGGCAGCATTTTGGCATTCGAGTATAGTTTCGAACTCGGAAAAGAATACTCGAGTAAGTGTTTATTTATTTTATTAAATAGTAATAATCTATATATGTATTATGTACCTTTGCTTTTTTTTTTAGAGATTAAAAAAAATATATATATATATATGTATTATGTACCTTGCTTTTTTATTTATTTTATTATAGTTGAAGTTTTATAATACTGTGTCTCTGTTAAGTATAAATATATACTTTCAAATTTATTTTTGAAAATCTGGTGCAATTGATGGTGAAAAACAGTTAATTGTATGTATTTAAATATAATCAACGTGAGAATTATATAAAAGAATCAATCTTGAACTTATAAAACTCAGTTAAATAAAATACTCAAATGACTCATAAAAGAGATTTATTTTTAACTTGTAATAACTTTATTTATTTTAAACATACTTAGTAAATTAATTAAATTAAATCTTTAATTTTTTATATATAAGATTCACTTAAATTTGTTTTATTTTTATTTCTTTCTTCAGTAAACGAATGTCTATCTATTTTGAAAACTTTGTATTTTTTATACAATTTAAATAAATTATAAATAAATATATATATTTTTTAAAATTATTTGTATTATATAAAAAATTTAGTATTTATAAAATAATATTTATATATTAGATATATTTTATTAAATATAATTTAAAAAATATTATTTATATAAAAAAATAATAAAAAATAATATTATAATTTATTATTAATAACTTATTAATTTAAAAAAAAAAACATTTCACTCCCAAAATGAATAGTATTTAGATAGTTTAGTTATATTTTCATAACAAATTGCAAATACAATACGTCACAGTATATCAAAACATTTCACATCAGTACTAATGAAAGTAGTGTATGATATATAAATTTCAACTACATAAATTTGAATAATTACACGTAAAAATAAAAATAAAATTAAAAACACAAGTAGACGACCGCAACAAACAAATGCATAGCATAGATGTGTTGTATAGGCTCAACCAAAAAGGTATCAATATCAATGTATAATTTGACCCATTCGATCCTCGACCAGGTGATTAGATTAGATTAGATTTGATTGGTGATCCTCCAAGAACCAAACGAAGGGTACAAAATTGTTGAAGAGTTTTCTGTCAGGGAGTCTCCCGGAGAGTTTAATGACAATAGAGCTTGATTACTGAGTCGGCGCCAGCAGTGAACAGCCATGGCTGCCTCGGATGGAATTTGCAGTCCAGAATACCTGTAAAATTGAGCGAAAGAAAGAAAAATCAGAGACACACAACTACATGGGAAGAGCTTCAAATAGGGATTGGAACTTGAAAGTCGCCGACCTCTTCCATTTGTAGAGGAATGGCCTCGAAGAATCTCCAGAGGTACGATCAAAGGGTCCTGATTCAGATCAGAGTAAACCATGCCATGAAAAACATAGGCCGTGGAATCCTCGGAGCATGAAGCGAACAATGGATAGGATCGATGAACTGCGACGCTAGTAATGTCCTTCGGATGACACCTGCAGATTTTGAAATGAGTTTAGCAATTAATATTACTAAAGAATACAACATATACATACACTCATAAAATATAAATATATATAACACTATATTCATTCACAAATAATCAATCGACACTTAACATTATTTCTTATATTACTTACACAAACTTTCATATCTCAGTATAAAAAACACTTAAAACTAAAATAACTAAACAAACATACTTATAATTTCGACAACATGCAAGCGAAGTACATCAAGTAGTTATTAAGTCTATTCACATGGTTATCATCATCATGTTAGCACTTGCACCTAAAATACGTTGCCGCTGCTATCATTTATGTAACCATCAAGCTAAGAGCCACCGTGTTATGTAACCTTATCTTAAAGTGCCCACTTCAAATTAAATTCGGATATTAAAATTCATGGTTGTGGCAAGAATTGGTTTTTAGCTTCTTCTACTTGGGCACTTCAATTATATGGCATTTCCGTACTATAAAAAACATGGAACAATAACAGCACTTTCTAATAGAGTCATCAACTAAGATCATACCTAAGAACCCTGTAAGGTTTGGTCGAGAGGTCCATGTCAAACCAACATAATTTTCCGTCTTTGCTTCCAACAATGACGTTGTCACCTGCATTAACAACGCATTCGAACACATGGTAAGGCTCTGGGAACATTGATCATTATGAATGAATGATGTGGGGGGGGCAGAAGGAGACATACCACCAGGGTGGATAGCAATGGATGAGATTTCTCGGACTCCAGCCTCGAGCTTTTTGATAAGTCTTTGTTTTACCAAATCATAGACACGAACAAACTTCTGAGTTGCAATGAAGAATATGGAACGAGAAGGATGAAAAACAGTAGTAACAGGAATTCCTTTTGTCTTGAATGGAACTCGTTGTGTGAGCCTCTTGGAGAGTTGGTGAATCAATACTGCCCGCGATTCACGTGCTACTGTTAAGGAATCACGACTTTCATGTAGAATGATATATAAAAAAATAAAAATAAGAATATTCTATAAAGAAAACAACATGATGACTCAGACAATGAATTCAAGGTGAAAAGGATATCAGAGGGTATAAGAGCAGAAAGATGGTCTCCTCTTCGATGCCATTCAACTTTAGTTACAGTCTGCAGTTTAAGAACATTGATTATTTAGGTATAATGAGGAATCTCACACAACAATAGCACACTCAAATACATCAGACAAAAGTCTCCATTGAAATGCAAGCCACGACAAAAACACACTTACCTTGAAATGCTTCAACTTGATTCCACCATGTATTTCATCTTGACCCCAGCTCACCATGGATGTGCTGGTCCCTGAAAATAAATGTCGTCGGTGAGATCAGATACAAGGTTAGATTTTACAAAAAAATTATTATACAAAACTCAACCAGAATCGTCCGCTCCCATTTGAGGTTCAACATGGAGAAGTTCCTCAATCCTTTTCTGTTGCTCATCACTAGTACATTTGGTGTTCAGTATAAAAACATCTTGGCCCCTGCAATTTTTTTGCGGAGCTTATTGACATGCACCAAAATTAATTGACAAGAGTGAGATGAAAGATATGCATGTTTCTTACGCTGCAACTGCCAATATAGGAAGGTCCGGCATAGGATTCCATGCAACTTGTGCTATGGCGTCACCAAGTTCCCATATCTGAAGACACCTAGCAGTTTCAACTTCCCAAATCCGCACGGTGCCATCAATAGAACCTTTATAAATGACCCAATCCAGTTTAAGTTTTAAACCATGTTGTATAATATAAATGTTAAATATATGAAATATAGTATTGAAGTCAAACCAGAAGCAATCCATTGCCCAGTAGGTTCTGTAGAGATGCTTGTGACTGGACCCTGGTGACCTTTGTACTCAATGTAGCAACTTGTTGGGTAAGGTTTAAGACTTTTGCGGCTTGGAAGCTTTGGCTTCAAGGACTCTGGATCAATATTAATCTAGAACAATTGCGCATGTAATACTTACAGTTAATTATATATTTTCAAGTGTTAATATTGATTTATTGAAAAATCAAGTAACCACACAAGGCATGTTTATACTTACACGTTTCTTACGGACTCGTGGACATAAATAGAGATCCAAACAACGATCGAAGATGTCTTTAACATATTTATCGTACGCCGGAACACTTCTTAGGGCGGTGTATCTAACGTGAAAAAAAAAAAAAAAAAAAAAAAAAAAAAAAAAAAGCTCATTTTTGTCACATGTTTTGATCTTTATTCATGAAAAGAAAACCATACTTCAAACAATAAGAGCAAGGGAAAGTAAAAGAACAGATTGGTAATTACTGTTTTGGAATAAACTTCGGTCGATCTTCCTCAAACATAAGCTGATAAGAATTGATTTCTTCTTGTGTTGGGATGTATTCAAGAGAAGGATTATATGCTTCCTCATGACCTGAAATAAAAATTCACAGCAAAGAAAATTAATTCCGAAACAATACTAACAAAAATTGGTAGCATCAGGTAATTCAATATAGGGTAACACTAAAATATAGAAATAAGACCTGGCAAATTAGGCTTTGGTGCAGGAATATAAGCCAATCCATGCCTTTCCGTGGAGCTAGAATCATCCCACATGTTATAATATTGAGGCACTTCTTCCTTGGGTTTGTCATCAAACTTAATCAGCCCCTTCCTTATGGCCCGGACATATCGAAGAACCTGTAAGATACGAAAAAAAAAAAAATCAAAAAAGCAATGCAGTACATCTATTTGAAATCTAGGCATACAACGACTCAGTTGTTTTCAGGAAAACACAAACAACAGTAGGATAGATCAGTTATGTTCGGGACATTTAACAATGCAGGGAAGACTACATACACATGTCATCTAGAAAGAAATAACCTTCTGCCTTAACACAAAAGTAAAACAAGAAGACATAAAAGAAGCATCCATATAAAACCTTGAAAATTTATTTGTTAGTGTCTATTTGAACATATGACACTGGGGCATGTTAATAAATGGCGTGCATGAATCAGAGATAAATATATTATATTCTCATGTCAACTAAACCAAAAGTTCGAGGAAATCAGAGGGGCTGATAATAACATGAAAGCTTTAATTTTTCAGGGGATTGACATTCTCCAGAGTTATAAGTCTAGTAGTGCTACAAAGCAGCTGCTGAAACGAATATTAAGCAAAAACAGAAAAATCAAAGCAACCAACCAGTTTACTCTCCGACTTTGAGGGAATGAACCGTCTCTTTGGTTCTGGAGCATTAGAGAGTGGATGCTTAGCACCATCCCATTTGAACCAATCAACATAAGGCTGCAGAAAAGACAATTATCAATGAAACGAGAACACATAATCTACAGAAAGGACTAAGAAACTTCAACAAAACAATGAGAATGAAGAATGGCAGAGGGATAGCACGCACGGCGTACGGATCGAAGTCAGTATGGGGTGCTTTCCCTTTGAGTAATTTACGTATAAGCTTTGTCTCCTTCTTTGTCAACTCCACTTCCTCATCATTATATTCGTCGTAGAGCTTCCGCCTGAACAAAACAGTTTGCATGAATCAACAATCAAAGCACCTCATTAAGGAAGAGCAGTATAGGTTTGGTTCTCAAAGTATCCTATCTATTGAGAAGTGAACTACAAACAAATAATATCCGAAATTAAAAACTCACCAATTACGCGAGTCATCAACGCTTGCAAGAAAGGAATCCAGCTTACTCTGCCTTTCCTTCTTCTTAATTTTTTTCCCACTTAAATCATATCCAATATGCTCCTCATCTTTGTACCATTCCAAAGGAACACTTCCAACTGTGTTCCGAGGTGCAACCTGATTGTCAGAAGATAATCGTTTTGGTAAATTTAGAGTAATAATGAGTCCCATTCAGTCACGGCACCACTAATCTACTATGATGACATGCAGAAACTAGTCGAGTAGATCTCCTAGTGTATATATTAGTTTGTTTAGCAGAACATTACAAGTATTAGCCATTTAAATAACTATCTTTCACCCCTAATTTTAAAGATATAATTTTGCACTCCAGACTACAGACCTACTACAGAGCAGTCTAACAAATTAGGAAAACAAATATACCTCATCTTCAGATGAATCACTTTCCTCCACTACTTCACGTGAATCGTCTCTTTCTTCGTCGATGTCTCCTCCATCACGGTTGTTATCACTTTCAACTTCACTGTCTCCACCCAATTGTTTGTCACCAACTGCACCATCAATCGACTGAACTAGTCCAACACAAAAAAAATCAGGGTAGATTTTGAAAATAAACTTAAAAGTGCAGCTGAGAGTGAATAATTAGATTCCCAAGACTGTAAGCGTATTATAAAAAAAATTCCAATTTAAAAAATACTCAATCGTCGGAGACATCAATTGGATGAATTTATGCAAACTGCATTCTAACCACAGAAAAACACTAGTTAAACAAACTTAGCAAAACAGGGATTACCAGGTACCTCGTCATCAGTTAAACTCTACAAACCGAAGAACACATATCAAAATAAACAAATAAAGACACAATTCCACCTCCACCCAACATCTCAGTCCAAATGCCACCTTCCTTCCCACTTCCAATTTTTTTAAAAAAAATACCGCAAAATTACCTCGTAGTCATTGTCGGAATCCGAAACCAAATGCGAGTCTTCGGAGGTATCAGACGCAGTCTCTTCTTCTTCAATCTTCCGAATTTCTTCCGTCCGCGCGTCTTTCTTGGCCTTTCCATTGTTAAGTTTGCCGTGATCTGTCTTCTCCTTCGCATCCTCGAGCTTGCGGGAGACATCCTCCTTCTTCCGGTTCGCCCCCATATCTCCTCTGTGGAAATTCAGGTTAGGGTTTTGTGAGGGGTTTGGGGGACTCTGTTTTTAGGTTCGTTTCGTCTAAGTTAAATTTATTTTAGGCTTTGCTTTCACAAGATTGGGCCAATTTGAATTTGGGCCCGATCCACTATTTTGATTCAAATAAAATTAATTCTTAAATTTCGATACAATAATAGAAAATAGGATTAAAATTTTAAAATAAAATAATTATTTTATATCATATGAATAAATAAATATTATATAATGTTTACAATATGAAGGTATATTTTAAAATAATATTGAAAGTAATATATATTTAATTTAATATTTTTAAAAATATATAGAATATTACAAATCTATTAAAATTTTACAATCATGCATGCGGTTCTTAGCGGAAGTAAAGTGAGCATAGGATCCAAAATTTTAGAGTCATATTTGAAAATTTTAATCTATTATTAAATATAACAAATTTTAAATTTTATTATATATATTTCATAATTACTCAATGTAATTTTAATTCAAAAATTAAATTATAAATCTTAGTCAAATATTTTTCAAACACTTATATTTTCTTCTTAATCATATCTACCAATCTTTCTAAATTTCAAATCTAATTGTCTTCCATCCACCATAAATTTTGTAACAAATGATATATTTAGAGTTCACAGTTATTATTATTATTATTTGTATTTGCGTTGTCATTATTATTGAATTATTATTTTTATAATAGTTGTTATTTTTTATTTATTTTCGACCAATGATATATTTTATAAGTATGGTCGTATATTGAATATATAATTAAAATAATTTTATTTTTTGAAATTTATTATTTTATTTATCAGTTATATTATTTTAAAAATATATTTTAAAAGTCCGATATGGCCCTTGCCATAACACAAGTTGTATGGAATCCTAGGCTCTACCTTCCTAGCAGTGGCAACTTAAAAATCATCTTTAACCCAGAGTTATTAATAGTTTTGGGTTGACATATTTGGCACGCCAAATCCAATGGCGTTGTGTTATTTTTTTTTTTTTTATTTTATTTATTTTTTAAATTATAAATTTGATTTTAAAATTAAATTTTTATATTAAAAAAGTTTTTAAAATTTCATTTTAAATTATAAAAATAAAAAATTATTTATACTAAGAAACATGCGCACCTTTCATCTCATTTTGTCAATTAATTTAGGTGCATATTATTAAGCTCTGCAAAAAAATTGCAGGGGCCAAGATGTTTTTATATTGAATACCAAATGTGCTAGTGATGAGCAACAGAAGAGGATCGAGGAACTTCTCCATGTTGAACCTCAAATGGGAGGGGACGATTCTGGTTGAGTTTTGTATAATAAATTTTTTGTAAAATCTAATATTGTATCTGATCTCACCGACAACATTTATTTTCAGGGACCAGCACATCCATGGTGAGCTGGGGTCAAGATGAAATACATGGTGGAATCAAGTTGAAGCATTTCAAGGTAAGTGTGTTTTTGTCGTGGCTTGCATTTTAAAATTGTTGGGGACTCCCGTTTGTAGATATATGATTAATGGTTGTTTTTTCCTAATAATTCGAATTTTTAGGTGAGACGGTCATTAAGCATCCGACATATGCATTCCCATTTGTGGATATATGATTAATGATTGCGTTTCCAGTTTGAGTTTGTTCTTATTGTTCCATGTTTTTTATAGTATGGCAATGCCATATAAGTACGTTTGTTTAGTGATTTTAGATTGAAGTGTTTTCCATGCTTAGATATAGAAAATTGTGTGTGTAATATAATAACTCATATTTTGCATTGAATTGTCGATTTTTTCTGTAATATTTTATGAATGTATGTATATATTATATTTTTTAGTAATACTTACACTCATTTCAAAATTTGAAGGATATTACTAGCGTGGCCTTTCATCGATCCTATCCATTGTTTGCTCTATACTATGAGGATTACACAGCCTATGTTTTTCATGGCATGGTTTACTCTGATCTGAATCAAGACCCCTTGATGATACCTCTGGAGATTCTTCGAGGCCATTCCTCTAGAGATGGACGAGGTCCGGCGACTTTCAAGTTCCAATCTCTATTTGAACCTCTTCCCATAAAATTCTCTAAATTATTTTACTGTCGATTTTATAGGTATTCTGGACTGCAAATTCCATCCGAGGCAGCCATGGCTGTTCAGTGCTGGCGTCAACTCAATGTTCAAGCTCTATTGTCATTGAACTCTCTAATGCGGCCACAACCTCTCCGGTGAGACTCCCGACACAACTCTATTTGCCCCAACCCAACAGTTTTATATATCACTCGTTTGGTAGGCTCTCTGGCGCTGTAGTTTCTTGCAGGATCACCAATCTAATCACCTGTCGAAGATCAAAAGTTCTAATTATACGTCGATATTTTTTGATTGTTTGTACAACTAGTACATGCATTTCTTGCGGTCTTCTCTCCTCTAGTATGAAATGTATTGATATAGAGTATTTGCAATTTGTTATAAAAATGGTAAAAAATTTCTAGAGTTTTTTCTTTCCAAAATTTGAATTTAAATGAAAAAATATTTGAATTAGAATAAATGTATTATGTAAAGAAGTTGATACGAAATTTTAAATATAAAATTAATTTTTAATATAATATAAAAAATAAAAAATTAAAATTTTGATTTGATATTATTGAAAAAAAAATAAATGAATAATAAAAATATGAGGGTATTTAGGAAGTATATATTTTGATCTAGTTTATCTATATTTGTTTAAGTATTTATTATATATTAAATTTATTTTAAAATTATCAATTTTATTAATTATATAAAAAATTAATAAAATAATATCATAATTTACTATTTATTTATATAAAAAAATAAAATTGATAGGAGTGTATTTGGAAAAAGTTAACTTGTTGTGACAAGTCGATTTTAACCGGCAGCCAAACACACCCTTAACTATTTTATTTGACGGTCCGTCGGCCGTGTAATCTTCCGAACGAACGGTCGCTCGCAGAGCTTCATTTTGCGTTACTAATGGCGCCGAAGAAGAAGCAGCAGCAGAAGGGAAAATCGGCGGCGGCGACGTCGTCCAAGGGTAAGACGACGGCGTCCTCCTCCGGTCCGAAGCTCCAACTATCGGCGGAGAATGAGAACCGGCTGCGCCGCCTTCTTCTCAACTCCGGACGATCGACGCCGTCTCCAGCGACGGCAGAGCAATCCCTATCTAAAGAGCAGAAGGCGAAGAGGCTACACTCTGTCTACGAGAGGTTGTCTTGCGATGGCTTTAGAGATGATCAGATTGAGCTCTCTCTCTCCGCTCTCAAGGTAGGCCGCCGCTACTACAGTTACTAGTTCAGCATAAGTAAGAACATCTTTCTATAAGTGCAGTTGAACTTGATCAGATAAATTACGGAATGCTTTAAATCGAGATTCTCCAAATTAGTTGGAGCGATGCTGCATGATGTTGGAAACTTTCTTGGAGCTTGATTTCTATGCTTGAAGGAGAATTGGATGCGAATGAATTCAATCAAGCTTATTGTTATGTTTCTTGATCTGCTATAGTGTTAATGAACATCTCTTCTCTCGAACTGATGTTATTTGCTACTACAACATGTTAATGGTATCAGAACTTTACTTGTTATGTTTGAAACCACCATTAATTCTAGGAGAGAGCTATGACACACATTTCTCCTTCTTAAGTGTTATATATATGTATAAACACATCTGAAACCATGTTTAACCTTGGAATGTAATTATGCATAGCTTTATTGTTATATCATTAGTCAAGTTATTTCTGGTTTTACATACTTTACAGGAGAGAGCAACATATGAGGTTGCTTTAGATTGGCTTTGCCTAAACATTCCTGGGAATGAGCTTCCCCTGAAGTTTTCTAGTGGTAGTTATTTGCATACAAGTGAAGGTATTGACATTTAACTTTTAGTGACTGAAAAATTTACTGAATTCTGAATTTTGGTTCCTAATTTAATAGATAGAATTATTTTAAGTACTGTATTATATTTTGGACAGAGCTGAGGCAACATATTAAGGCACTTTCTGGGCAGGTTCTGTTGGTGTCATATCAACTGCTCGTGAAGATTGGGTTTTTTCAGGAGATTCTTCCGAAGGTGCGGTTATGCAGATGGACGACAAAGTTCCTCTTATAATTAAAAAAGAGCGTAAAGATAATGAAACACTAGAATCGGTTCAGCATTCTCAAGCTGACTGGATCCGCCAATATATGGAACGGCAGGATGAGGTGCGTTAATAGACAGGTTTAGACAATACTTGCACATTTGATATTCTTGATTCAAAGGTTTATCATTTTGCATCTTGTTGCAAGGTAAAAGTTTTTGTAGAATTATTCTAATTTGAGATAAACTAGTTAATTTGATGTATATCAGGATTAGGAAGAGCTAGAACATAGAGTGCTCCAAAATTGGTGAAGTACTTGCTTGCGTAGTATTAAATGCAATTTGTTAGTGTGTGGCTCTATTCTGGTCTATTTACCCTCTCTTAATGTTCATTTCAATTTTACTTTTCTTGTTTCAATGCACACATTGACTAGTGTAGGCATGCGCTATGCCTTTCTGATATTTAGAAGGTTTGTCTTTGTATATAAGATGATGTTCATCTGCTGGAGTTTACTCATATTGTATTTCTCCCACTATTACATGAAGTCATTCAATTCAATGTGGTGGAGGGAAAATATTTTCGCAGTAATGATATACCCCTTGTCTTTATTTGATAAGTTGGATTTTATTCTTTTTTTTTTTTTCAAAGTTCTTTTCTAGAGGAAAAGCTAAGAAATAAAAAGTTCCCTTTTGATTACTTTAACTAAGGTTGTTGTTGCATAACATTTCTGCTTTTACATACACATGCTTGCATTTGCATGAGCTTTGAAAAGACATCAAAATAAAGGGTGTTTTTACTTGGTGATTTTTTTTATTTTTTTATTTTTTTTTATTTTTTTGAATTTTGGTTTTGGTTTTAGTTTTGAATAATGGATTGGATGTAATGTTTTGTAAAAGAAAATGTTGTATTTTTATAGGAAATTGTGAGGGTTGAATAGTACAAAAAGTGAAAATAATTGCCAGGTAAACAAAGCCAAAAGCTTCTTTCCTGTTGTGGACTCACACATGTAATCATGTCTTTATACCAATTTTCACTTCAACTTTCATGAATTTAGGAGGAATTCAAAGAATGGTTTAATCTATATCTGAATTTTACTAAGAACTTTTTCTCACTTCTTTGCTGTTCAGAGAAATATAGAGGGTCCTCTTATTTGATCCAATAGTGTCAATTATGAAGCTTAATCAACACTGTGCATAAATTTAAAGCGTCCATGCTGAATCGCTATTAATGCAGGATGAAACTGATTCTTGGGAAACCGATTCAATGGACTATGGTTCTTCAAAGAAGGTACCTCCATGAATTTCTTTTCAATGTTAACAGTGGTAGTGATGACCATGCACATAATAGTGTGGATAAGGATGTTGGATGCTTTTGCTATTTTACTCTTTTGTTCCATCTTATTCAACAAGTGAGTTAGCTTCATCCTAGTGCATTTTCGCACCTTCAATTGTTTTTGCTATTTTCGTAAGATGTATATCGGTTAAGTGTACTGCCATAACTAGAATGTGAATATAATCTTATGGGTCCACGTTTAACGTTAATTTCATCAAAATGTTACCTTTTTATATAGTTCTTGTGGATATTTTAGAATGTGACCGCTGATTTGGAATGTTTGCACTCTCTGTCAAATCATGTGATTGAGATTCTGGTTAGTTGATGGAAAACAGGAGAATGGAGTTCCATTTATCTGTTACAAGTCCTGCTTATCAATGTATAGATCAATTGTGGCAGGTAGTAGAACCAAGGAGTGATTACGAGTCTATCATTAAGGATTACCATGCTGCTAGATTACAAGCTGCAAATGCCAAAGATAGAGGTGACAAGAAAGGCCAAGAAGAGGCAGGTCAAATTATTAGGAAGCTTAAGCAAGAGATATCAGCCTTAGGTATTGAAAATGAAATAATGTGCTTTCCCACTGATGTTTCTTAAGGTCATAAAGGAGCATGCTCTGGAATGATTCAATTCAAATTAATTTCAGGTCTACCAGCTGATATATTGGAATCTGGATATGTGAATGCTAATCGTGGATCTAAGGACAAACTTTCAATTGCAAGGCCTTCAGAAAACTCTGATGGTGATTCTGTTGGTGGTGATACAGAACATGAAACAACTCACACTGAGTATAAGGATGAAGTTGATCTAAAAAAGGCTAACACATCTGGGTCACATGAATCCTTGGTGGATTCTTCTCCAACAGTTACCCCAACACCAAATGGAGAAGCTTTGGAAACAGAATCAGGTGATGTAGAGCTTGGTGGTTTCTTTTTGGAAGAGGGTGGGTCTGATGAAATACCCGCTGAAATATTGGAACTTCAGAAAAAGGAAAAGATGAAAGAACTGTGTAGTGAGAAGAATTTAGAGAAAATGGAAGGAATCTGGAAGAAGGTAGTATTTTGATGTCGATATTATATATGGGATCTCTACTGCTTTCATTTTTTGTGTGATGTGCTATGTGATTCCATGAAGACCCTTTCTGAACCGGTTCTTTTCTATAAATTGTTGATGTTCTTCATTTTCAATAGTACATGCTCTCAGTCCATCTCATCATATTTCCTTCTATCACTTGTCTCCATCTATCCTCTTCTTTTGTTTTGAATTGGTTTTCCTGCATTTTTCCATGTTGTGTAATGATAAATACAGGGAGAACCAAAGAAGATTCCAAAGGCTGTTTTTCATCAACTTTGTCAAAGATCGGGATGGGAAGCTCCAAAGTATGATAAAGTTGTTGGGAATGGGCATAATTCTGGTTACTCAATTAATGTGCTTCGGAAAGCTAGTGGGAGGGGTAAAAGTAGGAAAGCTGGAGGGCTGACAACTATCCAGCTTCCAAGCCAGGATGAAAGTTTTAGTACAGTGGAGGTATGTTTCTTGGCCTTTGGCACTGTAGATACATTCAAATAGTGTAGTAAATAGATGTTCTTTTGATGTAATGATTGGTGTTATGTTTCATAATAATATATCTATCTTCAATTTGTGAACTAATGCATCCGAAAAGTATAAACATGCAAGGACTGGCTAGGATACATTGCTAGAAAAAAGAGTGGGAGAAAACTTAGAATTTTCATAGTTGATGCATTCTCCTAGCCTCCTTGCTCACTTCTGATTTATATAATATTCGTATCAAATATACTTGAAAAAGTTAGCTGGTTAGACCTGTCCAGAATGTTATACTTACACTTTCTGTTCATATATCTATATTGCTAAAAAAAATTGTGTGAATTAGCATGTAAATTTTAATATGCTGTAATAGCTGTATTTATATTGTTTGGATTTTTTTGCTTGGAAGATACATTGAATATGTACGTACTGAACCTTACTTTATTTAAAAAATGAGCACATCATTATTGCTATGATGTTTTTCCTTGGAATGTGTTATGTTCTTACTTTTCCTTCAAATGAGAATTATATGTATCTTCTTCATGTTCTTTGTCATTATGTAAACGGGTGTTTATCATTATGGAATAAAGTAGGAATAGGTATAATGAGGTCTTACACAAGAGCTTCATTACATAGCTCTTCACTAGGGAAAGATGGTCATACATTTATCATATTTGAAAACTTCAAAAGAATCTGATTGCAAGAGTTATATAAAGGGGAAAAGGAAGCTAGGTTATGCTCCATGAGCCTCTCTTTTGATATAGGGGAAAAGGAATCTATATTACGTATGATATTGATATCCCAAGTCAAATTCTGTAGATGCATGAACCTGCCACAAATTTAAGATCCTCAATTTTTTAAACGTTGGGATCAAATTATATTAGAATTTTATATCCTGAACCTCACTGTGACCTTGTCACATGTTCCAAGCATCAAGAATTTTCACCAAAAGCTGGCAGTGTGGCACTATTCTACCAAAATATTCTTACAGGGTGGTCTTAGAACATCCTTGTGTTACAGATGAACTAAGCTGTGAATTCTTCTAAAAAAAAAAAATTTCCATGGAGGAAAGATGTACTTAGCTGTGATTTCATTTGATTACATAGTTTTTGTTTAAGGGTCAGCAGTCCAGTTTATCATAGTTTTTGTTTAAGGGTCAGCAGTCCAGTTTATTCATCTATTTTATGTTGGAGGCATGGAAGGATCTCTCTGAAGGTTTTATTGGTTTCTCAGCTTTGAATTGAATGAATTTGTATATATTTCAATTTTGCCTCTGTGTGAAACTGTGAATTTATTTTGTCACATTCTTCCTATATAATAATAATAACTGTTGGCTAACAATTTTCAATTTAGGATGCACAAAACAGAGTTGCAGCTTATGCACTCCATTGTCTCTTTCCAGATCTACCAGTTCATCTAGCACTTTCAGAACCATATGCTACTCTAGTACTAAAGTGGAAAGAAGGTAATTTATCATTTAATGCGGTTATCAAATGACAATTATTAAATTTTTGTTTGAAAACTTCGTCATTTCTGTAACCTTTTGTGATTTTGGTTTATCAACTTCTTGTTTATTAAGGGGCATTGCTCACTAATGTAAGCGACCGATCTACCGATAGAAGGGCTGGTTTTGTGGACTCATTGTTGAATGCCAAGAAGGTTGAACACAAGGTTGGGTCTAATTCTGTGGATGAAGTTAACGAAGACTTGATTCCAATGGCATCAATGGTTGAAGATATAGCGAGTGAAATCGATCACAGTGCTGAAAGTAGGATGCTCTATACCTACGTGATACCTGTGGCTTATATAATTTATGTAGGAGGAATTTATGTAGTTGTCTAAACCATGGCATCCTTATAATAACTACATGCATGCATTCTATAGTTTACATGAATCTTCTTTTGGCCATTTTTTTGACATGCTGTTGAGTTTACTTTTAATATCTGCCTGAGATATGATGTAGTGCAATGCAACACATGCTTGTGCATACTGCATATGCCCAGATTATATTTTCCATATTGAGTTTTGTTTTAGTATATAGGGAAATACTGGTTCTAAATATATATGCATGTATTGCTTAGTGTTGTAAAGATTTAAACTCTATTAGTGGCTGCATCTAAATGTTAATCCAAACATCCATGTGCAATTTTGGAGCCCAATCAATTTTACATGCAAAAGTTTTCTTTCCACGGACGCTTTCTTGGTATGCAGGCATACAGGGAAATATGCATGCGGAAAACATTTTTCTGAAGAAGGAACAAGAACTCAAGAACAACACAAATAAATACAAGGTTTTTGTTTTTTTTTTTTTTTTGTATCTAAGCTTAGGCATCGAGAATGGTTTGGCTTCATTTCTAAGCAAAGTTGATGATACATCTTTTATAGAAATTCAAGCACCCTTTCAAATATGAAAATAACAATATTCTCCAAGTTCTGTCAATTTTATGTCTTCTAGGAGTTCGAACAAGTATCGTGTAAAAGTTAGCCTTGTTGATTTGAACCTTCAAGAAGTTCTATTTACTAATATAATGGTTCATGATTGCTTTGTATATTATGAAACCACTATTTCAATAGTGGGGACTCTGGAGATACATTATTTTTGAAACTTCAAGCTTGTTGAGACATCTTGCAATGTCTGCACTGTTAGTTTTATTTTTGCTGGGTTTCACAAGTTCAGAATTCATTATAATGCTTGGAATTCCCTTTAAGTAGCTTGCTTAGTACGTGAATGGCATTTACAGACTTGTTTTGTTTGCTTTTAATGCATCAATGTTCTGTTGTTGAATTAGGAGATGTTGCGGTGTAGATCTAGCCTCCCTATTGCTGAGTTGAAAGATGAAATCTTGCATTTACTGGAGGAGAATAATGTAGTGGTAATATCTGGAGAGACAGGCTGTGGAAAGACTACTCAGGTCTTAGTTTTGTTGCAGATTGCTTCCTTAAATGGTTATTGTGGAAGTTACCGCTTTGTTGTTTATCTATGTTACCTTCTACTAATTTTGTTACCGAATTTGTGGTTATGTAGGTCCCCCAATACATATTGGATAATATGATTCAAGCAGGATGTGGTGGTAACTGTAACATAATTTGCACTCAGCCCAGAAGGATTGCGGTAAGCTTTTAAAAGTCAATCAAACTGATCTGAGATTGAGTTACACACAACATATGTTTGAGATAATGCTGCATTGTATTGCTTCTAAACTTCACAAAGTGAATTGGTATACTCTCCATTGATTTTTTTGAGTATGCATTAATGATATGGTACTTTCAGCTGTGGACTTACTCATAATTATAAATATTATATAATGGTATTCAAGATTTGCTCTTGGCTGGTCAGGATCTAAAATTGTTATACTACCTCTATTTCAAATCTTTTGCTATTATTTGTATTTTGGTATTTTCCAGTACTTTTTTTCTTTATTTATACACAAATTCCCTTCTACACATAATTAAGAAAAAAAATAATCTAAACAATAAGTAACGGAAAAATGGAAAAAACATATCAAAATTATATCACTTAAAAAACCGTACCAAAAGTGAAACTAGCAAAAAATATTGGGATGGAGAGTATTTGGTATTTGTTAATTATGTATGCTTATTATGTTTGAAGTTTGATGCACTGTGTTTTTGGTTTTGGTTTTTTAGGCGGTTTCAGTTGCTGAAAGGGTTGCTGACGAGTGTTGTGAATCTTCTCCAGGATCAACTGGTTCTTTGGTTGGTTATCAAGTTCGTCTAGATAGTGCAAGGTGTTCACATGTTATTTATTTATTTTATTTTTTGAAGTATTGGCTTTTGTAACTGAATGGAAAATGGCAATAATTGGAGAGATCATTAGGTGTATTATTAACCCAGCATTCATAAATGTGGTCCATGTCCCTTCCTTAATTGCATTATAGTGTCCATTTCTTTGCATGTGTTTATATTTACTGATGTTCCTTACACTCTCTCAGTGTTGGTCAACTTAAATTGATTATTGGCGGGTTATGACTTCGGCACTTGTTATATTCTTCTGTATGTGAATTCTAATTGAATTTTGTTAACCCATATATCATTCATTGCTTTAGGAATGAGAGAACTAAGCTTCTTTTCTGTACAACTGGCATTCTTTTGAGAATGATATCGGTAGGTTCACTGTTTTCTATTCACTATGCCATTTTTACCCAGTTGCAGTTGCTTCACAACAATTACTGTATTCTAAAAATGTCTAAATATTCATGCTACCAGGAACTATAGAATCAAACTGGTTGGTGGGTATAATAATATCCCTTTAATTCATATTTTGATTTGACTTTGCAGGGAAATAAGGACTTGGCTGGTGTTAGTCACGTCATAGTTGATGAAGTGCATGAGCGATCTCTTTTGGTTAGTATAGTATGCTTTTATTCTGCATTTTGCACATAGATGTGGCTATCATCAGTTTTAGTTGCTGGATCACTATCAAATTGAAAAACTTTTCGGATATATATATTTTTTTCTAGCGGTGACTTGAGGATTTTGTCTGCTTGTCGCAGTCTTTCTTTTCAAAATTGATGTGCGTATTGCAGATGTGTGCACCTTTGTATGCTTATGATACAGATCACACGTAGAAGTGTTATTGTACAAGTGAATGAATTTGGTTTTCTGGTTTTCGTTTGCAACAGGGCGACTTTCTGCTCATTGTTTTAAAGAATCTGATTGAAAAGCAAAGTACCTGTGGCAAGCCAAAGTTGAAAGTTATTCTGATGTATGTCATCATACTAAGTTATTTATGAATTTGGAGAATGTATATTTTCCCTTGGTTGCTTCTTGATTATCCTTAATTCTATGGAATGTTTGTATGCCATTGTCATGTAGGTCTGCAACTGTTGATTCACACATGTTTTCACGTTACTTTGGTAATTGCCCTGTAGTAACTGCTCAGGGGAGGACACATCCTGTGACAACCCTGTTTCTTGAGGATATACATGAAAAGCTGAACTACCGCCTTGCTTCAGATTCTCCAGCCTCTATACACAATGGAATGTATGGGATAGAGAAGGTAACAACAACCCAATCACCCACATTCAGGGAAATGAATGTAAACCGTTGATCTCAGAAGAAGAGATAAATATACAATTTCTCCATACATTTATAATTTATTCCTTGAATACATAGTGCCAATAACTTCCTAGATGACTTATCATTCAAAAAATAAAAAAGGGATGCATTTGCATGGGTCCCCTAGTGTGTGCTCCTGTTTTTCTCCTATTACAGTACCTTAGTTTTGGAGTTCTAAGTACACCGTTTATAAAAATCATTTCTATGCTATAATGGTGCACATGGGTCAAAATGAAAGCATGAATACACCCCCCCCCCCCCCCCCCCCCCCCCCCTTTTTTAAATCAAATTTTATGATAGAAGGTTTTAACATGAATGTGTTAGGGCATCTTTCGGAACATAGAGATATCTTTTATGAGAAAGAAAATTATTTGATACATGGAGCCTCGAGAAAACAGAAGAAAAGAGTGACAAATTAAAGCCCGTCGGATAACTTTGTGTTCCCTCTTGCATGCTTAGCAAAATAATGTACCATCTTATTGATAATTACTTCAGGGATTTCGACATGTAGCTTTATGTAAATTTTCTTGTATTGATACGGACTTTGTTTTTTCCTTTGATTGCACATGATTGTTTTGGTACTGCTTTATTATATCCAAGGAATTGTTTTTTTTTTTTATCTCAAATTTTAGATTAGGTATTTGAACACAACCACACTAATACAATGAATATCAAATTTTTTTATATAACTTCTTATTGAACACTTGCAGAGTGGTCTAGTCGGCAACAAGAGGGGAAAGAAAAATCTCGTCATATCTGGATGGGGTGACGAGTCCCTACTGTCTGAAGAAGTTGTTAATCCCTATTATGATAAAAGTGATTATACAAATTATAGCGAGCAAACTCGCCAAAATTTGGTATGTGTCATTGGTGCCATACACTTGCATTTTGTGACAAATTGTTGCATTCACCCACAAATGACTCTTCTACAGAGAAGATTGAATGAAGACTGCATTGATTATGATCTTCTTGAGGATCTGGTTGGCCACATTGATGAAACTTTTGCTGAGGGTGCCATCTTAGTCTTTTTACCGGTACAAAATTTGTGGTACTTGATTTCATAATATTTCCCTTCTCTGCAGAAATCATTATTATTATTATTACTACTACTACTACTACTACTACTACTACTACTACTTCAAGTTAATGTATTTAAAAAATGACAGGGTGTTGCAGAAATAAATTTGCTAGTAGATAAACTTGCAGCTTCTCGCCGATTTGGTGGAAGTTCATCTGAATGGCTTCTTCCTCTACATTCATCTATAGCACCTGAAGATCAAAAGAAGGTGTTTCAAAAACCTCCCAATAACATTCGCAAGGTAAACATTTATTTTTACTCGTGATATCTCAAAAATATGTAGTGCTTCTATTCATTTTTAAGCTGCTGCATCACATTTATATTATTACTAGTTACATGTGATGCCTAAAGTGCATTGAAGCTCCCGAACTTTTAATTTAAGATTGAATATGAAAAATAATGGTCAAAACATTATAATGTTTCGAAATAGAAAAGGGATGATATAGTGTCTTTGCAGTAGTCTAAGTCTTGGTGGATTATGTGGTTTTGAAGAGTTTTGCACATTGTTAGGAAATGCATTGTTGAACTAGCAAAAAATGAAAGAGATTGTATCATCATAATCAAGACAATCAACAAAGGAATCAGTAACTAAGAGAAACATAAGGACACATAAGTGCATTGTAAATCTAGCAAAATAGAATTGGGAAGCACTCAGGGCTGTGGAGAAGGTTAATATGACTCTTGCTGGTGATGCTCTCTAATTACTATGCTTACAAACCTCATGCAATGTTGCTTTCTTAATATTGAAATTCTCTAGAAGTTTAGATTGTTAGAAATGCTAATTGGGATAGATGGGAACACTTAATATTGTAATTTTTAATTGTGACTGGTTTTTCACAGTGATACATTATTTTAAGAGCATTCTTCTTTTTATTCTTTTTGTCATTATTTCTATTTCTTTGGTCTCAGGTTATAGTTGCAACTAATATTGCAGAAACAAGTATAACAATAGATGATATTGTATATGTTGTGGACTGTGGAAAGCATAAAGAGAATCGCTATAATCCTCACAAGGTTAGCGCAATTCCCACCCATCCCCTCCCCTTCCCCCCCCCCCCCCCCCAAAAAAAAAAAAAAAAAACATCATTTGAAATTTGTATATGAATATTCATAATGTTTTAATCGGTAGTATGATTCTGTTTTTCTCACGAGAAGTTACAGTGACTTAATATTTGCTATTGCATGTGTGATTGCATATGATTACCCGCTCCTGCTACATCATTCATCATTGATACTCCATTCTAGTAAGATCTAGCTATATGAGTTAATTGAGAGATTGAATGCATTGATATGTAATTACAAAGTGAGGCTGGAAATCTGCTCTATTCTCTGCTAAAGAAAGTTTCTTTCCGTGTTCCAGTTTTAAAAGTATTAAATGGATCATCTGAAGAGGTAAATTTCTTTTAAATGACTATTGGTCTGCTCCTGTGTCTGACCCTTCTGCAAGAAACATCTGAACTTTATACGTGTGACAATTTTATTTTAGATTATTTCATAGAAATACATAGTTCAGTCATCTGCTAATTTACCTTTTGGTTGGAATGCTTGTTGTGTCTAACTAGGCAAAAGTTAGATATAATTTGGAGTGTGGATGATGTAGTAACATTGATATACATATACCTATTCTTTTTACACTTTCGAACAAAAACAAAAAACCCTTCCAATGAATATATATCTTTTTTTTTAAAAAAAAAACCAACATGGATAGACATGTATTTGTTCAATTATTTACACTGCCCAAACGAGATACGTATGAGTTTCTTTCCTTAGACTAAGATCTAAATGAGATGCATACGGATTGGCATGAAAGGTTTAACACAAACTATACATTGTATTGATGCAAACAGAAACTCTCAAGCATGGTTGAAGATTGGATATCTCAAGCAAATGCTAGGCAGAGGCGAGGAAGAGCTGGACGCGTGAAGCCGGGATTATGCTTTTCTTTATACACACATCACAGATATGAAAAACTAATGCGGCCATACCAGGTATTTAATCGCTTCGACCATAATCTCATTTTCACTTGATTGTGACATTCACCTATGGCAAATCGTGGCTTAAGATTCTTTGGAAACATGGAACACCTTGCACCTCATTAAGGTGCAAAATTATATCATCATTATTACCATTGAAGACCCTATCCCACTAGGTGGGATGGGCTACACGGGTTGTATAAATAAAATACGAACATATTCAGCTTATAACGGTGGGAACCTGTCAAATCAACATTTTTTTCGAAAAAAAATAAACCAACCTGCAAACCATTCCTTTGGATTAGAGAATGGACAAAATTCTAAAAGTAGAATGAAAAAAAAGGAAGAAGACCTGTGCCTTTTGTTTCATTTGAAATTATTTTGACAAAAAGACTGGTTGAATGAGAAAGAAGGTACTCTATGATGGACACTACCTGTTTGTGCAAGTGAAGCTAAGTGGCATAGTGTAATAATTGCAATGAACTAGTGGCTTAGAGCATTATGTTTTATGCCATAAAATACACAACTATGATATCTTAAAACCACATTTACAATCTTGTATTGTGTACCGTGTAGATTCCTGAGATGATGCGAATGCCACTGGTAGAGTTATGCCTGCAAGTAAAATTGCTTTCTCTTGGAGGCATAGAACAGTTTTTGTCTGAGGTAGGTTCTTTTGTTGTTTCATTCTTTTTGTTTGACTTGTGTTATCATATCTTTTAGTCTTGATTTCATTTTAGAGGTTTTGACTATGTCTATATTTTCTTCATTGACCTCTCTCTGTCAAACTTTTAGGCCTTGGAACCTCCAAAGGAAGAGGCCATTGCATCAGCAGTTTCTTCACTTTATGAGGTATGACTGTGCAAGGAACCAAGCTTATTGGGTTTGTATTGGCTAGATGATTTACTTTGGTAGTCATGTGAGAGTGAAGCATTATGCATCTATTTTTGTTTTAAAGAATAGTAGATAATGCTTTCCAACAAAGAATTAGATGCATTCTATGATTTCTATTACTAGTTTGTAATTTAAGTTAGGATCTATTTTTGTCTACTGATATTTGGACAACTAATTATGATTATTATTATTATTATTATTGATGAACAAGCTTTATGTGATGCCTACCATGTAATCTTTTGCTTGTGTTTAATATCATAGTCTGAAGCTGATTACTATAATATATTCTTTCTTTGAACATCAAGATGTCTAATTAGTTGTATGGAATTGGATTATTTTATATGAGTTAAATTGTCTTCTTATGATCTACAACAATCAGCAGGTTCTCCTTGTTGCCACCCTTGTTTGCAGTGAGTCTCATGGCTCAAATGTCATTTCTCTTTGATTCCTTGTCTCTAAATTTCGTCATTTAACCTTTTAAACAATTTTCAGCCTTGCAATTCTAAAGTGCTTAATGCTTATATTTTTATCACATGCATATGTTTGCTTAGTAACATATCATATAACTCAGTTCTTCTATTGAGCTAAATCAACCTTGCTTGTAGTTTGTGGATGAGCATGTTTTTTGTGTTCGCTCTGCTTGATCAGAGAAGAGAATCCAGAAGTACTTCAGAGAAATCTATCACACAAAACTTGAAATTTAAACTGTTCTTATTATTTATGTCAACATTTATTTATACCAGCTTCCCCTTCAAATGGAGAATCTGGAGTGAGCAAATTATTCATAAACAAAGGGGTTTTTTTTTGGGTATTTCTAGATATTCCTATCATCCACCTTATGGAATGAGCTCCCAACAGAGTACCGCCCAAAGTACCTGTTTATGTGTGGTTCCCAGTAATTGAACCAAATTTACTCCTATGAGAGTATTTTGCATTCTTTTGATATGTTGGACTTAAAATGATTGGTGTGAGATTAAGTTTTGGTTGAACTACATTCATAGGTTGGTGCCATTGAAGGAAATGAGGAGCTCACACCTCTTGGTTATCATCTGGCTAAGCTACCTGTTGATGTGTTGATTGGAAAGGTAAGTTTATATTTTCATCTCTTTTATTTACTCCTAAAGTCTAATTTTTACCTTAAAGTTTGTTTCACTGTTCAGGGACATTTGTTGAAATGTGTTTAAATTTTCCCGAAAAGCATCATACAAACATATAATTTTCTTTCCTGCCTACAATTTCATGCATAAGACATCTCCTTTCTACTGAGGCTTAAACACTAACTTTTTGGTTATTTCACTGTGAACCTAGCAAATCATAGCGTATCTTGAGTCTCCTAAATTGGTTTCCTTAGAAGACAATAGTAATTGTCTGATTGATTTGGGGGCCTATGTATGTCAACAACCTTTTTGTAGCACATTCACTCCATGTAGCGCTTATGCTGAAAGTCACAATTCTTATACACTAAAAAGGTTGGTGATATGATGTTGTCCAAGCGTACAAACACACTACAAACATTCATATTCTTGAACTAAACTAAAAGTGAAACTATGTATTTCTTCTTTATACAAAGACATTTTGGGTTTCCACTAGGTGTAAGAGAACTATTATGTAACTGCTTTTTGACACCAACAATCTAATAATTTGTGGAACTTGCAGATGATGTTATATGGCGCAATATTTGGTTGTCTATCACCCATTCTCACTATATCAGCATTTTTGAGCTACAAGTCACCCTTCGTGTATCCGAAAGATGAGGTCCTTCTGTTAATGCTTGCTTTGTTTTCTTTTGAGTTTATTGGATTAAGTGAGAATCTTATCTGTAGTTAAGTTAATCTGCAGAGGGAAAGTGTTGAAAGAGCAAAGTTAGCTTTACTGGGTGAGCAGACTGCAATTGTTGCGCCTGATGGCGGTCGGCAATCTGATCATCTTTTAATGCTGATTGCATATCAAAAATGGGACAAGATCTTAAGTGTGGTTAGTGTGTCTGTACCCTTATTCCATGCATTATTTAATATGCCCCACATTGATGCTTTGCTATCTATCTGTTATAAATTAATAATGATGATATGTAGATTGTAGTCATTATAGCTGCTGGAACTACCCTATAGAAGATATGAGGTTTATACCTCTCTTTCTTATTATATCACCATTTTTGAGGTTCACAATGCTTCAATTGAGAGATAAACTTATAAAGATTAATTTTCCTTTTTATACAAATGGTGATTAGAAGGTAATTGATTCAGAAGCTTGTAATAACTTGTCTCTTTCTCCTTGAAATTATGGACATCCACTTCAAAATTTATATCCCTGTCTTTAAACTCTCTCTATTAACTGCAGTTTGGATGAACTTGATAGGCCCATTATTACCTTTCATAGTACTCGGTTGCTCATTATTGTTTAGTGTTTAAGGGTTGAAAAATTTTCAAGATTGTTGTGTTGTTAATGAGAACGGGAACTATTTGGTGCTTCAGAAAGCTCTGCAATGCAAAATTGATGGAACTTTCAAATTACCATGTTCTGGCCCTCACACCACAACGTCTAACATTATCCGTTTTACCTTCCTTCAATTGTCTCATATTAGTCAATCATGAGAAAATGTGAGTGTCATCTTAGTTGACTAGGGAAGAATGTCATTTTGGTAATTTGGTGGATTTTGATTCTTAGATTTAAAGTGCTCGTTGATTTCTCTATTACATGATGTTAGATAACTTTACCTGAAGCTACAAATTTTAGAATTTGATGGCACCGAAGAGAGCAGACAGGCACAGAATGGTTACTAAAGTCAAAGTTTATGATTTTGGATTGTAACACACATTTATACATATATCTATATTATTTTACTTGTTAGAGTTTATAGGTCTGTTAAATACTTTTAAATGATAAGAAGTTAGCCTTTAAACGTTGTCTATATATAATATTGAATATTTGCATCCAATATTTTACTTTGTTTTATTTGAGGATATCAGCATATGGTACTGATGCATGTTGGTTTTTCAGAATGGAGTTAAAGCAGCCCAAAAATTCTGCAGTTCTCATTTCTTGAGTAGTTCAGTGATGTACATGATAAGGTATGTAGATTCAATCTTTGTATCAGTGAGTTGTTTTTTATGTTGCTAATCCATTCAGCATTTTTGTGGGTTTTAAATATTAGTGAATCAATAACATTAAGCCATTCCATCTTCTTACTGATTCTTGAGTACAACTATATTAAGATTATTTTAAAATGCATATTTCCAAAATAAAATTAAACACACTATACATTTACCTGCAATTTTTACTGATCAATCTAATTCTATTAGGGACATGAGGATACAATTTGCTACATTACTGGCAGACATTGGGCTGATAGAAATTCCAAAGAATTATCAGGTAATTATACCTTGCTCCAGTATTTGGTACTGCTCTTTAATTTTCAATTCATGGATGTATTTTCCTTTCTTAACGCATAATATTTCTCCCTGATGAAGGCAATAGATCACTCTACATGATTTGAGGTTGAATAGAATGTGTTAAGGCATGATTTTCTCTTTTGTCTATTTTCATGTTATATGAGCTATGCATATCTATTCTATGCAATTAGGAGGATAAAAAAAGCGAGGAAGTTGTGTAAATAAAAGGTGAAAAAGATGCTCCAGAACGTTGAGTAGAATAGCATATATGGATTTTTTAGTTATATACTCATAGGGGCTTTGACTGCTCTAATGTGAAGAATTTGTGTAACAGATTGGCTGGAAAAAGAAAGAGAAGCTTGATAGTTGGCTTTCAGACATTTCACAGCCATTCAACCAATATTCAACCCATTCAGTTGTGGTAAAGGTAAAAACATTATTTTCCTAAACAGTTATTGTATCATCATGTTCTTGGTTCGGTACTTATAAATATTCAATTGGTTGATCATCACTTTTTGATATGCATTGTTTTTCGTAAATATTCAATTGGTTCATTATCAGTTTTTTATATGCATTGCTTTTCTTGTTTTTGTAAGTCTTAGAAATTATATACTTACGTCTTACAGTTGGCTCCTTTCCGGAAATGATCTCTGATACGCTGGGCTTTTATACAGCTCTGAACTTCATTGATTACTTAAAAATGCCATTCCTAGTTTACTTAGCATCATGATCATTTGCAGGCAATACTATGTGCTGGCCTGTATCCTAATGTTGCCACCACCGAAGAAAGCAATGCTGGACGTCGCCTTGTGTGGTTTGATGGAAAAAGAGAAGTTCACATACACCCTTCTTCCATCAACAGTAGCCAAAAAACTCTTCAGTATCCTTTCATCGTCTTTCTTGAAAAGGTGCAATTCTTATCCATGTGATGTTTTTGTGAGCTCATCTATTTATCAAGTCTGTTAATGAATTCTTGCCTTGATTCAGAACAAACAGAAAAAATTTGAGAAATAAAAATAGATAAATTATATCCCATCTCACTCCATCATCACAAGGTTTCTCTTGGCATTATGCACTATGTGAGTCAATGGTTTGGATATTAATACAAATCATTATTAATTGTAGTAGTTCATAACCTCCACCAATGTATCCCTAACTCTGCCTTCACTTCTTCCCCATTAATTTTTGTATATCTTTCTTATTTGTTCAATGCCCGTTGGTAGAGTTCTAGGCTGTCGGACAAAATGGATGTGCTTGCGATGTCATGCATAGTTTATAGTTTTCTTCTTCTTTTTATTCACCCCTCCAACCACAATAAATTTCATGTTACTTTACTTTAGCATGTTGTATTTTCCTTGTTTCTGCTATGCATTATAATCCTTATCAATATTGCAGGTTGAGACGAATAAAGTTTTCCTGCGAGACACAACTGTTGTTTCCCCGTACTCTATTTTATTGTTTGGTGGATCAATCACTGTTCACCATCAGGTATTCTTCTCACTAACCTTATATAAGTAACTGCCTTTCCAATGCCGCACATGTTTTATTTTGTGCATTGGTGAACATAGTAATGACATCTGTTCTTGATATTGAACAGACCGGATTGATCATTGTTGATAATTGGATAAAAATGGCAGCACCAGCACAAACTGCTGTTCTCTTTAAAGAACTCCGAATCACTCTTCATTCTATTCTGAAGGAACTCATTAGCAAACCACAGGTATTATTCCCTAATTCTGTTGATGTAAGGTTGTCAGGTTTCAGCATCCATCTACCTTCTGCTGAACTAAAATTGTTTACTTATGAGTCATCAACTTCGGTTTTGGTTTGAATTTTAATTTTTTTTAATATGAGTTTTGGTTTATATACTATTTTCATATATGTTTTGTAAGAAAAAATAGTATATTTTTATTAAAAATTGTGTGAGTTGAATAGTGGCTTGCAAACCTTTATGAACCCCAAGCGAATGCACCCTGATGACATACGTGAGTTATGGATTTGTGTATATATTTATATATACTTCATGTTTTAAATCTCTAGTTTATTGATTATTTTATGGTTTTATCATTTCGAATTGGGCCCACATACTGTTTCTCTTCTAAAATACAATTTTGTGCCATATTATTAGATCCACAGAACTTCCAGGCTTTTTAGTTTCATGATCATAATTTACAGTGATCTACACCCAAAGCTTATTGTTTCTTTTGGGCTTCAATGTTCCCCAACTGATACAGAACCACAACTTTTTTGTTTCATGGTGTAAAATACTTACAGACTATATATATACATATATATATATGTATATCTTCTCCATATTGAGAATTCATGAGGGTAGGAATAAGAAGTGGGGTGGTGCCATATCTTTTAACCTTTTCCATCGTAACGAATTTTTACTCAGGAAATTCAATGCTTTTCTAATAAACTCTCTTTAACATTCTATCCATTTGTATTGCGCAACGCACTTACACTTATCTGCAGTTTACTAAATCTGCATTCATTCTCCTTTTCCAGAAGTCTGCAGCAGGAAACAACGAAGTCATCAAATCTATCATCCACTTATTTCTCGAAGAAGATAAACCGACCAAGTAACTCCTGATGCCAGTGGTAAAGTACTTCTTACATTTAGTTTTACTAATGCTTCTCTCCGAGCTATTCAAAACCTGTTGATTTTTACACATTCTTTCTTTTCATAGCTAACAATGCATTCTCTAACTTAGATGAGTCAAAATTTTCCAATGCAGGCCAGGCCAATTGTTTCCATCCTATGGTAGTTTATTCACAGTTCTTGAGGATGAGCAAATACAAAATAATGTGGCAAATTTTCTCAAAATTCCCATCATTCAGGTTTATATTTTATGTGTAATTTTAAGATTTATTACCAATTGTGGCATGTAATCATATTAGAAGATCGCATAAGAAGGAAGCAAGCAATCAAAAGTGGTGTTTATGGGAAAGCATTAGATTGATTTAGTATAGAAATTGTTTACAGTATGCAGTAATAGCATTGATAAATATTTGTGGGCAAACTAAGAATGCAGGTAGATATTGATGCATTTTAATATCAATATTTTTTAGGTTAAATGGGTAAAAAAGTGTTACTTGGTAATATAATCTAGTTCATACAGCTAGTAGACCTCTTTTTAAACGTGTATAGAAATTGTTTTACAGTATGCAAAAACAATTTTACAATTTTAATATATTTTTTTAAAAAAATTAATATATTATAAGTCATTATTTTTATATTATATATATAATTTTCTATGCACTATACATCAAAAAAATTTCCTTCAAACTATATAACACAAAACAAATACACTGTATTTGACTGATTTGAAAAAAAATAATTAATAAATAATATTAAAATTTAAAAAGTATCTAGTTAATTTATGGAAACATTATGGGTATGTTCCCCAACCAGGTTTGGGGGATTTTGACTGTGCAGTTATTGTGCACGGTCAAAAATTCCCCCAAACCACCCTTGTCTAAACCATCTTTGTCTCCTCTTGGTCGGCATTGCTGCAACGCTTGTAGTTTTTTATATTTTGTTTTATTATTTTTTTAAAATTATAATATAATGTTTGTTTTTTTTGGTTGAGTTTGAGAAATTTTAATTTGGGTTTGATATTAAAATAATATTTGATGAGATATTTTGTAGAGAAAAAATTTTAGAAATGCATAGTCCAAATAGTAAAATTTGGAAAAATTGAGGTAAAGAAATATTTATTATAATTAAGAGAAAAAAATAAATTTTGCAGAGATTAAAATTTTTTATAATACAAATAAATAAAATTTTAAATAAATATATGTTGGATATAATATAAATTCATAATCAAATTATACCATATAAATTTTATTAATTAAATTTAATACACATTTATATTATTTTATTCATTATCCATTAAATCAATACACATCAAAACTCCCAAAATTTCAACCAAATCCAAACACAAAATAAACAACAAAATCCAAACTCATTCCAAAATTCAAATAAAAACTAAACTCAAACCCAACTTTCCCCAACTCCTTCCGTCCCAAAATATAGTCTTATTGTGTTGGATAGGAGATTTAAAAAATAGTGAGTGTAATAATAATAAAAAAATAAGGATAATTTTACGATTATTTATGAAATTATTGTTTTGAGACAGACAAAAATGATAAACAAGACTAACTATTGTATTAAGATTGAGAAAATATATAATATAAATACTTTGTACAAAATAAAATTTTATATAATACAGATAAATAAATATATATATATATTTATATAAAATTAAATTTCTTTTTTCAAAAAAAATTTAAATATAAATAAAAATATTTATTTACTTGAATATAAATAAAAATTAATTTATATTTATTAAATATGTTTAAAAAATAAATTTATAAAAAAAATAATAATAAATATCTCTTATGAAGACGGACATAAAAGAAAAAATATAATATATGTTGGGGCGGAATACCATATATATGTATATGATCTACACAATACATAGGAATAGATAAATAATATAGAAACAAATATATATGCTACAAAAGGCAAATATCTACAAAAAGGCTAATATTTTGTAACAATAAAAGGTAATAATATTTTTAAAATATTACAAATATAACAATAACAATACTAAACGCACCGATCGTAGTAATTCCAAATTGCTCATCGTTAGAAAGCGTGTTTTCGACGTGAACCATAGGAAGGGAAGGGCTTTCTTGCTTCCTACTCTCTCCATCCAATCCGCCGCTCTCCCATCTCCGCCTCGCCCGCCAGGTAAAACCCTAATTTTCTCTGCTAAAGCTGTCGATTTTGAATTCGATTCAAACAGGTCCATAATTTATGCAGGATTGATTTTTTGTTTCCGCTGAATTAGCATTACGCTCGAATTTTGCGTTTTATGCTGGCAGTGGAGCAAAACTAGTCTCCAGCTTCAACCTTTAATGCTTTAGATTGTATCCGACGATCGTTGGATTGTTAATGTCTGGCGTGGTTGCCTGTGCTTTTAGTAATCGCATAACGCTGTCGACTGAAACTCTGTAGTTAATTTTGGAAATGCTTTTGTACGAATTCTGATTTCTTTTCCTTTCTTGTGCTGTGTTTAAACGGTTAATTTTGGTTGTCCGATGCATTACGGGTTTTGATGCGTATGTTGTTGCTGACGGTTCCATTTATGTTTGCTATTTTTGATCTATATGGAGCCTACTTAAGTTCAGTTCTTTGTTTCTATATCATTAGATTCCGTTGTTAGGTAGAATCACTTTCACTGATTATCATTTTCAATGCAATCTTTTCCCCCTAGTCCTTTAAAGTTTGCCAAGACGAAATGGCATGTAATATTTTCTCTTTGTGATTCTTTTTACTTCACTGAATGCTCATCGCCGCATTGAAGAACACTATATTGGATATTTCCGACACGTTGTGATTCTGTAATTGTCTTCATTATTAGCATTTACGTCATTTGAAGCAGCAAAAAGTCTTGAATTATATTCGTTCTTCACCTAATGTTACTGTTAGGTAATTTTAAATGCAGAGGGCGTCATACCTGGAAGAAATCTTTTATGATTCTACAGATATAATTTGAGGCTAGCTAGATTATTTTATATATATATATATATATATTCCTTCTAGTATCTCGGCCAAATCTTTTATATTATGGACTACTTCAATCTTCAGTTGTATAACATTGCTTTCTATGAATGAAATTTATGTGTTTAATTTGAGTTAGCATAGAGCTTTAATTTATGTGTAAAATGAGTTTAGCGACGAGAATAATGATATCTCAGTTGGAATAAAGAAGGTATCTGCTCTATGAAAGTAGATGTGAATCATTGATTCTGGTCAAATAACTTTACAGAGGTCTTACGGTCTCTGACTAAAACAATGGTAAATGGGGTATTTCAAACACTATAATTTAAGAGAAATTTTCAGTATCTATTGTGGTAAACATAATATCAAATGATGTTCGTCAAGATGGATTTTCCACCAGTTATTTGAATAGCTGCTGCTTTCTCTTTTTTTTTTTCTTTTCTTTTTTTTCTTTTTTTTTTTTTTTTGAAGTTATATTCTCTTTCGCCAATTGAATTAAAGCAAAGCATGACTTTGTGAATGAAAGGAAAGCCTTTTTATATGGAAAGTTCTGTATATTTTAGTTAAGTTCGCTATTGAGATTTGTTCAAGTATATGAAGTATATTTTTGTCGGCATATATAAGTTAATCTATAATTGTGCTGGACATGTTCTGACTTGTTACGATATGCCGAGAGTAAATGGGATTTGCAACTGTTAGGAATTATTGATCGGATTGCATTTCACATTTCTTGCCTTTGTTCCCTTGTTGACTGAATTGCTTGATTCCAGGAATAAATGGAAGATAATCCTCAAGTAGATGATATATCGACCGAGGTTGCTTCTGAAAATGCATCTAAGCAGAAGCAAGAAACCCTTGAAGAGATGCTTTCTAGACACCGGTATCAAATCTGTCTAATTCTCCATTGCACTTTTTATATGCTTTTCCTTACTCCAAACACGCACGGACGTAATTTTCATTATACAGCTTATACCCATCTTAATCGGCCTGTTGTCTTGCTTACGTCACATAATTATGGCATACCAAAGTAGTTTCTTCATGATATAATCTTGATCTGTATCTTGTTTGATCATTCAGTTGTAATATTTCCACTAGAATTCCTACTCCTGTCCACGAAATTTGTCTGTTTTCCTTTTTAGTTTGTCCGCAAGAAAATATACATTTTCTATGTGTAGTAAGTAACTTATATCCTTGAATATTATACTTGTTTACAAATATATCACAACTACTTATCAATTTGTTCTCTCACCTCATTAGATTACTTACATACTAACTAAAATATCCCTATTTTATATCATAATCAACTAATATAATATTATATCCATTACCTATTGATTTGATTGTAAAATCTTCTAACATTTTAAAGATGCGGCACATGCTGCATTGAAACATAAATAGATGACATTCACAATTTTAGATAGACGATAACCTTTGTTTATCTATATTGTAGGAAGGAGACCAACGATTTGCAGAACAAGGAAATGGCTATGAAAAAGGCAGCTGCTAAAGGAAGCAAGGCCGAGCAGAAGGCTAAAAAGAAGCAAGTTGAAGAAGAGATAACCCGACTTTCAGCAAAACTTAAAGAAAAGCAAGCCGAGGAACTGGCTTCGATGGGTTACGCTGGAACTGCCAATAAAGAGAAAGGAAGTCTCGATAATCTGGTGAAAGCCATTGCCGGCGTTTCAGTCACAAACAATACAGAGCAGCCGAAACCTAGTAAGGGCGTGAAAAGGCGCGAGAAACGAGCCCAACAGGAAGCAGCCAGGGAGCAAAGAATACAAGAAGAGCAGAGCCAGATTGTAAGCAATCGATCAATAGAAGATCAAAAGTTGGAACAAAAACTCAAGCCTCTCGGATACACTATCAACGAGATCAAGCCAGACGGACACTGTCTATATCGAGCTGTGGAGGATCAGTTGGCCCTACACTCGGGAGGCTCTTCTCCATACAGTTACCAAGAGCTTCGGCAAATGGTCGCTGCTTACATGCGGAAAAACACAACAGATTTTCTACCCTTCTTCCTATCTGAGAATGTGGTCGACGAACAATCAGAGGCCACTCTTGCCGAAAGGTTTGAAAACTACTGCAGGGAAATCGAGTCGACAGCAGCGTGGGGCGGACAGCTGGAACTCGGTGCCCTAACCCATTGTCTGAAGAAACACATCATGGTATTCTCGGGATCCTTCCCCGACGTAGAGATGGGAAAAGAATACAAATCTGGCGATGCACAGTTATCATTATCAAGCATCACACTGTCGTATCACCGGCACGCTTTTGGGCTCGGCGAGCACTATAATTCTGTCATCCCGGTCAAGTTCAATAGCGAATAGGGAAGAGGTATTTGTTCCTATGATCCTTAAAACCAATTTTGAGAGGATAATCTGGTTGCCATTCTGATTCCATGACTAAAAAGTTGGGATTTTTTAAAGTTGTCAATGATCAGGTAACCTCAGTTGAAACTATTTCAATATTTGAAAGGTACACAGTAAAGTTATCCAACATATTTTTGAAGCCTTTAGTATTATTAATCTGCTAACTTGAGATTTCTGACCTCTTCCTTGTACCCTGCCTTGCTAACCATTAGGTTTTGGTTATTTCGGGGGCTCGGCGTCACCCGCCATGTTTTCGATTTCTTTCTTTTTGCCATTTTGGTGTTTTCTTGAATCCGACTGGTCCATCGGAGGCGGGCGTGACCATATCTGTTCGAAAGCGCAGCTAAGGTTGAGGTTTCGGGGGTTTTTATAGCCTCAGTCTCATTCGCCTGATGAGATGACTACGAAAACGTCATCGATGGACCATTTACGTCGGGTTGATTTGCCGACAGGGTTGATCACGGCGCACTCCGCCGTTGCCAGCCGGTATCCAATCACTATTTCCTGCCGCTGCCTTCCCCTCACCATGATTTCGTAAAAACAGAGTTCTTCCTGGTCGTAAAGGTAGAACTCGGCCGGTTTTATGCACATTTCATTTCCCTGCGCGAATCGCAAACCTCTTTGCTAAGGAAAGGAGAAGATCAGAATGTCGAAGACTAGAATGGATACAAAAGATACCTCTTCGGCGAAAAGTTCTTCCAAAACACGGTTGATTTGCTTGTCTTCTGCCACCATGGCTAGCGCCATGCTTACGAGTTCGTTCGACAGGACGTAGTCGCTGATCCTTGTCACGGAGACGAGGTTTCGGGTTCTGGAATCTAAGATCTCGCTGATGATTATCGACTTGTTCGAAGCTTGCTGCATTTCCTGAATCCACGAGCTTTGAGAGAATCCCGAGTGCCTTAAAGGGACGGATTTCGTGTCTTTGTAAGGGAGTCGCTTCGACTGCATCAGCAAGGGTGCCGAAATCTTAAATCCTCTCTACACATGGAACTAAAATTGCGACTGAAATCGACTAAGCGAACCTGTATATCCCTGATGAGGAGGAGAGTGGCGAGCGACCGGGAATCAGAGTGCACGATGGAGTCTTCGACGGATTCATCTGCAAGAATTAAGATCTGTTCTCTTAGAGTTAGTATCGATCACAGAAACACGATCAAGATATAAGCGAACAATCGAGTTTTCAGCATATAGGATAGTGATTTCGATTCATTGATATTATCGAGAGAAGCATCGCAAGCTTACGGAATCAAATGTCTCCAACGGGAGATTCTCCAAGTGGCGTCGAATGACTGCATTCCCTTCGCGATGAACTAGTTTTAGGTTTACTAATCCGGATATGTCGAGACCTCCGTCTGTCAGCTTTGTCTCTCGATCCTTTTCAGGAACCTCGTTGAACATCCATAATTCCGACCCCGGAGCCAAAAAAGCTTCTAATACCTGGAAAGAAAGGAAACAACGAACATCGTTTAGACAAACAAACTAATTACCTAAAGAGGTAACAAAATCGATATGTATCCGAGCGCAAGAAATCACCATGATCATATCATCAATGTCGCGGCGCCACCCACAAAAAAGTATCTTTTCAGGGAACTTTGGAGGATCTGTAATTCTTGGGGATAGGCCTCGTCGTATCTGCGAATAACATAGTAAAGCAACGACGTTGACAACAACCGTGACGAGCTTCGACAATTCAAGCAACTTATAAGAAAAGCCTAGAAGACAACCTTCGGTAGGGGACTCGGGGCATATGTATCGTCATCCTCAGCTATGACAAGAATTTCATCGCCTTCCCGGAGGATATATTTATCGTCCGGATTCATCTTAATCTTCCCACCATCTGCAGCAACTTTGACACCGCAAGGAATTGCGTCTGGAAAAGAAATAAGGACATCTTCGAAGCAAAGGCCATCCAGCTCGGGCCATCGTTTGATATAAAACTCCGCATTTTCGAACCCTAAAATGTCTTCCCATATCTGCAGAAACATGAAAATGTTATAAGTCGATTATCCTTGAGAGAAGGAGATCGAAAACCAAAGATCGACTTAGCTGACCTGGGCTAGCCCCGGCTGCAGGGCGCATTGTATCATCAACCGACCGATCACATCATGCGCCACGACGGTTTCTATAAGCTCCCCTCCGACGAGCTTCACCAAGGGCTCATTGTCCAGATCGCTCATTTCCACCACGACATGGCCCCGGAGGCCCTCCTTCACTCCTGTTAAACTAAGCACGACTCTGAGTGCTCGTGCGTCGCTCTGGTAAGAAATAATCGATAGTCAGAATACAGTCACGTTACAGGTCAATCATTATACGATATCTTAGAATGAAAATTTTAAGACCTGATCGGCGTTCTCGTCAGATGCTAATACAATTATCGCCCTTGCTTTTGATACGGAGACCTACAATTATTGCTCGAAGGATGGAAGATATTACCACAAATACGATTCTAGCAGAAGAAAGTGTAGGAGCTCTAAATGTACGCTAAGGTACCTTTTTCAAGTCGGCGAGTATAAGAGGGCTACCACTTCTGCAGATCACCGATGTTCCCATTAAGTCGAATTCGAGCTTACCGATGTCCATTTCCATTTCCTCCTTGTCTCGTTCAGCGAGTACAACGATAACGCCACCACCGATGCTCATGTTTGCTATAGCTAGCTGCTTCAAAAGCGAGCCCTGAAATAAAGGAATCATTTCTCAGCCATAATGTCGAAAAACACCTCTCGACAGTAGTTTCTATAATTGTATATAGATTATACATATACAGAAATCGACGGTATCAAACAAACGTTCTTGCTACAGCAAAACAATTGCTCCCCATTTGATGCTTTCGACTTTCCAAGAACTTAATGGCAACCTAATCCAAGAACGTAAACAGGCAATACCAAGAATGACTTGTGTTCGAAATCCCGTCATCATCTATACATGGAAAATTTGTTTCACATGTTAATGTCGACAAACGCATACTATAAACGACGCATTGCAGGAGTTTATATGAATAAATACAGAATGATATACCTATGTGTATCAGTTTAAACCTTTAGATTTTCTGTACAAAACATCACATCTAACGACTGTTCCATCTAAGAACACAAATAACAAAACCAAAGCCAAACGCAAAGTAAACACCCCCTAAGTTTCATAAAAGTGTTCCGCGAGAATTACCAGTTTGTCGCTCCATCCGAGAATGAGAATATGATTACTCTCAATGACCTCACTTTTGCCCTTACGCAACGAATCCACCTTCTCCGAAATAGCGTCCGAAACAAGCCCAAGCATCATGGCGAATATAAGCATTCCCCCGGAACTTATAGAAACCGAAACTATCCTTGGCCCAGTACCCACCATAACGGCATGGTTCCCAGAGTCGGCCACAAAGGACCAAGAAAGCCAAAGAGCTTCGGCAAAGCTGCCATCGCTTACAGCATACAATGCCAAGCCTCCAAATCCGATAAGAAACAGTGTAGCAAAGAGAAGCGCGAGCAGCTTCGCGTAAGGATAGACCGAGAAACACACATCCACCATATATGCGATTCTTTTCTTCAAGGGAACCTCCTCTTTGCAATCCTTCGTCCGCTTTGAAAAGTTCTTGATCCGTGGCAGATGATCGAGGTACTTGTACAACACAAATGGAGTTGCAAGGGTGACGAGCACCGTGTACAGAGCTATTGTTCTAGGGTCAGCATTCCTCGACTGCAAAAATGAACTCCCTTCTTGGAGTGTCGGGGCTTCGACATTGTTGCTACTGATAGTGTTCTTGACACTACAAAACCTACGAAGGTTGGCGACTTCTTCCTGCAAGAAGATCATCAGCTTTTGTAACCAGAGCTTACGGTAACCATACGAATGGAGACGACCTACATGTATACCTTATACGTTGCAATTTCGTTCCTCAAGAGAATTGCATAAGAAATAGAAATTAAGCAAACAAATATGACCTGCAAGAAACAGAATTAAGCAAACAAATATGAGCTGCAAGAACAACCAAAGAGGTAAAAACATGATCCCAAAACTGACAGATGTGCAACAAAAATGCTCAACAGAAAACATCTATACAGTAAAGCTCAGAAGCTTAGGACTCCATTAATGGCGTAATTAAATTCCTTGTCATTCAAGGTTTTTGGTGTTGATGGAGATCAAATTTCATTTCATTTCATTATTGACTGACTTTTATATGGGAAAGGATGCGAATAATGTGCTCACCAAATTAACCTTCAATGGACTGCCTAAGGAGGAGCAGTTACTCTGACTTCTGCAGAAATTGGTAGATTCGCGAGGCGGCGGAGGCCGCAGCGGCGACGCCACGAGCCCCGGCGAGGAGGAAGCCGACGCCTGAAGCGATAACGCCTTCAAGTCTTTGTCCGCCCTCAGCTTTGTCTTATTGATAGCTCCCCGCGGCGAATCCACCCCCGAACCACCGCCGTCGCCGCCTCCTCTTCCTCTCTCGCCGCCGCTGCTAAAACTAGACGGCATCGACGTGCTGCGCGCGGTTAATTGAGGAATCGATTGTTGATTCTGCCGCTGCGATTTGGACGGAGAAGACTTGACGCTAACATTGCGTCGAGTAGAATAGGGCCCTAGATTGGAAGGGAAAACATAGTCTCGATCCGAGAAATCGAAGCTGAACGCGTCGCCGCCGGGGGAGTTTTCGCCGGAGGAAGACGCCGCCGTGGCGGAGCTAAACGACGGAGACGGAGATACGCGGCGTACCGCCGGGAAAAGCGGCCCTGGGAAGTGTGGAGTTTGGGGATCATCGGAAGTTTTTGACTTCTTCGTCACCGGCGGCCTCTCCGCCTTCCCCGAGTGGCTCCGGCCAGGGCTTGAGTGACCGTCGCCGCCTTCCATGAGACTGCCGGCGTCTCGTCGGAGCTCTGATTGTCTCTGCAGATAAAACTAAACAGACGACAGCAACATAGACAGCACTTCCCAATTAATTTTGACCATTTCAATTTTGACTTTCACCCATTAAAATTTATTTGTATGATACTTTTTTATTTTTTATTTTTATTTTTCACTCTGCAGCTTATTACGGCAGTAAATAAAAATGAAAGAAAAATGTTATTTTATGATAAAGAAGATCCTTAGATCTGCCCAAAAAAAAATAATAATAAACATTTTTTATTAAAAATAATCTGGTATGGAGTGATTTATTGAGAATTACGGGAAAGCAAGATTTGATTCCTAAAATTAGTAAAAAAGAAAAGAAATTTGTTTGTTAGCGGAAGAGAATATACCTTTCAAAAAGTAGAAAACGATTAAATAAACTTAAAAGGATTTGTTTAGTTTTTGAATAAATACACTTTCTTCATTTTCATTGATTCATTTTAATCCGTCTCGTAACAAAGTGTTATTTTAATTATTTCTATTTTATTTCTATTATATTCTAATATAATATTAATATTTTAAAAACTAAAATTGAATTAACGATAGTATAAAATATATTCCTTCAGTCCAAAAAAAAAATAAGTTTATATAAGTTAAATAAAGTTTTAGTGAATATAGTAATTATTATATTTGTTGATTGTATAAAATAAAAATATTTTAAAAAGTATATGAATGAATTAATGAGATAAGAGAAAATTTTTGATAGACTATGTTGAATAATCGATTAATTATATACTTTGTTATTAGATAAGTTGAAATGTATATTAATTATATAATAAACTATAGGCATGCACCGCTTAGGCGCTTGCCGGTACCAAATAATAAGATCATGTGTTGAGGTTTTGGCTTGATAAATGTTAGATTTCAGGAAATCTATTATAGTCCGAAGTTGAATCCAAATAATAAAATATTTTATTATTTGTGAACCTTAAGCCCAAGAGAAAAAAAAAAAAAAAAAAAAAATAGTTGAACCAAAATATGAGTAAAAATATATTTTTTCCATCTCTACCCCCGAGTCTCATTTATTTTTGTATATTATTTTGAATATTATTTATTATATCAAAATATAGAATAAATTAAAAAAAAATTGCAAAATACTTCATTAGTGTCTTATAATAATAATAATAATAATAATAATATAATGACATTTATACAAATATAAACATATTTTTAATATTAAGTACAATGACACAAAAAATAAATAGAACTTGGAGCCGAACAAAAAAAGTATTTAATTATTATTTTGTATTTGAAAATTATAAATATCTAATTTTCATTTATATTTTAGTATTTTGAAAGCAAAACATATACATGGAATTGCTTGCACGTCTTCAATAGAAGAATTCTACTAATACATGTATAAGTATGTGTTATAGTCTGTAAGCCAATTAATAAGAAAAAAAAGCCAATTAATTAATTCATATTATTATTATTATTATTATTATATTTGAGTAAACTTTTGTTTAAGCTAATAGCTTATAAATTAAATCCAGCAAAACAAATTCAGGCGAACCATGTGGATTAGTTATCGACCAATACACAAACATATATATATATATATATAACCACATTGTTAACATGTTGATTATGATTGATTAGCATATACAACTACTTTTCAATAGATCGAATTAAGTCAATATGTGCTCTATTAATTATTATAATGTATTATCAGTTTATACCAGGCATTTATATTGTATTAATATACATTTTTCATTGAAATAAATTATGTATATAAACTATTACCACATGCAATTACTCTCTACTCTACATTAAATCTCATTGAGATTTGATTTCAAATTCAAGTTTCATCTGTATTTGTTACTTCCTCCGTCCCACATACCGTGTCTGCTACACTGTAGACACGGTATTTTAGGAGGGGTGTAATTAGTAGATAATTAAAAATGTATTAGTAAAAATAATTATCCGATAATATAAATAATTATAAATTAAGATTAAGATAACTAATTAGTTTAATTAAAATTAAAAAGTTTAAAATGAAATTAAAGTGTGTAATCATTTAAAAAAAAATAAAAAAAAATGACATGGTACGTGGGACGGACAGAAACAGCAACGTAGACATGGTACGTGGGACAGAGGGAGTATATATTAACATATATTTTGTACTAAATAGAATAAGACATAGTATTTACTAACAACAAAACATTGCTACAATTTATGTATGTGCAAATGAACAAGATCAAAGCAAGCCATCTATTTACTCAAAGGGTACCCAATTCCATGCCTTGTGCTGGGAAAAACTACGAACAGCAGGCTGCAGACGACTCCGATCCCAACAGGGACAGCATCGAGCACCTCCCGGGCCTCGTCCCCCGGCGCCGGGTAAAAGCAACTCACCACATTCTTGTCCCGCAACGCCACAGCACCGAACACCAGCACCGACAGGACCGCATGCACCACGTCGACAAACTTCAGCCTGTACTTCCCGAGGTCATCGGGTGCCAACGATGCGTCTTCGTTATAGTCGAATAGCCACAGGCCTTTGGGCGTGGCGAGGCCGTAGTAGAGGCGGCCGTCGGAGACCCTGACGCTGTCGGTGAAGGAGGCAAGGAAGCACGAGAGGGAGAGAACGAGGAGGAGGGAGAAGCTCAGGGGCCGTGTCGCGGCGTCGCACGACCCGTTGTTGGTGAAGATCGGAGTGAGGAGTTGGAAGGCCAGGAGCGTGCCGGTCGGGAGGAGGTTCGCCAGGTGGGCCGTGCTCTCTAAGGCTTGAGAGAGAGCTGTTCTTTCCGGCGGCAGTCGCAGTGGTGCCGGCGGCGGATCGACGGCGGAGGGTTGTGGTGGCGGTGGTTGGGGCCTTTGCCTTAGAGACATGGTTGAGGATATATTGGATGGTATAAACTTGGATTTAGAAAAATATACATGATTTGTGTTTTTATATACATGTATTTTATATGTTGCTTGGCTTATTGGGTTTTTAGTTCAAGAAGAGGACGTCTTCTCTTCTCACTTGCGAGTTGTCATAATAATAATAATAATTAGCACAATGCTAATTAATTAATAATAATAATAATGTAGTGTTTAATTAGTGGAAGCCATGGAGTTGGTGTGTATTTTCTGATATGTTTGAAAATATTTAAAATGATGATTAGAAGAATAAGGCAGCAACTAAAAATGGCCTACGCAATACCATGTGGTACAAGATAATTTTAATTAACTTGGTCAATTACCAAGGCATTTTCATGGACTTTATTCGAATAAACATTTATTTATGTCATATTACATAGACAGACAGAATATAATCAATCACTTAACTAATACCCAGGTTTATCCACATTCAAAAATAAAATTTCTTTCCTTACAAGAAAAATATAATATCATTTAATTGCAGCAACACTCAATCCAGAACCAGAATACAAGCCATTTTATCATTTAAAAACAAGTAATCCTTTTTCCATGTCTGGCTGGGCCGCAATCAAAAAGGAAATCAAAACAGACTTAAGCCAAAAAAATAAAAATAATTCTAAATGAATACCCCACAAAAACACTTTGAAATTATAAAAACTAAGCAAATCAATACTAGTAGTAATTAATTAATACACAGGTTATACAAATAATATATGAAGCATTTTCATGGAAAGCTAGAGTAAAGAATACAACATGGGAGGGAGAAGTGCAATAGAAGGAGAGACTAACCTGGTTTGATTTGGTTTCTACACACAATTAATTAGGTTCTTCTTAAGTCCACCTGACTCACTGCCACAAGTTGCTCATCACATTTGAGTAGTTATTGAACTGCAGGGACACAAAAACACTTGCACACTTCAAGAACAACACAAACATCGTCGTCATCATCATATATAAGGGTTCAGATAGAAACAACTGCAAGAAAATTGCCTGCCCAAAAATGCCTCTTCGGTAGATTTAATTAAAATCTGAGTTGTGAGTTCAATTCATGCCTAGTGTCTTAAAGATTATGTAATATGTATGGCTCAGGAAGTGATATTTGCAACGTAAATTCTCAGTTACGCTATAAATTCACTACCAACAGAGGGGGAGGATATGAAGGAAGCATAAGCAGGAGCAGTGTGTACCGCTTCCACAATCTCTTCGCATTTACGGCCCAAGTCGTGCATTTTGGCACCTGCCTCCTCCTCAACAAGTTTTGTCTGTGTGGTTATAGCATCAGCCTGGAAGATGTCTCGTGTAAATTTAGTGAACAACACTATAATTAATTTTAAAATAAATAAATAAAAACCATAACATTAACCAGCGAAATAATTAAAGTTAAATTACTACCTCTGCAACTACAGATTCGACCATTCTATGCCTCTGTTCTAAGGCATGTCTCTTCGATTCCACTTCTGATTTTACATTATTCAACTCTTTGGTTGCCTCCTCATCGCTGAGAATTTTCTCCTTTTCCTGCTGCCTTATGAGCTCTTTTAAATGATCCACTGAAAATGATTAAACTTACTAGTAAGAGGAAAATAACGAAAATTCTCACTCCATGCAGCATAAATTGTTGGTAGGTTTACTTTATAGGATTATATAATAATCATGTTCTAAATAATATTATATTAATATAAATATATAATCCTATGACGAAAACAAGTATTATGCCTACATTTCGATTGCAGTTCCAGAAGTTTTGCTTCATGTGATTTGAGTAAAACTCCTTCATCACTGAGCTGGCTTTTGAGGACCTTCACATCTTTATCTACGGACTTTGCAGAATTTATCTGTTGGCAACAAAATTTAGCATAGAAGGGTCCAACAAACATATATAATATGGTTTTTAGGGAATATATATATATATATATATTGGACATGGAATGAGCAATACACACACATATATGGATATGACTAAGAATGGTGGGTCATCGTCAAACCTTATTGCATATAATTCTGCCCATGTCGTTTAGCACCAAATAGCAAATTTCATATAACATTAGTACAAGTGCTTGCATTTATGACATGGAATCATAGAAACAATTTAACACACACATGAGCGCACACGCACAAAATCATTGGGGTGATTACAAACAGATAGGGTAGTAATATTAAAGTACGGAAAAATGAAAATGCTATATTATCATGCACACAATGTAAAGAACAAGATTGCTAGTTTCAGTTTTTGAATTAGTTCCTTCACATAGTTGAATAGAATTCTTGCTGTGTAGGAACTGCATCTATTTATGGATTCAAATTGTTGATGGCATATCTTTCAATAAATGAAGGATATAAGTTGTCGTCAATTCCTAGTTGTGTTCAAATTTATGGTTAGTTTTAGTTTAGTTTTGAGTAAGCAAAATGATCTTATGTTTATAGCAGGTAACTTACATGATATAACTGCAAGTGGGATGCATGATACAAGATATCAAAGTGTATTTATTCTGCATATACAAACCTGCTCTTGCAGAGCTTGCATCTGAGAAAACTGCATGGACAATTTTTTGCAGACCTGAGAGGAAGAAAGAAAAATCTTCAAGATTCACGAGATTTTGAAGAAGCCAATAATAAGTGTATTGATGTGCTCAAAACATTGTCTTAAAATATAGATGTTGGAGTAAATTTCAAATGAAAAAAATCTACCAAGGTGATAGATTTAAATATTTCACACCAGAAGTATTGCAATCACCTTAGCATAGGTTTCAAGTGTTGCAGTTTTATCCTGGAAGGCTTGAACTGCCATTCTTTCTGCATTTTTTGTCTCAATCTGGGCCAACTTTTTCTCCTCTAAAGCTCTCTGTAAGTTTTGAGGAAGAAACAAAAATTAATTAAAAGAACAAATGAATGCAAAAAGTTGTAAAAGCAATAGACCAGAATATTTTACTTGCAAACTAGTTGTGCTCAATCTATATGAAAGTACACTCGAAAATCTGTCATGAACATCCAACAGCTGCTTCCATAACTTGGAAAGTTTCCACTCAAATATAGAGAAAATTTGAACTAAAAACTACCTGAAGTTTGTCTGGCGACTGGACAATTTTAGAACGCAAATTTGCATTCTCTTGAACACTTTGAACTAAAGCAAATTCTGCTTCAGATATCTGGCAAAACAAGCACAAGGAATCATTGAGGGATAGAGATGCAAAAACCCAAATCGGCATTTGATGGGGTCAGATCAATGAAAAACTTTATTTGAACTTAACAATGAAAATTGAATGGACGATACATATAAAAGAACCATCATTAATATCAAATTTAGAAGTCTTCACATAGATAGTAAGCCAGCAATCAAACCTTGTCATCCATTTCTTTGGATTTTTCCTTGAGTTGTTTAATTTCTGTTTTCAAGGTCATTTGATGCTTATTAAGGTCTGTAACAGTCTGACGCAGTTCCTTAATTTGAGAAGTTACTTCTTGAACTAGTGGCAACTCCTTTTCCCTCATCTCTTCACACTCTGCAATCTCTGCATTCAACTGAGATATTAAAAATTCAAGAAATAGTTAATTACATACATCAACCAACTTCTCACAAAAGTATCAACATGGCCAGTAAGTGCACAGTGGTACCTGCGACATTCTTGCTTCAGCAGCTTGTCGTCGCTCCTCTAATCGTTCCAGATCATCATTAAAAGGCTTCAACATATTTAATTTCGTGTGTCTATTCATACAATAAATGAAATTATTAACAATAGCCAACTCCATTCTATTTATTATCGCCAACAATAATCAGCACTTGAAAAAGCAGATAAGGAAGGGTCAGAAAACATAAGAACGCCACCTGTGGAGGAGGAAATTGAGAATAGCACTTAGAAACAACTGCGTGCGTTCAGGCTCCGGGTTAATCAAATCTTTAGGAGTAAAGGCTTGGGGACAATCGACGGCGGCGACAAGTTTCTGGATCTTGTTATACAAATTCATAACCTGTACCGAATGTACGTGGTAATCTGGGTTTTCAAGCTGCTCCAGCGCCCCAAATTCCATCTGCTCCTCGTCTTCCCTGTATATCATCGAGCTCAAATTGAAGGTGAATTCCAAATATTCCGAACGCACATACACATACACCTTTACGAAGAGAGGGGTTAGGGTTAGTGATTACTGACTGGAGAGTGTCCGTGTGAACGAAGATCCGCGTATAAAGATTGCATACGAAATCTGGATCAGGGTGGAGGAGCTCAGCCTCCGATACAGTAGCGATCTGGTAGTCCGCCAGCACCTCAATTATATCCTTCCGCGAAAGCTTCGGATATCCGAATTTCGACATTTTCTGCGCTTTGCTTCAAATGGAAATAATTATCTGCCAGGATAGTACTTGTTTCTCGTTCAGTGACTACGCAAAGGCTACAGCGGCGTCGGAGATGGTGGCGTTGGTCCGACGAGAGAGAAGTGATTCCGCCGCGCCGGGAGGGAAGCAGAACATTCAAAAAAAATTCAAATACCGTTCCTCGTGTTTTTAAAAATCAATAGCAGTAGTACGTCATGTAGTGAGGATCATATTGGGCCGGCCCAAGAACCCGGTTCATTGATACAGCCCAATATTCAGGTCCATCATACGGCCCACCAACAATGAAGCATGAGCCCATTTATGAAAATTTTGTACTCCATCAGAATAAAATAATTCACTCTAAATACTCCTCCATTTAAAATTAATCTATTCATTGTGTAATTTTTTAATTCCGAAATTAATCTAAAAAATCTGAATAAGTTTAATTATTCATACATCTTGACATCTTGTATTGTGTCCGGAGGTTATTCATTACTGTCTCTGCTGCTGTAGCTAAAGATGAGCGGTCACTACCCGGACCCGATTGACCCGACCCGAACCCGCATAGGATGGATCGGCATCGGCGTGATGGGCGGCGCCATGGCAGCCCGGCTCATCTCCGCCGGCTTCTCCGTATGCATTTACGCCCGAACTCCTTCAAAAGCCGCTCACCTCATTTCCCTCGGCGCCAGCCTCGCCGCCTCCCCAGCCGATCTGGCCGCCTCGAGCGACGTCGTTTTCACGATGATCGGCCACCCATCGGACGTCCGAGCCGTCGTGCTCCACACGCTCCTCCCCTCTCTAAACCCTAACACAGTTCTAATCGACCACACCAGCAGCCACCCAGCCCTAGCCAGACTAATCCACGATTCCGCCGCGGAGAGACGCTGCCACTCCGTCGACGCCCCCGTCTCCGGCGGAGACGTCGGAGCTAGGGAAGGGAGGCTGGCGATTTTCGCCGGCGGGGAGGGTCCGGTGGTGCGGTGGCTGAAACCGTTGTTGGATGTGTTGGGGAGGGTGAGTTACATGGGGAGTGCTGGGAAGGGGCAGAGTTGCAAAATAGCTAATCAGATCAGTGTAGGGGGGAATTTGGTGGGGCTGAGTGAGGGGTTGGTGTTTGCAGGGAAGGCTGGATTGGAGAAGAGGAAGTTCTTGGAGGCGGTGAGGGGCGGCGCCGCCGGATCGGCGGCGATGGAATTGTTTGGGGAGAGGATGATCGGTAGGGATTTCAGGGCCGGGGGTTTTGCAGAGTATATGGTGAAGGATTTAGGGATGGGATTGGGAGGGGTGGTGTTGCCCGGAGCTGCATTGTGGAAGGAGATGTTTGCGGCCATGGTGGCAAATGGGGATGGGAAGCTCGGGACGCAGGGAGTGGTAAAGGTGATCGAGAGGATCAATGGGTTGGAGCTTGAAGGTTAAGTTATCTAACAGGGTGCAAACTAGGTGGACAAAACAAGTCATACTTAGCAAAGTGCGAACCATGGCCTAGTCCCGTTCCTTACGGATATAGTGAGTTGGGTGTTTTTTTTCTGTGATGTGGTTCTATTTTGAGTTTGTTGGTTGGCTATGTCATGGATGGATTTGATCTTCAATGAGTTTGATTTCATTTTCAGAGCTTGGGTATGATAATGTTGCAGTTTTGGCAAGTTTTTTTTCTCCCCGTGCCCGTGCCCAATTTTCTTTTTTGATAGTTTACATTAATAATAAAAGAATGCAGCTGTGCATCATACATAGACAGAAATAGTAAAAGAACATACAAGAAAGTATCAGCTCCATTAAGAGCAGTCTCACCGACAGCATTTTAAATGCCTTATGTGTAAAAGCATTTAATTAAAATGGCAACTGTGTCAGTGTGCTCTAATCATGCTGGTAATATAAATTTTATCTACCAATAAAAAATCAATAATTTAAAATAAAATATTAAAATAATTTGTTTGTTTCTATTTTTATGTCTCCATCTCACTTTACCAAAAGCCATGGATGGTCAGGTCAGCTATGTCAATCTTCGCTATCTGAGCTCCCAGCATCACTGCTATAATCGCTACTATCATCCTCAATGTCAAGCTGCACATGCCGTACCTGTATGGGCTCCGGCGGCGCCGCCTTTGCCACCGGCCTCAACTTCGGCTCCTCGGCCCTCGCCGGACCAGCAGCAAGAGAATCCACCGGGGGCAATGTAATCAGGTCGCCCGGCTTCCACCCCGGCGGAGGAAGGATCGGCAAGTAGCTGGGTAATTCCACAGGCATTCCGGGCTTCCATCCCGACGGCACCACGATGTTCGACGGAAGCAGACCTTGCATGCTCGCTGCAGGATTGCGCTGCTCAGCTGTGGGTACCGCAGCCGCAGCTTCGATCAACGGCTCGACTATCGTCTCTCGGGCCTTGTCGGTTTTGGGCAGACCGACGTCGAGATCGGCGAACGCGTACAGCTGCGACGCACGCATCTGCTCATCTTGCGGGGCTGGAGGGAGAGCCCCGCGGAGAGGAGCCTGTCCCGTGCCGAATTCGGGAGGCGCAAACGTGGTGTAACTTATCTTGTGGGCGTACGCCAATATGTCCGACAGATTCAGCCGTGTCGCAACGGTGGTGCTGGAAGAGTTCCCAACATCCTCTTCGGAGGCTGACTTGGCCCGTTTGGTTCGGCGATAATCAGAATAGTCGTCGACAAGGATGTCGAGGACATTCTCGGCCTCTCTGAGCTTATTCGCGAACACGAGGAGGGCAGAATCTTTGGACTGGATTTCCCTGGCGAGCTTCTCTTTAGCGTCTTGGAGATCGAGTACCTCCTGGAGCTCGGCAACAGCTTCGAAGAGCTGGGTCTGGAGATTTGTGAACAAGGCAAGGATTTCTTTGCTGGACGACGGAGAAACGTCCCGCTGTGGCAGAGAGGTCGACGGAGTTTGGGAGGGCAGGAAAGTCGGGAGGGAGCCACGGAAGGCGGAGATCCAGTGGGAACGGTTCGGGGAGATTTCACAGATTTTGGAGGCGAGAGACGCCATTTGGAGGAGGAGGGACTGGGCTCTTGGGAGAGGGGGGAGGAGAGGAAGGAGGGTCGAAGAAACGGAGGGTGTAGACAAGTTATTCGAGGCTGTCTGGGCGGGTGGGTGGGTTTGTGTGTTTTGGGAGGAGAATTTAGAGGGTGTCGAGGTTTGGAGGGACGGGGAGTTGGGGTTCGGAAGACCGAGTCTTGCCGGAGATTGCACCATTTGGTGAGGGATGTTTTGCAGCATTTTCGAGTACTCGGAAACACCAAAAGAGTTCCTGTGGCAATGGTTAGAACACTTAGATTATATTTCGTGACATGAAAATTTTATGCAATGAAGGATGAATGTGTGTACAATGACTTATTGCATGCTTCAAATTTCAGATTTAAAGAATAAATACATGCGAGACATATGAGGAAAAAATTTTATCACTATTTTCTATAAAAATATATAATGTTTTTCTTGTATAACATAACACGAAATCTTCATCTTATTCTTAGCTGATTAATTTTCAATTACCATTTCCAAGGCTAAGGCTTGAGGAAGTTCTGTTTGCTAAGCTAAGGCTGGAGCTCGGTTCTTCAGCTAGAAAATTATTCAAATACTAAGGGTTTGTGTCTTTTGCCATAAATACCGGGTTTCTACTATTTGGAATCTGCATTTTTCGAAAAAAATACATTTTTTTCATCTCACAAAACATCATATCATACATTATTTTAATATCAAACACAAACCAAAATTTTCCCCAACCTATCAAAAGAAACATATTCGAAGACTCTTGTTCACATACATACTTTGAAAGTTTTTTACTATTCGGAAAATAATTGTTTTTTATTTAAAATATTACATTAACTACGGCATTGGTTACTCCTTATCTTACGAGCACAATTCAACAATGTATAGCATAAGCATGTCTTATGATCACGATACAACTATAACAAGTTTTGGACTGCTAAACTTGATTTTAACAACAAAAAAATCAAAGAAACCGAAGAGAAAAACAAGTAAATCAAATATATTCATTCAAAATGGAAGAAAATTTTGAGTTGACAAAGTAATAAAGAGCCTCAGGCCCCTATATCACCCAAATGCAAACAAATCGAACACAAAACCACAAGAACCAACCCAAAAACGCAACCTAACACACTCAGCAGCCACTATCCCCTCACAAGAATCAATTTTCCATTATAACTTACACCATGCATTAATATAATGATTCGACTATAGTCATGCCTTTGAAAATGATTCAACTAACTACGGCAATATAGTTACAGCATGTCTTACGATCATGATTCACTGATTTGACTACGGAAATAGGGCATGCATTTGAAGAGAGCATATTGTGTTCAATTCATGGGAAATCAAGCATAAGCAAATGACTATAACCTAATTAACATGAATGTGGATATCACATAACCTTAGGTTCATTGTAACATTATGAGTGAATGAAGAATGGTTTGAGGTAATTCTCTCAAGATAACACAAATGTGTCTGCACAGTAGTATACTAAAATGGATCCATCTCATGATCAACCACTCGGATACTACAAAATTTTCAACTATGCTCAAGGCTAATCGACCACTCAAATATCCAGAGAAGCACACTTCCAGCAGATCCAAAACTATTTATACGGAAAATGGAATAAACATATGATGTGTGTGTGTGTGTGTGTGTGTGTGTGTGTATAAGGAACGAAATCAAAACAAGAAGAACCACCTGATAACAAATTATTCCGGAATGAATCCAGCAGCTGAAGGGGAACAAAGCACGAAGGGCGTCGATCTGTCTAAACGCTCTGACCATATTTCACAGCCATCTTACTTCGATTCACGCCACTGTAAAGCATAAATTACCGTCCAAGATGAAAAGATTCAACAATCAAATTTTTTTGGCAATATAACCATCAAGCAGATCTATCGAGTCAAAATGAGGGAAAAGCGATCGACCAAAAGATTCATAATAACTAAAATAAAACTCACCAGTACCTCGTACATTCTTCCAATCGCCCAGAAGAGCCTCAGAAACGTAAATCTTCAACTGGGACGAAATGGAGAGAGCGGAACGGAATCCCCTCAATCTTCAGTTTGATTTTTCGGTGAAGAGGGAGTGAATGGTAGGAACGCTCTTCTATTTGGGCTTTGGAATGAGTTTTTTTACGGCCCAAATAGGCCCATCCAGGCCCATAAAACATGCTTAAATGTGAGTTGAAAAATAGCCATAAATTTTGGATTAGTTTGAAGATTTAATTTTTTTATTTAAAAAAAAAAATTAATTAATGTGATACTTTTTAGGACAAAAGATTATTTCGTATTAAAATAGAATTCAACAGTAAAATAAAAAAATTATATCACCCCCACAAGAAACTTGTGACCAAAACAATAGCTTTAATTTTCCAATGTAATTTTGCATCAGGTGATACAATTATATGGTGTATTTATTTTGTGATATAATTGAAAATAATTTTTTATAAAAAATGTGCACAGAATATAAAAATAATAAATAAATAGAACGAACATAATTGTATATTTACGGATCACAGGCCGATTTGCCGATTAAATTTCAGCTAGTGAAGAAAATGATGAGATGGTAAAATTTTATAGTCAATTGTATTATAGTTTAAATATTATATATAAAAAAATTATTTAAAATATATTGCATTAATTAAAACTATATACTAATAATTAATATTTATGAAATATACTGTTAACCTGCGCTATGTATTATGTTTTGCTATATCACCCATCCCACCATTCCTAGAACACCACCAACAGATAAATTAGTGAATCACTACTAGTGTACTGTTACTGATAAAAATTGAAATCAGACACAGATTAAGCAGACATATACATACAGATGATATTGAATGAATTCAAACACTATCAGCAATTCAGCATCAATCGTAAAAATAGTAATAGTAGTAGTCTGGAGTGGATGGAAATTCGATTTTGACCGACTAACACATTTAATACAAACAAACAAAGCACGAATAATAGCGTACCAATTCGATGATTACTATTTCATAGTGAGGGCGAAGGACAGCTTGGGGCGCGACTTGTTCTTGCCCAATACCTTCATTTGCTTCGCCCGTTCTTCCTCCTCCTGCATTTTCTGTCTCCGTGTTGCTTCTTCTTTCTGTTTTTGAAGCTCCTCCAATTCTCTGTACCTTTGCTCCTCCACTCTTTGTCGCTCCAATGCTTCTCTTCGATGAGCTTCTTCCTCCTTCCTCCGATTCTCTTCCATCATTCTCTCTATCGCTTCTTTCTCTTTTTGTAATTGTTCCTGTAATCAATCGCACCATTGCTAGTTCAGTGCAAAACATACATTTAAATACAATGAGCTTGTTCACTTCAGCTATGTTTCTTTGGAGATCTTTTCCTTCCAAAACTATTAAATCAAACATTTAGTTATTTATATTATACTAAAAATCAATTCTACATGATGTTTTAGCCCTACACAATTCCCCCAAAAATACAAAGATAATATACAATACATTCAAATAACAAGAAAAGTTAATGAAGACAGAACATAATATCCTATAATATGTTCACTATTTTTCATTCTTCGCAATAAAAACAGCTAATACTATAAGTACTAAACAAAGACACTCAATAATTACTCCCTCTGTCCCAATTGAAGATACCTTTCGTTTTTTATGGTAGATTAAGAAAAATAGTACTTTAATGTTATTTGTGTACTTTTTGTAAGGATTTGAAATTTTATAAACAGACTAAAATGATAAAAATAAGCATGCTTTTATAAAACATGGGGAATGGTAATTATACGGAAAATAATTTCGACATATTTGTCCTTTGTACTTCGATATAAATTAACTATATGTATAATAATATATTTATAATTTATGTAAATATTAAAAGTATTTGATATAAATATATGATTACTTTTACTATAATAAAAAATAAATACTTTTGAGTTTAACCGTCGAAAATAATAAAAGAATACCTCTAGTTGGAACGGATGAAGTATATTATATGCTTCTTATTAATTAAATATATAAATAAAATTAGAACGAAGGATTGATTAGTGGAAATGGCACTTGCCTCCTTCCGCTGAGCCTCTAACTTGGCAGATTCCTTTTCTTTTTCAAGCTGGGCAGCAACTTCGGTAGCAAGTTTCTTCCGGCCTTCGTCAAGACGTCTCCTTACTTCAAGCTTGATGTCGCTAGAGTTCAAACTCTCTTCTACTTTCTTTTGAATTGCTTCTGCTACTCTCCGCGCGGTTTCTTCTTCTATTAATTTTAGCTCAGCTTCCTGTTGACGCCTGCTAGAACGGTGAGGAAAATGTCACGAAGAAATAAACACTATCCAAGGGAGAGGAAATTGATTCTCATGGAAATCAGATGTTATCGAAACCAGATGGCAATGCAGGGGAGATACTGGATTTATCAAAGATATATTGGCCCAACAATGTATATCAAATTTACAACCGTACAAACCTCCAGTTTGGGGAGAGATTTATCACACATGCTTATACTTTTAAAGCATACCTCTAACCCGAATCGTGATCCAAAAAAATTTCAGTTTCAAATCTGGTGAACAGTAGATTAACGAAGCATCCAAATGGAGCATCAAAATAAACAATACCAGAAACCTCCTTCAATTAATCCTGTGGAGAAGAGGGTCAAGTAAAATGTACAAAGCTACAGGTTGATACATCATCAATCTTAATAATGTCAATTCCTTAACAAGCATGAACAAAATATTTTATAAATTTATCAAGTAATGAACAATAGATATTTTACAGAGGAGTGAAGTAAATAGAATAAAAGAAGAGGAAATATCAAAAGACCTACAATGTACCTATTAGAAGGCATCTAGAACCACGATCAATTGTATGATGAACAAAACATGTATTAATATGATGTTCGTAACAAGCCATTATAATTTCAGCTATTTGATAGTGACTAAAGTAAGGCAAATAAACACAAAACGGTACGAAAATGACAATACATACCAAAAAGGAATCAAAGGATAAAAAACAAGAAAGAAATGATGGTGCTAAAAGTTACAAAGGAGCAAGCAGCATCAACAAATAATTGAGGCCATGCAGGATTTAACGATGTTCCTTGCTCAAGCAACCATATACGATAGAGAAGGAACATATAATGACAGACAATATTATCACCAAATAAACGATTCAAATGCATCACCGGTTTCAGGAAATTCTGTTATCCCATCTCCAGCTAAGCTTTGTAACCTATTAATATCTTAATAATTCAAGATTCATATACTCTTATAAACAATAGAAGGATTTTATCAGGTCCAGGATATAATAAAAAATACATAAAAAATAAGACAAATGAACAAGCATCAACAGTGAATAATATAAATGAATAAATAAAAGCAGTTATAAAAAGTATACCTTTTCTTTTCCTCTGCCTCTTTTTTCAATTTTTCACTTGCATCTTTTGTCTCTCTTACACTAGCGCTAACACTAGGAGAGGCAGCTATGGGAGATGGTGATACACTCTTTTTTCTTTGTCTTTTATTTCGCTTTGGCATCGGCGAGGGACTTTTACGTCGTCTTGGAGTGATGGAGCGACTTCTATGATGTCGAGAGGACAATGAGCGACTGCGTTTTCTGTAGAATACAATGAAGAATATGAACATCACAAGAAAATGCTATCCTCCACACTGCCCACAATGTTGCATTCTCCAAACCCACCGTCTATGCGGAAAGCACGTACAGTTACCTCAAACATAGCAAAGATTAAACTGGGTGCTCCATCTTTTATGATAAGAAACCGGAAATATCACAATCGAGCAGTGAAATGACACCCATCGGCACCCATCACCTGCTGACTTCCCAGTCAAGGGGAAGCCATTGTTTCTTTTCTAAATTTCTCAAACACCAACCACCTTGATTATTTCATTCACAATCACACCAATTTTAAGAAATATCTCAAAGTTCTAACATTTTGTATAGAGGTCCCACCATCATAAGATGCATCAACACTGATACTATACAATTTAGCAGCATTTTTTTTAACCCGTCGAAAGTAATAGAGATCATCAATTCAACTGCCATAAGCATGTAGAATATCAAGGTGCTGACGGATAGCGAAAACTCTCACAGGCAGCAACTTGGCACACGACACCAAAATTATACAATCCATGAGCATCTGCTAGGTCATCTAAAACAAATAAAGCCAAAAGAATGAGCAACAATATCTGCACGAGTTCAGTTCATGATCATCCAAATACGTCTGACGACTAGATAGATTTACAATAACAGAAAGTTTTCTTTTAAAACGTTCACAACGCTTTTCATCAATTAGAACAATATTTCAAATATTTATAGGACAACACCAAGTCAAGTTTTGATATCACAAGTTCTCTAAAAATCAAAAAAAAAGAAAATTCAATAACAATAATTTCATTGTTTCATTCCCTTGGACATAAATTTATGAAATAACCTATCAAGGACAACATGCGTTGAAAATGTTTTTACAGATAATACCCAGTGCTGTGTCTAAGCTGGAACTGAAAATAACTGTACAGTAGTTTACCTCCTCCAGTGTATAAATTAGTGCAAATCGTGCACCCTATTGTTCATGAAATCTCCCTTCTATTCAATTTTCCCTATTTTTATATATTACAAGAAGAATTTTTACAAAAGCCTTCCACTTTCCCCATCCAAGCATAAAATTAGGGTTAGGACCACTCTTACATAAACATATATACATACATTTACAAAGTGGCAATGAAAACAGTATCAAATCTTCATAACACACAAGCGAGTATAAGCAAAAAGGGTATCACCTCCTGTAAGAATAAGGAGACCGACTTCTATCTCTCCAGCTCCGGCGTGAATACCTTCCCGGAGATGGTGACGGACTGTACCTCCGACGGTACGAAGGAGACCGCGATAGATCCCTGTCCCTGTCCCTACCCATCTCGATTTACGTGCTCAAAATTCGAGAACAAAACAATCCAATTGATCACCTGCTATATGAACCACGCAAAAAATCCGGAATTTACCACGCACAACCACCATACAAGTCTTCACAAAATATTAAACAACATAATCTTCAAACAAAAAATAATAATAATAATAATAAAACGAACGACAATTAAAATGATTTCGATTGAATCCAAGAACAATAAGAGATTGGAAACCTTTCGAACAGTACGTCAAGAGATCGGTGTTGGTGCGTAAACCAGAAGGCACGCGATGAGGAAAGAAAACCCTAGACTGGAATCGCAGAGGCAGTGTAGAATGAAAATATTTGTTCGGGATCGAGGTTACGGTCGCGAATACCGTATTTATATGACACGGTCCATGAGGGATTCAGACGTATCACGTATTCGTATCGTATTTATATCACGTATTTATATTGTATTCTCCTTGGTGATGTATGTATCATCCTATTTTTTATTTTAAAAAATACATTTTATATTCGATTTTTATTTAAATAATATAAAATTTTACTTTAATTCAAATATTTCCGATTCTTTTTTCTCTTTTAAAAGAAACAAACATTGATAAACAAAAATCTATATATAACGTATGATGTTAAAACTCTTTCAATTGAAGTTCTAAATTTTGATGTAATATTTTACCCAAAAATAAATAAATTATCTGATGTGAGTTCTTTCAATAAATTATTGTTGACCGGTAACAAAAACTTTGAAAATTAGCTAAATAAACATACGGTTACATCTAAAAATTGTGTTCCACGAGACTCAAAACTACAAAGCAATTATATCGGCTGCAAAGCAATTATAAGACTACTGCAAATACCACAGGCAAGGCAAGGTAAGATAAGATGAAACTTAAAAGAGCTTATTCGGCGAAAGACGGGACGAGCCGAGTCGAGCAACAACACATATGTCTGATTCAGTCGCGCCTAAGGGCGAATAGAATGAACGAATGTCGCCATCATACACCGACTTCAAAGCAGCACGCAAGATTCGGTTGGCACGCCAACACTCTCCATGCGTGTTAAAAAAAAAAAAAAAAAAAAAAAAAACCAAAACATAAGCGTAAAACACAGTAGAGTTCCAATACCAACTCACGGCAACATTGCGAGGGTACAACGAGACATACATATAGATATATATATATATATGTTCGCTCACGCTGTTGCTGCCGTCTTACAGAAAAGCGTCCTTCTCGAGGAGCTTCAGAACATCGTTTTGGTTGTTCAGTTTAGCCACGTCAATGGGTGTCTTTCCGTCCAGGTTCTGAAGAGTGCTGCACAATTCAAAGACAAAGGTTGGCCCAAATGGACTCATTCATAGGGTGGGTGGGGTGGGGTGGTAAAAAAAAGGCTTACACAGCGGCGCCATTTTTCAACAGCAGCTCCACGCAGTCCTTCCGGCCATAACCGGCAGCATAATGGAGTGGAGTGTTCTTATTTTTATCCAAACCATCAACCTTCGCCCCAGCCTCCATGAGAATTTCAGCACACTTAACCTGGCGCAGGGAAGGGGCGATTTAATCGGTCAATTGAGATGTAATAAAACCCGAAAAAATAGCAACCGGAAAACGATTGCTCGCGATACCTGGCCGTATCCACAAGCAAAGTGCAATGCAGTTCTTCCCTCATCGTCTTCTTCATCCTTATTAGCGCCATCAGCTAGAGCCTTCGTCAAGCCCTAAAGGTTTGTTACATAAAATCAGCCGAGTTAATTTAGTGAATTTAATATCACAAGGGACAAGAATTTGACAGGAAACAGATTCAAGGAGAATGCAGGAGGACTTCAACGATCAACCGAGCAATCAAAATGAACATTTGTAACAGTAAAATAATAAATCAGAGACATACTTCAACGTCGCCAACACTAGCAGTCTGGTGAACAATGGATTCCTCCTCATTTGCTTCCTCGGTTTCGTCTTCAGCGGTGTTCCCAGCAGATGAAGCACTTTCCCCGCCGATAGCAAATCCCATTGCTTCGCCCAACTGCTGGAGAACATCCTTGTCATTCCAGTACCTGAAGATAGTAAATAGTAATACTTTCTCAGAACAGAAGAATCACAAGTACCATGAAAAGTCGAGACCAGAAACTAGTGAAGATTAACATATAGAGAATACATAGAAAGTGTTCAAATTCAATGACTTCGTCAACATATCTATTATTAATCACAAATTTCAATAACTTGGGTCAGGAAGGTAATTTCAATTCTAGAGATTACTAAAAATGATTGCCTTTTGGCACATGAAGTGATGCTTTCAAATATCCAAAATGGGTCCGAAAATGATTGCGGAAATTGTTAAAAAGAAGCAACCAACAATTGAAAGCAAGAAAAGAAACAATATGTGAATAAGCAAAACAGGTCCCACAACTATGACAAATAGTATCTGATGCCAACTATAGTTCCAATAACAAAAGAGATATTAAGTTTATTGCAGCAATGAAACATTCTTAGAATCAAGATTTCTTGAGCTGAAAGATCACACTACATTAGAACCACAAAACTTCTATATGCCTTTCACGTGCAAGATAGTAACAGTTCTGCATGTCATTTTTTCTTTGGATTTTGTTCTCCAATGAGGTTGGATTCAATGCGGCTCTAACATGCACAAAAGCAAGAAAGAAACGGAGAGTGAGATCATGTTTTGAAGCATAGATAGTTCTACACGCATGTTTGGTCTTCAGTTAACGACTCAAGCACAAAAGGCATAAATTCAAGTTCCGAAAAACCTATACTAACAAATCACAATAAAGAATCTGTCATGGTTTACATCAAAGCTTACGTTTACATGCATGTTACCATGAAAATCAATGACTTCAAAAGTAATTACTGATACAGGATATAGATAAGAGAAAAATTTAGTGTTAGACAAAATGTAAAATGAACCACTAGGGAATTCCGGCCGGCAAACACATGATCAATTTTGAAATAGATATTATAAAGTCACTGACAAGTTATAAACTAATGATCTTTTTTTTTTTTCTTGGATAAGCTGGTATGAACATCAAAAGCATGCCCAACATCCATCTAAATTATGCTCATTTGAGGAAAATACCATGAAAACTGCCAAGCTATACCACACAATTCAAATTCTCTAAATATATCAATTTAACCCATAAAATGGTATGACCTCATCATGGCAGCAGGGCCACCAGTCTCAATTTCTTCCAAGATAGGCTTTAACGATGGATTTTCCTTGACTCGTGCCATACGTTCTTCAAGTTGATCCTTATTAGCTGGATTTGACAAACTTTCGAGCATGCCAGACATGGCTGGATCCTGGGTACAAATAAAAAAGACACGATTAATATGATGATGACAACAGAATACAAAATTAACTTACAAAATTCACAAAAACACATCAAACCAAAAAATACCTGCATCAGTGCATTGCCAAGCCTTTCAGCCATGGTCATAAATTGAGGGTTTTGCATGACTTGTTGCATCGTTGAATAATATTGTTGTGTATCAAAGTTGGGGACGCCCTCATCAACACCAGCACCAGCACCATGAAATGTTTTCTGAAGCTGTTCCGCCATCTGATTGAATGAAGGATCTTTTGCTATCTGTTCGGCTAATTCTTTAATGCTTGGGTCCTGGTAACACAGAATAATTTAAAACAATAGATAAACTACTAAATTGATTGATCAGGACTCTTCTTCAAACCCCTATGCAAGAGAAAGCATACTTTACAAACTACTGATAACATTAATACGACTATACATGAGCTGCAACATGGAAAACCTCTCTTAGCAGTAAATTAGGGCAAAATGTAACCAAAGGTTAGCAATATTTTCGATCAAAATTTTTTTAATTAATATGAAATTAGTGTCAGGTTAGTAGCCCAGCATCTATTACTCTTCATCAACACGAAAGTATTTACCCGATGAACTGCCTGAAAGAAAAAAGCAGAGATGTGCATACATTAAGCAAGCCAGACATAGCACTGAAATCAAATGGATTTGGCACTCCAGCAGCTGGAGGAGGAGCAGCTCCTCTCTGTCCAGATGATGCCCCTGAAGAAACTGTACTTCCAGCTCCATCAGACTTTCCCTCTGAAAATCAGAAAACAATAAATCCCTCATAGCACGATTTATGAGCCTTGAGAATTTTGAGAAAACCAACGTTCACTACGAGTGGAAGATAAGCTGAAGAGAAATATCAAATCTATCCATATACACATTCTGGCTCTCTTCAATCCACATGGAGATGACAAATTCAGCTAATTTCCCCTCACAAACATTCAATCACAATTCCAACAGACAGCCATCTCAGCAGAAAGCCACAGTTACTCTAAGCGTCTGTGCACAATTATAGGGAAACAACAACTTACCACCATCTTTAGGGACCTGGGGAGTTTTCGATGCCTGCAAAAAGCCCCAAATGCATCAAAAACAGAAAACAAACACCAAAATAACCGTCAGTACCCCAAACACACAGTCACATATACAAAAAAATAGATTCCCAATAATCCTACATCAGGAACTCCAATCGGAATCCAAAAGAAGTAAATCAGTGCTGAATTCATCCTCCTCAGACTCAGCCATATCTAGAAAATCAGAACCGAACAAAGCTACAAAAAAAAAAAAAAAATCAAATTAAGGATGCGGCGGTACCTCAGACATACTGGCGTCAATCCGGAGGGGGAGAAGAAGCTAAGCAGGCAGGCAAGCGGAGAGTACACGAAAGGAAGAACGGAAGACGTGTGCAGATGGGAAGGGTTTATAAATTCAGTGTAGAAGAAATGAAAGCGACAGATTGGAATGGAATGGATGGGTGGCTGGACTACTCTGTCCTCATATCATTTCAGATCAAATGGACGGTCCAGATTTGTTATCTTTTCGCCTTTTTTTATTATTGGAGGTTTGGGCTCAGTTTTATATAGTAAATGGGCCTACAATGGGCCCAAACTTTTCTTATTCCTTTCTTCTTGGACCGTTTTATTCATATTGGTTTTCTTAATTACTCCATATTTTAAACAAATCCACTCAGATAAAAAATAAATTATGTTGTTATATAAAATTTTAATAATATAGTAATTATTACTTGCTAAATATGAATAATAAAAATTATAGATAAATAGAATTATTTATATAGTAAGTACTTCCTCAGTAGCATACGTATTTACTTTATGGTACCATATTTTATTTAGTAAAATTTAGTGAGATAATTATAGTAGATTTTATTACTGGTCTATATTTTTTTATATGAGAGATGTTATCGGTAGTTTTAAAATATTATTCAAATTTTATGATTTTTAGATTTATTAGTATGTTGTCTTATAAATTAATTATATTTGATTTAATCCTAATATTAATGAAATTTATTCATTTTATGTTTATCTAATATTTTTTGTGACATCATTCCCAAAGAATTCTATTAAAAAATAAAGCACATATATATAAAAAAATATTCACTCAATTTATAATATATACTTCCACGGTCTATATCTCGGTTTATTTTTCACAAAGTTTTAGCAAGGTAAAAAATTATTGTAATAGTATATTTGTAATATAATATAAATTTATGGGTAATTTTAATAGTAATTTGGTATTATAGTTACTCAAAAATGAAATTAATATTTTGTTTTGGGATAGACCAAAATAAAAAAAATAGATAAATAGTTAAAAGACGGAGAAAATATTATGTTATCGATCCACAAAAGTTTATTAATTCAAATACAAAATATTATTTTATATTAATAATACGATTTTCCATATATGATATTAAAAAACATATACATAATTTTTTTTAAAAAAAAACACGTACAAAGCTACGCAACAAGTCAAATCTTAATTTTAATACTCCCTACGTCCCATTAAAAGGATGACATTTGTTTTTTGCACGTATTTTTTTAATATTAGTATTATATTGGATTATAGTAAAAATGATAAAAAAAAAAAAATACACCTATTAGCATGGTATGACATTTGTATAATATATTGTAAGTTGAAAGAGTATTTATTATGCTAGGTAAATAATACAATTACTAAATTATAAATTGGTAATCTTATTTTGGGACGGACGAAAATAAAAAATAGTAGCATTTCCATATAATGAAAGGAGTATTCTTTTTTATTAATAAAATTTCTCATAAATAGTACCTGTTCTCAAAAGTCAATAACTTTATATCCAACTACTGAGATATTGATACAAAGCTGAACTCATAATTTTAGGATCATTGCTTCAAATTTTGACGTCTTTGTCACTCTAAAATAGCACGTTGTTCCCATATAATTAAAAAGTAATAATAATAAATAAAAACCCTTGAAATTACATAGTAAAAAGAATAAAAATATGCATACATTTGCTATATTTGGGCATAAAATAATTATACTATTATCTATTCTTTTTAAATTATCATAAAATTGAACCTCGCACATGTTTTACTCAAACAACAGTGAAAATAAGTGTGATAAAGAATGACCTGGTGGTGTAAGGGTTGGATTTGTGACGTAAAGTCGGAGGTTTGACCTCAAGTTCACCTGCTTTCCGGTTTTTATTGATAATAGTACTATAAATGCTAAAAAACATTTTTAAACTTATACTCATTTAAATTTTAATGATACTTTTTTGTAATATTGTGTGAAATATAATATTGTTTATTAAGAGTACAAGTAACTTAAAAAAAAAAAAAAAAAAAAATATACTTAGAATAGAAAACTAAAATGACAAAATAAACTCATTAAAAAGGGACAGAATTATATATTCTATTAAGAATAATCTAAAATATTGTGTCTAGAATCTAAACCAAACAAATAGTTAGCTTCAAAATTAAAGGGAGAAACTACCAACTCAGTCCTTTCTAAGATCACACAGCAGATTGCAAACCTATATTATTAAGGTAAAGTGACAAACAAGAAAAAGTGACCTCATCCAACATGATGTGCTTGTTTTGGAGTTTTAAGTTTTGAGATTGAATTTTGATTATTTATTTTATTTGATATAAATATGTCATATGTAAAATTATTTATTAATATAATATATAAAACAAATATTTTATTTGATATTCATAAATAGTAAAAAAAATAAAAAAAATAAAAAACAAAACAAACAGAGCCTTCTAGGCCACAGCCACACATTTCCACTTCTTGTGGTAATTCAAGGATCAACGAGGACAAAGTATGAATCATCAGCACAAAGCTTCAACAATTGTTTCGATGCCTAATAGAGAGGTTCATAAAAGGAAAAGCGAAAAGGGAAAAGGAAATTTGGATCCATTGAAGCCGTTGGATCAAGATCAGTAGCCTAGAATCAACGGACACAAGTGGAGAAAAAATGTATCCAAATTCATCAACAAACTTACTTGCATAGCATAGAAGATGACCGAACTAAATCTAGCAAAATATGTCTGGCACTTGATTTGGTTATGAAATATTGCAGATCAAGGTAGGATGTTGCAGTTCGAATTTGATTTTTCAACTAAGGATCTTATAGTTTGTATCGATTTTATTCTCCGAGGAAAATGATCAAATACATTTAATACATTATCAGGATCTATAGAATCAAATTGTGGATTCGGGGAATTAAAGCTTCATACCTCTGCTCCGATTATCACCAAAGAAGCAGTGAGAAAGGATAAATTCTACCTCTGAATCTACTGTGGATGAACCTTTTTGGAGTTGGAGGAGATCGCCTTGAAAGCGGATTTCATGGAAGCAGTGGCGGAATTGACCGCAGCTTCGATGTACTTTTTGGAAGCAAACGTCGCCGCCTTCTCCAGATTCTTCCCCAACCTCCGCGCGCCGTCCGCGATGCTAACCAGACTGTCGTACTCCGCCATAGCTTCTCTCTCCATTTCCTCCTCGAACCGCCGGAATTCCTCCATGGCGTTGTCCATGAACGAGTCCAGATACTCCTCTGATTCCATCAACTCATCCTCCGCTTTCCGGAACTCTTCCTCCCCCTGGAGCTCGAGATCGGCCCAGGCCTTGTACGCCTCGATCTCGAAGAGCTTCATTAGGTCTTCGATGGTGGATGGATCGAATCTCTTGTCGCGGAGAGCTTGATCCGAGAGGAACGAGAACTCGTAGATGAGAGCTTCCATCACCGCGGCTATGGTCTTCCTCCTCCGTACTGCAGCAGCACAGTCTGTGACACTCCTACGGTGCTGAACACTGATGACAGACGGCGGTTATGTAGTCCGGAGAATCGCATACAAAGCGTGTTTTTAAGATACCGCTTTTTCTTTTACTCCTTTCGTTCTCTTTTCTTTTTAATGTGGAGCTAAAGCAAAGTACAACGCGACTTTCAGGGCCATTAAATATTGGAATTAATTATTCGCCATAAATAAAATTTGGGATGCCAGTAAATATGGCATTATTGTTTTATGTAAGAAATTGCTTTATTTTTAGCTTTTTATTTTTTTATTTAATAGATATATGATTATTAAATAATTAATACTCCTGATCATCTCGTATATTCGTTCGTTTTTTGCACGGAATTTAAAATATATTAATATTATATTGATATATAAGAGGGTTAAAGTTGAAATGACTAAAATAACTTTATTAGTATTATATGATATACAAGTAAATAATGATATTTGTGTAATATATTGTAAATTGTAAATGTATTTGTAACGTTAACTAGACAATAAAATTAGTAAAAAATTAGAAAATTAATACTTTGTTACGAGACTCCCACGTTGCCGCTTATGTCCATCCCACGTACCATGTCACTTTCCTTTTTCGGAAAATGATTATACACTTTAATCTCATTTTAAATTTTTTTAATTTTATTATTATTTTTTAATTTTAATTAAATTAATTAGTTATCTTAATCTTAATTTATAATTATTTATATTATAGGATAATTATTTTCACTAATACATTTTTAATTATCTACTAATTACACCCCTTCTAAAATACACGATATTTGGGACGGAGGGAGTATTATTTATTATATATGGGTACAACTATTTTTTATTAATTTAGTGATTTTTATTTATATACTTTTTGAATTGATTATTTGATTCGTGAAATTTTAATTTTTGAAAATATTTATATGAATAAACATATCAATTTCGTGTTAGTTGAGTTGGAATTGATCGAATCTGAGTTATTGTTGAATCGTCTAATATGTTTAAAAAATTATTAAGCATGTTAACATGTCATTTTCGTATTAATAGAATTGAACGGATTGAGATCGTATCGAATCTTCTGGCCCGTATGTATAGATTTCATATTAAACAATTTAATATATTTTAAAATACGATACAAACTCTGACACTATTTTTTTTTCCGGCTCTTGGGTAAAGATGGAGAAGAATAACATTTCGAGTATATTTCTTTAGCCGAGTTTTCCTAAATTTTATTATTTGGATTATGTGTTTTTCGAAAAAATATACTCTTTTTGTCTCAATAAAATAATCTTGTTTACTATTTTTGTCCGTCCTAAAACAATAGTTTCATTTTCATAAATAATCGTATTAGTATAAAACTATCATTACTTCTTCATTATTATTACACAATTATCTCTACTTTTTACACTAATATACTTACAAGGGTAAAAAAGTTTTTTACCCATACATTTTATCCACTACTAATATAATATCAATATTTTTTAAATCTCATACCAAATACAACCCAAATTATAATTTTGAAATAATTTTTTTTTTAAATAAAATATTTCATAAAATATTATTTTTATACCAAGCTCAAATTAATTTTTTTCCATATCCATCGAAAAAACACACCCTATATTATTGTTATCTCAATAGGGTGATAAAGATAGGGTGGGTGGGCTGTGGAAAAGTGGGGCCAGCAGTGTCACCTTTGTCAAAACGTATTTGCTGTCTGTCTGTCTTATTGAATTTTTGTTTGCTTTTAATTTAATTTAAATTATTTTTAATGAAATGCAGATCGAAGAAGAAAGCAGCGGAAGTGCCCCCACACAGACAATGTTTGTGACCGTTGAAACTGAACGGCGAACAAATGTCGCGTTGCCACTAATAATAATAATATTATTATTGTGAATTTAATGTTAAATAATAATAATGATTCTAGGAATACGATCAAAAAAAATAATTCTAGGAATACGATGATGATGAGTTTTTAAATAAATTAGCCTCTTTTCTACCTATATAATTTTAGAAATTTTAGTATCATTGTTACTCCTGTCTCATAATTAAGCATCTATTTGTTTTTTTATGAAATTTTAAAAATATTAATATTATATTGTGATATATTAGGGATAAAATTGAAATGATTAAAAATGACCTTATTAGTATTGTGAGATATAAAAGTAATGATATTTGTGTAATATATTAAAAGTTGTAAGAATATTTGTAATATTAGGTAAATAGTACATTTATTAAAAAAATAAAAATAAATATTTTGTTACAAGTCAAACCAAAATAGAAAAATTGATACTTTGTTATGGAACGGAATGAGTATATTTTACTCAAAAGTAAAAAATAAAAAATAAAAATACTACTTCTTCATTTTTAAATATAGTGTAACTGTTGAAACGTGACTTGGATTTAGCGGTCTATTCGATCATAAACCAAAGTGAAAGACTGTTTCAATTGGCAGGGTTCCTTTTGGGCTTATTTTAATTAATAACAAATAGGCTTAAGGTTTATGATGTTTTGGAGTGCTTATAAATAGACAATTATGGTTCTTAGTCGGACGACATATTGTAAATATTGACTCAGTATAATAAAATATCTCCGGTTCCTGTCCGTTGACGTGATTGACACACAGTCACCGAATCACGTAAAACCTCTGTATTATTTATTTGCTTTCTTTCTCGTTTTCTTATACCAGTAACATTTATTTTCAGCAATTTAGATGAATAATATTAACTATGATTTGATAATTAAGTGATATAATTAGAGAGAAAAAATACAGAGTGATATGATAGAATAAAATGTGAAATATGAAGTAAATATATTTAATTATTTTATATTTTAAAAATATTGCAAGACGTTTAAAATAGAAAAAAAAAAATAAAAAAAATAAAAAATAAATATTGCCTTATATTAACTATTTGGATGGAGAAAATATTATCCTCTTTCGATTGAAACGAATAATTGTAGGCTCGACAATACACATGCATCATTACAATTTGATTATTATTTTTGTTGATTATTATTATGTTCATATATTGTATATTATATATTGTGTTTTTAATAGTAATATTTTTGAAAAACGTTGGAATAAAAAAGAATATTAGATTTGTTTAGTTTGTTTCTGTATTGACATTTTAATTTAGAAGATGTCATGGTCTTAACCTTTGTTAGTTTTTTTTTTTTTTAATATTAATTTTTATATTTTTTACACAATTCTTTATATTTTATATAAAAGAAAATATCAATTCAAATTATCTTCCAAAACACCCGAGTATATTTTTATTACATAATATAATTTAAAAAATTTAAATTGAGGTCCAAATCAAAAAACAATAAGTCATTTAAATTTATTTTATTTTTCTTTTGTGTTAGTTATAAAAAAAAAGTATATATATATATATATTTTTTATAAAAAATACTATCAGTTTTTGTTTTATATTATTTTTTATCTATTTTATTAAAACCTCGTTTACCTAGTCGGTGGAATATATATTATCGTATTTGGGCTAGACAGTTTGATTTTAAAGCCCAATAATGCACCGGTGGTCTGCTACAACTACCAAGCAGTAGAATACGACGCCGTATCGCAGCTGTTCAACTTCAAACTGTAACCCGAATCCGAGGCGAGCTGGGAGCGATCCGGCGCGGTGCCCTGCCAGAGGTTCCACTCTTCCAGATCGGCTTGCGGGAGGTAGTGCGGAGTTGAGAGGATCGATTTCAAGAGTAACAGCCATGGGCGATGTTGCCGGCCTTCGCGCGGTTGTCTTATTGCTTTCGCTGCTCTATGTTCTGCGTGGGAGTGAGGCGATATGGTTGAATTTGCCGGGGAGTGGGACAAAGTGCGTGTCGGAGGAAATTCAGAATAACGTCGTGGTTTTGGCAGATTACGTCGTAATTTCAGATGATCACGTCCACTCTACTCCGACCATATCCGCCAAGGTTAGGGTTTCTTATGTTCACTGCCTACGATTTATTGAATGAATGATAGGTGGTTGGAATAGACTTAGGCTTTGACATGAGGTGAATAGATTAATTATCTGAAAGGGTTAGAAGTCTGATAGGTGTTCAATAAGTCTTCGAATCATTGTAAGTAAATTGGTTATTGAATGAACACTTAATCCCCTTCATAAGTTGTGGGGAAATGATGATCTGTAAAAATTACTTTCAACTGATTGCTGTAATCTTCGATAGAACAGTGAATTTCTTGATTTTAGCGGATTTCTTGTTTCTTGTCTTTTAAGAAACATTATTTCTCCTTAAATCTGATTGTGTCATATAGGATTGTAGCTATTTTGGATGACCTCTTAATGGTATTTAATGCAATTTCCTTGTATGCTTGTGGCTACTTGTAGTGCCTAATAATTCTCTTTTAATGCATATATTTAGAATGCTCTTCTATAGTTCTATTGGAAAGTCTTTGCAAAGCCTGCACCGCATTCCTTAATGATTTAAAAATACGAGAATGTCTTTGTATTTTAGAAGATATTGCACAAAACCCCTAAAATTTGCGTGATGTTCTGTTGTGTTTTCGAAAAGATTGTATAGAATCCCATGAAAAATTGATTTGTGGAATATTTTTGTAAATAAGAGGGAGCTCTTGCAGTATTTAAATCATGAATGAGAATAATCAGACTCTTCAAAACAATTTTGTCTTGGGTGTACCGTATACCATTTTATTGTAGTAATATTTGTGGTAGACATGTTTCAAATTGATTTCTTACTGTAAATGTTAACTAATGAGTAATCTATCCCTTGGCTCTATTAATAAGGCGCTTCTTCTTTTCTAGAATCTAAAAGACTCCACAAGATTTGCTTTGCATGTATAGGGTTTAACAAAATCGAGTTTGATGTTTCATGAGAAGGTGGCTGATGTTGGTTTCTACTTGCAGTCTTCCTCGATGTTTTACTTCTAATCTAGGAGCAATTACCTGAAATTGTGTTCGTAATCTTGAAGTTTTTTCATGCTTGCTCACATGAGTCATTTCTATATAGGTCACTTCACCGTATGGGAATACACTTCATAACAAGGAGAACACTACCCATGGTCAATTTGCATTTACAACCACTGAGGCCGGAAATTATTTGGCATGCTTTTGGGTCGATGGGCATAATCCAAGTGGTGGGGATATAACTGTTAACATCGACTGGAAGACGGGGATTGCTGCCAAGGATTGGGAATCAGTTGCTAGAAAGGAGAAACTTGAGGTGAGACCTTTGTTCTTGCATTTCATGCTTTTGTGCTGTACTCGTTTTTTACATAAATAAGGTGTTTCTGGTTATTGAAATAGTTTGTGTTGTTTTTGTTATTATTTGAAGCCTACTAAGTTGTTTATTAAAGCGATTTAATGGATTTTGTGATTTATCCTCCCTATGTAGGGTGTTGAGCTTGAGCTCAGAAAGCTTGAAGGAGCAGTGGAAGCCATCCATGAAAATCTCTTGTATCTTAAAACCAGGCGGGTGACTGTCTTGCTTTGAGCATATTATTACAGATGTTATAGTGCTATTTCATATTGCCTTGACATTGCATTCTTCTGTAAACCTATCCTAACAGAGAATCTGAAATGCGGGTTGTGAGTGAAACAACAAACGCTCGGGTGGCTTGGTTCAGCGTCATGGCATTGGGCATTTGCATCCTGGTTTCACTTGCCCAGATATGGCACTTAAAACTCTATTTCCAAAAGAAAAAGCTCATCTAATTTCATTTTTACATTCATGTATCTTATTGGATGCTGGTTGAGTTTGTTACAAGTTGTTTTTGCCGCTGAAATATGTTGTTGTTCTGATGAATGATTATTTTGTATTCCCACTATACATTTCAGAGAAAATGTTCCTGCCTCGTTTAGGTTTAGAAATTTTTCTTTTTTTTTGGCAGTATTCAGTTTTATACATGTGTTACAGGAAAGCATCCCATTAGACTGGTGCTTGATTATGCCTTCTGCTTTGTAAGCCAGAGCTTGAAATTGAGAAAGCAATGTGAGGGCTGGTATTGTGGACATTATCGACTAAGTTATGATCAACTGTACGTTAAACATATACAGATAGGTTCAGCTGTAATGAATTGTTATTGTGTGTCCTCCAGCTATCTTCTCCTCATTGTGCGAGAATGTCTTCAGACAGCTCCCTGTTATTCTGGTTTTGTCCCTGTCATCTTAGTCATAGTAAATTATTTACATGTTTATATATTTCTGGCATGTGTGTGTGTGTGCGCGGGTGTCGGTGTATCTGATAAAAGAATTGTGTTGATGAGAAATGCATAAATCTGGTACCTTGTAAGTTCCCCTCTATTATTTTTGTTAGTCATTGAAATAATATTACCTGCCGGAATTGCCTAAGGAATGCTCCAGGATCTCCACCATGGCCTGCCTGTCGACATAAAATGCTTGTTGACATTGTTACGAGGTACGTAAAGTTTCATAACACGCACACACACAGTTTATGTATCTAACATTTTACCTCCACGGGAGTCGTTGAATCTGTCATCAATAAAATCCAGGCACAGCTGAGCCCAGTTCATGACCAAACTGAATGGCCTGACAGCGAAGAGATCCGTCCATCTCCAGGTTTCAAACTCCCTGTTGCCATTTCCTTCTCCTCCAAAGAAGAAACCCTCGTCCCAGAAGATGTGGTCGCTGTTCGACAGGCCTTGGATTTCATGCCTACAGACCGGACAGGTATTGTGCATACGCAGCCAGGGTATTATACAGTCGGAGTGGTAGAAATGCTTGCAGGGAAGCTCCCTGACTTGTTCCCCTGCCTGAAATTCGTCTTTGCAGACAGGACAGAAAGAATCGGCCTTGAGATGCTCGGAATTCAGCTCCACCAACGGCAGAGCATCTATGGTGGAATCAGGTGCTGGAGGCGGTCCTGGCCTGTCGCTTTGATTCAATTCCGGGATAAAATTTGTCATCCCTTGATCGAGGTTGTTGTTTCCATTCTCCAGGTACATTCCAGGCATTGGCGGCTCGGAGGGCTGATCAGGACCGATGAACTGGAGCAGTACCAAGCCCTGTCGATTCCCAGTTTGGTTATTGTCATTCGGGATGTTGGGAGGATCCAGCATCTGCGCCAAAGCGTCGAGGACACGTGCACCGGGAGAAGGTTCCAGGCGGGATTCCAGGACATTCCCGGCCCTGGAGACATCGAGCTCGTGTCTGATCTGGCCGAGACAGCGCGGGCACAGAACCTCTGCAGGGTTCGCGGTTCTTGTCCTGATGGAGCGCTGGCAGCTACGGCACCAGTAGTAATGGTACGTTCTTGTTCTTGGAACTCCATTGACGATGATTCCCGGGTGGCGACGTGCTGCCGACATTAGTGTTTTGTTTTTGAAATCCAGTGTGGGAAATATGCAGGGCATTTTATATTGTAGTGGTAGAAGAAGATGGGGAGATTAGGTGGGAATGTGAGGAGAGAAAGGGATGGCTTGTTTCGGGAAGTTCTTGGGGTTTCTTCTTCTATGGGCTTTGGTTTTTTGGATGATTTGCTCATCTCCTGTAGTTAAAGAAAGGCATGTGTGGGAAAATAATTTTGTGTTTTAATTTAAAATGTTAGAAAATGAGTACTTTTTATATTATTTTCATCTTTAAATTATAAATATACTGTTACAAAAATGTATTTTTATTAATTAATAAAATATTATTAATTTTTTTTTGAATGGGTGGAAATGAATATAATGAACACACCTTTATTTTGCGAGAGCCAGTTCAAATTAGATGTTGATTTCTTCCTTTCATTTATTTATTAGTATTATTATTATATATATATTTTACTGTATTATTTTTTATTGTTCAAATAAATATTTTATTACATATTACAAATATTATTATATTTATATTTCTTTAATAGAGCATAAAAAAGGTTTTAGCATTTTTTAAAAAAAATCAAATATGTCTTCTTATTAACTTATTATCTTATTTAATTATTTATTTCGACTAAATGAAAAGTATTTTAGGTTTTTCTTAATTATATAATAAAAATATGAAAAAAATATTTTACCAAAAAAAATAAATGAATATAGGTGAATTGTAATTACGATTTCTAAGTTAAGTATGTGAAAAAGGAATACTTGTTTGGGCAAGATGAAGTGAAGCAGCAGGCTGAATCGGTGAGTCGACCAAGATGTGAGGACCGAGTTTGGCGCTGAGTCAGCTCGTTTCTATCAAAACCTTCACCCATCCCCCACCCTTAATTCCTTTCTCTTCCCCTCTCTCTCTCTCTCCGCTCCTTCTCTGGGAGAGACTCCAAAAGAAATAAATCAAGGAAAGGGGAACGCCAAATCCATTTCTCCATGAACAGATAAACCCTAATCTTGAAATCTCCAATCATTCCAAGAAAGGAGTGGAATTATGTCTCATTCGGTGTTCCAGACGGCTCAAATCATGCCTCTGGCCCCAACCCCTAATTCCTTACCGTCCAAACCCTTATTGCCGGCCGCTGTAGTTTTTCGGTCACCGGTTTCGCAGTCGGTCTCTGGAAGGGTGCGGAAATGTTGTTTTGTCGTCAAGGCATCGTCTTCTGCAATAGTCGATGGGGACGCTATCGCCAGGCTGGAGCGATGCTTTGTGACGTCGCCGGATGCTCCGTCATCGACTCCCTCCTATTCTGGGGATTTTGGGACGGTGATGAAGAAGGAATTCGGTGCAGTCGGTGCTGTTACCTTGGAGAAATCAAAGCTTGATATGTCGTCCAAGCAGCAAAGCCAGTCGTCTCCCGAGGTATACGATTTGGAATTTTTAATTCTTAACCTAAATAATCTCGAGAGAACGGAAGTATCGATTGATGATAGCATAAGTTATTTTAGATTTTACAAAGTCTAACCTTGAGAGTGGGATTCTTCCTTTTTGTTGTGAGATTGTTACATTGGAATAGATAACATGATTCATTCATTGAGTTTTGAGGGTTTTTTTTTCTCTGATTTCCATGGCGAAGCTTGAATTAATTTTGTTTGGCCAATTGATCTTTCCACATATGTTCTGTAAATTCCATAGGGTTCCATCATAAAGTTTATTCTGTACAACTGCTGTTAGCCGAGGAGTTGATTCAATTATACTGTGTGAGGTTCTGAGGAGCATTTGATAGATTAGGATTTAGGACAAACACGACATTACTGTAAAGGATTCTTTTCTTGGCATTCACTGTTTACTCTACATTCAGTTTGCATGGAATTATGTAATGATCGAGCTTTCTCTGGACATCGGATTCATGCTTTTTCGTGCTTAATGTTTGACTAGTTAGTTTCGCACTAATATATCGTTGTAATGCAACGTGGCAGTTGTCAACTGGTGGCGGTGGTGGAAATCTTGGGAAGGGTCTAAGTCATGGGGGTGGTGATGGGGGGGATGATGGTGGTGATGATGATGATTACTTTGACAATTTTGATGAGGATGACGAAGGAGACGAGGGCGGTCTATTTAGGAGAAGGATCATCCTGGCAGAGGTGATAAACTGATGCTAGACGCTCTAACACTCAAAAAGAGCAGCAGCACAATTAATATTCTTACTATTATCTTTTTAATTGTTTATGGTTTTAACTATAATTTATTTCTGATGTCCATATGAATGATTTCAGTTGTTTGATCGAAAATTTGTTGATGCCGTGTTGAACGAGTGGCAGAAGACAATGATGGATTTACCTGCTGGATTTCGCCAAGCTTATGAAATGGTATTGCTATCTCTTTGCGTTTAGTTATTTAGGGCTGAAAAATGCTTGGACTAAACTATGACGCCAATTCGGCTATCTAGGGTTTGGTAAGCTCTGCGCAAATGGTGAGGTTTCTAGTGATCAATGCCAGACCCACAACCGAGAGGTTCATTTCCCGGGCTCTTCCTCAAGGAATTTCAAGGGCATTTATTGGCAGGTAAATTTAAAGCCTTTAATCCTCAACTTCCTAACGAAAAAAAAAAAAAAAGAAAGAACAAAGGATTCATTATTCTTTCAGCTCCTTAAATTGCATTCCTTATTAGATCACTGTATCTGGTGCTATGTCATCGAATTTAATTATGAATGATAGTGTTAAATGCGTTGTATGCTTACCCAAAATTATATACGAGATAACACGTGTAGTTGAATATATCTTTTGCTGTAGATGCCTAATATTTTTCTGCACTTTTCCTTGTCTGGACAGGATGATTGCTGATCCAGCATTTTTATACAAGTTTCTACTAGAGCAGGTATCTACAATCAGTTACTCTGTTTGGTGGGAGGTGAAGAATCGCAAAGAAAGGTATAATTTCATATCCGGACATGAAAAAGACGTACTCTGCGTCTCCACGCGCTTCTTTTTCTTTGTATTCTAAAAACTGAGATTTGATGCAGGATAAAGCAGGAATGGGATCTTGCACTCATCAATGTACTTACAGTGACAGCGTGCAACGCAGCTGTTGTTTGGTCACTTGCTCCTTGTCGCTCATACGGGAGTACTTTCCAATTCGATTTACAAAATACTCTCCAAAAGCTCCCAAACAATATCTTCGAAAAAAGCTACCCACTCAGAGAATTCGACTTCCAAAAGAGACTTCAGTCGTTTTTCTACAGGGCTGCTCAGTTGTGCATGACAGGATTTACGGCAGGGGCTGCTCAAGGTGCTATATCAAACTTTGCTGCCAGTAAAAAAGAGGGAAGGTAACAATTGGAAGCTGCAAAACATTGTTTTAACGATCTTCTAGTTGACACTCTTGTATTATCTGGTTTAACTGTTTATTTTCCCTACCTGCTCGCTTCTTAGGCTGTCTGTGACCATTCCATCTGTGAGCACCAATGCCCTTGGTTATGGAGCTTTTCTTGGTCTTTATGCAAATTTACGGTATCAGCTCTTGTGTGGCTTTGATAGAGGAGTCACGAGCTACTTTGATGTTATCGGAGTAGCTCTCTTCTTCAGTACCGCCCTGAGGTATATTTACCAATCTCGATCATTTCTTCATGTCGTGCAACTAGATAGTTTTTTAGTCCTTCTTACTTCCTCTATCCTCTAAAATTATGCTTATAAGGCCGGGCAGAGATGCTCCCTTTGTCCACAAAAAATATGCTCATATAAGATGGAAACGAATTTTGTGAATATAGGATTATATAGGTTAATTGTGAAATTAAATATGGATATTTTGAGAAGTGAATGGATGAGTTACTGAGGTTAGATAAAATAAGTGTGTAAGTAGTGTTGCATATTTGTAAATAAACGTAATGTTGAAGGATATAAATTAATGAGTATGTAAGAGTTCTTTTTTTTTTTTTAGCTAAATTGGAAAATACATATTTCTTTGTGGACTAGCAAATAAGAAAAAAAGCAGCATAGATTTGGCGAACCGGAGTAGTAATATTTTGATGTAAAAGTAAAAGTATATAGGGGAATTTGGAAAACTTATTAAGGAATATTGTTTAATTGATAGTGTACATGTGATTGAGTGACGATGGCAAAGATGTTATTTGTTAGTGTATGGTAATATCCAAGTCAATGGAAAAGTAGTTGCTATTAGTTGTATAAGTACAAATTTAACGGACATACTTGCATGGAAAGTAAACATAAGTTTGACGGACAAAGGGACATTTACTTAAATCATGTTTATGTAATTTCGCATTTAACATCTTACCCGCCAACGCAAATTTCCTCAGGATCATGAATGTACCATTGGGAGAGACATCCCGGCTGGCTTGGCTAGGCGTGGAGGTTGATCCATTGGCCCACTCCGACGATCTCTTGAAAGCAGCTTATAGCAGACCTTCTGAAGGAGCCAACCAGTCTTCTTCAAAATGGTTCATATCCCGGAATGCTCTGGTTTCCGGGCTCGGCCTTCTCGGGATCAAACAGGGCAAAACTGACCCGAACCAAGCACCAACACCCAAGGCAAGGAGGAAGAGAGTCGTTCGGAGGAAGGTCAGTACAAGCTGAACTAAGCTGTCTTTTCTTGATTTTGATTTTTCAGCCTCCCTCTGTTACTGCTGAATCGAACCATGCTGGCGGTGCAATGAACCAACGGACCACAAAATATGTGTGGTGTTGGGGAAGGATTTGTTGCTCTCAGAAGTTTTGGGTATTATTCTTTGTTTCCTAATTTTGGATACTGACTGTTTGTTGTGGTGCACACAATAAATTCTTCACTCTTTTGTAGTTTCTGCTGTTAGCGTTTCTGTGGCGATTTCTTTTGACCTAAATGTAGCATTCGTTTTTAAGTTATAGTCTGCTTTTCAATTCATTTTAAGATATACTAGTATTTGGTTTCAATTATTATTTGCCTGCAAACTTTGTCACGTATAATTTATTTATTTATTTATTTTCATTGAGATTGAGGTTGTTTGGGTAAAATCTTGGAGGAATCTAATAGGTTGCAAATTAGATGAGATGTTATACTGATAAATGTTTATTTTATATGAAGTGTACTTGCTTTGTATTTTTTAATAAATGTTTTTTCTTAGGTAATGGTGACGGCACCCAATATTAGTAAATGTTTATTTTATATGGAGTGTATTAACTTTATATTTTTTTAATAATAATTTTTTTTAGGTAATGTAGGATCTGTTGTCAATATAGACAGCAGTATTGATTAGGTCGAACCGTGCTAAATAAGTTAAGTTTATGTGTTGTATTAATAATATGGCATAGCCATAATTATTCCCGTGCCAGAAATAAGATTATTAAGAAAGTGCCAAAGCTTTGTAAACTAGGTATGCCAACCCAAGTCAAACTATATGTCACATTAGATAAATTATGTGTGGCCGAAGAACCTGAACTCATGACCTGACGGACTAGTTTACTCCCCCGTATCACTGTAAATTTTTTTCTAATTGATAGTATTATGGGTGTTTATTTTGCTAAATTTCTTCAAATTTTATTATTTGACTCTACATGTTTGACTGTAAGAGTATATATTATTTCCGTCCCGATTAAATTGTTCATGATACAGAATTAAAAAGTATATTAGTAAAAATATTTATGATATAATAAAAATAATTATAAATAGAGATAACTAAATAATTTTATTAAAATTAAAAAAATTATAAATAATTGAGATTTAAAATGTATAATTATTTTTTAAAAAATAAAAAAAATAATGTAAAATTGACAAAAATGAAAAATATTAACCATTTATACTAGACGAAAAGAGAATATTATATTATATTTTATTGAATATTAATCCGAAGTACTGTAAAAAATAGAAATGTGGGCGAACAGTGAACACACCCTAATTTTTTTGGCGCTGCAATAAATGGACTCATAATATATGGGAGCGGATAGGTCAGATTAAAAAACAAAGGGTATTTCAGCTACTGCCAGTCTTCTGCAGCGGCGGCGCGTGATGGACACGTTCTACACTGGTATCCATTACTGGCTAGTCGACCACCCAATTATCAGCCAATACGAATGGAAACCCTACCGATCCCCCGGCGCGTCGCCGCTGTTTGTCGCCGGCGCCGTCTCCGCCTATTTCGCCCTCATCCTCTCCCTCCGCCGCTTCCCGCTGCTCCTCCCCTCCGCCGCGGCGCTTCGCGTCGTCACTGCCGCCCACAGCCTTAATCTCTGCCTCCTCTCGCTCGTGATGGCCATCGGCTGCACTCTATCCGCTATCCACCAGACGCCGCCGGACCGCCCGATTTGGGCGGTCTGCTTCCCCTCCGGCGGCACGCCGCCGCGCGGACCGACGTTCTTCTGGGCGCACGTGTTCTACTTCTCGAAAATCCTCGAATTCGTGGACACAGTCCTGATCCTCCTCAGCGAATCGCGGTCCCGGCGGCTGACGTTCCTCCACGTCTACCACCACGCGGCGGTGGTGGTGATGTGCTACCTCTGGCTCGCCGCCTCTCAGTCGCTGTTCCCGGTGGCGCTCGTGACGAACGCGGCGGTGCACGTGGTGATGTACGGATACTACCTGCTGTGCGCGCTAGGGATTCGGCCGTCTTGGAAGCGATTGGTCACCGACTGTCAGATTATCCAGTTCGTATTCAGCTTCGCCATTTCGGGTTGGATGCTCCACCACCACTTTAACGGGTCGGGTTGCGAGGGAATATGGGGCTGGTGCTTCAATGCGGTTTTTAACGCCTCGCTTTTTGCCCTCTTTCTGAATTTTCATTTTCAAAATTATGCCAAGAAGAATAAAATTCATTGATTTCCGACAAATAAAACCATTAAAAAAAATATTGTAGCCTTTTGCGTTTCTCTATTTCTTCTTCATTCATTGTTATTCAATAAATTGACATATGCCCATGATCTTATGTATCATTTCTTGTTGTTGAAAAGATGTGTAGTAAGACAAAACAAATGTGAACTTTACACCATCACACATAAAATATGTTTAGTTTGTGTTATTTATTTAAAGTTTTAAACGGAAATTTCTATTAAAAAAATAATATCCGTCCGTGAGAGTTACTTGTTTATACAAATATTATTCCATTACCAATAAAAATTCATAACTATTATTATAGGAGTATAATATTTTTTAATCTCAACTAATGTAACTCTTATGCACGGATGGATGAAGTACTTCCATGGTCGATTTGTCCACTTTAGTTTAGACCAGAGTTTTAGATATTGTATATTTAATAAGTAATTAATAAATATATTAGTAAAAATATTTATGATTTAATAAAAGTAATTATAGATTAAAATTAAGATAATTAAATAGTTTAATTAAAATAAAAAATTATATTTATAAGAATTTTAAAATGTGTTTAAAATATATAAGTATAGTTAAAAAAAAATAACAAATTATATGGGAGTGACATAAATAGATTTAACGGGACGGAGTAAAAAATTAGTAATGGATGAACTATAATAAAAATTAGCAAGTGATTAACCTGTAATAATCAATCAATTAAGGCAAAATACAAGATTGTCGAAAAAGGTACATCCCAAAAATGCATGTAGTAAGGAAAGAATCACTTGATTATGGAAGAAGAAAAGAAGCATTTTATTATATCTATCCATTGTTCCAAAAATGTACACTCACTCCCCTCTACACGTATTCTTCCACCCCACCCTTCCCCACCCTCCTTATATTACACCCCAAAAATTACAACTCACCATTATTACCTACATTTGCAATGGCACCCAAATTGCTCACACTCCTCTTCCCTCTCCTCGTCGCAGGTAAATAAAAAAAAATTAAATATTTAATGTGATATTTTATAAAACTAAATAAATATTTAAACCATTACAGGAATGATCGGATTCTCCCGATCCGCAAGAATTACAATCGTAAACAACTGTAAGGAGACGATATGGCCCGGAATCACCGGCATGAATTCCACTGGCGACGGGTTCCCGCTCAAGCCGACCCAATCCTCCGTCTTCTCCGCACCCGCCGATTGGAACGGCCGCGTCTGGGCCCGAACCGCGTGCAATTTCGACTCCCGCGGCAACGGCACGTGCCTCACTGGCGGGTGCGGCCACAGCCTCAAGTGCGCCGGGCCAGGCCAGCCCCCGGCTTCTATTGCCGAATTCGGCCTCGGAGGCGACCTCGACTATTACGACGTTAGCCTCGTCGACGGCTTCAATGTCCCCGTCGTGGTCCGGCCCATCAATGGCCGCGGCAAGTGTAGCCCCGTCGGGTGCTACGACGATTTGAGGCCTAATTGCCCCGGCGAGCTGGCGATGAACTCGTCCGTCGACGGGAAGACGGTGATCGCGTGCCGGAGCGCGTGCACTGTTTTCGATACCGATGAGTATTGCTGCCGGGGAGCGTTCTCGACGCCGATGGCGTGCGCGCCGACGAATTATTCGAGGATTTTTAAGCAAGGCTGCCCTGCCGCTTATAGCTTCGCGTACGATGATCCGACGAGTATTATTACGTGCTCGGCTACGGATTACGTCGTCACGTTTTGCTCGTCACGGTATGGCTTTCATCGTGGAACTTATTTTTTATTTAAAATATTATATTAAAAATCTGTTTATTAAATTTACTCAATTACTAATTTTGTCAAAAATAAATAAATCAAAATGTAACTATTATTATTTTGTTTACAAGTAATGTCATATTAGATTTCATCTTTTCATTTTCTTTAATTATAAAATTTTTTTTAAAAAAAATTCAATTTCTTTTTATTTTTATCATTTTTCTAATAAATATTTATTTTTTTTAATCCTCGTATCGGACACAGATGCTCTAATTCTGGGAGAGTATATATATTTTCTCTGTTTTCAATTCAATTTTAACTTTGGTTTGAATTATTATTTTTATTTAACTCTGGTTTGATTTTTGGGTTTAGGAATGAAACGCAGTGCACGTACCATGACAACAGGCTTGTTTGCGACCGCGGCGGCGCCGCCAGGGCGGCGGTGGCGGTGTGGGAGGTTGTTGTGACGGCGGTTATTTGCTTAACGGCCATTTTATAGTTGGCGTTTTTTTGTTTTTCAGAAATTTTGTTTAATGCAACACAGTACATGTCATTTGTGTTGAGCGAAATTTTCTTTTTTTTTTTTTTTTTAGTTTTATAATAATTGAATAATACTGCCTTTGTCCCATTTATTATATTCATTCTTTCTATTTTTATTGTTTAACTTATTTTGTTATTTCTTTTTGTTATAAACTTTAATTTTATTTTAATTTATAATTTTCTTTGTGTTGCCATAATTTTATTAGTTTTAATTTAATAAATGCTCAATCCGTTCCAATATAATAGTTTTGTTTATTATTTTTATCCGTTCAAAAACAATAATCTCATTTCCATAAATAATTATATCACTATAAAAATATTCTTTCTTTTTCATTATTGTTACACTATACACTCCCAAGTTTATTTTTACTTTTTACCCGTTACCAATATAATATCAATATTTTTTAAATTTCGTATCAAACACAACCGAGACTATAATTCTGGAACGAAAGGAATAGTAATTAATTTATTACTACTATTTCCTCTTACGTATATTACAAATCAAAATAAAAATATGTATGTTTGGGGGCGAAAATTGATAATAAAATTGAATATAATTATTAAGATTAGTTTAAGATAAATATATTAAGAATTTGTTTATTTAGCATTTTTTTAAAAAAAAATTTTACTAGTTATACTCTGTAGTATTTTGAAAATTATATATATACATTTTTTGCAAAATATTTTCATATCAAACTCAAATTAATTTTTTCTTTAAACTCATAAAAAAACGAACACCCTAAATTATAAGTCTTAACATCAATCAGCCAAATGCCACTCCTCGTTGTGAGACGGTTTTAATAAAATCGGATTTCAATTTTCAACAAACAGACGCCGTGTATTTGTTTGAAGAATTTGGTAGGATTTTTACTCTTTCTAAAAAATTTTTTCTAAAAATATTAAATTAAATATTTTCTCCGTCTACTTTTCGGAAGTAGATTTTTTAGTATTATTATTATATTGAATTGTAGTAAAAAAGACAAAAATACTTATATTAGTATGTTGTAATATAAAAATAATAAAATTTGTGTAGTACAATTAAGGATAAACAAAAATGAAAAATAATAAATTTTAATGGGACAGAAAATATTTATTTTTTATTTTTTATATTATACTAAAAATCAATTTTACATTCTGTTAGGTACGAAATTTAGAATTAGGTTAAAAGCCCAAGGTAAAAAGAAGAATGGGCCTGGCAATAGAGTTGATTGAACTGACTGAAGGGTACCATGAGGAAATCAAGGAAAATAGGTTTATTACTAAGGAAAGTCCTCAGGTCGGAAGGTCTTCAGGTCGGTAGGTCCTCAAGACGGAAAGTCATTAGGACGGAAGGACCTCAGGTCGGTAGGTCCTCAAGACGGAAGGACCTCAGGTCGGAAGGTCTTCAGGTCGGTAGGTCCTCAAGACGGAAAGTCATTAGGACGGAAGGACCTCAGGTCGGTAGGTCCTCAAGACGGAAGGACCTCAGGTCGGAAGGTCTTCAGGTCGGTAGGTCCTCAAGACGGAAAGTCATTAGGACGGAAGGACCTCAGGTCGGTAGGTCCTCAAGACGGAAGGACCTCAAGTCGGAAGGTTTTCAGGTCGGGAGGTCCTCAAGACGGAAAGACCTCAAGTCGGAAGGTTTTCAGGTCGGGAAGACCTCAAGGCGGAAAGACCTCAAGTCGGAAGGTTTTCAGGTCGGGAGGTCCTCAAGACGGAAAGACCTCAAGTCGGAAGGTTTTCAGGTCGGGAAGTCCTCAAGGCGGAAAGACCTCAAGTCGGAAGGTTTTCAGGTCGGGAGGTCCTCAAGACGGAAAGACCTCAAGTCGGAAGGTTTTCAGGTCGGGAAGTCCTCAAGGCGGAAAGACCTCAAGTCGGAAGGTTTTCAGGTCGGGAAGTCCTCAAGGCGGAAAGACCTCAGGCCAGATGGTTCGCAAGTCGGGAGGATTGGCGGTCGGACCCATACTATTGTAGATTGGCAGTCGGGCCAAAAGAGCGGAAGGTCTGTGGTCGGCTCAAAGAGTGAAATATAGGGATAATTTTGGTCTGCTGGGGACGCGTGTCAGCATGAGAAGGGTTGGAAGACGGTTGGGAAGGAGACGTTGTAACCGTTCGGGTGACGGTTTTCGGTACGGTTTCCCAGAGAATATTTAAAGGCTTGGATAATCATTTGACAAGGCATCTTCAATCAACTTCAACAAAGCAAAGTCAGATTTGGGGATCACCACTTTAAATTTCAGTCTTTTATTTTCCAGTTTATTTTCTGTACCATACAGTGTTTAGAGATTCCTAATCTCAGGCACTAATTAATCAAGTTTAAGGATATTTTCTATATCTTTGAATTTTACTTTATTTTTGTTGAAAAATTACATCAACAAATTGGCGACCACAGTGGGAGCAAGACAAAATTGCTCATTCCAATTCCGGCGATAATTACATACGTCTAAGATCCGGCCGTATCATCGGAAGGGTCCATATGGCAGGTTCACAACCTCAATCATCGTCGGCACCGGTGGGAGAATCCGTTCCACCACCTAATGTGCCAAATGCCGGGGAAATCCCACAACCACCAACAGATTGGTGGTCTTATGTTCAACAAATGTTGCGTGAGCAACAAACGAACATGTTGCGTGAGCAACAGAGCATGATGCAGAACATGATAGATCAAGCATTGTCAAGGGTTAGTCTTCAACCCACTCAAACTCCACCAGGAGTATCACCGTCCAGACTACAGACAAATTTCGCAGGGCCATCATTCGTGGATAGTACATTTCCAAGTGCCACAAATCCCAACCGAATGGATAGGGGAAAGTCTCCTCTGACTTTTCCCAACACTGTTCCACTGGGACCAAGGGTTACCAATCCCCAGACGAACAATACAAGGGAGGACAGGCCTGAAGGATATATACATGATCCTGTTCATATTCCTGTGCAGGATCCGTTCCATGTTCCTGATCATCAACGCTTTCATGTAGATCCTGATGAGCTTGCACATATATTAAAGGATCAGTATGGATTAACTCCTCAGATGGCTAACCGCCCTGCATATCAGAAACCTTTCCCAGAAAGAGTCATTAATGAACACCCTCTCCCAAGGAATTATCGACCACCCGATTTTCATGCATTCTCAGGGGAGGACGGATCTTCCACCATAGAACATGTTGGTCGGTTCACAGCACAATTGGGAGAAGTTGGTAATAACCCTTTTTATAAGTTGCAACTGTTTGGTTTATCTCTTACTAGAACCGCGTTTTCGTGGTTTGCAAGTCTGCCCCCTTGACAAATTCAGACGTGGGAAGGACTGGAGACGGCATTTCATGCTAGATTCTTCAATCCTTTACCGACTGTTTCTTTAACAGATTTACTGGAATTGAGGCAGTATCCAGAAGAATCTGCTTCACAATTTATAGAAAGGGTGCGATTGATGAAGGGACGATGTCCTACGGTAATCAGTGAGAAAGAGATGACCAATTTAGTGGTCCGGAATATGCATACTCGCTTAAGAAAGGCGCTCACTGCCCTGGATGTTGAGGATTTGGCAAGTCTTGCATCCAAGGCAGGACGTTTAGAATCTTTGTTTAGAGAGGAAGATCAGCATAACAGGCGTAATAGAGGCCAACATATGGCGAGTATGGGAACAGAAACATGTGACTTTGATTTTAATCAATCAGAAGAGATGGCAGCCGAAATCCTTTCTGGGAAACCTTATGTATGCCCTAAGTTGAAGCCAGTACTAGGATCTGAAGGAAAAGAGCAACCGACCTTTGATAGTTCGAAAGCTGATGAAATCTTTGACATCCTACTGACTGATGGGCAGATCCGTATTCCAAAGGGGCAAAGATTGGCCACTAAAGAAGAAATCAAAGGGAGACCATATTGTAAGTGGCATAATTCTTTCACACACAATACAAGTCAGTGTACTCATTTCAGGAAGGAAATTCAAAAAGCTATTAAGACAGGTCGGCTCAAATACATCACTCTAGGTGTAGACCAGCAACCGTTTCCGAAAGTAACAACGGCAATGGTTGACATCCAACCAAGTTCGGAAACAGGGAAAAGTTCGGCCAATGATGGACATACAGGGGAACGAACTCAGGCAAACCCTGGAACTAAAAAGGGAAGTCAGCCAAACAGTGGCCGACCGGAAGAACGACTCAAAGTTGTTGAAAGACCAGTCGCTGAAAAATGGGACCGACCAGACGGTTCGTTTAATGTGGAGGTGAAAGAAAGGGTTGTAGTACGTGACCACCCGACCAGAAAAACAGGTCAAGTCGGGCACAATTGGGCTCGAAATAAAAAACCTTTACCCGTTGATATAGATCCTCGTTTCCCAGGTATGAATCGTACACAGATTCGCAATGCCAAACGCAGGTATGCTGCAAAGTATGGGAAACGAGTTCCTTCACCAAAACAACGAACCGACGAACAAAAAGCAGCCGACCACTTGGCAGGAGGTCGGTCCATTAGAGTTTTTACAAAACAAATAACCGACGAGCAAAACGCAGCCGACTGCTTGGTAGGAGATCAGTCTATTCGGGTCTTTACAGAACAGACAACCAATGAGCAGGGAGCAGCCATTCAATCTCTAAAAAGTCGGTCCAATCGGGTCTGTTCAGGAAAGCAACCGAACGACCGATTAGGTGCTTCCGACTATACCAAAGGAAGTTCGTCGGGACAAGGGAAAGGTAAAGGAATGGCAGATGAAATAATTGAAGGTTTTAGATGCCAACATTGTGAACGGATCAACATCAATCCATCTCTTGAAGAATTCCGTATTGAATCTTTGACGGTTCAATCTCGGGATATGACAAAGGAAGAAGTAGTAACTACAGAGGAAAGTTCAAGATCTGTTAAATCTCGTCTGGGACCACGAATCCCTTGTCGGATGACAGAGATTAATCAGATGAGTGATGAACCGATGTGGGCAAGTCTGGTAGATGATACTCTGGATGAACCTTTATGGGCATTCTTGGCAGATGACGAATTAGAGGAAACAGAGTGGGCAAAGACTACAGATTCCGAGCCTCAAACGGAGGCACCTTCGATCGTGTTTCCTCCTATTCCAGAGGGTG